ATCATGATGAGTACTTGTACGTGCACGGCTACTGGTACTGATCATGATGAGTACTTGTACGTGCAAGGCTGCTGGTACTGATCATGATGAGTTTGATGCAGGGCCTCCTGGATAGGTAGGCCGTGGCGTTGGTCCTGTCTCTTATTCTACGTAGTACATTCACCTACAGCTCAGACACGCCTCCGTTCCGTCGCACGCGGGGCTTTCACTTGAGCTGCGGCCCCAGATCCTTTTCAGTCTGCTGTTCGCGCAAAAAGCTCTTGGCGGCTATATATGTCTTGTGGTCCAGCAGTGGGCTTCACCTCGACTCGTCCACGGTAGCAACTGCCACAACACCTTGGCTGCCACCACTTCTCTTCTTGGATACTCGACGACACGACACGTTGCCTCTGTCTCGTTGCCATGGCCGCGCTGACCGGCGAGCAGCTCCTCGGGGTCGGGATCGCGACGCGCATGTCGTCTGTCGTCTCGATTCTGGGCTCGCTCTTCATCATCGGCAGCTACTTGTGCCTTCCGTACTTTCGCCGACCCACGACCCGGCTGATCTTCTACGCGACCTGGGGCAACTTGCTCACCAACGTCGCGACGCTCGTGTCGGTATCTGCGATCCCCGGCGGTGCAGTGAGCGCGTCGCCGCTGTGCCAGGTCCAGGCCTTCCTCATCCAGTGGTTCATGCTGGCAGATCCGTTCTGGGTGGGCACTCTCTCGCGGGTTGAAGCGGCGCGCTGACGCGGATAGGTGTTCTGCATGGCGTTGAATGTCGGGCTCATCTTCAAGGTGAAGCGCTTCGATGGCAGCAAGATGCCGGACTACGAGAAGTGGTATGGGCTGGTTGCGTACGGGGTTCCTGCCGTGGTTCCCATCACCTACCTCGTCCACGATCAAGTGAGCAGTCACGGCATCGTCGGTCCGGCCATTGTGAGTCTCGTGCATGGCTCCGCTGCAACGGACGCTGACGTGTGTTGTAGCTCTGGTGCTGGGTGCGCAAAGAGTTTGACTGGATGCGCATCACCTTGTTCTATGCGCCCATGTGGTACGCAGCTTCCCTACGTCGAGAGCTGCATGTGCTGACGTTACAGGATACTGGCTGTTGCGACCATGAGCATACACATGTGGGTCGGGCTGAAGATCTACCGGGCAAAGATGGAGATGCGCAGGTGTCTGCAAGAGTCGCAGCAGCGTCTCGCGCAGGCGTGTCCAAGCACGCTGGAGGACCCTTTCGTGGACCCGCAGGACCAGATCACCGTCACGACGAACATCTCACACGAGAACGTATCTAGGCGGACCGCTCTCCTCGTGCCGCTGAACCCAAACAGCCCAGTGCGCTACCACAAGCCGCTCCTCATGGGCAAGTACCGGGCGACTGCGTACGCGGCGCCTCTGGCATCGGGCGACTTTGCAACGCTGCCGTCACCGCAGGTGCCCGTGTTCCGGCCGAGCGAGCACGCGGCGCACGTGCAGCGGCGCGAGGAGACGAGCGAGGCGTTCCGGTACTTCAAGTCGGCGCTGCTGCTGTTTGTGGCGCTCGTGGTGGTGTGGGTGCCGTCGAGCGCCAACCGGCTGTACCAGCTGGGGCATCCGGAGCGCGCCAGCTTCGCGCTCAACCTGATCTCTGCGCTCGTGCTGCCGACGCAGGGGTTCTGGAACGCGGTCATTTACGCACAGGCTTCGTGGGACGAGTGCAAGCGCGCGTGGGCTGGGTTCAGGAGGGGCGAGTCGGGTGGGAGCACGGCAGGGGTTGCGAGGGAGCTGTCGTCGATGGATCCGTCCGACTCGAAGCTGACTGTGTGAAGATGGCGGCAGGGTGTGTACGGAAGATGCATGTACAGTGGATACATGAATAGAATGAATACAGTGTGAACATACCGTGTGAACATACCGTGTGAACATACCGTGTGAATACAGGAACAGAATGAATACACAGAATGAATACACAGAATGAATACACAGAATGAATACACAGAATGAATACAGGAGCAGAATGAATACAGGAACAGGATGAATACAGGTCCAGTATGAACACAGCACGAACACGGCACGAACACGGCACGAACACGGCACGAACGCAGTGCATACATGTACAATCAATGCATACATGTACAATCAATGCATCAAATCTTGTCATGGTACTGGGGATTCAACAGCTGGTCCAGCGGCCACTTCCTGACGGCTCTGATTCCCAGCGTGTCCCTGTACCCGGCATCGAACATGTCCATGGCGGTCCAGGCAATCATGGCGGCGTTGTCGGTGCAGTACTCGGGGGGCGGGAAGAACAGGGGCACGTGGCCGTGGCCGTGGTGGACGAGGGTGGCGGCGAGCAGGTGGCGCAGGAAGGCGTTGGAAGCGACGCCGCCGGCCATGACGACGGCGGGCTGCGCCCTGTCCGCGGTGCTCGCAGCAGAGCTCGCAGCAGGCTCCCCGTCCGCTGCGACAACGGCAGGCTGCTCCTTGCCGGCCATGACGGCCAGACCGCGCACGACGCGCGAAGCAATGTGCTCAAACGCAGCGCGCTGGACGGCCAGGGCCATGTCCCTTCTCTCCTCGACAGGAAACTCATCCGCGCTCCTCTCCCGGCTCCCCAGCTTGCCCGTCTCGGGGTCGGTCGGGAAGCGCACGAGGCGCTCGACGGCGGTCGTCAGGCCGGAGAAGGACATGGCCAGGCCGTTTATCTTGGCGCCGCCGCCCGTGGTCAGCAGCGGCGGGGCGATGCTCCAGCCCCAGCGGGTCCTGCTGCGCGCGATGGCGGCCTCGTTGTTCGCGGGCGGCGCGTACCAGCCGTGGGCGGCGCCGTGGGCGTGCAGGTACTGGGCCGCCGTGAGTCCGGCGGGCGCGGCGGGCAATGCAAAGGCCTCGGGCGGCGCGGCGGGGAATGCAAAGGCCTCGGGCGGCGCGGCGGGCGATGCAAAGGCCTCGGGCGGCGCGGCGGGGAATGCAAAGGCCTCGAGCAGCGCGCCGTACATTGTGCTCTTCGCGCCGCGCATTGCTTCGGCCGGCAGGATCGCGCGCGCGGCCTTGTCGAGGCATTCGCCGACGGCCACGTCGGCGGTGCTGCCGAGGAGCGTGTGGGCCGTCAGCGAGGCCGAGGCCAGCAGCATTGTGTGGCCGCCCGAGGCGAGGACCGAGAGGACGGGGAACGCGGGCGCCAGGGCGCCGGGGCCGTCGTCGAGGGGCTTGCGGCCCATGTCTGTCGCGTCCGAGTCTGTCGCGTCCGAGTCTGTCGCGTCCGAGACGGCCGCGTAGGCGTCGAGGGCGGCGACGAGGCGCGGCGTCAGGGCGTGGGCCTGCATGTGGTGGACGCCGACGAGCGGTTTCTGCTCAGTCCCGAGTCAGCCACGGTCGGCGAGCAGGCGTCGGCTGCGCTCTACCTGCCAGGCGACGGCGAGGCCCTTGGCCGTGTCGAGGCCGCACATTAGGCTCGAGCGCATGCCGGGGCCGCGCGTCGCGGCCACCACGTCGGGCAGTCTGCGGGCGCCGCCGTGGTCGGGCAGGTGGGCAATGGCGTCGGCAACCAGGGCGGCCAGGTTCTCTTGGTGGGACTTGAGCGCCAGCAGCGGATGCACGCCCTGGAACGCGTGGTTGTTCGAGGTGACGGTTTTGTGGAAGTGCAGTCGCGCGACGGTGCGGCCGTCGCGCACGCCCTTTTCGACAATGGCAACCGACGTGTCGTCGCAGGACGTCTCAATCGCGAGCGTCATCAGACGCCGGCGCGCGCGACCGGGCGGGTCGGACGGCGGGACAGACGGCGGGTCGGACAGCGGGTTGGACGGCGGGTCGGACAGCGGTCGCCACAGCGGTCGCCATCGCGGTCGGGTCGCGGGGCTGCGACGAAGCAGCATCTAGCAACGGGCGGCGTTGGCAAGCACGGAGCGCGACGATGGGAGTATCTACGAGACGGGGCGGGTCGGATGGATCGCGTCGAGACGGGACGGGTCGAGTGGATGGCGACGCTGTCGGGATGACGCAGCCTAGTCAGTCACCGGTGGGGCTGGCGCTCACTTGCCAGGGTAGCTCGCTCCTCCGCGTCTGCCTGTCCGACACCCAACACGGGACGATGCGACGCATCCGCCACGACAATGGCCGATGTCAAGAGAGAGACCGACGGGCCAGCGCCCTACTCGTCTCCGGCGTTTGACGTTACGCAGCTGCCCGACTACGACAACGACTTCGCCAACGACGACGACTTTGCCCAGTTCGCCGCGGCGCTCGCCGCGCCCGAGCCGTCGCCGTCGACCGCAGACGTTGCCGCCGCGCCCGACGGCCCGCACTACTTCACGGCGCAGAGCGACTGGCGGCCCGTCCACCAGCGCGTGCGGCGGCGCAAGAAGCCCAAGGCGGCGCCGCATCGCGGCAAGGACGAGACGCGCGAGGGCGTCGTGTACGGGCTGCTCAAGTGGCCGCTGCTGGTCTTCGCCCTGGGCTGGCTGGCGTTTCTGAGCCTCGCGTACGTGCTGACCCGCGTCTACATCTACCTGTACGAGCACTGCGTGACGTGGCGCGGCACGCGCAACCGGCTGCGCCACCAGCTGCACACGGCCGCCAGCTACGAAGAGTGGACGCAGAGCGCACAGGCGCTGGACACGCACCTCGGCAGCGACGGCTGGCGGCAGACGGCCGAGTATGCCTACTACGACAGCAAGACGGTGCGGCGGGTGCACGAGCAGATGGCGAAGCTGCGGCAGCGCGCCGAGTCGGACGAGCAGCGCGCCGCGCAGGCGGGCAAGTCGAGGGCGGTCGAGGAGCTGCGGGCGCTGGTCGAGGCGTGCATGAAGAACAACTTTGTCGGGTTCGAGAACCCGCGTCTCTACAGCGAGACGTACTATGGCACAAAGGACCTCGTGCAGCGCTTCGTCGACGAGGCTGCCGCGTCCATGGCGTTCCTGCGCAACACCCGGCAGCTCGACGCCGAGCGCAAGCGCGCGCTGTTCAAGCACGTCAGCACCAACTTTGGCAGGACGGCGCTGTGTCTGAGCGGCGGGGCGACGTTTGCCTACTACCACTACGGCGTCGCCAAGGCACTGCTGGACGCGGATCTGCTCCCGGACGTCATCACCGGCACCTCTGGCGGCGCGCTCGTGTCGGCGCTCTTGGGCACGCGCACAGACGACGAGCTGAAGCGGCTTCTCGTGCCGGCCCTCGCCCACCGCATCAAGGCATCGCAGGACACGACGTACACGTGGATGAAGCGCTGGTACCAGACGGGCGCGCGCTTCGACGCCGTGCAGTGGGGCAAGGCATGTGCCTGGATGACGCGGGGCAGCATGACCTTCAAGGAGGCCTACCAGCGGACCGGCCGCATCCTGAACGTGTCGTGCGTTCCCGCCGACCCGCACTCGCCCACCATCCTCGCCAACTACATGACCGCCCCGCACTGCGTCATCTGGTCCGCCGTGCTCGCCTCGGCCGCCGTGCCCGGGATCCTCAACCCCGTCGTGCTCATGAAGAAGGACGCCGACGGCACCCTCTCGCCCTACTCGTTCGGCCACAAGTGGAAGGACGGCTCCCTGCGCACCGACATTCCGCTCAAGGCCCTGAATCTCCACTTCAACGTCCGCTTCTCCATTGTCTCGCAAGTCAACCCGCACATCAACATCTTCTTCTTCTCGTCCCGCGGCTCCGTCGGACGGCCCGTGACCCACCGCCGCGGCCGCGGCTGGCGCGGCGGCTTCATCGGCAGCGCCATCGAGCAGTACCTCAAGCTCGACCTGACCAAGTGGCTCAAGGTCCTCCGCCACCTGGAGCTCCTGCCGCGCCCGCTGGGCCAGGACTGGAGCGAGATCTGGCTGCAGCGCTTCAGCGGCACCATCACCATCTGGCCAAAGTCCATCCCCAGCGACTTCATCCACATCCTGTCCGATCCCACCCCCGAGCGCCTCGCCCGCATGATCCACGTCGGCCAGCAGTCCTGCTTCCCGAAGCTGAAGTTCATCGCCAACCGCGCCAAGCTCGAGCAGCAGATCCACAAGGGCCGCCGTCTGTACCGCGCCCGCGGCCCGGACCACGACGGCGCCGACCTCGCCAACCTGCTCAGCGAAGATGATCTGCACGGCCTCCAGGACTCGAAGCAGTCGGCCGACGACGACGACGACGATGATGATGATGATGACGACAGCACCCATTGGACTGACTGAGCCCACGTGGAGCCGCCTCTTGGAGGTTGACGTGCTCTTGCTCGCAGAGCATCATGTTTTTACGAGCAACGTTGGCACAGCTGCGGTTTGGAGACGGCTTGGGTAAGCATCTGAACTGGGCCAACACGTTCCTCTGCATGCGCACCATGGGGGCGCTCACTGACCGAGGCGCTCAATGATCAAGACGCTTACTATGGAAGACACTTACTATGGAAGACACTATGGAAGACACTATGGAAGACACTATGGAAGACACTATGGAAGACACTATGGAAGACACTATGGAAGACACTTACTATGGAAGACGCTATGGAAGACACTCACTATGGAAGACGCTTACTATGGAAGACGCTCACTATGGAAGACACTTACTATGGAAGACACTATGGAAGACGCTCACTATGGAAGACGCTTACTATGGAAGACGCTCACTATGGAAGACGCTTACTATGGAAGACGCTTACTATGGAAGACACTATGGAAGACGCTCAATGACCAAGACGCTCACTGCTTGGACCGCACTTCCAACTTCTTGGGCTTCTTCCTGGGTTTCGGTGAATCTTCACATGCCGCATCGCTCCTCTCCTCGCTTCCTTTGTCGTCTGCCTTTTCGTCTGCCTTGTCTTCGGCCTTGGTAGGTGCAGACTCGGTCTTTGTCTCTTGGGCACGTTGAGGCGTGGCCTCTTGACTCTCATCCTTGTTGTCTTTGCTCTCATCCTTGCTCTCATCCTTGCTCTCATCCTCACCCTCACCCTTGCTCTCGTCCTTGCTCTCATCCTCACCCTCACCCTCACCCTCACCCTCACCCTCACCCTCACCCTCACCCTCACCCTCACCCTCACCCTCACCCTCACCCTCACCCTCACCCTCATCCTTCTGGCCCGCCGCGCTGGGCTTCTCCGAGGACATCTTCTTTTCACTCCCACTCTTCAATGCCTGGTCGTCCGCCTCAGCATCCTCAACCATAAAGTTGGCAGCCATGCATCGTCCGCCATTCTGCGGGCCAACTTCATTCGGACAAGCACTGAACACGACAACAACGTCGCGCTCAGCCCTGAAGCGGACAAAGCATCTCTTCTTGCCCCTGGGCTCTTCCACTGCAAGTCTGGCACCCTTGGCACCGGCCTCGGCCGTCTTTGCATCGGAACGCACGTCGATGGGCGCGACCATGAACAGGTGGAGAGGCGTGGGTGCGATGTTGACGCTGATGTCGGCACCGACTGCCTTTGCCCCCTTCAGCCCTGCATTCTCGTTCAATTCCTTGAGCGCCAGGACGAGGTTCTCCGCGCAGCTGCCGTGCTCGGCGGGCTTGTCGACGCCCAGCGACGCATAGAGGTTGGCGTCGCATGCAGCTGTCAACGTGTCGTGCGCGCCGGGGGACGTGTCTTCGACAAGCGTCACGATGGGGTTGCGTAGGTTCGTCAGGAGGGTGTCGTCAACCTCGGGAACGAGCTTGTACGACGATGCGCGCGTGTGAGGGAGCGAGAGGTACTCCATGGGCGGGCGGTCGTCTCTCAAAGGATGCGTCTGCGCGTAGGCGCTGTACACGGCGTAGACGGAGGATGCATAGCCAGACCCGGTCGCAGCTGCAAAACCATTAGCACGATGCCCCAGAGTGTGAATCGATCAAGACTTGCCAGCGATAGTGCCCGCGCCGACAGGCGTCTTGGAGAAGTCGTACAGCTGCTCTGCATAGCTCTTGTTCGGGTCACGGTAGTGGCTCGACTTGAACGCGCTCACAACGCCCTCCCTGCTAGGTACTTCTACGTTGGGCATGTAGCTTGAGAAGCCTTTTCCGGTCGGCATGTACGAGGACCACTTCTTGGTGTTGGCCTCGTCCTGTGCCTTCTGCTCTTCGGGGCTGGGTTCTTGTTCGGCTCCGGCTTCGGCCTTCTCTGCTTTGTCTCCCTTGCCCTTTGAGCGGTATGGAATCGATGGCAGGTACGACGCCCAAGTGCGCTTGGAGGGCTGCTTTGCCGACGTCTCCGTAGCCCCTGCCGTATCTTTGATCGACTTCGCTGTCCCCTCGGTGGCTTTCTCGTTGTCTGGTGTCTCGGGTGCATGTTCAGAAGGGGCTCCGCGTTTCTCTTCCGACACCTTCTCCCTGCTAGACTCCAGCTGCTCCGTGGTCCCTTTGTTCTGGCCCAATGATTTCTGCGCGCTCGATTCTTCCTCTGCCGGACCATCAATCTCCTGCTTCTCGCCCTGGCCCTCGTCTTTCTCCGCAGCTTCCTGCAATTCCTTCGCCGCCTTCTCAATCTCCTCTGCACCAGGGCCATCCTCGTCGCCATCCTCGGGCGGCGCACCTAGCGTGAATGCCCACATGCTGACAACCTGCTTGCCGTAGGTGTTGATGACCTTGATCGTACGGCCGCGCGGCACGAACGTAGCAACGCCGTGGCGCGCGGGAATGGTCTGCAGCTCTCCCGACATGTCTTCGACTTGGATGGGTGGTTTGTCTCCTTCTTTGCCTTGTTCTTGCTGCTTGCGCCGCTTCTCGATCGTCGAGAGCACAGTGACGACAGCGAGACCAGCGAGAGCGCGTCGAGATGGGATTTGCGGCGCCGTCTTGAGGGAGGGGATTTGGTTCTTGGTGGAAATGGGCATGTATGCCAACAGCAATACAGAAGTTGGAAGTGGAAAAAGTAGCAACAAAGACGGAAATCGCAACCTACATTACATCTCTACATCTTGCCTTGAAGTGACGTACAGGGCACTCATCGTTTGCGCGCTCCAGACCACTCAGCAAGGCTCCTCCACCAACAATCTGTCAGTGTGCATGGGAGCCCTGGCACGTTTTCCCGTAGGATCATCATCGCTGCTGCGATCTGCGACAACCTGTGGCGCTGCCGCCATGACGCAGCGAGAACCGCGTCGAGGAAACCCGGTTTTGAACACCGCGTCCGCTCGCAAGCCGTGAGTTGCGATTGGCCATCGTGTCGACGGCACCCGCACCCACCGTCGACCTTCGACGTTCAACCGTCCACGCTTGATACGAGGGTCGTGGTGGTCTTCGATAGGCATGAAGCGATAACTTGTGGTCTGTTATTGTTCGCACGTGATGCCGTCGCGATACGTGCGGGGTGTGGATGGATCGAAGGATCCCGGAAGTCTTCACGCGTCGCCCCGCGCCGCTGCGCGCTTGTCTGCTGAGATGTGGCACCTGCAGATTCAGAAACACGCTGAAGGCCTTGTGCGGGCAATTGCAGGCCCTTCCGGCAGGTGGGCTGATGGGACGAACGGGACGCTCTGCACCCCGCTGTCTCGTGCGGCCTACCGCATCCGCGCGGCTGGCTTCATGAGATCAGTCGCCGAGCTCATCTCTTTCCACTTACACGAGCGTCGACATCATGACCGAATCGACTGGATATGTCTCCTTCGAGGAGTATGTTTCCTTTTCGCACTCGCTTTCGAGAGATTAACAAGCACAGTTTTGTCCAATCTGACCTCTTCACGTTCCATGTTGGAGAAGAGAAGAGGCGCTTCGTCGTGCATTCCAAGGCTGTCGTAGGCACTTCGTCATTCTTTGACAGGCTCGTCAATGGCGGACTGAAGGAGTCTCATGACCGCTCCGCTGAGATTGAAGATGTCGACCCTGAAACCTTCACTCGCTTCCTTGAGTATGCATACCGACGCGACTATACGGTTCCTTCGTCGCCAGAAGCTTCAATTGCACCCGTGGAAAAGGCGAACAGCTCGAAAATCAATCTGGCGGCGTTCCAGTATCCGGAAAACAGCATCGCTGGAGCTGAATCAGCCTCATCTGAGGACGTGAACTGGGGCGGTGGTGGATGGAACTCCAACTCAGCGCCTTCAGCCTTTAGCGCCATGTCTTATACGCCCTCTGTGCCATCTGCGCCACTCGTACCTTCCCTTGGGTCCCAGAAGAAGGCCAAGAAGCACGCTAGAGTCCAGATGAGCCCTCGAGCCGTGTTCAACAACCGCCAATACATTCAGCCAGCTCAGGACGCCCCCAGTCTCCTTCGCGCACGATTCGAGCCGTACCCAAACACGAGCCCCACGCAGAGCTTCGAGTCTATATTCCTCGCACATGCCCGTTTGTATACCCTCGCGGACATGCGAATGGTCCACCCACTCCGCGATCTCGCTCTGCACAAATTGCACAAAACTTTGGTCGCATTCGAGCTGTACCCAGAACGACTCGGAGACGTCGTTGAACTAGCCAGATATGCTTACGAACATGGTGAGGACAGGTCAGAGGAGGGGCGCATCGATGCGCTGCGAGAGATGGTCGTGAACTACATTGCGTGTGAGATGAAAGTACTCGGTAAGCATGACGAGTTCAGAAACCTCATGGATGGCGGCGGTGAATTTGCAGGTGACTTCTGGGACATTGTCAGTCAGGAACTACTCTAGCCCATGCGAAAGGCCCACGCGACAATCCGGCGCTTGACATAACATTACTCATCGCTTCCAAAATCTATCAAACCCCAGTCTCCGTCCGCACTGAACCCGCCTGATTCAGCTCCCAGCTTCCACGTCCAGAGGCACGAGTATACTCCTCAGTATGCATGGTATACCGTTGTCAGGACACACCTCCTTCCTGTCCAGCTGCTTATCAGCAGGTCCAGTCGGGCCACCCACATACTTCTTCTGCCCAAAGACATCCACCTGTCTCCTATCACTGTCCGGATACGCTTCATCTCCCCACTTGCCCTTGAAACTCAACCACTCCACCGGCCCGCCGTTCAACGCAGTAAAAGCACCACTCCCAGCATCATACTCATACACCCAGCTACTGCCTATCGGGTCCCACCTCCTCCCCTTATCAGTGTAATCCTGCAGTGCCCCGAACGGCAGGTTCAGGTTCGGAATGACATGCGAATGCGTCCCTGCAACCGCATAGTTGGCATGGCTCCCTTTCGCGACATACACAACCGGGCGCACACCATCAGAGTCCTTCTCAACAGCCGAGTAGCGGAACGCCTGCCCGTTCGCGTGCTGCGAGTACCACATTGCTTCCGGTGAGGACGTGGGAGAGCGGAAGCGGAGCATGGTGTGCTCCCAGTCGCCGACGTGGTTGCCAAAGTCAAGGAACGGAAGCGAGAACACATTGGTGCCGGGGTTGAAGGCGTAGAAGTAGAAGTAGAAAACGTCTGCGCTGCTGTCGTTCTTCGTGTTGACGATTACGGCGCAATTTATGCCGGCAGTGAGGCCGTGGCTGTCGGGTGCTGCCCCGGAGAGCCATGCTGGAGACGTCGTTACGTCGTCGTTGGAGGTGAGGTGGGCGGCTGCGCCAAGCTGATCGAGATTCGTGAGCGTGAGTGGGTTGGGAGCGTTCGCGACCGGGGTGTAGTTGGCTCGTGGGGTTACATGCTCGAGAAAGGTTGTGAGGTCTGTAGGGAAGTACAACTCTTCACTGTGTAGGTAGAGAGTAGGTGCTTGGAAAGTTAACGATGCAGATCATTTGGCAAAAAGTAACGACAGTATACCGTATCTCAAGACGAAGTCTGGAATACTGAAAGAGTCTTGTCGTAGCTCTTGCTGCACAGATGCGCAGGCGACAAGCGAAGCAGTCAGGAGGCAGACCAAGACCGCGTACAAAGAGCGAGCTATCATGGTGTCGCAGGTTGGAGACTGGGACAGACAGCCACATTATTGGGGATTATATGTGTCGAGCCATCTTCGCGTATCTGAAGAGAAGGCACTTCATTTCGTTCAGCACACCCTCGCACCTATCTGCCCTTGTCGACGTTCAGGTAAGAAGCGGGTTACAACTTGCGTATGATCATCAATGGCCTACGGTGATTCGCGAAGACGAGCAACTCAGCAGATTGGCCATCAGACATGGCATGTTGCGTGTCGAGAATTTCCTTATCAGGTGCGACAGGCGGACTCCGGCTCTGGCTTATGGGATGGCGACGTGGATGCACATGCTTCAAGCGTAGCATCCCCATACTCAGCTTGGCTCTGCACAGTGTACGGTATGGCTACTAGTTGTTGATTACTCTCCCTGTAGCGAGCGTGGCACCAATCCTGGTTCGCGTGTTATCCTCGTGGACATGGTCCCTGGCGCTAACGAGTGTCCGACAGGGATGGTTGCGAACATGATAGGTGAGTGCCAGTGACGCACTGTAGATCACAGCAACGGCGAGGCTATGGTTGGCACCAACGAGTGGAGATCATGTTCACCGTATACAGGGTTGTCATTGTGCGCTTGTCGGACTGACCGACCACAAATGCAAAGGTCAGGAGGTCATTGCCGTTGCTACTCTGCATTTTGGAATCCAAGACTGTGTCCATAAGATGCGACTCAATTGAACAAGATCATCTTTGGCTTCTTTCTGTCCTTTGGCGCCTCCTGCCTTGTCGGTTGGGGGGTCCCTGAACCAGCCTGACGTTCAAGGTCGATTTCCTCAAAGCCATCCTTGCAAAACTGCTCGAAAGACACACTTTCTTTGCTGCTGCCAGATGTCCGGTCCAATGTCGGAAGTACAGGAGGCGATTCAGGTACTTGGTCTTTCTGCATTGCGCCTGTGATATGATGCTCAAGGTCTTTCTCGCTCATATAAACAAAGACGGCAGTGAAAATGTAGGTGGCCAAACCAAGAAAGCCAATCACAAGGTACACTATTGCTGTCTACAATGTGTCAATAAACTATGCGGTTCCTGGCGCAATTACTCACCTTGTTCTTGTCGGACCAGGGTGATCGCCGAATGAAAGGAGCGCAGATATGCACGGTGAGAGCTGCGAGGAAAGTGACCCATGCGTAGGCCATGGTCATGGAAGGAAACTGCCAGATGAACAGCATTACCCAGTGTTGAAACGCGGGAGTACATTTGTATCGTAAAATGGTGCGCTGCAAGCGTATTACTTCGACGTCCGCAAGGCTGATATCAAGATCCTCCTTCGCAGGTAAGTCATCAAGAATCGACTTGGTCTGGATAGAAGAGATGATGGCCCAGATGGCACAGAGAAGACAGCTGACAAAGAGAGCACTGGCGATCCAGAGAGCATCTGAGGTCTTGGACCAGGGCATGCCGGCTAATGCAGCTCCAGCACAAAAGCTAGCCTTCGACAATCAGCAGCCGTTCGAGCAGAGGTCCGGTTAACTTACAGATACTTGTACTGAACGCAACTCCTCGTACTTTTCTACCTTCCACTGCCGTATGAGTGGGATCAGAACACTGCGGTCGCCACGTGCTGCGCGCATCTCCTTTAGCGGTCTCCATGTATACAACTTGAAGGTCCGACGGTAAGGCGCAGTAACAATCGCCAACAGCACGTGGAGGCAAATCTGGAACCAACAACGGTCTTCCGTCAGTATTGCTGCATCGTTAACCATGTTCATGTGTCCGGGGCTCCCAGACACACCACGTGAAGTCATGATCCTATATCGTAACTTCGTAAAGGTTCCCAGATGTGGCAGACTGCCTGCGCTGGGTGGCTGCGGTTGATCTGTATTGAGAGCTCAAGGCGGTGTCGAGATTGGTGGCTGGCATGATGGCTTGCATTGCTTGAACTTTGGCCGTGGGCGATTTGGTAGTGGCATCGTGTCGCGGTCAGGCCGCTAAGACATTGGTCAGTTGCAAGCCAAATGCCTTGTGATACATCAGTCACATGTATCGGTCCGTAACAAAGAAAACATGAATTGAAAGTCGAGGCAGGAGAAAAGGATTCTGGACCTGATCAATGTCAACTAGCACATCGAGGATAGCAACGAGTCCTAGCCTGTTCAAGGTGGTGTTTGCGCTGGCGACTTGGCGCTGCAAATGCGTGGAATTGCACTATAATTCCGTGACTTTCAGTCTTGCCGTGCAATGGTGTTCTGGCTAGGAGGACTGGACTCGTGAGGTACTCCGAAAAATTATGTAAGACTACTCCGCGTGCAGTCCGAGGCTGCCATCTGACACTGCATCGTGAGCTCTTAGGTAACACAACACCACAACTTCCGTCAACGGCTTTTACCACGCTTCAAACAACCATCCCTACCTTGAAAAATGACGTCAAACAAAGATTACACCATAATCGAAGGGTTGCCGACGCCTCGAGTGTACCATGACCTGCGAAAGCTTGCTGGCATGACGCCTCCGCCCCTTGAGGCTGTACCCAAAGCGCTGGAAAACTCCTTCGTCGCCATCCTCGCGTACGAAACCAAGAATGTGCTAGACGAGTCAACACCGGGCCCAGGTCAGGATCCAGTTGCGATGGGGCGCTTAGTCGGCGACAAGTCGCTCTTTCTCATTCTCTGCGATGTAGCAGTGCACCCAGAGCATCAACGGCGTGGGCTTGGGAAGCGCATCATGCAAGCGCTGGTCGATTACGTGGACGCACATGCTCCCCAAGCGTATGTCAGTCTGGTCGCAGAGCCGGCAGCACAAAAGATGTACCCTCAGTACGGGTTCAAGGATGTGCAGCCTAGCATTGGAATGTACAGGATGTTGAGAGACCGAAAGATCGAGGGAGAGGTTGCCAACGAAGGGTCATCTGGAGGACCAGACCTAAAGCTGTCGTGACACGAGATCTTGGTAGAGAACTTGTTGTATCCATTCATATCATAGAAGCGAACAGGCGCACTGGCGTGGGCGCAAATGAGAAGCATAGTGGGCGACAGCTACAGTGGCAGGTGCGCGTCACTGCCTTGGCGAGCCAGAGCTACCTACCTACCGGTAGGTACCGGTACGGTAGAGCTCGAGCTCCAAACCCATGAATTTCAACGCGGTCAATCGTACAATCATCAAGCACTCAGTTCTGTTGCATTCGCCCACAACCTTTCATGAAGCGCACGGCGCTGTAGCGAATGTACAGCATACGCGCGAGTGCCTTGTGCACGCCTAACGAGGCTTTGCTTACACCCCAGACCCCGCTTTGAGGCTTTGAGCTGCTCCGCCTTCGAATCCTCACCGTCTGCTTTTATACAACACCGTCATTTCGCCCAGGAATTCTCTTCATTTGCGTCAATTTTGCTTGCATCCGTCAGCTCCCTGTCTGTTCTCCCCGATTCCGCCAGCCGGTGACGGTTTATGGTCATATTCCAACTACTTCCAGGCATCGACGAGGCCCCCACGCTAAACCCGGTGTACTAGACTTGACGCCTTCGTTGTCAAGCTCAATTCGCACTGTTCAGCCTGGTATCGGTACCTGCCGATAAGGTGCTCCTCGCCACTGGTGCTACAAGGCAGGATGAGACGTTTGGAGCCTGAGTACCTGCATCTGCTGCACAGTCATCGCTGCTGCTTGCTTCAAACTGGTACGCGCTGAGTGCGCCTCTCCGACTAGTACAGGCCTTAGCAATAATTCTTCTAGCATAACGAACGGCCAGCTATGACTGTTCTCTGAACTCGCACTTCCACCGGTTCCAGGCAGTCGAATATGCCTAGCGCGTTCCGCCCTTTCCCCCAGGAATTAACGGGCCAACACTGCCACGCGTAACGATTCGCAGGCCTGGGAAACTGCCTTGACGTACTGCACAAACAGGCAGAAATTATCGTAGGAGGACGATGTGGCGAAAGAGTCAATAGTATGCTGCGCACTTGATGGCGGCCTCTGGCGTTTCTGCCTTCGGTATAAAGGTAACTTTTTGATTTCATCCACACTCACACATGGTCTATTACTCAAGAACCAGTCACCACGGTCAGAAGCGCGCATCGATACCGATATCTCACTCAACGTCTTCAAATTAACGAATCGATAACTCCCCTGAACGCCTTTAGACATTACAACAACATTCAACCATGTCTTCGTCTTCCAGCTCCTACTACCAGGACAAGGGTGCCTACGCTTCAAGGCCCTCCACTGGCTCGTGTAAGTTGAGACATCAACCTGGCGCCGCATCCTGACTCTAACATACAACAGCTTCCTCGTCAGCCAGCCACTACGCACAGTCCTCCTCCTCACGAAGGTATGGCAGCAAGCCGACAACCGTCGTTCACAATGGAGGAGGGCCTAAGTATGACCCTGCCAACTCGAGTTCTGCCGAGAACTCTGGGTACTACAAGTAGAAAACTTTCTTGTAACAGCAGCGTTGATTATGGCAGGAAGGGATGGATACAACTAGTGGTTTTGACGACTGCGGCGAGTCGTCTGGTCGACCATAGCGTGGTATGGAGTTACGGTTGGAATCTGGGCTAGAAACAGACAGGCTACATAGCCGGGATGAGAGGGGATTTCTTTCCTGTTTGAATCAGGATCGTTGCTGGACATCACCTCTTGTTTGATCAGTATTGGCGAGAATGACTGAGGCTCCTTCGACAGTTGAACCTCCACTCGGTATTTGGCGAAACGGTATTACATAAACCAATCGAAGTCACGTTATGACTCAAAGTGTGGTGCACCTAAGCTCCCTTGAACGAACATTCAAACTGATCGGCAGGCACACGCAAAGCAAGGGTCGTACAAGAAAAGGCCACGAACAAATTGATTGCATGCGCAGAGCATCCGGGGCGTGGCTAGCGCGTGTTTGACCATGACGTCTCCGGCTCCGCGGTACGCAGGGCAGCGCAGCCCAATTTAACATGACCTTTCACGCAACACGGCTTCTCGCCGCTCAATGCTCCCTCGATAACGGTGCAGCTCCACCGAGCTCCTCACAAACATGCTCAGCCTTTCCTTCTCGGCGACGCGCACCCAGATTACGTCGTACCTCTTCGGCGTTGCGCTGTTCAGCATTGCCTTCCTCGTGTTCCTCAACAGCAGCATCAGCTTTGTTATTACACAGCGTATTGGGCAAAGCAAGAATGTCGGAGGCGCAGTTGGAACCCTCGGATTCGTAGATGAACTGGTTGCGCTGGTCGCGTGTCCCGTCTGGGGGCTGCTCAGCGACAGAGTGGGAGTGAGAGCAGTTGCGGTCACAGGATACGTGATTGTAGGAGTCAGTCTGTGCGTGCTGGTGCAGGCCAAGAATGTCTATCCCCAGTTGCTGTTGGCTAGGGTGCTGTTTAGTCTGGGAGGAAGTGCGACGTGAGTCCTACCACTGTTTGAAGATGCTGAAACTGACATGCACAGCGCGACCATGGTCACTGCAATTCTGCCAACCATGACGGTCGTCAAAGAAGTCAAGCCAGATCCAAGAAGCCCTTCGGTCAGGCGTTTCGTCAATGGCAGCCGACATGCTGTCGCCGCCTCCATCTCGTCCGAACTCACCATCACGCCCGACCGCTTTCGATCGACCTCCCAGGAGCCGCCGGCGCCGACGAAGAAGGATGCAAGCGCTTCAACATCGCAGCTTGCAGGTCTAGTTGGCATGTTCACTGGCTGCGGTGCATTAGTGGCTCTGCTGGTCTTTCTGCCTCTACCCACGCGCTTCCAGCAGGCTGGCGAGAGCCCCGCTGCTGCCGTTGCGGCTGCCTTTTATGTCGTGGGCGCAATCGCTATCCTTGTAGCCATTGGCTGCTTCTTTGGTCTGCGCCAGCTACCCGGAGAGGACGAGAAGGGGTGGAGACGTCTCACGGGGAAAGGCGAACACAAGACTCCAGAGCGTGCGCGCGACCTCACTCTGGCATATCCTTCTCTCTTCCTCGAGAGCGTCCGCTTGGGCTTCACATCACCTTTGATCGGTCTAGGCTATGTTGGAGGATTTGTCGCACGCGCATCATCTGTCGCCATCTCGTTGTTCATCCCGCTCTTCACAAACCACTACTTCCTAAACATTGGCGAGTGCGCTGTCAATCCTGCGGATCCCTCAGACATCAAACACGCCTGTCCACAAGCCTATAAGCTCGCCGCGATGCTTACAGGCATCAGTCAGCTCATTGCCCTCCTCTGCGCACCAGTCTTCGGCTATCTCTCTGGCAAATACCCAAAATACAATATCCCCCTGCTCCTTGCAGCTGTGTCAGGCGTCGCAGGCTACACCATGTTCGGTTCGCTCGCGAGTCCAGACTACAAGAGCAAAGACGGCACCGGCGCCATCTTCATCATCGTCGCACTTCTGGGCATTAGCCAGATCGGCGCCATTGTCTGCTCCCTTGCTCTTCTTGGTCGTGGTATCAACAACGACGAAACTAACGCGAATGGCTCAGCGCTCGACTCGACGAACGGGAGCTACCAACCCCCTGCAGGCGCGACACCGCCCACGAGCCGACCTATTACACCGGTCCACGAGGAAGAGCCTCTGTTGCCGCAGAATCAGAGCTACATCACAAGCAGACCAGGCTCGCCTTCAGAAACCAAGTCGTACAACGATATGAAGGGTTCGATAGCTGGAACATACAGTCTGCTCGGCGGCTTTGGTATCCTGCTCCTTACGAAGGTTGGAGGCGCCCTGTTCGATAGTACAGGGCCTGGAAGCCCGTTTTATATGATGGCAGCCTTCAATGCAGTGTTGCTCATTGTCGGTGTGGTTGTGGGCGTCAAGCAAGGCCTTGGGCGGTAGAGGAAGCGCACATATGAAGCACACATGGAAATTATGAAATATAATGTTTGTACTTTCTAGTAATCTACGTAGGGCGTGCTGGAGATAGTACTGAAATGTACCCAATGTTTGCACGGCAACATATGCCTTGACGACACCTCCGCGTATAAACTTTCCTTCGAGTGAGCGAACACGATGCGATTGCATCAGCACAGGCACAAATTCGACGCTGCGCGCACGTACAGTAACGCCAACAGTGCCGCAATAGCCCCCGGGATACCCAAAGCAGCCGGATCGAGGCGAGCCACACGCATGTAAACATGTGGAGACCCCACACACGACCCCGCGGACTACACACGTCCGTTGCTCCCTCATTGGTTCTTCCCGACGCTCGGCACACCTTCTATCACCGAAAGGGTCATTCAACGACATCGTAGAGCCTCCCCGCTTGCTGTGTGACCCAGATGAGCTGAGCGACCCATTTGTAGTATTGTGGCTGCGGTCCTAAATGCAGCGAACGCATGGCACTTGCAGCACAGGTCATAAAGTATAAATGTCGACGACACCCAATCTTATACTCACAACTCACCACTCAAGCATACCATTGCATCGAGACCCCCAACTCTCGCGCTGGTTCTAACCTGCCGTGCTACCGGGACACTTACAACTCAGCTCTAGACGTAACCAAACAACAGCACCATGTCCTTCGACACCGAGGTCCTCATAATCGGCGCCGGCATGTCCGGTCTCGGACTCGCCGTCCAAATCGTGCGAAACTTCGGCATCAAAAACTTCGAGCTGGTGGAGAAATCAAACGACGTCGGCGGCACATGGCTCGCCAACACCTACCCCGGCTGTGGGTGTGATGTCGCATCCCACTTCTACTCATACAGCTTCGCGCTGAACCCGGACTGGAGCAGAAAGTACAGCATGCGCGAGGAGATTCAGCAGTACTTTAGAAATGTGAGCGATCGATTTGGGGTCACGGAACGAGTGAGGTTTCATTCGGTGGTGGAGAGCGCCCGGTGGGACGAGGCAGCCAAGGTGTGGATCGTGAACGTTTTGGATCTGCAGACAAAAGATAGGGTGGTTAGGAGGGCGAAGGTGCTCATCAGTGGAGTGGGGAGCTTGAGTGTGCCCAAGGAGTGTGATCTTCCCGGCAAAGAGGAGTTTAAGGGGAAGATGTTCCATTCGGCGACGTGGGATCACAGTTTCGACTGGGGGAACAAGGACGTCGTTGTCTTAGGTATGAAGAAGAACGATCGGCGAGGAAGCTTTCAAGCTGACAAATTCTCAGGGAACGGATGCTCTGCCACACAATTCGTCCCCATAATGTCCGGCGAGGTTGGCGACAAGCCGATGGTCCGTAAGATCAATCAATTCGCCCGCCAAGCGCAGTATCTCTCCGAACGCGAGAACCCCTACTACACACCTACCTTCAAAGCGGTTATGCGTTATGTTCCGTTAGCTATGCGCCTCTACCGGGCAAAGCACTATCACGACATGGAATCCGACTGGTCTGGCTTTCCCATCGACAGTGGCGCCGCGATTCGCTCTGGTTTGGCGAAAGAGAACGAAGCTTATGTGAAGCGCATGGCACCGAAGAAGTATTGGGACGCTCTGATACCCAAGGCCGAGATTGGGTGCAAAAGAAAGGTGCTCGATACTGAGTATCTGAAGTGTCTGTGGAGAGATAACGTCGATTTGATACCAGACGATCCGGTGCAGAAGATTACAGAGAAGGGCGTTGTGACGAGATCTGGGCGCGAGATCAAGGCGGATGCGATTGTGCTGGCGATTGGGTTCGCGACACAACAGATGCTGTGTCCGATGGAGATCACCGGGCGCGATGGGCTAAGGTTGAACGACTATGTGAGTAACTTGCATCGCATTCTTCACGACACATTCTGATCAAACACAGTGGGACAAGAGAACTCAAGGCGTAGCTCAAGCCTACTTCGGCACCGTCATCCCTCACTTCCCCAACTTCTTCGTCCTCATGGGCCCCAACACCGTAACCGGGCACCTGAGCGTCATCTACACTGTCGAGTGCCAGATCAACTTCACCCTTCGCTTACTCGCTCCCATCCTTAAATCCCTCCCGTCCTATCGCTCGCGCTCACTCATCCCCTCCCTCTCCGCGGCCCCAACAACAGTCGAGGTCCTCCCTTCAGCTGCCGCCCTCGATTTCGAATGGACGCAGCGCGAAGCCAAGAAGCTCGTCTGGGCGTCCGGATGCACGAATTGGGCCATTGATCCCAAGACGGGGCTGAACAACATGATGTATCCTGATTGGCAGTTTATGTTTTGGTGGAGGAGCGTGTTTTGGCAAAAGCAGGATTTCGTGTTCAAGGATGAGAAGGCGAGAGAGGTGCAGCCGGGGAGAGCGAGGAAGTGGCTTCTCAGAGTTCTGACGGCGGGTGCGTTGGTCGGCGTGTTCGTCGGGAAGGACTGGTTGAGAGAGGAGCTACCGAGGCAATTGAGGGATTTTGATGCGAGGGAGTTGGTGAGGAGTTTGACTGCTGGGAGAGTGTAAGAGTAGCGAAACACAAGACAGCTCGTGTCAAAAGATGGTACCAAGCATTGGAACTAGCTCATTGAGTATTGTAGATTTGAAGTTTTCTTATGAATGATGAGGAGGTTGGGTACGATCACACGATGGAGTGAAGTGAGGCATCGGCTCTGCTGATGTCAAGTTTATGCTTTGTCGAAGTACACCTAGTATGTCACTTACATCTGTGCTTGCCTGCAACCACGGCTTCACAACGGCATTGTACAATCAGAGCGATGTTCCGAACCAGATTATTGACCTCAGATGTTACGCGACCTCGCCAGTTGGTGCCTGGTGAGCTCAAAGAACCATGTGTGAACATCGTTTGTCCGGTTCGGCCGAGCTTTCACCTCTCTTCACTTCAACTCCGCCTTGTCTTCCAGCCCCCTCTATTACAAAATTTCTGACGGCGCAGCTTCGCCTGCTCTTACTCTTCGTATTTTGAAAGTCCTATTCTCCCTTGTCTACCCATCCCCGCAAACCTGAACGACGCAACGCCGCTACGAGCGGCCTGCGAAACCCACCAAGGCAACAAGCAACTTCACAATCGCGTCAGCAAGGATGTATAATACTGCAAGATCAGGTGTACTTCCACTATTCAGCCCCGCTGCTACACAAGCCGCCGTAGAAGCTTCGACCGAGTCCTTCCCAGCCGACTACATCACCAACATCATCCTCGAGATCAGCGGCTACCTTGTCTCTCTCGTTGAGCAGACCGCACTGTTTGGTAGACCTTCAAACGATCATTACAGTCCCAGCTTAGGCACTCTCCACGCTCGCCTTCACGGCGGCCAACTCAACCCAAGTCCCATTCAGTCCCACGCCAACGAAACTGCGCGTATCAAGGCCACCCTAGGTCAGCATACGACCACGGATGTTACTCAACGTCCATTGGAGGACTTTGAAGACCTCTACTATGCAGTTCTCGCTCGTATGCAAGACATTCACCAAATTCTGAACGCACGTCTCGGCAGTGGCTTCAGCACTTTCACTGACGCTGTCTACCCAGACGGCCCAAGCATAGCCGACTTGTACGTCAGCCTCGCGCAGTACTGGGATGCTCTCAACCACAACAAATTTGTCAAGGCCATCGACTGCGCAGTTCGTCGCTCTCGTGTCAAGTATCTTCACCAAGAGATTATCGCACAAGTGCATAACGACGAGATCACACACTCAGATGCAGAGGAGCTACTGAACGATCTCTACGATCCAAAAGATTACAACGGCATTCAAGGACTGGCTTGGGTAAGCGGGTGGGCGCCGAGCATGGTCGCTGCCTGGCTGCAAGAGAAGTACCGTATCGTCTTGAAGATCGAGAAGGAAGATGCAGATAGCAAGAGCCGGATGGAAAGGAGGCGAGCCAGGATGGGAAGGAAGTTCAAACAGCCACAGCATGAGTTGAGGTCGAAGAAGGAGGTCAAGAAAGTAGTCGAAGGGATGGATATGGCAGGCGGCGAAGTAAAGAAGGTCGTGCCAGTCGCGGAACAACAGGAAGAGCAGGCTATTTCAGGCCACCAAGACCCCCAAGATCAACTACTGCAGTATGCGCTCGAATGGCAGATCAAGACTCAGCGTGTCTCCGAGTACAGTCAGTACCTGAGAAGCATGGCCAGTCGCAACGCTAGGTACCTTGTCGAAAGTACGACTTCCAGCAACGACATGCGTATGGGAAATTCCAATGGTGCGGTCCAGTACGACGACAACGAAGATACGAACATGGCGGGCAGGGTCTTCTGGATGCGTTAGCACACAGTGAAAGATATTGACGGTGACATGGACGATTAGAAAGATAGTGCACATTGGCCTCGCACCGCTAAGCATGGAAGCTGCTGGCGCGATGTGAAGCACACGGATGATGCCAACAAGGTACTCGAAAACGATTAGCAGCGCATTAAGTCTCGCATCACTACGCGACAAGTAGGAGGCGCTCACGAAGTAAAAAAAGAACATAGAACATAGAACAATCAATCCTCAAAATCAATCATATACTCCGGATCCACCTCGATGAACATATCCTCTTTGAGTGCGCCCCTTGGACTCGGTGCCACAAACACGGGGACACGCCAAACACCCCTGTTCCACTGCTCGAGTACCTCGCCGTCCAGTCCACTGCACCCACGCAAGTTCAGCTCCTGTAGCACAAACGAGATTAGCTCGATCCGCTTATCGTGTGTGACGGTGCACCGACGATCATCCTCGGGCCTCAGAAGGACATTGTTTCAAGCTAAAGTAACATACCTGCAATCTCTCCATCTTGCTTATTGCCCCCACCGCGGTCTCGTTGACGTGTACGTTTCCACAGTCCGTGAGGCTGAGATGGTGTAGCATGCGCAGATTCTCGGAGGACCAGAGCGTGCTGGTCAGCATATCGCAACTGCACAGCGTCAAGCCCCTGAGCCGCCCAGCCCCAGTGATCAATTCCTGGAGCTGACCGGTGGTGATTTCGGCGTTTGCGATGGCAAGGACGTTGACGCTGGCTATGAAGCCCGGATTGGAGGCAAGAATGGACCATGCTTCGACCTCTTCTTTTCGCTGCAGTGTCGTGTGCGCGCGCGGTATGGCCTGGTGAGTCTCGATACGGATGCTGAGTTCTCGCAGTGCTGGAAGCTTTATGATGGCCTTTGCTATAGGCTTCGAAAGTCGCCATATGGTGAGATCGAGCTTCTGAAGCGCGCACGCATGGCGTGTCAATATGCTGGCAATGATTTTGTCGTGGAATTTGATTAAGGTCGAATAGTCAAACTCCCATGCCCGCGGTATCCGGATTACGGCGTTCAGAGCGTGTTTCGGCTTATGAGAGGTCGCAAGTAGCTTGCTGTGCCATGACTTTCGGTGAGATGGGTGGATAGCGAGGGAGAGGCTTGTGAGATTCGAGTGGGCTAGGTTGCGGGCGTATTGGGATGTTTGTGCGAACCGAAGGAGCGGCGTTACAGGCAGCGCCTCAAGGATCTTCAGCAGGATCTCCGGTGGAAGGTAGAATAATTTTGTGGTCATCTTGAAGACTAGATGTCAAAGGAGCGGTGTTGTGTCCAGGATAGACTTCAGTAAACTGTAGTGAGATAGGGCGACCTGACCTTGTTTGCGAGAAGGACGCGATGGGAGGCTGACAGAGTCTTATGAGACATCCTTTAACAGGAAAACTTGACCACAATTGAGGACTACGCGGTGATTTTTCAAGCGGCGTGGTTGTGCTAGTCCTGGACTCTCCACAAATACATGTGATGTGCCCGACAAATCCATCTCCCCGCACTCTGAGACATCCTCCAGCCCCAGCAAGAGGTACATATGGCGCAAGGCTCGATAGAAGGCGCAGTGCTTTTTCTAAAAGCTGCTGCCCAGTGCATATGCCAACAACATATCCGAGGACGCAGGTAAGCGACATGATTTCGAAGGATTTATGTAAGGGGCGACCAAGAGAGAATACCTAATGGTGTATTTGCCGAATGAGAATCCTTCAATCCTTCGCGGTATTGCGACTACAGGTGCTCAATTTCGATAATGATCGCTTGTTCCTCGCCTATAGTGGAGGGCTTTCGTAAGCAGCCTTTTGTCGACTGTCACGCTGACTGATCATAATGCGCGCGCATGAGACGACCACCTGGCGCCTAGTACGCGGCATCCTAGGTGCTCGCACCACCGCAACATTCGACTCTGGATCACAAAACTATCCATCTTCGTTTTTGACGCTGTCGCAGCGCTGCTCGAAAGTCTGGTTCGTGAATCGTTCGGCGCGCCCTTCGTCACTGCGGCGCGATGAGGACGATCTGGCGGAAGGCTCGTCCCGCCACATCAACCGTTACAGGCAGGGATGCATATATTTGGAAAAGGGCTGACACGGAACATGTCATAAGAAGGAAACATGATGCGCGAACATGCACAGGGCGCGTGCAGGTATGAGACATGTGGAGGAAGAATGTGGTGCAAGAGAACAAACATGTGGGAGTACTCCGAGCCCCACGCCGAGCCCCATCATCGAGTGAGGCCCTGTTTCTTTTGCTGTTCCGACTCTTGCAACCGCAACAATGTCACTGCCTAGCATTAATGCGTAAGCAATACTGAGATCTGAGACGTGGCCAAAGGTGACACGCTCGGTCATGAACATGGTGGTGCAGTGTTTTTTCCTGTATGCAGCTTAAACGCTGCTAAAAACAGACAGAAATGAGCGACAAGAGTCTAGAAAGACAACAAGGCACTTGTGGCTTCAGAACATTGCCGTAACTTGCCACAGAAGGCAGGCGCAAGTATACTGGTACTCGAGGCGCTACAAGACATGAATCAACTTACCATTCGAGGAGCTGAGAGGGCAATAGGTACTTACGATCTCACTGTATACCTACGCCAAGTTCACGAGAGAGCCCACGACAAACCATCGCTTACCAACATTGAACTACATTGCCGGTTATCAATACACTGGCAGGATCTAGAGCATACGATCAGCATTAACTTGCTCAGTGCATGACAAAGATTACCTGTCAGCCAGAACGCACTATCCACAACGATCTGGCAGACAACACGAACACCAGTCTCGTCCAAGCGTGCGCCTGTCATACCTACCTGACTTCCTGATCCCAGTATCGGGGTGATGGCTAGGACAAGAGAGGTTATCAAGAGGATCGGAAACAGCGGACAATGGAGCTGTGATGACAGTACCCACTGGTCCAGGTCGAAGACACCTGGTTTCAGATCGGCATTCCCGAGGATGGAGTTCACGAGGCCGTCGATGGCAATGACATGCACTCGACATCCTCGTATCGTTCATCTACGTATGACAAGATCTATCCCGAGCTGGCGCCGAAGCATGCTGCATCCGCTCTCGCCGTAACCGACGACTTCCGGACTGTCGAAACATGCTCGACACGTTGTACATGCACGACCAAGGAGATGATGCACGGACATTGCCTTGCTGTTCTGCTCACTAACCTCACGCCAAGGGGGAAAGGCCCAGCCCCGCGATTGGAAGTCATTCAGATCCTCGAGTTCCAAGACCCTGCGGCTGCCAGAACCTGGGGCCGCCACGAGGCTGTGGCGCCTGAACTGTTAGGCGAGGCCGAAGAGAACTTGTCTCCGGGAAGTGAGCGCGAGTCCAGCCGCTGGCGGCTCAAGATGCAGGACTCCTTGAGAACTCGATTGCAACAACTGCCGACGGTGATACTCGCGGCGACGGGGAGGAGCGGCAGTGTCAGTGGCGTCAGCAGGGAACTGAAGGATCCGGCAAGGCTGGCACATGGCACATGCTGGCAGTGAAGAGATGTCCGTCACTCACGGAGTTAGCGATGTCTCAGTTGTTCATTTTTTGTTCTTATAATCAAACCGATACGTGCACAGAATCCTACCGAGGATATCTCCGTGCGGTTCTGGTTGCAGCAATTCTCAAGTCGAATCGCGCTGGCCCTAGCAGCCCTAGAGGCACGCGCCTCGACGTATCAACAATTGGCGATTCAGTCTCGTGCATGTCCAATGAACAAGGATCGGGGGATCTGCCAGTCAATGACAAGCCTTGCCATCCGGCGATTCATTCCACAGGAACAGCACTGCCTCCTTCGCTGCCCTGAGCTCATCTCTTTGTGGAGGCCAGTTCCCCACCAGCATCGCCAAGCACGGATGCTGCGAAAAGCCAATCATAGTGACATTCGCACAAGCCTTGCAACGAGGTTCGTCTTGCGCACAGATCGCAAATGCTTAGCCTACCGAAGGAGGGCCGACCTAATCATCTACCAAACGGGAACCGCACGAGCAACCGCACACGAAGAAGAAGAGTTCGTAGCCGTAAAGGTGCCTAAAGCCATCGACACAAAGCCATTTCCTTGTCTGCGTAAAGTTCCGCGCCCGCCACGGCTCAGTGAAACGGTCGTCTTGCGATCCGGAATGGACTTGCGTTAATCTCTGATTGGTCGCTACGAAGTATCGGATCACTCTTACCCGTGAAGGATCCCGCGCCACAGAGAATTTGCGTGAATGACATGGTGCATGCAAGAGCAAATTGGAACATCCTCAAGAGATGCATCAACTGCTCAGTCGAGGAGATTCCAAGGCGCCATGAGCTTTTAGCCGCTCGGACACGAACGTTGCGAGATTAGTTGCGTGATCTATTGCCTGACCTATAGCATGATCGTCTCATCCAAACGGAGCCGTTGTTGCGTCAAGCGTTTCTTTGTATCGGAGACCCTACCGACGTCTGATTGAACTGCCGAACGTACGATTCTGCCTCGTCGCCAGCCATCGAAACAACCAAGATTATCCAAGAATGCACAAAAACTCTAGTCGTCACGGAACGCGCAGGTCTGACACAAAGCCGCGCGTGGTTGAGCTGTCAAAGTTGCGGTTGACAGGGTGTGTGGATATCCCAATTCAAACTTATCCAGGATGATCCCACATGGCGTCTCCGCAAACGTCACGACCGATACCACTGTAGTGCCAAAAGTCTGAGATGCCGGTACTGATACCCTAGCATATCGAACTGCACATACCTAGTCTAAGGCTCAACAGCACTACAACCACGCAGTGACCAAGCTGTAACCAGGCAGCGCCTCTTAAGAAGTATCTGAGCGTCTTGATTTAAACCCATTCTAGAAGGCAACTACCAAAAAGCGATGTAGCAACGTCGCAAAGTACTGTAGGCGGAAAATAACTCGCTCTAGCAAGGAGGATCGAGGCATCAGCATCCTAGACATATGGGACTACAGTGGTACACTACCGTTGTTTGGTACCTCCTACATAGGTACTCAAGGAGCGTTTGGTTCCCGCTGGAATCCGACCTAAGCCTTTCTATTATCGTCAACGTCAGCGACGTGAGAACCAGGACTAAGAGTCTGTCAGTAGTAATAACTGCCCAGTTCTGAGTTCGCTGCGATGCCAATGCGACAAAACAAGGAACCCACTATTCGGAATGGTCCGAGACTCGCACCCCGTCATCTGCACCAGATCCCATTGGTTCTGACGCTGCTCCCGCCTAGGTCGCTTGGCTCGCGAACATGGCACTATGCTGAATGCAACCGGTGTTGCAAGATTGCAAGACACATGAATTATGACAATTGGCGGGATCGCAACATCGCGATCCCGGCCAGATGGTATCAGACGCAGCTAAAGTCAAACCACTGAATCCTTGGAGGCTCTAGCAGCCGCGAGAGGAGATCTAAAATCGACAGCATCAGGGCACTGGGGCAGCACGGCGTTTGAAGGCGTTTGACACCGGTCCGATTAACACTTCTCACGTCCATAAGCTTCTGCCGGGATACGCGTTCCAGAAGGATGCACTCGCGGAAAAAACCTCCTGGAGGGACGGCGCGATAGTCGCCACACCGCTGAGGATCGACAAGTACGGCACGTGAGGAGCTAACGCGCTTGCGAGTCGCGAGTCGCAAGACCTTTACGAGCTGCGTGAGTTTCCACATTCGGTGAAGCGTGGAGGGCCGTGTTCAAATGTCATGCATTGCATGGGCTACATTGCGGTTCGCTGTTGTAGCGAGGGCGGAAAGCCACGAAATCAGAAAAGGAATATCCGACTACCCGCAGATGCGAACGACCATGATTGCGAGAGTGATGGTGTAAGCACCCGAGCGCGCGGTAATCTCAGCCTTCCCGCGCGAAAGCGAAGCTCTCGTTGGTAGTCTAAGCGGATATGTATTCCGTCAGTAGTCCTTCGCGCATTAAAAGGCCAATCAAACACACATCATTCCGCATTCAGCGAGGCCGTGCCAACCCCAGCATCTCACACCTGCCCATGCTTGTTCAAGAATGGAATGCGACTTCCATAATACTGCAGTCCACATGGGACACCCCGTTTGTCAACGATCCTTCGCGCATCAAGATATCAAGTCGGAGGGCAAGTGTTGCGAATGAACGGCGACATTGTAGCGCTCTGAACCTTAACTCGAGACATCCAGCATGAGGCGGGCCGACCCCCCAAAGATGAAGCGTAGCCAACGACGGTCCCCCCGAACCCAAATGCATCAAAACGTTCGCCGGGATGTTTGGCGTAGGACCCGTAACAGGAAGCTTGTCGCACTGCCCTAGACGAAGAATTACTAGTAAGCTCTGGGCAAGGGGTCAGATTGGCAAACGATTGCATGACAGGTCCTGGCGGGTGGCCGTTGTACGGCGATTTGCATGATACTGCAGATGGTGCATCCATGTTTCATCACGCAGGTTGTGTTTGGGAATTTGTTCAACGCAGAATGGTGGTAGCGGTCATAGAGCTACGAGCAATATGTGTGCACTTTGCGAAGTCATCACGATTGCATGCACTGAGTGCAGGCTTTATCCTTTGCATGCAGTCTTCTTCGCCGTGCGCTACCTCTTGGGAGTAGGCTGTGCGCCTCACTCTCAGCCGTGCAGTCTAGGTACATATAGTGCGCGTATCTTGGAGTCGACGTCGATGCTCGGGGCGTGCGGAAGACCAGGATTCGCGATCGAATGCAGATTGTATCCTTCCTTGGCCATAGCAGCTACCCAAGAACTACAAGCATCACTTCAGATCAACTCGTGTTTGCAAGCGTCGTTATTCCCACCCGTTGCACTACCCTCACCACAGACATGGATCCGTAAGCTGTAAAGTCGCGACCTAGTCTGTGCAACCGATGCTCAATGTGCCTAAACATGGAACGTCCCTGGCAGGCTTCTCTTGGTCTGGTGATCCGGAATGAGCACCAGCCTTGCGACATGCAGGGCCCGTGTGTGAGCCGTACCCTTTGACGATCTTACATTCACCATGTGAAATAGTTCGAACGCTAGTTGCTTCCCCACGTAAACTGGAAAGTAATATCGCCCTACCACATGTCCGTCATTTGCACCGTGCGACCGTTTTTTGAGTGTTGACAATATGCCAAATTTGGTGGAATCTAGCTGCGAATCCGAGCCGTTACGTTTGTAATTCATTCAATGTATAGTAAATCTATTGATCTGCCTGGGCGCTTTGATGCGCCAAATAGTTGCAGCCATGTGGTGGTATTTCGCTAGCTGTAATCTGCAAAATCGATCTTCAACCGACAATTGCTCCTGACAGGGCGCAACTAAACTCCCAACTCCTGGTGGCAGCGGAACAACTATGTCCGCAATGGCGCGTCTAAAAACGCTGTGCTCAAATGCTGCAAGTGGAACCATTGTCCAACGCCGAGAATATGCTTAGTGTCACAGATCCGCGAAGTGCTCCTCATGAATCATCAGAACCCTGGCGGATTTCGCCTATTGAATCCTGAGGATTCAGATGGGATTCTGTGAATGCGAGGTGCGGTCTTCGGAAGCCTGGCTCTTACGAGACTGTGGTCGTGATTGGTTGGAGTTGGCTGGACAGGATTCCGGCTGCTGTGCCACACAACTTAAAATTTTGTGTTACCGAGCGACGTCCAGCCGGGTATTGATGTCCGCCGTCCATGCCTATTGCTTGAACATCATCGCAGGATCCACTGGGAAACCCTGAACATTGAACCGGTGGTCGTAAGCGGTAGGATTTACACCGATGTTGTGTGATTGTAGGTGGGTATGTTGAGGCAGGGTCGTAGGGAGCTGAGCAGAGGGATGGCCAACAATCTGCGCGCGCGCTTGTGACATAGATGGTTCGTATGGCCCTGGCGTCGCCGAGTTGCTCCTAGGCGCAGACCCAGAGGAATGCGATGTGCTGTGAGTAGAATCATAGATAGACATGTCTTCAATATGGGAGCTGGGAGCTGGAACCATGGGCTGCTGAGACGTACTGAACGGCAGCTGGGCCCCACTCTGTGTCGCTAGCCTGCGAATCAACTCAGTCGATGGGTACGGTGGTGATATGACAGAAGGAAGAGCTGAGTACTCGTCGCCGGCATTTGAAGGCACCATACCACCACTGAGACCAATCGAGGAGGTAGGGAGCGTTTGGGGCAGATTCAGGGACCGGGGAAGGGGCAGGTTGGGCAGTACCTCCTGCAGCTTGGCGAGTAGCAGTGGCAGATACCGGGATTGGCCACCGCGCAGCGTCTGAATGAGCGTCAAGAAGCGAGAGACATAATCTCGTGGGCCCAGAGCAAAAGCGTCTGGCGAGAACGACGTGCAAGCAACCACGTCAGTCAGGCAGCAAGCGATATCGAACAGCTTTTCGATCTGCAGTTGTGTTAGCCCAAAACTCGTATTGAAAGCGTGTCAAGCTCGAAACGGTAAAGAGTTGCTAAGTGCGTGTGCATGGACGGACCAGGAAGGTGTAGACTAGTGGACCAAGGAGCGGACGTCAGAGATTGACGTTGAAAAGGTCCGTGCTGATGCACCTTGTAACAGGGATGGCACAATCGGAACGGGCAGGGGTCTGAATGTGCAGAAGGAATGGAATGGAGCAAAGTGTGAGGTGGAATCTGTAGTGGCACTCACCAGTCCAACGCCGTGTACCTCCATGGCCGGTTGCGAAAATTGGTGTGTCATGGTCAGAAGATCTCTCGAAATTTGAATCGGAAATTTGAAGGTCATGGAAGTGTCCTGGCTCACGCTGGCCACGACCCCATGATTGAGGCACAGTTGCCAGACCATTGCTCGCAACCATTGCTGAGTAACGCGGATCTCAACGGCCTGTGCTTCAGTGCACTCGAGATACGCGGGAACTGCCTCGGAGAGCTGCGTCTGCAGTTGTGCCATCCACTGAGGATTGGTGTGGCCGTGTACTCGGTTCCAGAGGTTAACAAATGTGTCGTCGATGGTTTTGTAAAGATTGATCATCAGCTCAAGGCCGACAGCGACTGGTCGATCTGAAGGCACATCGTCTAAAGTAGGGAGGTGGATAGACGGGTGCAGAGTAATTGGCCGGCGCTTGTGAATGGCATGTGTCCTGGAATCGGGGTCAGCTGCGACTCGTGCTTGTCGGAGGCAATGGTACCTTTCAGCCATGAAGAGCAGCCAGTAAAGGACTCGTTTGCGTGAACTATCAAGCGGGTCGTGCTTGTATGTCTCCTCATCATGCATGCCGAGAAGCTGTGCTTGTGTTGTGGCTTCGCGGAGATACGTCCATGCTGTGTTCTCCTTGGCCAATCCGAAGTAGCAACCATGGTATAGCCATGACGTGAGAACGGTGAAAGGTGTAGGGTTCTCGCGATAGTCATATCCTCTCCGTACGCGAACGGATTCTTCCAGGAGGATATGACCGAATTGAACGTTGTTCATTTGAGCCATCTCATGACGTTCGAGAAGATTAGGCTGGATCTCCATGTTTGCATGGATTATAACGTATGCACACAGGGCGACGATCATGGAGTAGGCTTCGATGGAACGGTCCATGTTGACAACAGCTTCCTGCGCCCTCCGTCGGTTGAGGACGGGCTGTGAAGGATAGACATTGATGAAGAAGAACTCCATACAGCTCTCGACAAGGGCGAGCGGCAGAAGGCCTGGTGTCCGAACATTCTGTGAAGATAGCGGCCGTCCATCGTGACCAAGCTCTTGTGGAAAGCCAGAAGCTAGCTGTGCATTTCGTTGATTCTCACGTAGTTCTGAAAGGACTTTGGCGCGGCTACCCTTGGGTCCCTTTTTCTGTGGGATAGCATTATATGTGCAGGCCAGGCCTGCAGAGACACAGTTCTTGCACGGGCTGGTACCCTCTCCTATGCACTTGACTTTCCTTCGATGGCAGCTACAGCAGGGTTAGTCGTGGTCTACGATGGTGACAGCATCGTACACACCTGTCGCAGGCGCGCTTGACGGGGGCTATGGTGGTGGTGGTGGAGGCCATGGTGTTGTCGAGGGCTAGTGGACGAAGAGTCGTCCTCGGCGTGGGTGTAGTTTGGTGGGTGGGCGGGTCCAATGGGACTATGTATGTTCAGTACGTTGCTCTGTGGTCCGGGGAGATGTTTTCGCATGGTCCTTGTGTCATCATACTGGAGAGATTCAGAGAGCGCCCATTCGCACCCGATTGAACCAGGACAACAGAACGACCAAGCGTCAAAGCCGCATGTAATAGACCTTGCGCTAGTGACTACCGCTGCGTTGCAGGGATGGGGCTTGTTGTACGCGAGTCCAATGGCAGGCGATGGAGGTCGATCCGAGACCCCCTGGGACCAGCGCCGGGGACAGGATGTATCTGCAGGGTAGGTCAAACGCTTTCCACCCGCTTGCCAGAAAGCGAGCTTGGGCGGTCTGCTGGGCTGGAACAGCCTGACGACGACTCCCAGGCTGACCGCTCGGTTTGAGTAATGGTCAAGGATGGCAAGGATGGCACGGCGGTTCCTTCCAGCGCTGCGGGAGCTCTGCTAATGGCTCCGATAATCTCCCGCACTGCTGGCAGCAACCCAGTGGGCAGGGAAGTCGAAGCGCTTTTGGCAGGTTAACCGCGAGAGCGCAGCCCAGCCTGACTGCCCAGTGCGCGCCCTCGCATGCAGTTTTCGTGCATTTTGCGGGCGCTTTGTTGTCGACTGCCTGGGCAGCAAAGTCGAGGGCGGGCAGCACACTTCGGCTCTGCTGCCGTCTGATTCATCGCTCCTCGATCTACCTTGCGGACACTTCACATAGTTCTGCCGCCAACGCACCACTCGCTTCCCAGGGTCCTCCCCATATTGTCGCTGCCCTGAACTGGCAGTTGGCCGTGGTTGCAATCCTAGGTAATCGCCGGACAGTGTGTTTCGCTATGTCGTCATTGTTGCTGGTGCGTGTTCCCATAGACCTATGCAGCAGGCAAGGTAAAAGGGCGCAGAGCGCAGCAGGACTTCCTTCTCCTTCGAGAGGAGTGCGGTAGGCGCGAGGCTCAGTCCCTTCGTGGGTGCATCTGGGTGGTCAGGATGTGACCTTGAGCGGCGGTGCGAGGTGATTGCATCATACGCCGCCTTTTCCGTCACGGGGTCCTGCAGTTGTTGCATTGTGGTTTTATGGCAGACATCGAGTTTCGAGGTATCTGAGGTGCTGAGCTGCTACTCCACACCATCAGCACAGCGACATACTGCTTATATCTTCTTGACGTCCTCCTAAAGGCCCTTTTGCGGACTCATCCGCCGGCTGGAGGCACCCAGGGTCCCGAGATGCTGCCGATAACGACGAACATGATGGCGACGCGGTGTTGAGCAGTCGAATAAGAGTGGTCCGGAAAGTGTTCCTGAGTGAGGTGTCACGCCATGTCTAGGCCTTACGCGCCACATATCACAAAGCGGGAGGGCTGTTAAACAGAAGCTACCACTACTGCAGCATATGCGAGGCGACAAAGTACGCCGCTGGGAGACGTACAGTATATCTGTGGTGTCGCAACTTGAGAATCAGGGCGGTGGGTGAATGTACACAGTGATGTGCTTGAGTAGTGCGTGCCACATCCTTCGTCTAACTTGAAGTTGAAGATCACAGGGATCAGCTCCGCGGAACGCCCATCGGTGAACATGGGATATTTATACACCATACTGAAAGTATCTACGTTGGGGAACTCCCATGCTAATGGTCCACCTGTTCATACTCCGTGTGATAAGGGACGCCTTGAAATGCACAAAAATACCTCCATGCAACGCTCTGGTTTAATTATCAACGTCAACATCAACATGACATCAAGAGAACTCTACTCGGCTCCCACCCGACCTAGCTTGTTTCGCTTGAGCCCTCTCGGCCCTTCTTCGCCTTCTGTTTGAGTCATAGTTGCTGACGTCTGTCTCCGTACCGTATACTTGGGTGCCCTGAGGGCTGCTCAAGATGCTAGCATCCGCAGGGATTGGTGGAGGTGGGGGTAGGTTCATGTGCGTTGGCGGCCTCTGGTTGTTACTACCGAAGTTTGGAGGAGGGCCGGGCGGAGGTGGTGGGATGTAAGGCTCTGGCATCTGTAGAGGCGCCCCAGATTGCGGTGGGAGAGGCAATCCTTGCGCCTGTACCATCTCTGCCGCCTGCTGTGCCTCAAGAGCCTCGGTTCTACGCCATCGATCTCCGTCGAGTTGACTCAAGGAGGACATGCTCCCATTGCGGTTTCTCCGTTGTCGTTCCCGTCTCCGGGCGTCCCGTTCTGCTGCCGCCTCTTCCTCATTCAGACGGCGAAGTGTGACATGTCGACCGTCATTGTGCATCTTGACCTTCACTGATACAGGAGGAGAGACAACGCTCTCATCCCGACTGTTCCTGCGTCTTGATGGCGACCCAGATGAGGCTGCTGCAGCCGCTGCGCCGCCAGCGAGAGCGGCAGCGCCTGCAGAGCTGCGGTGACGACGATGCGAACGACCACCAGGAGACATGTAAGCCTCAGAGCCAGAGTCAGACAGAACGGTGTTATCAGCGGGACGTAGAACAGATGGACCGGCAGATGATGTCATGGGTGGCATTGGGGGTGGAACACCACCGTGGGGCCTTGCCACAGAGGGCGTTATGCCGGAGATCTCGGTCTCAGAATAGACGGTTGATGGAGGGCCATTGTGTCTCCGAGGCGGTGCACCATCACCAGTGAATCGTCTGCGGTTGCTGTTTGCACGGGCCATCTTCTCCTCCTCGATGTCTTGTTGCTTCATCTCCTCAATGCGAGCGTCTTCTTTCCTGTTCTTGCGCTTGTTCCACGTGTGCTTAAGAAATCCAATCGCTCCAAGGGTCATGATGCCATCCTTAACCCCGTATGACGATTCCTCTCTTAGGGGATGGGAGTCTGGGTGGTCGTTGAAGCTAGTACGGCTGTCGAATGAGTCGATAGATCCACCGCTTCTTGCTGGACGGTGGCCGCGCATGGGGCTTGCGCCCATGGCAGCTGCCTGAGCTGCTTCCCTTTCTTCGACACGGCGCCAGTCTTGATTCCTTGCTGGTGAGTCAGGCGCTCTTCCTTCCTCCAGGCGACTCAGATCGGTCTGAGTAACTTCAGATTGACCCAATGGGCGGCCGTAGCTAATGTCGCTGCCAGTCGATGTTTCGGTGTAGGCCCGCCTGTTGTCCTTCTTCTTGCCGAAAAGAGACTTTATAGCAAAAGTGCCTCCTACGGCGGCTCCAGCACCGAGAAGTTTGTCCTTCCAAGAAGAGCCCTTGCGCTTGTCATTGTACTTTTCATCGCTTAGATATGACTCGGTGAACTGCGATTGGGTCACTCGCGAACGTGAGTCGGGGCGGGAGCTCAACACTGTGGTATCATCACCACGGCGTCGGCTTCGACTGCGGCTGTGCGATCTGTTTCTTGATGCCAGTGCCGCAAGTCCAGCACCTGCTGCGCCTGCGGTCGCGAGAGCTCCAAGGCCACGACCACCGCGACTTCTTCGGCTCCTGGTGCTAGCAGTGCGTTCGGTGATGTAGGTCGTATTGTCATCAAATCCCATCTCAGGTTGGTTTCTGTAGGAAAGCACGAAGTAGACGATCAGAAGCAAGAACGCCCAGACTGCAAACAGAATAAATAGCACCTTGGGGGAACCATAGAGCGTCAGTCCGAGTGGGATTTGCGCAATACCAAGGAGGAGTACGATGCGACCGATCCATTGGTGTAGCTGTACAAGTCAGTAGAAGTAAGCAATTAGACACAATACATAGACGTACGATAAGCTTCAGTGGTATCTTGAAGCGCTCCTTGCCTTTCTCAAGGCGATGTATAATAGACCCTCCCAAGACCTGTACAACTACAAGAGCATACAGAGCTACACCAATGCCATGATGTGGGTTCGTCAAGGATCTCTCGAGGCCAACAGCTTGAAACCCAAGCACGATAAGCGCGGTCGCAAGCAGTAGCGTCACGATCTGGAGCCAGATGTGTACGCGCAGGGCGAGTCGTGGGTTACGGTGATAGAATCGAGCCATGAAGACGGCTCCTGGTACGACGAAGAGGAAGGTGATGGCGGCAAGAACACCGTGGGCAGTGACGAGGGGCTTGTAGCCAGCCATGTTGCGAAAGCGATTGCCCATGCCTGAGTAAGTCAGCAACGTCTCTCCAGCCTTCTGCCTGATACACTTACCATTGTAGCGCATGGTGTCGAAGTTGATACCCATCAGGTTGGGCAGCAGGAAGGTGTTGCGCTCTGAATCCCATGTTCCGTCACCGACATACATGGAGTCAGAGGAATAGACGCTGCTCCCGGGAGGAGAGAGCCCTTGGTCCGACATGGTGGTGGTTGTCCCTCGAGATTGGTCTCCAAGTCGGTCGGAGTGATGACGCAGATATGGATGTATGCGCGGGAAACCTAGAAGGTCAAGGTAGTGATGATGCAGGGACTAGAATCAAACAACGCGCGATTAAGCCAGCAAAAGATGGTGGAACCGGGGAAATCGTAACGTCGTGAAGGCCGTCAGCATAAAGATAGTTTGGTTGTTCGCCTTCAGGTGGCTGGTCGTGGTATCGATTTTCGTTGGACGCTGAACTTGGTGAACGAGCTCGTCCGGCGTTGCGGACAGCTCTCTAGAGAACGTCAGTCGTGTCGCTGTTCCCTTGGTATTCCTGAATAGATGGAGAATTCTGCAGTGTTCTCCTTCGCGCGCAATCGTAGTCGTGTTGCCTCAGAATTGGAGAGGCTGGACAGCGGGTAGCTGCACCACCTCACTAGCTTGGTGAGGAAAGACCCACCGAGTGTTTACTCCACCCTGGCCCAGCAACGGCAGGTTGATTCGCTCTAAACGAGAAATGGCTCTGGAGGTGGCTGGTCCCACCCAATCGCGATGCATCTATCTCTATAATCAGCTACGATGGTCCCTGCGATATGTCTTCCCGGTTTCGAGTTCTGGACTGTGCGCTGGCAGTGAGGCGGACTCCAGATCTACGTCAGACCGCCGTTCGGGCTTGCTGGATAGCAACCTCGACATCACCAGCAGCTTCATGTCGTGCAACTCAGTTTATCATCGCCTGCGCATACAGAATGAAATTGGACAAAGGGCCAAAAGGTAGAATGTCGCAGTTAGTCATGTCCAAAGTTAGTGGTATCTCCGAATCGACCCCAGGCGCCTGTGCTGTGTGACTACACGAAAAAAGCATCAACGCCCAACGAGCTCCAAGGCGATCTGCAGACCCACGCTCAATTCTCCACCTCCAGCATCTCCCGGAGCGCTTTCTCAGATGCTGTGAGCCATCGACCCTTCTCCTCGAGTTCATCGCCGATACCGCCGCCCTCCTCTTTTCTTCGCCTTGCCTCCCTAGCTGCTGCAACTGTGCCTTGCTTCTGTGTCTCGAGCGGGTTAAGCTCACGCTCCAACTTCTCCAGCTCCTTTGCTCGGTTCGGTAGAGAAGATTGCAGCTGCGCGATTTGTGCATTCAGCGCAGCCAGTTCTGCCTCCCGCTCATTAAGCAGCCGTAATGTCTCTGGCAGCGGCAGGCCGAGCTCAGGGTTGCTCGAAGTGGGCGTCTGGTCCTCCTTCAACTGCCCAAGGCTCGCTTCCAAACCCTCAATCTTCGCGGGCAAGCTCTCAAGTTGCTGTCGTTTCAGTTGCACTGCATCATAACGTAATGCAAGCTCTTTGCCCTTTCCCTCTAGCTGCCTCAGTATCTCGGCGACCTCGTGTTTGCGTTCCTTCAAGCTCGCTTTCAATGCGAGAACCTTCTTCTCCTTCTCGATGTTCTCCGCGGCCTCAACGAGTCGCGGCGGATCTTCCGTGAGGTTCTTTAAAAATTTCTCTTTCGTAACTTGTTCTACATAGGAGAAGCGTAGCTTACTGAAGAGCTCCTGGTGTGACTGTCAGTCTTGCGTCAAGTAAGGTTGCCCATGCATACGGACCTTGTAGTGCTTCAGGTCTGCTTCCAGAGATGCCGGATGTGTGTCAAAGTTCTGATCATCCTCGTCGACTGAGGCGCCTGAGTTACGCTTGTTCGAGGACTGAAGAACATCCTTTGGCTTGAGAGGCTCTGTAATGGCAATGATTTTGAGCTCGTGTTCTTGCTCTAACTGTGCAAGAGCTGACGCTGGTGCAGGCACAGCAGACACAGACTTGCGCGTAGCTACCATCTTAAGCTTATCTCGCTAAGGCTGTTGTGCGAACCGATACGTGTATATTGGAGGGATGTTTGTTTTGGCCCGTGAAGGCGCCTGCCTGCAGGGCTGAAAGCCGCGGCAGTTACCGTCTTGGGCCTAGGTCAGACCCTCCATCATCGAGGGCTACGCTTCGAACACTACTCGCTTTTACACCGCAAGCATGTCATTCGATATCGACGATGATGAGTACGTCGCAAAGCTTCTTGCGCAAGATGCCAAGAAGATGACTAAGACCTACGACTTGGTCGGTCTCGATGCCTTCGACCCCAAGAGGTGCGTAGGAAGCGTCTGAGCCCTGCTGCTTTCACATCTCTCAATATCTATATGCTGCAACTAATACCGTCTCAGGCCAAGAGCTGGTGCACCAAAACCTAATACGAACTTCCTGCGACACATCATCCGCCAGACCGACAATCACAATGCCGCGCTGTTGGCAAAGGAGGCCGAGGAGTCAAGCTGGCGACTCAGGCAGATGAATCGCAGTATTGACAAGGAACGCACAGAGGCAGTGGATAGGGCTAAGAGGAGGATCGAGGGCCGCCTGAGTCCACGACCAGACCACACCGACTCCCGGGAACGCTCGAGTCAGAGGATTGTCAACGCCAATGACAAAGATGCTGGCAGAAGCGATCGAAGTAGGCGGCATCATGATGATCGTTCAGGTTCGCGGTCTAGACGACACAGAGACCGAAACAGGGACAGGCACAGACTCAAAAGGCATCGCGAAGTTGACGAGAAAGATCAAACATCACACCAATCGAAAAGATCAAGAAACCACCGGGAGGACGAGCACCGACGAGGCTATAGCGGTGATGAGGACGAGAAAAGACCTCGCGATCGAGATCAAAGAAGGTGCAAATCCTACTCCAAATCCCCTTCACGATCAAGGTCAAGGTCACCTCACTGCAAGCCATATCGAACACGCGACCGCACGCGCTCACCTCGACGTTCCCCTCGACGCTCTTTACGGAGCCCTCGAAATTCCCGAAAGAGCAAACGGCGGTCGCAAAGCTCAGCGTCTGACTCAGACCCTCTTGAAGCCATCGTCGGCCCTCTCCCTCCTCTACCTGAACCAACTGTCCGCTCGCGTGGTCGAGGCGCCCTTAAGAGCAACTCCCTAGGCATCGTATCACGCTTCTCTACAAATTACGATCCCTCTATGGACATGAAACCCGGTTCAGACGCCGAGGACGACTGGGGCGAGGCACTGGAGGTCATACGTGACCGAGAACGTTGGAAGCAGCAAGGTGCGGATCGACTACGTGCTACAGGGTTCAAGGATGAACAAGTGAAGAAGTGGGAGAGAGGCGGTGATCCGCTGGAAGAGGACGTGGTGTGGGCAAAGAAAGGACAAGGTAGGGAGTGGGACAGAGGTAAAATCTTGGACGAAGACGGAGACGTGGATTTGAAAGCCGAGTGGGGACGATTAAAGTAAATACTCGCCGCGGCAATGTGGATATGTACAACTATGCACGACCTCCTACAACTTCATACCCAGAACCTTATGCACCCTCAGCGCTTGCCTGATACTCAGGTCAAGCATGATCTCCTCACTTCCACCCGGAATAGCATATGCTCTGACATCCCTGTACAGCCTCTCGACCTTCGCACCCTGTCCACCGCGGCTGTAACTCAACCCGCCAAAAATCTGACTTGCTTCCCTTGCGCAGAACTCGAAAGTGGTCGTACTCTGCGCCTTCAAACTGGCAATAGCTCCGCCAAGCTTCAGCATGGCTTCTGTCTCGCTCATGAGCTGGCACTGGTATACCAAGTTCTCAAGCCAGTTGTAGCTAGCCTCGATCTGGCGGGCCATATGTGCGAGCTTGAGACGGATGACAGGGTGGTCGATTAGCTTCTTGCCGAAGGTCTTGCGCTTGTGTGCATATTTGACGCTTTCCTCGTAGCATACGCGAGCAAAGCGGACAGACTGGATGACGATGCCGATGCGCTCATGGTTGAAGTTTGTCATGACGACCTTGAAGCCCTGGTTTTCCTTACCGACGAGGTTCTCGACGGGCACCTTGACGTCTTCGAAGGTGATGTAGGTTGTGCCTGATGACCAGACGCCCTGGCAGTCCATCCTGCGGGTTGATACGCCGCCGGCCGAGCGCTCAATGAGCAGGACCGAGACGCCATTCATGCCCTTATCGGAGGTGCGGACGGCGGTTGTGAAGTAGTCGGACCAGATACCGTTGGTGATCCACTTCTTCTCGCCGTTGACAATATAATGCTTTCCGTCTTCGGAGAGCTTGGCTTCGCAGGTCAGTCCTGCGACGTCACTGCCCGCATCAGGCTCTGTGATGGCAAGACAAATGCGCTTCTCGCCGCTGAGCAGGCCAGGACCAATGCGCTTGATGAGCTCCGGCTTAGCGAACTTGAAGACTGGCGGAGCACCAATACCGTAACCACCAATGAGGTTCCAGACAAGACCACCACTGCCAGTGCGAGACAGCTCGTCTGTAAGGATCATCTCGTGGAAGTGATCCCACTTCTCAGGCGGCACGCTTGCTACGCGCTTGTCGGTGTATTGTGATGGGTAGTGGATACCAAGCAGACCGGCAAGGTAGCCGCGCTCGCCCATCTCTCTGTAGATCTCGTCCGGGACCTTCTTTGCCTCGTCCCACTCGGTGACGTTGGGCATTATCTTCTCCTCCACCCACGCTCGTACTTCCTCGCGGAGAGCTACATGGGTGTCGTTGTAGTATGGTGAGTGGTATGTCTGGTACCAAGAGGGATCGGCGTATGGGATGAGGTCTCCAAAAGAGTCGAACGGCTCTGCCTCCTCGGCGGCAGCTTCAGTTGGCTGAGGAGCAACGGCGCCTGAGACAGCCTCAGGCTGGACAATCTCTTTCTTCTGCGGTGGTGGTGTTGCAGGAGGTGTGGGAGGCGCGGCTTTAGTGTCCAAAGAGCCCACTTGCAGTTGTTTCTGGTACTTCTTGAGAATGCTCTCATTGTGGTATTTCCAGAACTGCTTCGAGGCGTCTTTGCCGGCAACGCGGGTAAGAACTAGTCTTGGTTAGCTCTTGTCATTTCTTGCCGTCGATTTGGGGAGTGATACTCTTCTTTCCTCCTGGATGCTCGTCTGCGAATTTAGTTAAATCGTAGACATCTTCATCAACAATGATGTACAGATCGTCTGCAGTCTTGTGTGCCGCAACATCGACGGTAGAAAAACGCTTAGACATCTTGATGTAAAATGAGAAGTGAGTAGGTTACAAGAGGAGACACAGTCACAAGACAAAGGAAGCCGCACAAAAGTAATGGATCTATAAACGACCAGTGTTCGGCATCTTTCACATGCAACGCCAAGGAGTCTGGGGACGCACATGAAAGTAACCGCATCTGGCGCATTCCGGGGTATCGCCCGTGATCTCGTGAGCGCAATGGGCACTCTTTCATTGGCTGAGGTACGGCGTGAGCGGCTGACCTGCTGCTTCGAGGTGAGACGTGGTTGACGTCAATGCGACGGAGAAGCCGAGGTACCGTGTTTTGGCTGTGCGAATGCGTTCACGGGCCAGCACCACGGTGTTCACAAGCCAGACGCTGACAATTAGCTGGAGTACAATGCGTCGGAGCTACGGAGCCGATTTCATTTTGTTCGCGTCGCTTACTGACATGATGTTTGCCGTTGCTGGCATGTCGATAGAAGTTGTGAAGCTGTGCTTGTGATCTTGTGCGGAGTGATCTCCCTGCGTTTGTCATCATGGCCGAGCAGCTGAGGCAGGCACAGACAGCGCACCGATACTTTCTTCCAAACAAAACATTCGTATAACTATTGACAATCGATCAAACATGCCAAGAGAAGTCTAGGTGAGAAAGGCTTTCGGTATCAAGTCTCCAAGCGGTCTTTAAAGCGATGGCCATTGTGGACACGTCAGACCAGATCTGTGGCACAGGTGGGTAGCGAAAATCTCCCAAACTCTTGACCTCTCAGCGTGGCATCTAATGACGTTTACAGTGATGCTTGCAAAGCCTAATAGTGCGAGTGCCATCCATCACCACGGCGAAGAAGGTACGGCCCTGCTTCGAGCATTCTGCCCTTGCCTTCGCCGGTTCTATACAACCTCACAATATTGAAACGGACGATATGCTCATCTCGGACATTGACACAGTTGTATATGCAGTCAGTGGTCGAGGAGCTATAGTGAGTGAGAATGGTAGGAAGAGACAAGAGCTAGCCCCAGGTGACTTTGCTCTCATCCCAGCATACGTACGAACATCTTATCAGACTCATTTATGTCACGTGCTAATGCTAGCAGGCGGAACACCAGGGGGTCAACAATGGCGACGAGGAAGTCAAGTGGATCATCACACGTGGTGGTCGCAATCCTGTTGTGCACAACCTTAACAGTTGGGGCAAGAGCCAGGATTCAGAGATGGTACAAGGAGCATACTGAATTGTAGAAAACAATAAGATACCCATTATGTATCGGCTTCCGACCCCGGGTTAATGAACCACCCTCGGCGTGACTCAACTCGGCTCACGGGTCGTCGTCACACCGTTGTGTACCCTAGCCAGCAATTCGACGTCACTTCTCCTATTCATCTCTCTATCTCGTTTCTTCGCAAAAAACTATGCGTCTCGATCATACTTCTGTGGAACGTGGTGCTCCGTGGGAGGTGTTATCGACCTCCCAGCCGTTCACGAGCTCTAGACCACGCCAATGATTGGTCCGATATAGTTCGCTCCGCGCATAGTGGCAGAGCACTATGACATCCTTCCATCGTGGATCTCAGCTTAGAGCACCTGTGGAGATGCTTGAATTTTTTTCAAAAGGCTTGCCCTGCCGTTGTAGCTATGCAGTGGAATTGGACTTCTACTCCCGGGCCTCAGCCACAACCGCACTACAGGATCTTGGCCCCATACAGCCTCCTCGGAGTACAGCTGCAGCAGAAGCTATATCGAATTGGTTGAATCTTCGCTAATTGATGTACTCCCATCGCTAAGCACGGAATAGGACATGCCATAGCCTCGTTCGCAGCAGACATACATTCACAGCAGTTGTGTAACACATCGAGACCAACTTATGAGCTGTGCTTTTTCACCAAATATCAACAGGCTTGATAGTCTCCTATTGCCACAAGACTTAATCCTTAATGAAGTCGAGCAATTCAGCAATGTCGAACTTGAGGATGGCCACTGTTCTCTCGCTCGTGGTCGCTAGCCACGCAACCGTTGACTACAGCCAATATGTAAACGTTTTGTAAGTACCAAATCATACCCATAGACCCAGAACTCATTTTGTGTTGTTGAAGTATGGGCACTGCAAAAGGAGGCAATCGGTTTCCAGGAGTTGTCGCGGCGCCATTCGCCATGACAAAGCTCGGTCCGGACGTCCAGAACAGCACAACGGATGCCTACTCTGGCTACCTGCCAATAGGGAACATCTGGGGTTTCAGCATGATGCATGAGTCTGGCACAGGTAAGCTCTTTAAAAAAATTGCGATCGCAACGATGACTAAGTGCGAACAGGAGGAGCACCGAAATATGGTGTAGTATCCCAAATGCCAGTCGTAGGCCAAGTCTCCGACCCTCTTGCAGACCTTTCCCAGCCCAGGTTACATGTAGACGAAGGTGGTGTTGGCTGGTACAAGTCTAGTCTTGCAAACGGCATTACAGTAGAGCTTACCGCGTCTGAGCATGCAGGTCTTTACTCGTATACCTTTCCCGAGGCTACGAATGAGTCGTCATCCATCGTTGTCGATGTCTCTCATGTACTGCCGAGCTTCAGAGGGCTCGGCTGGGAGCAGCACTACTCTGGTGGTGCGCTCAAACTGCTTTCAGAATCACACTACGAAGGCTCAGGCACTTACAATAACGGTTGGAATCTAGCGCCTAACTGGACGATCTACTTCTGTGGGAAATTCGACCAGAAGACTTCAAGCTCACGAGTCTTTGCCCAGAGCAATGCTACCAATGCCAGCTATGGGCAAACTGCAGGGACCGGTCGTCTTGGAGGTGTCTTCACTTTCAACGAGACCAAAGTGACGTCTCGTGTTGGCATATCCTTTATCTCGACCACAAAAGCCTGCCACAATCTGGAAAATGAGATCCCGGGCGAAACCAATCCGCACTCCCTAATTCAAGACGCCCAAGCTCGATGGAACCAAGAGGTCTTCAACAAGATCCAGATGTCATCGGACACCACCGAAGACCTTCAGCTCCTGTACAGCTCCCTGTATGGGATGTTCCTCATCCCTTCCAACCGGACTGGAGAGAATCCAGCATGGAGCAGTGGTGAACCGTACTACGATGATGTATTCACACTTTGGGATACCCACCGGTGTCACACGTCCCTCTTCCAGGTAGTCCAGCCTACCGCATATGAAGAATTCATACGGTCGCTAATTGATATCTGGCGACATGATGGTTTCATGCCTGATGCCCGATCGTCGAACTTCAACGGTCGTGTTCAGGGTGGCACCAACGCCGACAACGTCCTAGCCGATGCTTACGTGAAGGGTGTAAGAGGCGCCGTAGACTGGGAAGACGGCTTCTCCGCCATGCAAACCGATGCCGAAGTCATACCGCCACTCGAGATCGTTGATACTAAAGCTCCTGATGCATCGACCAAAGAAGGCAGGGGCGCACTGCCTGACTGGCTGCAATATGGATACATCACACCTCGTTTCACTCGTGCAGTATCACGAGCCGTAGAGTACTCTACCAACGACTTTGGATTGTACCAAGTCGCCGTTGGCCTTGGGAAGACCTTGGAGGCAGCCACGTACCTTAACCGCTCACGCAATTGGCGTAATCACTGGAACCCTAGTGCCACATCAGGAGGCCACAATGGCTTCATGGTTCCTAGAAAAGCTAATGGATCGTTCGTTTCGCAAAACCCAGAGGACTGTGGTGGCTGCTACTGGGGCGATGCTTACTACGAAGACAACACCTGGATCTACAGTATGAACGCGATACATGATGTGACCGAGCTGAAAAGGAGAATCGGTGGTGATAAGAGGTTTGTTGGGAGGATTGACAAGCTGTTCGAACTTGGCATCTTTGATGCTGGTAACGAGCCTGGATTTACGAGCCCGTACCTGTACAACTTTGTGCAGGGGCAACAATGGAGGAGTGTCGAAAGAGGTCGAAACATCAGCACTCTTTACAACTCAGGTGAGAGTGGCCTACCGGGCAACTCGGACGCTGGAGCCATGGAGAGTCTTCTGATTGTACGTCCAAGTCTGCGACCTTTCAACTTTTCGGTTCTAATTTCGGCGGTAGTGGCAGATGATAGGTCTTTGGCCCATGACTGGTCAATCAACCTTCCTCGTTCTAGCTCCTGTGTTTGAACAGATGACGATCGATCTTGGAGACGACAAGACGCTTATTCTGTCGACAAGTGGAGGCGATCGTATCAGTGCACCTTATGTTCAAAGCCTGAAGGTGAATGGCAAACAGTGGGACAAGTCGTGGGTATCATGGGAGGATGTATTCGCCAATGGCGGCAATTTGGACTTTGTTCTTGGAGCAAACAAGACTGAGTGGTCGACGGGTGAGTTGCCGCCGAGTCCAGCGTCCGGAGAGATACAATCTGTTATGCATTAGTGTGCCGAAGGACTGCGTCGCGGTATGGTAGCGCAAAGATGGCAGAAACAACGACCTCAAGGCTCTGTCCGATATCATGCTAGTGACTGACCGGAGCAAGAAGCGCCACTCTTCCCCGCATTCAGCACACACCCTCACTGTTGAATGACCTGCTCATTATGTTGACATGCTGGATCGCATGAACGCGAGGATTGCTAGGCGCGATATCTGAAGAGCAGCAGGATCCGAAACCGTTCTAGACCGCCGACCGCCGTCTCAACATAATCGCGCGCCATTCGCTGAATCGCGCCGTTTCCCTTGGCTTTCGCCGCCCGGCCTTCACGCGCATTACGCCACCAGGGTGTTCACCCCGCTATGACAGGGAACACTCGCTTCTACACCGCCCAGGGTACAGGACAAACCCATAGACATCTACCACGAGGTCTCCGTGAACCGTCACATGGTCTGTAGGCACCCTGAATAAAGCCTCCACTAGCGTCCATACGCCCAACCGCGAGACACACCCGCCAAATCGCAGGAGCAAGTCTTCGTCTTGCGTTCTGGGCTGACGGTGCGCCCTGGCCTGAGCTTCATCCTCTGACAGCTATTTGACTCGTTCACTTCCCCACAGCTTTTCTGAGGGCCTGACACTTGCGATCACACTTGAAGCTGGGGTTCAGCCTTCTCCACGCGACCCCACCTGTTCACCATGTCGACGATAATCGCGTCAACTTCGTCAGCTGCTGCCTCCGCAACGGCCAGGCCACAAGCACCACCCCAGGCTGGTGTGCTTGAAGGTGTCAATCCCGTGCACTTCGATGCCAAGAATCCAATCATCTTATTCATCGTCCAGGTAATTTTTCACCATTGCCCTGGATCGACTGCATGTGTGCCAAATGCTTACTGTGTAATTTACAGGCGTCAATTATAATCATTTTCTGTCGACTGCTTGGCTGGCCTCTTTCGAAAATTCGCCAGCCTCGCGTTATCTCTGAGATCATCGGCGGTATCCTTCTTGGTCCATCAGTTTTCGGTCGTATTCCAGGTTTCACAGAGTCGATCTTCCCAGCACAGTCTATGACCAACTTGAATCTCGTTGCCAACCTCGGTCTGACCTTGTTCCTCTTCATCATTGGTCTCGAAGTAGATCTGCGCTTCTTGCTCAGTAATTGGAAAATTGCTCTCAATGTCGGTGTCGTCAGCATGGTCATCCCCTTTGGCATGGGATGTGCCATTGCGGTCGGACTGTACAACGAGTTCAAGGACGAACCAGGAATGGTCGAGATCGACTTTGCCATCTTCATGCTTTTTATCGGTGTAGCCATGGCTATCACGGTAAGCTGTTTGCTCGAACGGTTCGCGATGTGTAACTGACTTCCTCAGGCGTTCCCCGTGCTGTGTCGTATCCTCACTGAACTCAAGCTTCTGATGACCCCTGTCGGTGTAATCGTGCTTTCAGCTGGAGTAGGCAACGACGTTGTAGGCTGGATCCTCCTCGCACTTTGCGTCGCTCTCGTCAATGCAGGCACCGGTCTTGCGGCACTTTGGGTGCTGTTGACGTGTGTAGGATACATGCTGTTCTTAGTTTATGCGGTTCGACCGGTCTTTGTTTGGGTGCTGCGCAGGTCGGGAGCTTTGCAGGATGGTCCTACTCAGGGCATCATTGCTCTTACCCTCATCATCGCGCTAGGCTCTGCCTTCTTCACCGGAATTATTGGAGTACACCCTATCTTCGGAGCTTTCATGGCTGGCTTGATATGTCCTCATGAGGGTGGTTTTGCCATCAAGGTCGCTGAGAGGATCGAAGATCTGATCGGTGCTCTGTTTCTGCCATTGTACTTCACGCTCTCCGGACTCAACACCAACGTTGGTCTTCTCGATTCCGGGATCGTCTGGGGTTACGTCTTTGGCGTGATCGCAGTCGCGTTCTTCTCGAAATTCATCGGCGCCACACTTGCAGCTCGAGGATCCAAGATGCTTTGGCGAGAGTGCTTTGCTGTAGGATCTTTGATGAGTTGCAAGGGTCTCGTCGAGCTGATTGTACTGGTAAGATCGTCACATATATAGAAGAGACAGAGCTAACATATTCAGAACATTGGCCTGAACGCCAAAATTTTAAGCACACGGACATTTACGATCTTTGTTGTCATGGCCCTGGTTACGACATTCGCATCGTCCCCTCTCACGATGTACTTCTACCCACCCTGGTACCAGAAGAAGGTAGAGGCCTGGCGTCGCGGCGAGATCGACTGGGACACCGGCAAGCCACTGGATAACACCGACAGCGTTCAGGATGGCGTTCACTTCGACAAACTGGCTGCTGAGAAGATCAAGCGTGTTACGGTGTATCTACGTCTCGACAGCATGCCCAGCCTGCTCGCGTTCACATCGCTCTTTGGAGGTTCTCAGAAGCCTGCACCTAAGGTCCATCCGTCAATCGGCGCTAGCACAAGCAAAGAGACCGGGGACTCATCCTTGGAGGAAGTCGCGACCAGTCGACCAGTCGAGGCTTACGGTCTGCGCCTGCTCAATTTGACAGATCGTGGCTCGTCCGTGATGCAGGTCTCCGAGATGGAGAGTTACACTGCCTACGATCCTGTAGTCAACACATTCCGCACCTTCGGCCGCCTGCACAATCTTGCCGTCAGCGGAGAGGTCCTGGTCGTTCCTGAATCCTCCTTCGCGGACACCTTGGCCACGCGCGCCTCGGACTCGAATCTGCTCCTCCTTCCTTGGAGTGAAACAGGTGGTATGTCCGAGCAAGCAATCATCGAAGACAAAGGCACCAAGAACAAGCTCGCTGCGTCTTCCTACGTTGACTTCGTGAACTCTACGATCGAACAGTCCACTACTCCTGTTGCTGTGCTTGTGAATAAGAATTTCGGCGGCAGTAAGAACAAGGACCGCAGGACAACCCTCAAACTCTCTCGTACCTACAGCAGTGTCAGTCTTCACGCAGATCAGGCTGTTACAGCTCCCATCGCGGACCGCAGCCATCACATCTTTTTCGCGTTCTTCGGGGGCGCAGACGACCGCGCTGCGCTGCGCCTCGTTCTCCAGCTCGCAGAAAATGCTCAGATCACCGCCACACTTGTCCAATTCGATGTACCGGAATCATTCCTCGGTAGGCCGACAGCATCGACGTCCTCCATCACCTCGCCTAGCAAGGCAGGCGAGACAATCATCACCACGACGGTACCCACTGCCCGCGAACACGACGCAGCATTCTTCGCATCGCTGCGCGCCTCTCTACCAGCGGAGCTGGCGAACCGTGTCATTTTCGAGACTGTTGTATCTGAAGAACCCATCAAGGATGTCATCGCACGCGCAAGCATCGAGATTGGACAGTCGCCGAAGAATGCAGGTGACCTAATTATACTGGGTAGAAACATCGACAGGAACAACGCTCTCAGCACAGAAAATGCAGATGAGATCAGAAGCGTATCGAGCGCATCGAGCACACTAGGCTTATTAGCTGAGAAGATATGGGAAGGCAAGCTCGGTGCCAGCGTGCTGGTTGTCAAGGCGGGCGCTTCGGCGAACTAAACTGCCATGAGCTATTGTTTTGGCATTGCTGGCATCTATGAGATAAGACGATATCATGTCCATATGGGGCGCGTTGAGCATTTAGCAGGAGTTGATTCGATATGACCAAAGTGAAGGTTTATTTTGTATCTCAAGGCCGTTTGGGGATTCCTTTAGCCAAGCCGGAGTATTGCCCAAATGAATCGCACGCAATGTTAAACAATTCATTCACAAGGCTCGATTTGCGAGCACTCTGAACCGTACCGTGCAATTGCTATGCTCTCGTCGAACCCCAAACCGCTAGTCGTTCGAGGCCGAAGTCTGCTGCTGTTTTGGTTCGCGGTTGAACCCTCGGACGTTGAGCTACTCAGGCGATGCGGAGCTCTGGAGATGAGCTGCGCTAAGAACCAGTAGTCGTCGGTCGCTGGCCGTGCACGGATGCACTGGTGCCGCTATGCATTCGAGCCCCCATACAGGCAGGCCGCATTTTGCTCATCCTTCGCGCTCCACGACACCGTACGCTCTTGCTGCCTGACTTCTTTGCTGAATTCACGCACTCTCTGTCAACAGTTCGGACATTGGACCGCCGCCCATCGCCATTGTCCAGCTACCTCCACGCTGCGCTAGTCCACATTCTACACGAGCGACTTTCTAAAGTTGTAGCAGCCATGGTGTCGCCCAAGAGCATTGTTTATTATGTCTTCCACCCCAACCAGTTGCGCTCGATCATCCAGTGGTAAGGACAGCTTCTGCGCGGCTTGAAATATTCGCTCCGTTCGCCCTGCATAGCACACGCAAGATTAACACCTCACACAGGAAGGTCTGGCACAACCCCGTCCATGAGCGCAACGAAGACAACGACTCCGCAAACCTCAAGCGATGCTTCCACTTCCTCAATCTAACGAGCCGCAGTTTTGCGGCCGTTATCATGGAGCTGCACCCTGAGCTGCTTGTTCCCGTTGCACTGTTCTACCTGATCTTGCGTGGACTCGATACGGTAGAGGACGACATGACACTTCCCCTTGAGAAGAAGGAGCCCATACTCCGAAGCTTCCAAGATATTCTGGAAAAGGATGGGTGGACGTTTACAGAGAACGGACCCAATGAGAAAGACAGGCAGCTGCTGGTCGAGTTCAATGTGGTCATTGAGGAGTTCAAGCACATCAAGCCGGCATACAAGGATATCATCAAGGACATCACCAAGCGCATGGGCAACGGCATGGCAGACTACGCGAACAATGCAGAGCACAACCTAGTTGGCGTCAACACAGTCAAGGACTACGAGCTGTATTGCCATTACGTTGCCGGTCTCGTTGGTGAAGGTCTGACACGCCTTTTTGTTGAGGCTGGCCTTGCCAACGCTGCGCTGCTGAAGAAGCCGGAGCTCATGGAGTCCATGGGACAATTCCTTCAGCAGGTCAACATCACCCGTGACATCAAGGAGGACTTGGACGACAACCGACGATTTTGGCCTAAGGAGATCTGGTCCAAGCACGTTGACAACTTTGAGGACCTGTTCGCGCCGGAAAACAAGCAGAAGGCATTGGACTGTAGTTCAGAGATGATCTACACAGCTCTGACACGCGCGGACGACTGCCTGTACTACCTTGCAGGACTGCGAGAGCAGAGTGTGTTCAACTTCTGCGCCATCCCTCAGACCATGGCTATCGCGACCTTAAACGCCTGCTTCCAGAACTACGACATCTTCCAGAAGAACGTAAAGATCACAAAGGGCGAGGCCTGCCAGTTGATGGTCGAGTCGTCGCAGAATCTCCAGCTTGTCTGCGAAGTATTCAAGCGGTATGGCCGCAAGATTGCGAAGAGGAACAACCCGCACGACCCCAACTTCCTGAAGATCAGCATCACTCTCGGAAGGGTAAGGAGTCCTTTTTACTCTAAAAGACTTGACTGACTCCAGCACAGATAGAGCAGTTCATCGAGTCTATCTTCCCATCGCAGAAGCCGCCTGCTGATACCAAGTCACCCGCCAGCGTCGAGGAGGCTGAGAAGGCGAAAAAGCAGGCGTACGAGGACAAGTGGGACATCATCTATATGACAACTGCTGTCGTCATGACGGTGCTGATCATCACATCCTGCATGGTCAGTCGTACACAACCTTCAATGAAGACTCACCCTAACACCTACTAGGTCTTTGTTGCCTATCTTGCTGGCGCGCGTTTCGACATCGCGTACTACGAGATCAAAAACCAGCTGGGAGAACTTTTCGGCTGGGCAGAGCCCAAGATCATAGAGACAGTCAAAGTCGTGACCGAGAAGAGCGAGCTCTAAGCCGCTAGGGAATAGTAATCTTCATGCCCATATGTGTTATAATGGCAGCGACATACCTTCTTCGTGGACGCAGGAATGCAGTGAAACCTAATGCATCTTGAACGGATATATACTCGCCGCGTAACAATGGCGTACGCATGCTATTGCTTCCGAGACGCCCATTGTCCACACGTGCCTGAAAGCGGCCTACATGGTGTTTTGGCTTTGACGGTTTCACAAGAGGACGACTAGCGTGGCCTTGGCGTCTTTTTTCGCTTGAACAGCGGGTGAGTCGCGAACGACGCAATAGACACACACGCAACTGCTTCACCGCGCGCACGCCACTCTCACCTTCTGCAGTAGACCAGGCAGAACACCTCCGCGACTACTCATCCTTGAACTATCGCCCGGCGCGACTTCAACGACCCCTCATCAACCTACCTCGATCCACCCACAACCTCCGCATTCGCGTACGATTCGTCTGCCACTCGCAGCACCACTCACTACCTACCTCTTAACGCCTTCTACCACAATCACAATGGCTGACGTTGCCACCGCACCGAACCCTTCTCAGCAGGTCCCTCTGGACACCATCCCCATCTCGCCTGTTGATGGCAACTCAACGTCCGAGGGCCAGGACAAACCCTCGACCAGCGCAAACACAGACGACAGCGCCGTCAAGACCGTCTTCCACGACCCCGAGAACTTCAACGTCAAGCACCCGCTCATGAACACATGGACGCTGTGGTTCACCAAGCCCCCAAGCGGCAAGGTGCGTGGACACTTGTTCTCCCTGTCGAGGTCGCACTAACAACATACAGGGCGATAACTGGGCTGAGCTGCTGAAGGAGGTCATCTCGTTCGACTCGGTCGAAGAGTTCTGGGGCATATACGTGAGTGCTGGGGATTCGCAGATTGTAGATAGCAAAGCTAATAGTGTATACAGAACAACATCACACCCACATCTGACTTGGCACTCAAGTCCGACTACCACCTCTTCAAGAGCGGCGTTCGCCCTGAGTGGGAAGATTCGCAGAACAAGCACGGCGGCAAGTGGGCGTTCCAGTTCAAGGACAAAAAGGCCATTAACATCGACGCACTCTGGCTCCACGTTATGCTCGCTGCTATCGGCGAGAACCTTGAGGACGAGGAGGACAACGAGGTGATGGGTGTGGTGGTCAACGTTAGGCGAGGGTTCTACCGTATTGGTCTGTGGACTCGCTCCGTTGGCCGCGCTGCCGGCAGCAGGACACAAGAGCAGGGCAAGGAGACCCTCCAGAAGATCGGCAAGCGATTCAAGCAGGCTCTTCAGCTCAAGGACAATGAGCCCGTCGAGTTCTCTGGTCACACGGACGCCGCCCACTCTGGTAGCACTCGTGCCAAGGCCAAGTTCACCGTCTAAGCATTTGCACAACGTGGAGACGACTAAGTGTGATAATGTCAAGCAGAGGCTCGCCACTGCGATTTCTCTGTTCAGAACGCTCAAGCGCAGTCACAGCTAGGCTGCGCTCAAGCGTGATTTACTACCCGGTTTACCCAAAAGCATTTTCACGTACCGATGATGATAACGGGATTGGGTTTCTAGCATGGCGTCTGCATGGAGCGGCGATGGGTCATCTTGGGGTCTAACATGGTTTATGGTCAGGGCGGGTGATGCAAATCGGGCAGTACGCGGGTTTGGGATGCAAGTTTGATAGATGTGAGCTCTTTTACTTGACAGACGTTTCGAATGAGAGAGTATGAAGATATGACATTCGCGAAAAGCCCCAGCCGTGCGTTGCCGAGTTAGCCAGGGCATGTGGAACGGCAAGCTACGACGTAATTTAGTGGCGCAGGCGGCGCGGCCACAATTTGAATCATGCCCAGCAGGCTCCATATCCCACCGACATTCTCACTCGACTCTGCACATACTATTGCTCAGCAAAATGGTGTTGGAGACTGCATACTACGACGCCCTGGGCGTCCCGCCCACAGCGACGGAGCTCGAAATCAAGAAGGCATACCGCAAACTCGCGATCAAGCTGCATCCCGGTAACGACGCGATTCTTGCACAGCAGCGGCAACGAGCCCGCCTGACACCAGACAGACAAGAACCCGGGCGACGAGACTGCACATGCAAAGTTCCAGGAGGTGCGTTGGCCGCCTACGACGGCGTTCACAGGCCGCACGCTCGATACTGCGCGGATAGCGGGGCTGATGTGACAACAGATCGGAGAAGCCTACCAGGTCCTCAGCGATGACCAGCTGCGCGCGAACTACGACAAGTATGGCAAGGAGGGCGCTGTGCCGCAGAGCGGGTTTGGTCCGTATTCAGGACTACCGTATGGTCGCTGCAGTGTGCTAATCGTGTGACAGAGGACCCTTCCGAGTTCTTTACCATGATCTTTGGCGGAGAGGCCTTCGTCGACTGGTATGCGATGCCCGGAACGCGACTGCAGTAGATATGGCAGGCTGACAGACGCAGGATCGGTGAGATCTCCCTCATGAAGGACCTCACCAAGACCATGGAGATCTCGATGCGCGAAATGGAGGAGCAGGAAGCCGCCGAGGCCGAGGCCGCACGCGCAGAAGCCGCCGCCGGTGGTTCTGCATCGACTGCTACTGCCACGACGACTGCCACGACGGCTGGCACGCCGGCTGGCACCACACCCGCTGCCGATGCTGCCACCGCGACCCTGGCTGCCGCGCCCAGCGCTGGCGCTCAAGCGAAGGAGGCAGAAGCCGCTGCAGAGCGCGCCGCAGCCCCGGCCGCCGATACTCCTCCAGCGTATGCTGTACCGCCGCCCGCATATGCTGAAACCGCCGCCGACGCCTCGACCGCCACTCCTGCTGCTGCCGCTGCTGCCGGCTCTTCGTCCGGCGCAAGCACACCGAAGCCCCGCGGTATCCCAATCCGGCCTGCGATAATGGACAAGACCGAGGAGGACGCCCGCATGGAAGCAGCCAACATGACCGATGCAGAGAAAGAGCTTCGTAACAAGGAGAAGAACAAGAAGGGCGGGCTCACGAAAGAGCAGCGCGAGGAGCTTGCAGCATACGAGATGGAGCGCAAGAAGATCCGCGACGAGCGCGTCGCCAACCTTTCCAAGAAGCTCATCGAGCGCATCTCGCTATGGACCGAGACAGACAAGGCCACCGACGTCACCAAGGCCTTCAAGGACAAGATCGCCCTCGAAATCGAGAACCTGAAGATGGAATCCTTCGGCCTGGAAATCCTCCACGCAATCGGCACAACATACCTCATGAAGGCCTCGTCTTTCCTCAAATCACAAAAGTTCCTCGGTATCTCTGGTTTCTTCTCCCGCATCAAGGACAAGGGTACTCTCGTCAAGGATACTTGGAGCACTATGAGTGCCGCCATTGACGCCCAGCTCACCATGGAGGAAATGGCGAAGCTGGAAGAGCAAGGCGGTGAGGCCTGGACAGACGAGAAGAAGGCCGAGTACGAGAAGAAGGTCACGGGCAAGATCCTTGCGGCTGCGTGGCGCGGCAGCAAGTTTGAGATCCAGAGCGTGCTCAGAGACGTGTGCGATCATGTGCTCAATGATAAGAAAGTCAAGCTGGAGAAGCGCATTGAGCGCGCACATGCGCTGGTCATCATTGGCGAGATGTGCCAGAAGGTGAGTTATATGTCCCTCCAGAATGGTACGTTTGGACCGAGTGCTAACCCAAGACAGGCCGAGCGCGACCCCGAAGAAGAGGGCGACTTCATGGCCTTCGAGCAGCTCATGGCCGAAGCCGCCGCGAAGAAGGAGAGCAAGCACGACAAGAAAGAGAAGCACAAGCACCACCACGACAAGAAGGAGAAGGACAAGGCGACGGCATAGTCTGTCGAGCTCAATGCGGTCCCCGGGGCTCTGAGATAGCCAAGGTCGCCTTGCCGACTGCTCTTGGTTCGTGTCTTCCTTTCTAGTTGCATACCTGGTTCGTGATATCCATAGATTCCATTCGAGACGGCCTGAATTGGAACAAGACCTGGCGTGGTCAAAGCATATTTAGCTCGCATGATGGAGTTCAATGCATAGTTTTGCTCTTTATACTGACATGGACACAACAATCACCCAGGCTGTGAAGCTGACCTTAAAGCCAGACTACCCTTCGATGAGGCGAGGGTGTCAATCGCGGGTGGAGCGTTAAGGTGATGGTAGGCAAGAAACGAATACATTACTGACTACTCGACCACCCCTTACTCGGCCGACCACAGAATCTCAAAACTTCGCTATGCTAAAGCCGTACAGGTTCTTCAAATGAGTGTGAGCACAGTCAACGAATTTGATGACCGGCTGAGAAAATCCTTCGCCTGCTGATAATATTCATACAAAATCTTTCCTATTCGCTGCAGACCGTCCAACAACAAGAAGACGATGCGCCCGCCTACCACAGACCGAACCACCTCCTATCCACGCGGTTTCTGTTACCGCCCTCCCAAGGCCTCACAGTGGGACGCGGCTTCCATGGCCTGCGTGTAGCAGTCGGCCGTGTCCTGGTAGGACGCGCCGGCTGGCCGTTGAAGTTTGGTGGGTGGGGGCGCGCCTGCCATCGGCCGTTGAAGAAGTAGGGCGAGTCGACACCGTCGCCAGCCGCCGAGGGCGGGCGGTTGGGGTACGGGTTCGGCAGCGGAAGGCGGGTTGGTGAGGGCCCGGGGATGGGGATTGGGTTGGGATTGGGATTCGGGTTGGGATTCGGGTTGGGATTCGGGTTGGGATTCGGGTTAGGATTCGGGTTGGGATTCGGGTTGGGATTCGGGTTGGGATTCGGGTTGGGATTCGGGTTGGGATTCGGATTGGGGTCGATCGGTACCTGTTTGCTTTATCAGCAAAGCTGCTCAGAGGCAGTGCACATTAATGTTCTGAACGCGAATGCTCTGTGCTCTGCAAAGATAAAGGAGGCTGTTTGTCAGTAGAGCTGCAGGTCAGCAGGCTGTCGTTAGTGTGTTAGTAGGCTGTGGTGAGTATGTTAGTATGCTGTTGGGCAGTGTTAATTAGTAGTTAGAGCTGCGTGATAGTTAGCACTGCATGCTTGGATGCCGAAACATCCAACCAGAACCAGGAGCCGGAAGTGAGAGACAACCGCCGACTTTCATCTGCAACGAGTGATGAGAGTGAGTGTGTGATGATACGAACGAAGATTCTGACCGGAAAACTTTATACACTCTTGACTTTGCCATAGCGGCTCGGTGTTATTGGGGAATAGTGGAATGCACTTGATCTCTCGTTTGGTAATGTCGATGGATACTAGGGAGCGACCGAGCACCGAAAGAGGCCCAGAATGCATGGCATTTACCTCATCGATCGAACGAGGACCACTCACCTTGCATCTTCTCTCTCTGTTGAACTGACAAGATCGTCGTACTTGCGGGTGCTTCGGCCACTCGTCGCGTCTTCTTCTCATGATCCAACGTCCGCAGCTCCAGTTGCATCGTACCACTGATGTTACACAAGCAACGATCCTATTGTGCTTTCCACATTACCTACTGTCAACCGCCCTATCAATTCTATCTTTACGCAGGGAGACGTATTTTCGCGTCAAAGCTTCGTCTTGTATACGTCGTTCTGACCAAAAGCAAACTCGAGAAAGGGTTGAAGCGGAAGCAATGTAGATGACGTAGCATAATCGAGGACGAAATAGTATGTTGTCGAGCAAAGAACAGTAAGAACGATGGCATATACGGTGTTACCTTGCTCTGTCGCCTTGAGAGGCAGATGACCAGTTGGAATGTCAAACGGGACTTGCTTGCCCTCCAGCACAGGTCATACTTGCCGTACCACACCGTAGGCTCAGGCTATCTGAGCTGCTGCCCACCCAGATACCGTAGTCACCATTGACCGAAGGTACCACCCAATTCTGGGATGCTGTATCCCACACGCTCAGGTCCTTTCGTGTTACTCGCAGACTGAGGGTTTGGCTCGCGCCAGGTTGCAGCGTGCTTGTCTTCTCAAAGTCGCGGAGTTGAATGGTTGGAGTTTCTACTGCAATACCTTGCGGAAACTGAACATACAGTTGTGCAACGGCTTTGCCAGCTCTTGCACCAGTGTTGGTGACAGTCACTGAGATGTCGTACGCCGTGTCGAAAAGCGCAGGGTTACCTCCCTAGATGCCAAGTCAGCATCTTGTCGCACGTGCAGTTCATGCATAAAAATTCATACCTGCGCACCACCTGCAGCAGGACCCGCTGTTTGCACATTCGAGTAGCCCGCAGGGTATGGGTACTTTGTGGGCGAGTTGGCCGCCTCCGCAGCATCGTCTGCATCATTCTTCTCAAGCCACGAGTAGAGATATCGCCAAATGCGATTGAAGTTCTCTGGCCAGTAGGCCTCTGAAGCGGGCGGAATGGCGGTTGAGTACGCTGGAGTTGTACCCTTTGCCGGGCGACTTGGTGGCACAGCAGTCAAGGGCGTCACCGCGCTGATGGAAGCATCGGAGAAAGAGAAAGAAGTGTAGCTCAGTCCGAATCCGAACGCATACCTAGGAGTGATGCTCTCCTTGTTGAAATGTCGGTAGTCTATGTAAAGACCTTCTGTGTGAGTATCTTGCGGTTGGCCGATCTGGTAACCGACCAAGTTGACAGAGGCAGGATAGTTGCTCTCGGATGTCGGCACTGTATATGGGAGATGCCCTGATGGTGAGGTGTCACCATAAAGAACTTCCATTAGTGATGTACCGGCCTCTTGTCCCGGGAGATGAGCGAACAGTACAGCCTTGACTGAAGGGAGATCATGCCATGCCTCCATGATGACTGGACCGACGGTGTGCACGACCACTACAACGCTGGTATACTTCGCGGCTACATCCTGGATAAGTTTGTCACCGTTGTGCCAAAGATTTAAGTTCGAGGATGTGCGGTCTCCAGGGTTACCTTCGACGGTAATGTAGTTTTCTCCTGAGTCTGCTGTCACGAAGACAACAGCGGTATCGTTTGGACTTGGGCTCGAGTTCGACGGGAACGAGTCGGTATTGAAGTACTGATAGTTTGATCCCCTTGATTTGAAGCCATCAATGGGCGAGTCCATATATGGGTATCGCGCAGAACCGCTGCCCCAGCCCTACGAACGTTAGATATCGTCACAAAATGTTGTACAAGGTAATCATGCACTCACCATACCGAGTGTGCCCTTGTTGCAGCCTTGGTCAGCGCACGAGTTAATGCCATCCGGATTCTTTTCGGCAGCTGTGCCAAAAACTTTGAGGCTCGCGTTACGAAGCAGTGGTAGGGTGTTGTTCTGATTCTTCAGCAATGTGATGGCGTCTCTAGCAACCTCTCTCGCAACTTCTGCATGATTGCCCTGGACGTCGACAAACTCGTTAACTACGCCACTCGGAGAGATTAAAGCTCCAGGGTAGAGAGGACCCTCGGCATTTTGAGTATTGGTATCGAAGTTAGGGCGAGGGTAGTTCTGATCCTGTCCCATCTGGAAGTACGCAGCCAGTATGCGGGTGACGGCATCGTTCAGCCGATCCACCGGCACCGATCCGTTCAGTACTGCACGGCTATAATCGTACATCCAATATGAGTTTCCAAGTAGCGGGATCTCATTCCTGTCACCAGGCATCGACATGTCAAGTCCAGCAAGTGCTGACGGTACACCGGAGATTTGAGCTAGCCAGTCCGACATTACAAATCCTTGGAAACCGAGTTCGTCTTTCAGTAGTCCGTTCATCAAGTAGCTATTCTGTGCGGCAGCCGATCCGTTGATCTGTACTTATTAGAGAAGCTCAGGTTCACGCAATATGTATTACTTACAGCATTGTAAGAGATCATGACAGAGCCGACTCCAGAACGGACTCCCTCGGCGAAGGGCCACAAGTACAGCTCGTGCATCGTCCGATCATCTAGATTGGAGGAGATACCGGGCTTGACTAAGCTGTACATGCGGTACATCTCTTGTTCGTTGGCGATCAGATGTTTGATAGTCGCAATGACTCCGACACTCTGTACTCCTTCGATTGTCAAGGCACCACCGAACGCTTGAAGTACAGGGTCTGAGCCAAAGCCTTCCCAGTCTAATTGACAATTAGCATTCGGTATGTGACAGAGAGAAATGTGCGTACTTCTGCCACCTCGAGGCTTTCTCCCCAAAGCGCCAACACTTGGACCCAGGTGAATGTTGACGCCTTTGCCCCGGAACTCCTCGCCGATTGCTACGCCACGGCGACGCATCAGGTCTTTGTCCCACGTCGCGCCTGCCGTTATCTACACCGAGTCAGTGAATATCATTCCAACATCATCAACATGTATGCATACCCCTGGAGGGAAGGCGGTGTTGTGGTCAGTGTTTCTGCGCGCATGTCTCAGCACAAGCCAATATCATGCAGTCGAAAGTCAAATTCACCGAACACCAAGCGGTCCATCTTGCAAGCAGAGTTGCGGGATTCCGACTCTAAGTGCACTACCGGTGTTGCCAACACATCGGCCCATGAAAATCCCGGTGCCTGAAGTGATGTTTGTCTTCTCGGCCAGCGTCATGTTGGCTACAAGCAGCGAAGCCTTGCGATAGCTTTCACTCCACTCGGATACCCATCCTCCATGAGGCGCTGGCTTTCATTAGCATTCTTACACTAGACTTTGTGCTTTCAGATGTGTCTCGGCTTACTCGGGTAGTAGGGAGGAGCGACATAGCCTGGCGGTACTGGGTCACGCCTGTCGAGCACTGCGCCCGCCGCGAGGGACGACAAAGACATGAGAATGGCCGACCGCATATCGAAAGTGAATTTCGTAGGATAAGACAGGTCTATAGAAATCGGGCCAGCAACAGTGGAGAGTACGAGAATATGTACCCTCTCTCTTTTAAAGCAAAAGGCTACACCCCGCAACAACCAAGATTGTAGTATCGATTCTTGCCCATTCAAGAAACACCGATAGTCATGTTAATCCGTCTCCAGGTTATGATATGTAACAGGACGGCGACAGAGATGTTTACAGTCATGTTGCCGAGGGATAAAGTGCGCTCTCCAAACCGCGCAGGTGCAGGGGTCCTTTCTGGGTCACGCGGCAACGGCTACCAACCAACGAGAATTGGAGGCAACCCACAGCCTCCTGTCGTTAAGGTACTCAGATATTGGCCCAAGATCTGTAATCGGCTGTCGATTATGTAGGCGCCCTTGTCGTAGCTGAGTGACGTAGCGATCCATGTATTGCACATGCATGTGAAAGATCAGTGGTAGTTGAGCCTGCGTATACGAGATACAAGGGCGATACAACCACGGTGAACAGAGAAACTGCTGCGGTACCGGCTCGATCCTGTCGGCCCAATTCTGGAGTAATATGGAAGAGTGCGGCTTTTGAATTGTACATCTTGATCAAAGAGATTACCTACCCACAGCGGCACCTCGACCTCGGCTACATTCAAATTCCGCGCGCATCTCCTTTCTTACGACCATGTTACCTGTTCAGGACAGGCAATAAATCATGTCAGCGGGTAGCTGCACCTGGGAAACAATTCACAGTTTCGGCCTCGAGATCTTTGCCTGTCTTCGACTTGGGCCTCTTTACACGTATCTACTTGTAATCAAACGCTATGACGTCATGAATCCTCTTTGACACCTTTGAATGGTCGCTTGAACTGGCAGCAGATTTCAGCCCGTATGCCTCACCCTAAAGACAGTCAATTGCTCCAGTGGAAGGTCAGACAACAGCCTTCAGTATTGAACGCAATGTCCCGATCAAGCTACACAGCGTTCCAAAGACATCTACAGTTCTTCGCGACACCCACAAACCCACCAAGGCTCACCTTCACATCCGCACTGAAAGGTGCATGTGCACTCGGCCTCGACTTTCCGGTCTCAGCAGTCCTCAGCCTGGGTCTCAAGCTGCTGTATGCACCATTCAACCTAACGGGCATCAACATTACCGACATCCCCCAGTCATCACATCGCAGCCAGCTAAGCAATACCACGCTACCCACAGCTAAGAAGGAGTTCACATGCTCTGAGCTACTTAGATTGCTAAACCAAGAGCGCAATCCAGGGTTCTTGAGGCACAAGATTGATCAGGGGCATATCATTGGCTTCTGGAGCATGGCTGCAAACACGCGCACACACACTGTCAGCAGAGACGATGTTGAGCGCTTCCAGCATGGAGAATGGGAGGAGACGGTTACTGAAAGGAGGCGCAACTCAGACGAGATTCTGCCGTTGTGGAGAGGAGGACCGATATGGGCAGGGGGTCACAGCTTCGCTGTAGATAAGCTGCTCGGCGTCCAGGTGTACAGGTCGAAGAGAGAGTGAGGCACAGATTGTCCGCGTGCCGCAACCAGAGCACGATCGAACACAACGAAATCTCCACGATTCCAGAAGATCACAATGTACTTGTACAATAGACACCAAATGCTGCAATTGAACTGAAAGACTCGAGGTGTGGCTAAACGTTGAAGTGGGAGGCGCGGCGGCCCCACTTGACGCGGACGCGTCGCGCGCCTTCCCCAGAACTCTGGAAAGCGCGTTCTTACCTCAACCAGTCGCATCACCACGCTCACTTTCTATTCATTTTTTTGAGGCTGCGAGCATGGTCCGCGGGGTCGAAAAAAACGAGATGTCGACGCCTCGTCCCTCACAAAAGAAGCAGCCACCGTCGAGCTCACAATCGGCGAAGGGCCAGAAGTCCATCCTCGGCTTCTTCCAAAAGAAGTCGACCAACTCACCAAGTCCGGCATCCCAACCCACACCAACAAGACAAATGCCAACGCCCACAGTATCGAAGAAACCGTTCTCTCGTCCACCTCCGGCCCTCACACCAGTTGCTAACAGCGATGCACCTGAACCCTCGAGCCCAATCCGTGAAGAAGAGGAAGATACGCCGATAGCTACGGGGAGAAACAAGGAGATTGGTCTGCCCTCTCGCGTATCTACACCAGGAATAGAAACTGGCCGTGTTGCTTCAGAGATTGCAGGTGTTGCTCTCGGCAGCCCGTCTCGCAAGGTATACAAGCATAACGTCCTACAATACGTCTGAAGGCTGACCAGTGCGCAGAACAGGAAAGCTGTCAACTATACCGAGTCTGACGAGGACGAAGATGCTGTTCTCGGACCGGTTACAAACAATTCGAGGGCAAGGGCTACAAAGCGACAAAGATTGAGCGCAGAGGACGACTCAGACGATGAGTTTGGCTTGGACGCTGCGACACAGGCAGCTATGGTTGAAGATGGTATGGTTGAGCCCTGCCCGGACGGGAAGACTCAAATACAATGCTGACCTGCACAACAGACATTGACGAATTCATTGCCCCAGATGACTCTGAAGAGGAGGTTGTCTCGATGAAACGCAAGCGACCAACGTCCTCGAAGCCTAGCACGAAAGCCACGCCTGCGTCCTCGCCACCACAAGTTCGTGTCTACAAGGAGGAAAACGAAGATATCGACGCTGCTATGACCGGCACCTCGACGGCACAGCAGTGGGTGTATGATCCTGAAAACCCTATGCCGCCAAAGCCTCGGTCAGCAACTCAAGATACGAAGAAGAAGACTAAAGTCAAGGAGAAGCCATCTCAGTCTGAACCTGAGAAGCGGTACACGTGGCTTGCGAACATGCAGGATGCCGACCGCAACCCCCTAGACCACCCTGATTACGACCCTCGCACTCTGTACATCCCGCCTGGCGCTTGGGACAAATTCTCGCCATTTGAGAAGCAGTACTGGGAAATCAAGTGCAAGTTCTGGGACTCAATCGTCTTTTTCAAGAAGGGCAAGTTCTACGAGCTCTACGAGAAGGATGCGTCTGTGGGCCACCAGCTATTTGATCTCAAGCTGACTGATCGAGTCAACATGCGGATGGTCGGTGTGCCGGAAGCCTCGCTGGATATGTGGGCCAGTCAATTTGTAGCCAAGGGTTACAAGGTCGCTCGCGTAGACCAGATGGAGTCAGCCTTGGCCAAGGAGATGCGCGAACGCGGTGGTGATCAGAAGACTGCGGCGGGCAAGAAAGCCGACAAAGTCATTCGACGAGAGCTGGCCTCCGTTCTCACATCTGGCACTCTTGTGGACACCGGCATGCTTCAAAACGAGATGTCGACCTACTGTATGGCCGTGAAAGAGATCGACCGCATTGGTCTCCCTGCCTTCGGCGTTGCCTTCGTTGACACTGCGACCGCCCAATTCCAGCTGTGCGAGTTCACCGACGATGTTGACATGACCAAGTTCGAGACTTTGATTGCGCAGATGCGACCTGGCGAGCTCCTCATTGAGAAATCGTGCATTTCAGCAAAGGCTTTGCGGATTCTTAAGAATAATACCCCACCAACAACACTCTGGAACTCGCTGAAGCCGACTAAGGAGTTCTGGCCTGCAGACATAACGATGCGTGAGATCGAAGCCAACAAGTATTTTGAGTCACCGACAGAAGACGATATCGAAGCTTGGCCGCCTGTGCTCCGTGAGGCACGAGAGCAAGAGCTAGTAATGTCAGCTTTTGGTGCCCTTCTGCAGTACCTGCGGACTCTGAAGATTGAACGCGATCTTGTCACATTAGGCAACTTCCAGTGGTACGATCCCATTCGCAAAGCTACGAGCTTGGTACTCGACGGACAGAGCTTGATCAACCTTGAGATATTCGCCAACAACTTCGACGGATCAAGTGAGGGCACACTGTTCGCCATGCTGAATAGGTGCATCACACCTTTTGGTAAGCGACTGCTCAGGCAGTGGGTGTGCCATCCTCTTGCAGACGCACAGAAGATTAATGCTCGTCTCGATGCTGTTGATGCGCTCAATGCCGACTCCACCATCATGGACAATTTCAGCTCTTCGCTTAGCAAGCTGCCTGATCTCGAGCGCCTTATCTCGCGGGTCCATGCTGGTCGCTGTAAAGCACAAGACTTTCTGAAGGTCCTCGAAGGCTTCGAGCAGATCGAATATACAGTCGGCCTGCTCAACCAGCTGGGTGATGGCGAAGGCGTCATTGGTCAGCTGATGGCATCGATGCCAGATCTCGCCGGCGCTTTGGAGCATTGGAAGACAGCGTTCGACCGCAAATTGGCAAAGGAGGAAGGTATTCTGGTACCGGCGCCGGGGTTTGAGGAGGACTACGACGAGAGTCAGAAGGCCGTTGACGAATGCCTTGCTAACCTCGAGATTTTACTGAAGAAGGCTCGCAAGGATCTCGGCAATAACTCCATCTGCTACCGCGACAATGGCAAAGAAATCTACCAGCTCGAAGTACCCAAGAAGACGAAGGTACCAAACACGTGGGATCAAATGTCGGCTACTGCAAAGGTCACCAGGTACTATTCGCCAGAGCTTCGAAAGCTCGTGCGAGCTCTGCAGGAAGCCACGGAGACACACAGTCAGATCACCAAGGAGGTTGCCACTCGCTTCTGTACCAAATTCGACGAAGAATACGCAACATGGCTTGCCGCTGTCAAGATCATCGCGCAACTGGATTGCTTGATCAGTTTGGCCAAAGCGTCTGCTTCGCTCGGGGAGCCTAGCTGTCGGCCAGAATTCACAGAGCACAAGCGTTCTGTGATTGACTTTGAGAAGCTTCGCCATCCATGCATGCTCAACACTGTGGACGACTTCATTCCGAACGACATCAGACTGGGGGGAGGATCGCCAAATATCAGTCTGCTGACCGGTGCTAACGCTGCGGGTAAATCCACCATCCTCAGAATGACTTGCATTGCGGTCATTCTCGCTCAAGTTGGATGCTACCTTCCCTGCACATCTGCGAAGCTTACTCCCGTCGATCGCATCATGTCACGCCTTGGTGCCAACGACAACATCTTCGCAGCTCAGTCTACTTTCTTTGTTGAGCTTGCAGAGACACAGAAGATTCTTTCGGAGGCCACGCCACGCTCGCTTGTCATTCTTGACGAGCTTGGCCGGGGCACATCGTCTTATGATGGTGTCGCAGTTGCACAGGCTGTACTCCACGACATCAGCACGCGCGTTGGCTGCGTAGGCTTCTTCGCGACACACTACCGGTCACTTGCGAAAGAATTCGAGGCACATCCCGAAGTTGTCAACAAGCGCATGCGCATTCAGGTCGACGGCGACTCGAAGTCGATCACCTTCTTATACAAGCTCGAAGAGGGTGTCGCTGAGGGCAGCTTTGGTATGCACTGCGCAGCTATGTGTGGTATCCCAAACAAGATCATCGAGAACGCCGAGCAAGCCGCTCGTGAGTGGGAGCACACTTCCAGACTCGGTGAACGCATGGAGATCAACAAAGATGATGGCGGTGTATACGTGCCTCTCGGGGTGCAAAGTGATGTCGCATGGGCACTCCGCGAGGGCCTTGAGGGTGTCGGCGACCGCACGCTTGATGTGTTGCTTGAGGCCATCGCTGCCTTGTAGGTAATTCAGCGTTTCAGATGTTGTACGATCAAGGGACCAGCAGCTTTCTTCTCGCGCTGTGTAAGGATCTCTTCAGGGCGCATCGGTGTTCATGTCTGGTATGTTATATTGGGCTTTGTGTTTACACAGCGTCGTACCTGCACTTTCTTTGTGATCAGGACGTGGTGTCAATACAAGCAGCTAGAAATATCGTTAAATACCAAATGAAGAGCCGCATCTCATGTCCCCAATTTCTTCGACGAGGCCAACAACCACATCGTGTGGTTCACATATCAACTGTCAGTATCAGCACACAGCAGAGCAGCATATCGAGTGGGCAGTAACACCACGTAAGGGTATCTTTATTCGAACAATTATTACTATCATGATGTCGTAGATGGCGTTCCTATCATCCAGCGACATTAGGCCATTAGGGCTATCTGCTTAGAAGACGTAGCGGAAGTTAGGGTTCTCTCGATCCGTAAGATCATCAAAACCGTGAGCAGTGGTGGTCTCCTTACCAAACTCGCGGTCCTTCTTATTATTCCGGTGCACCAAGTTCCATCTCAGGAACAGGATAACACAAACTAGGACACTGTAGCATCCGAGATGGATAGACAGCGCCTTCACGTAGCGCGGCGCATCGCCATCGAAGAAGACTTGCGGACCCGTAGCATTTCCGGCACACCACGCGAGGAAGTTCAATGTGATGCAAACGGACTTCTTTGTCTGCCCTCCGACGTTCCGCGTCAACATGGACATGCCGAGACCCTGCGCGGCCCAGAAAGTGAAGATGATCCAGTAGGAGATCAGGAGACCGGCACGGGTGGAGTGGTTGGTGTTCTTAACGGTCATGATCACGATTGTGCCAACGAAGGATCTGAGTTGCGTTAGTTGTGCTTTCAAAAAGAGAGCAGAGAGAGACCTACGGAATCATGAACACCAGCATAGTGTACAAGTTCTGGTTGAACTTTTTGGTCATCCAAGCAGAAGCCATCAGTGTGAAGATGATGACAGCGCCGAGTACCATGGAGAGAAGCTGAGTCTCGAGAACGGAGAACTGAAGACCTTTGATAATGATGTTGTAGAAAGCGCCAAGGCCAGATGTGGGCAGTGTTGTGCAGATCTGGATCAACATGTAGCAGTAGGTCTGGGGGTCGGTCAGAGCCTCCTTAAGCTGGTAGGAACGGAAGACCTTGTTCTGGAGACCGGTCTGATTGGATCGAACACGCTCGACCATAAGCTTCTTGTCCTCTTCAGAGAAGCACTTGGCGCGCATGGGAGAGTCAGGGAGCCAGTAGAGGACGAAGATGCCCCAGAGGAAGGAGAAGGATCCGTAAGTGATGAAGATAGCCTGCCATGACCTGATCGATGCGGTTCCGCCGGTTCCCCTCGAAGGATGCTGGATCTGCGAGAAGGCGTAGGCGAGAAGACCACCGACCATCTGCTGGGCACCGTTCATCATGTACCAGTAAGTGACGACCTGGGCCTGTTCCGAGCGCTTGTACCAGATAGAGCTCATGATGAGGAATGCCGGCTGGCAAACGGCCTCGAAGATACCGAGGAGTGTTCGAATGGCGATGAGAGCGGGGAATGTGAAGCAGACGGCGTGTAGGCAGAGTGTGGTGGACCAGAGCATGATGTTGATTGAGAGAAACTTAGCGACGGGGACACGCTGAATCGTCCAGTTGATGGGGTATTCGACGACCAAGATTGCGAGGTAAATACAAGTTGTCAACCAAGCGAACTAGGAACTTGTCAGCTCGTGTGTCGTAGGATGTGAGATCTCATCGTGGTCTTACATTCTTGTTCTGATCAAGGCCGGGGACGTCTTCACGGATGCCCATGATGGAAGCAAAGGACATGGTACCCTTATCAAGCGCCTGTAAAAAGTATGTGAAGACCATGATCGGCAGGACACGCCTGTCGATCAGCTTCTTCAGACGGTCGTCCTCCTCCTGTGAGAGGGCAACAGCGGTGGCATTAGCATACTTGGCAACTTCCTGGTCGACACGCTCGTAGTTGGCATGATCACCCTTCTCGTCAGCAGCGGAAAGCGTCCGCTCAAGCTGGGTGATGTCTTTCTTGTCGTCTTGGGTGGCCATAGTGACTGAACCTCCCGCTATGTTGGCAAAGGAAGAACGGACTCGAGCGAAGTGGGAGATGAAGACCTCAGAACGCAGATGAGCTGCAGGTTGTGGAGTCCCCGACCTTGATATTTCTACCCCGACTCGTTTTCTCCGTCCGTGTGTTGCATCCCCAGTTGCCCCGGCTTCTTTACCCCATGCGGGCGAGCAACTCCGCAACGCCAGCGTCCCAACACCTCGTCCACCATTCATCAACAGGGTCTATACCAAGTACGGCTTACTGTAGGATTAACATTTTTCAAAGCCAACCCTGAATCGCTAGTTCCCCAGGTTCGGCGCCCCGGATGTCATGTTGGCCATACAGAGTGTGGAATGCGGGGTCTTGTTGCTGCAGGATTAAGCAGTGTGGATGTGCCACTCTCTTGGCTCATTAGCAATGCTGGTAAAAAGACGGTACAATGTCATCCGACGAGCGCTTCTGACGGGTCGTATGCGCATGTGACGATGTTACCTCGTGAGATCACCAGGCGAAGTCACTCAAAGAGGATGCCACGGCTGGTGGAATTATTCCACCGTGGTGCCGAGCCCATGTCGGTGGCTTCTTTGATGGTTCAGAACGGTAAGCTTCCTGTCACCGCCTGTTATTGCCGCTGCCCGTCTCCAATCTCATTTGACCGAACAAGCGATCAGCAAGGCCACCCATCGGCGCAACGGCCAACGAATATCGGTGCAATGCTGCGCGAGGACGGAGTGGCTTCCTACTTCTGCGATCGGTGGTGGAGACGATGCGTTCCTCGGTGTTGAAAGGTACATGAAGTTGCAAGGAAGGCGAGAGCCGACGAACCGTGGGACTCCACACTTCAACAGCATCTCCACGTGGAGACAAGCACCCTCGTCGGCACCATCGGTGTAGAGGGCAACGATATCGGTGCAGGATGGCACGAATTGGGTAATAAGCTTCATTAGGTCTAAACCATGCATTGAAAGTTATCCAAAACTCATTCCCCGCGTCCAAAACCTCGTGTCCTCTATTTCCTCGACTTTGGAGCTTCTGCACGCGTTTTCAGTGCTATCGCGCTGTTGAGATTGCACAAGCTGTCAAATCTCACTTTCATAACACCACAAGAACAATCAAACGCGTCCAGCTCTCCACAAACTCACAATGTCTTCCCTCACCATCCAAGGGCTCAAGAAAGAGCAAATCACAACGTCTATCGACCTACTCACACAAAACCTGATCAACATCAACGACACAACCGGCGAGTTCTTGCTCAAGCTACCTGATGGCCGCGTCATCGACACCAAGGGCTGGGATGGCTGGGAGTGGACACACGGCATCGGTCTGTACGGGCTGTGGCACTACTACACTCTGACAGGCAACCAAGCCACAAAAGACATCATGCTGGGCTGGTACTCTAAGCAGCTCGCCAAAGGTACAACCAAGAACATCAACACCATGTCGCCCTTCCTCGCGCTCGCGTATCTGTACGAGGACACCGGCGACAAGACATTTGTGCCCTGGCTAGACACCTGGGCTGAGTGGGTGATGCACGACTTGCCGCGCACGAAGTACGGCGGTTTCCAGCACGAGACATACCTTGAGTACAACAAGGACGAGCTCTGGGACGATACGCTGATGATGAGCGCGCTGCCTTTGGCCAAGATTGGACTCACGCTCAATCGACCTGAGTACATTGAGGAGGCGAAGAGGCAGTTCATTCTGCACTGCCAGTACCTGTTTGACCCGACAACGGGACTGTTCTTCCACGGCTGGAAATTCGAGGAGAAGGATGGAAAGGTCGGGCACAACTTTGCGCAGGCGAGGTGGGCGAGAGGGAACTCGTGGCTTACCATTGTCATCCCCGACTTTATTGAGCTGTTGGACCTGAAGGAGTCGGACCCCACAAGGTTGTTCCTGGTCGGTATTCTTGAGGCACAATGCAAGGCACTGGTCAAGCTACAGCAAGAGGATGGCATGTGGTGCACATTGCTTGATGTTCCAGCCTCCGAGGGCTCGTACGTCGAGGCATCAGCAACAGCTGGTTTTGCGTACGGTATGCTCAAGGCCCTGAGGAAAAGGTACCTCAAGGGTGAGGAATACGAGAAGTCGGCATCCAAGGCTATCAAGGCGGTCCTCGACAACATCAATCCTGAGGGTGAGCTACTGAACACCAGCTTTGGCACGGGCATGGGGCACACACTACAGCACTACAAGGATATTGCTGTTACAAGCATGCCTTACGGCCAGGCGATGGCCATCATGGCACTTGGAGAGTTCTTGAGGTCATTCGTCTAGATTCTGCATAGCTTGGCCGTGTTCACGAAGCAATGATACGATGTTTGATGCAATAAGATGTCTTGGAGTCAATTGTGGAAGTATGCACATTGAGTACCGCTGACTGCATACGAACACGAATATGATAGTTACAAACCTGCATTCGCACAGCACCAGCCTGCTTCAGCCCATCCAATTAGATGCACGAGGCTGCATGTTCATCTCGACTAGATGACAGTATCACGCCGATTAGGCCGCTCTCCATACTATATCGGGTCCCATATAAACGGATACTGTAGATCTACTGTCCGTTGCTTGTATTTCTTGGTATCGCATTCGTACAGATACATGACGTTCCAGATGACAACTAATCCAACGTTTTTCAATTGACTCAGAGTCACGATGAGATGTATTTACGCCCCGACGCGTTGTTATCGTTCCTCCGTCGATGTCAGACGCGGTACGTCGAGGTTCACAGTGAGTTTATGGTATCTCATTCGGTCTTTCGGAGGCGCTTCGACTCTGCGGATCAGAAGTGGGTCGACCATCCAAAGACGGTCCTTCGCCGTCGTGGGAATCACAACGTGGAGGGCCAACTCGGGAAGGGCTATGTTATCGAGAGTCGGTTCGTTTGGAGCGAAGCGGGCGATTTGGCGTGAGAGCGACATGGTCTGGTAATCCCATCGCAAGACAGGCGTAGTGCGTGCATGGTACCATTGCTTGACCACAGGTTTAGAGGGATAGCACCGGAGCGGAGGTCTTTGACTAGGGAAGCGGAACCCAGTTTCCGGCGTGAGTCGCCCCTGGGTGCTCATCAACCTGAAAGTAACACCACTCAGCGCTCCAATCGTTGGGCGCAGGAGCAACTGGGCGCTCTATCTCCAATCCCGAGTCGGACGCGGACGGTGTGGCCTTATTTTTGGTGGGAGTACCGTCTCTGGTGGAAGCATGTATCACGGTCTCTGGGGCCGAGCTCAATGGTGCCGCCTCGCCCTCGGTGGCGGTTGGCAAGGCTGTCTCTGCCTGCGAGCGAGGGTCGTGCCACTGCTGCTCTTCATCAGACGGCGTCTAACCGCCATTGTCCATTGTGGAGAGAGTCAACGTAAGATGCTCTGAAGGATAGTGGGGTGGAAGCGCAAAGAATGGTCGAGGCGTGGTACCTGGCGTAGTCTGCAAGGCGAAACGGAGAAGTTGGAGGCAGAGGTTGACAGCTGACAGCTCCGCGGTCGAGGAAGCTTCAGCTCAGCCCGCACAAGCGAGCAACAATACTGCAGCTTCAAAATGTGCACTTGCAATGCAACAGCGTGCAGTCGCAGGCAGTAATTGTTGCAGTCAATAGCAAGCACTCTTGGCGATAATCTCGACAAGCAACTGCACTTACTGCACGCGCCGTGCGCCCCTCCAAAGTGGAGCTGTTTGTGGAAGTTTGGCGTTGCGTTGCTGCTCCAAAGTCTCACCGCCTGCAAAAATTGTGCCGTGATTGGCTGCTTCGATAGACTTCCACCGAGTTCTATCCTGAATCTCCAGAAGATTCTAAGGTCCACTCAGGTCTTTAAATCTGCCTCCCACTGCCTCTTCACCCTCATTTCTCCATTGAAGTGCTCATATCTTGAACCTCCCACTCATAGACGATTTGTCTCAGCGCTCGCTCTTGCACACACACCACAGCAGAGCTTAATACCACACATACCCCACCTAATTCGTACGTTTGTCTCTACACCAACAACCCCAGCCTCGCACCTTTGTAAGGCCACCGCCTAGGTCTAACAGATCCTTCAGTCTACACACACAACCACCACCATGTCTGGGGAAACCTTCGAGTTCCAGGCTGAGATCTCTCAGCTGCTCGGCCTCATCATCAATACCGTCTACTCGAACAAGGAGATTTTCCTGCGAGAACTCATCTCCAACGCCTCCGACGCCATCGACAAGATCAGATATGAGTCCCTGTCGGATCCCAGCAAGCTTGACAGCGGCAAGGATCTCCGCATCGACATCATTCCCAACAAGGAGAACAAGACCCTTACCATCCAGGACAGCGGTATTGGTATGACCAAGGCTGATCTCATCAACAACCTCGGTACCATTGCCCGCTCTGGTACCAAGCAATTCATGGAGGCTCTTTCCGCCGGTGCCGACATCTCCATGATCGGTCAGTTCGGTGTTGGTTTCTACTCTGCCTACCTCGTTGCCGACCGAGTCACCGTCGTCTCCAAGAACAACGATGATGAGCAGTACATCTGGGAGTCCAGCGCTGGTGGTACCTTCAAGATAACTGAGGACACCGAGGGTGAGCAGATCGGCCGTGGTACCAAGATCATCCTTCACCTGAAGGACGAGCAGCTTGACTACCTCAACGAGTCCAAGATCAAGGAGGTCGTCAAGAAGCACTCCGAGTTCATATCCTACCCCATCTACCTCCACGTTCTCAAGGAGACTGAGACCGAGGTTGAGGACGAGGACGCCACCGAGGAGAAGACTACCGAGGGTGACGACAACAAGCCTAAGGTAGAGGAGGTCGATGACGAGGAAGAAGAGAAGAAGGAGAAGAAGACAAAGAAGGTCAAGGAGTCCAAGATCGAAGAGGAGGAGCTCAACAAGACTAAGCCCATCTGGACACGCAACCCTGCCGACATCTCCCAGGAGGAGTACGGCTCTTTCTACAAGTCCCTCTCCAATGACTGGGAGGATCACCTCGCCGTCAAGCACTTCTCCGTTGAGGGTCAACTTGAGTTCCGCGCTATCCTCTTCGTTCCCAAGCGCGCTCCCTTCGACCTGTTCGAGACCAAGAAGACCAAGAACAACATCAAGCTGTATGTTCGCCGTGTCTTCATCACCGACGATGCCACCGAGCTTATCCCCGAGTGGTTGTCCTTCGTCAAGGGTGTTGTCGACTCCGAGGACCTCCCCCTCAACCTGTCGCGTGAGACTCTACAGCAGAACAAGATCATGAAGGTCATCCGCAAGAACATTGTGAAGAAAACTCTTGAGCTTTTCAACGAGATCGCCGAGGATCGCGAGCAGTTCGACAAGTTCTACACTGCTTTCGGTAAGAACATCAAGCTCGGCATCCACGAGGACTCCCAAAACCGCGGGCAGCTTGCTAAGCTCCTGCGATTCAACTCCACCAAGTCTGGTGAGGAGCTCACTTCCCTCGCCGACTACGTCACCCGCATGCCCGAGCACCAGAAGCAGATGTACTACATCACTGGCGAGTCCCTCAAGGCTGTCCAGAAGTCTCCTTTCCTCGATACTCTCAAGGACAAAGGCTTCGAGGTTCTCTTCCTTGTTGACCCCATTGACGAGTACGCCATGACCCAGCTCAAGGAGTTTGACGGCAAGAAGCTCGTTGACATCACCAAGGATTTCGAGCTCGAGGAGACCGATGAGGAGAAGGCCGAGCGCGAGAAAGAGGAGAAGGAGTACGAGAGCCTCGCCAAGAGTCTCAAGAACGTCCTCGGCGACAAGGTCGAGAAGGTTGTTGTCTCCCACAAGCTCATTGGCTCTCCTTGCGCCATCCGTACCGGCCAGTTCGGTTGGTCCGCTAACATGGAGCGTATCATGAAAGCTCAGGCTCTCCGTGACACCTCCATGAGCTCCTACATGTCTTCCAAGAAGACCTTCGAGATCTCGCCAAAATCTGCTATCATCAAGGAGCTTAAGCGCAAGGTTGAGGCTGATGGTGAGGAGGACCGCACCGTCAAGTCCATCACCATGCTTCTCTTCGAGACTTCGCTCCTTGTATCTGGTTTCACCATCGACGAGCCTGTCCAGTACGCTGAGCGCATCCACAAGCTTGTCTCCCTCGGCCTCAACGTCGATGAGGAGGTCGAGACTGAGGAGGAGACCAAGGCTGCCGAAGAGGCACCTGCTGCAGCTGGCGAGAGCGCTATGGAGGAGGTTGACTAAGCGCATCGCCATCTTCACTTCGTTTCGAAAAGTTTGGTCGGCGCTCTGATATCCCCTTCATGTGTTACGGCTTTTCTTCCCTTTTCTTACCTCACTTGCATGACGATTAGCTTCACCTCCGTCGGCGTCTTAGAGTGCGATGTTACGCTTCACGAGTAAATGGATATCCCGAAATGTGCTCTAGGTAGATTTGCCCTGGGTAGCTCTGAGCATATCTCAGTAGCTGATTCATGAATGATGAAAACTTTCAAAAACTCTTCGTCCCCTTGTCTTTGCCTGTTTCTGTCTTCGCTATTGCTTTCGTCGTTCTCTGTGCTGATCGTACTAAGCTTGTATTCCCGAAGCCATCTACCGAACCCCGCTATGTCACGCCGCCGTCACGCAACGTCATTCTTAGCTTTTCCCGTCGGAAGGCTGTTCAGAACTCACGGTAACTGCCTGGAGAGTATAGACCGATCTGACTGACTCAATACGTTTCATCTTGCCTGATACTTCGTAAGCTTTTCCCTAGGACCTGCGACACCGCATTCAGTGGTTTGCACCGGACCTTTGAAAGAACTGTTGATCTCTTACACTACATGCACATACCGCAAAGTACTGCGGAGCTAGGCATCATGCTATCAATCAGCGAAATCGTCGAAGCGCATAAGCCAGATCTTGAAGCGTATGAGGAACTCTGTGAGTGTGATTTACATGGCCAGGCAGATTCGGCGTTCGTCATGAGATGTCAGGCATTCTTTCGATACCATGTATCTCATTCATTACATCATGTCATTGTACTTGGACCTTTCAGCTCGCAGATTCAATCATGCCGTGCATTCGCCTCACGTACTGACGTCCCAGACAAATGGTTCCATACCCATCCCGAGCTCTCCTTCTGCGAGAAGGAGACGGCCGCCGCCATCGTCAAACACCTGGAGTCCTTCAACGCCTTCGAAATCCACCCGCACATTGGCGGCCACGGACTTGCTGCCGTGCTCAAGAACGGTTCCGGTAAGACGCTCCTGCTGCGCGCTGATATCGATGCGCTCCCTGTGCAAGAGCAGACTGGGCTTGAGTACGCGAGTACGAAACGAATGAAGGATGCTGAAGGGATCGAGAAGCCGGTCATGCATGCTTGTGGGCAGTGAGTCCTTCTTTTCTTCTCATTTCGTTCGATGTGACACTCAGATGTGGCACTCTATTGGTGCGAAAGCAGACTGACGAGCGTAGTGACATGCACATCACCGCACTCCTCGCTGCCGCAGAGACCCTCGTCGAAGCGCGAGAAGTTTGGAGTGGAACACTCATCCTCGTCTTCCAGCCCGCAGAAGAGAAAGGCAAGGGCGCTCAAGCCATGGTCGACGACGGTCTGTACGACAAAGTCCCCGTACCGGACGTCGTGATCGGAGCACACGTTATGCCTGAGAAAACTGGTGTGATTGGTACCAAGCACGGTTTGATTGCGAGTTCGGCGGATTCGTACCTGTAAGCTCAACTCAACTTACAGCCTATTTAGTATAAGAGGGTGGGGAAGGGAGGCTGACAGTCTCAGATTGAAGATCAAAGGCCGGCAAACCCACGCGTCAACCCCCCACCGGGGCAACGACCCCATCGTGCAAGCCGCCAGCACAATCCTACGCCTCCAGACCATCGTCGCGCGGGAAATCGACCCGTTGGACTTCGCCGTGGTCACGGTCGCCGCGATTCACGCTGGCGACGCCGAAAACATCATCCCAGAGCACGCAGACCTGAAAATCGACGTCCGAGCCGCGAATCCCGAGACGCGTGCGCGCGTACTGAAGAGCGTGAGAACCATCGTCGAAGCGGAGGCGATTGCGAGCAGCAATCCTCATGTGCCTGAGTTGAAGGAGATTCGCAATTTTCCGTTGCTGTACAATGATGCGACCGTGACTTCGACGCTCGAATCTGCCTTCTCGAGTCACTTCAAGGAGAGTAAACACGCGAGCTACACCCGAAATATTGCGCGGTTGCAGGGAAGTGAGGACTTTGGGGTCCTGGCTACAGCCGTGGGCAAGCCGAGCTGCTTCTTCCTGTATGGTGGAACGGATCCGGAGCTGTATTCGAAGCTGGAGAAAGAGGGGAAGATGGCGGAGGTGCCGGGTAATCACTCGCCATTCTTTGCGCCGGTGGTACAGCCGACGCTAAGTGTGGGGTTTGAGGGGTACACTGTTTCTGCGTTGACGTTTTTGGGGAAGACATGAGTGGTGATGTGGGAAGGGAGCAAGGGAAAGAACGGCGAACAGCTTATAAATGAGTTCAGTCCTGTATGGGCACAATCCGATTAGAACAAACTTCTCTCGCGCTCGAAACGTGGACCAGTGAACAGATATCAGTAAATCGATACCAGGTTCCAATCGCCACTATTAATCGCCATCTGCCCTTTAGCATCAGATATACCTACCACGGACTACTCGGGTTACCTGCACGAGGCTCAATGAGTATCTTTCCACTAGGCAACAAGCCCTCGTACCGTTCATATCCATACGAGGATGGTGTTAACATATGTCCCTGCAGGCGTTGATCAGCGTCAGGTGATTGAGACACCTCGTCAGTACAGCAGTAAGGTTTCAGATAATTTGGACGCGCACTCTTGAAAATGGGTGAAAGAATCGCAAGTGTAGTGCACTTGAACCTTCATTCAGCTCCCAAAATCCCTCAGCCGGTGAAGCAGTCTACAACCTCGAACAAGGCCCACTCTCCTTCACCTTCCACTTCTTGAACAACGCTTCAGTGAGGTCCATCTGCCTCTGAATCTGCTTCGCCGCCTCAGCCGCCCTCCTATTTTCTCTCTTGCCCAACTGCTCCAAATGCGCCTCATCAGGCCCATCCGCAATCCTGACCGTCCTGACAATCGCCCACATAGCCGCGAGCGGTGTATCCTGGCAAACACCCTCCGCGCCGTATGTCTGCACCGCTTTGTCGATGATTTCGAGCGCCAAGTTCGGGACGAGGATCTTGGCTTGCGCGATTTCGCCGAGAGCTGATTTGGCGTCGCCGGCGTCGATGGCGGCGGCTGCGTTTAGGACGATGAGTCGCGCGGCATCGATGTCGATCCGGGCTTTTGCTATCCAGTGTAGGATCACGCCTTGCTCTGACAGCTGCTTGCCGAAGGGTTTCTTGTGTGGGGCGTTGGCGCGGGTGAGGAGCCAGCTGAGGGCTTCTTCGGCCTGAAAGTTGTCAGTGATATTAACAAATGGTAGGTTCAGAATGCGTACTGTACCAATGGAGCGCATGCAATGGTGGATGCGCCCTGGTCCCATTCGTCCTTGCATGACTTCGAATCCCCTCGACTCGCCCAGAACGATGTTGTTTGCGGGGACACGGACATCCTTGAAGACCAAATGTGCGTGTCCATGCGGTGCATGATCATAGCCATACACAGACAGCATGCGCTTGATCTCGATGCCTGGGGTATTGGAGGGCACAATGATGATCGACTGCTGCTTATACTTCTCCGCATGATCCGGGTCCGTCTTGCCCAGCACGATATACACGGCACAGCGAGGATCTCCAGCGCCGCTAATCCACCATTTCTGGCCGTTCAGTACATAGCTATCGCCGTCGCGCTTGATGCTCAATTGCACGTTGGTCGCATCACTACACGCGGAGTCCGGCTCAGTCATGACATAGCAGCTCCTGATCTCGCCTCGCAGCAGCGGCTCTAGCCATTGCTTCTTCTGCGCCTCAGTACCGTATTTGGAGAGCAACTCCATGTTCCCTGTGTCTGGTGCGGCGTTGTTCGTGGCCTCGGAGGCGGTCACGCTTCGGCCGAATTGCTCGCTCATCAGGCCAAACTCGAGATTCGTGAAACCCGCGCCCTCTTTGTAATGGCCCTTGGCTAGAAACATGTTCCAGAGGCCGAGAGCTTTCGCTTTGGCTTTCAGATCCTCCATGATGGGCGGGTAGCTCCAGCGTCCAGGGCCTTGGCCTAGCTGCGCTTTGTAGACTTCGTCGGCGGGGATGCATTCTTCGTTGACAAATTTCTCTACCTGGGGCGTGTCATCAGTACGGGACCATTTTGTAGTATGCCATGACTTACGATGTCAAGAGTCTTCCTTGCGCGCTCGCTGACCAGAGGTCGGACGGCGGCCGGGATTCTCTGTGAAGCTGTAGTCATCTTGGGTGAGCCTTTGCTGTTCGGTGAGCAGATAGTCAGGTTTGGCTTTCAGCCGTCATCCATTGACGTGTGATATAGCGTCATTTTGATCCTGACCATCGCTTGAGGCACTGCCTCGGGTTTCGGCTGCGAGGCTTGGGTTGAGTTGTGTCGGCGGCAGAGAGTCGACCGCTAGCCTTCCCCATAACGACAGGATCCGGCCTAACCATATCCATCTAGTGCCAAATCTCGTCTTGGGGGTCGCTGAGCTGCGATCCAGATCAACACCACTCTATCATTTATCAGTCATCATGAGGCTCTGTCAACATCCAGACCTGGTCTTACTTGAGGCACACTCAGCCTTCCATCTCTCCGTGCAACTACCTCATACCTAAAGTAGCAGGTCCACTCCGCAACCAATCGCGGCCTCCCTGTATCACCCACCTGGTATCGCAGCACGAATGTGGTACCATGCCACCGTTCATAGCCATTTGGGTGCTTGCCGTGCGTTTGGGTGATCTGTTCGCGCCGCTATTGTGCATCAGCACAGCATTGTCCTTTCTTTCCATTCGCCGGATTTGGCACTGTCTAAGCCGTTTTTGGGCAATGGTCCAAGTCCACATCTTGGCCACCAAGGTACGCGAAACTTGCAAGCCGTTTGAAAAATGCACTGGTCATACTTTGCACGTAGTTTGCACATAGGTCCCGGGTTATCGGTAGGTACGGTAGTTGCATATTACTTGAAGAGGAATGTTGGACCACTGCTGTGGATTACTGGAAGAGGCATTGTCCACTTTCGTACTGAGGCAAAGGACTTAGCGTGAGGCTTGCATAACCCGCGCATGTTGCTGCGGACGATGCTGTGAAGAGTTTGCACGAGTGAGTCTTGGTACGGGTCAAGCAAGTTGTGTTGTTGAGGTTGTGGGATCCGAGATGAAAATAGTGCGGGTTTTAACAATACGAAGCCTTCTAGCAACGCCGAACATCTCAAAATACCCGATGAACATATTGCACTGTGGAGATAATCTATTTGCCAGCATTTCTGGCCTGCAGCTAACGTAGTCCGCATGAAAAAGGCCAATCGAAGGTCAGGCTGAGCTGTTGACGGCGTGGCTTGACCCGGCTTCATGCACCTCGTCTCGGCATCCTGATTTCTATGGCTTCCACCTCACGATCGTATATATGGGGCTTACTGCCGCGCCGGTGTGAGCTCACACTAGCACTTCTTCGGCTACTGCGCGAAGAAAAGTGACCTAGCTCGCTATCCCTTCTGTGTTCTCCCAACGCCAACTCGACTACCTCCGTAATGTCCTCCTCCGCTTTGAACTCAGACGTCTTGTGGTCCTCACACATATGCTTGACGAGCGCCTTGACGTCACCGCATATTGTTACATCGTCATCCGCTTTGGAACATAGCATACATGCGTAGCCTGCATCTGCACCGGGGCGATGGCATTTGACGACAAAACGATTGGAGATCTGGAAACATCGCTCATAACCTGTGTCTCTCTTCAGTACCTCCCAGGTCTTGCCTGAAGACAGATGTATGGTCCTCTTGCAGTCTGGACACGACGGTGTGCACGCATCGGTTATACTGGGGCCCAGCTGCTGTAACCGGTATCGATCGAGATCCCTGGCGTATGAACAGTATAGTGAGTCGGTATTTGTTGCTGCTCGTTTATTGTAAGATCTCAACGACCTTGTGTCCACATCATCCAGATCAGGCCTGCCTCTGCTGAGGATCGTGGTATTGGCTGGACTCCCAGCTCGAATCTGTGGAGGATCTCGGTATGATACCAAAGTTGTTGACTGTTCCTCGTCTTGGTGAAACGATCCAGGCATAGAAGGCGCACGAAGGGATCCTCTACGGGAAACCGACACGCTGGATGCTCGTCGCTCAGCCTCCAGCCGAAGCTGAGAGGCGTCCATGATATCGACTGCTGCAACTACCGCTGCGTGAGAAGCGGCGTCAATCTTTGAAAGTTGTTGTGGTATTGGATCTGAGGAAGTAGGGCCGTACAGAAATGTCGTAAGCAGCACGCCTTGGAGTTTGATCACCTCAGACTGGAGGGAGACGTGTGATAGTGCTAACGTCAGTTAGCATATGATCTAGAGTGCCTCTAGGCTCACACTCTGTTAAAAAGACGTACCGTCTCCAACAGCAAAAGCAGGTCCAACGTCGCGAAGTCCATCCTCATACCTTCGCAGCAGCGCTAGCTTGTCTGTCAAGATGGCTCGATTGCCATCGACTTCGGTGTCGTCGATGACCTCCAGCTTCCTCGAGCTAGGGTAGCCTTTCGATCGTAGCTTCTTCTCAAGGTCCTTCTTCTCTTTGTTCGTCAAAGTCTGATACAGGTCCCGAGCAGCATCAAAGACTTCCAGCAGCGTAAACACTACGCCCTGTAGAACATCTGTGGGTTCGCGGCTGTGACTCTGTGCTTATTAGCTTTTCTTTCAAGAACGACTCGTCGGTCCACACTTACAGGCGCACCCATACTGGCCTCGATTAGTCTCCAAGTAGGAATCAGTGTCTGCTCTTTCCCATGGCTTCACCCGTTTGCTTAAGAGAGAAAGCACCACAGGCGCAAGAGCCCAGCCAGCGCATCTCACGATCACCCGCTTTCGCACGCCCCAGAGTGTCGGGGGGAGCGGCATTTCCAGTAGCCTCATGTTGAATGACACGCTTGTACAGATGGCACACCGCCATTGGGTTCTGCAGGGGAACTTGTTGCCTGCGCGCGTGGGTAGCTGCCGTAGCGCAGGTGTGCGGGCCGCGCCAGGCACGCGACGCCTGATGCGTTACGTCATTGCCCTTTCAGGCGATCCACAGAGACAAGGACAGCGTTTCCTGCATATGCAGCAAGCGCCGAGGTCGTTACATTGCTTGTTTGGGCTGTGAAGGAGGTGAGCGCCTCGTTGGGGCGGTCAACTGAGGGTCTCACGATCCAAAGGGTCGGGAAGGTCTTTGCGATCAACGGGTGTCGCCAGGAATGCGCGTCATCACGCAGTCAGTTAGCGCATAAGCTGATAGTGTGTCATGGCTGTTGCACAAGGAGAATCGTAGAGAGGTGGCTGAAAGCCGTGGGATGACGAGCGTTCCTCATGGAGATGGGATCGTGGCAGGCGAGACAATGAGTCGGTATCGAATTCCAGGGCTCTCTCTTTGTTGACTGTCGCACCACCACGTCGCTGCAAGATACTGTCGCATTCAACTACAATTGTATTTGCTCGGCTCTTATGTGACATAGCCGGTCTACAGCCTCGATTTCTGTCGCTGAAGCTCATTCTCTGCGTTGTCGTCGATCCGAAGGACTGCCCTTCCCCAGGATTTGTGATTCTCTGCGTCTTTCAATGCTTGCGGCACAGCTTCGACACCTCGATATTCTTCTTTGTAGATCACAGGCTGGATCTTGCCACTATCCACTAATTTCATGAAGCCGTCCCACACATTGTTTGTTCTTTGGGGATCGTGTCTGCCATCTTCACCAAAGCGCTGTGTACGATTAGCATCGGACACTTAATATATAACGTAACTCACATAGCCGTGCACCATTGCACTCTTCAACAGTATACGATTCGCTCTCACGTTCTCCATCTTCCCTCCTCTCGCTGCAAATCCCACGACTACAACCCTCCCTCTGTACTTCAAACACTTGATTCCACTCTCAACAGCACCAATGCTGTCATACACCACCTCCACGCCCTGATTTTCTGGTGTCAGATCTCTGACTTTGTCCTCCCATTTGTCGTCGTGGTAGTCAACAACAGCGTCTGCACCAATCCTCCTCACAACATCCGCCTTTTCTGCATCTCCAACGACAGCGATCACCTTCGCCCCCAGTGCTTTTGCGATTTGCACAGCCATGACGCCCAACCCTCCACTCGCACCCAAAACCAGTACCACTTCTCCTCTCTTGACATTCGCAACGTCGACTAGGGCGCCATAACTCACAGCACCGCTTGCACCGACTGCACAAGCCTCAGCATTATTCCACTGCTGCGGAACGTACCGCACGCTCGCTTCGTCGACACAGATCTCCTCGGCAAAAGAGCCGAGGCCGCCTCCAAACACACGCTTGCCGGGCTTAAATGAAGAGCTGGGAGATGCTGAGATGACGATGCCGGAGAACTCAGTGCCCAGTACGAACGGGGGTTGCACATGGCGTTTGTTGTTCTGATGCAAACCTTGGGCGTACAGGAGGTCAACGTGCGTGACTGCTGCGTGAGTAATTTTGATATAAAGAGCCTTCTGTGAATGAGGCTTGGGGGATGGTACATCCTTCGGTGTTACACTTCCAAGATCCTGTGGATGATGAGTACTTGACGTTGCATCTGGAAGACTTCGCCTCACTGTGACGAACTTGTCAATCTGAATGGCCTTCATGGCATGCAATGTGCGAGCGTTACCGGCGACTCGTAGTCTGATCGTATGCGACCTGAAATGTTAACTGCAGGAGACTGCGAGGTAATGGTTGATGGATTGGTATGCAAGGCGGGAGTTCGACTATGGTGGGGTTCCTCGTGCCTCGGTAACTCAAAGCCCACGCCCCTAGAAGGTTTCGTCAAGTTCGATTCTTGCTCATCCTGTCGGTTGCGCTTGGGATCGCACAATGGCTTTGAGCTTACCAGCTTGGATTGTATGCGCCGCTGGACGCAGATAGCATGCCATCGTAGAATGCGTTGGTGTCGACGCCCATTTCTGTTGGCAAAATGTCCAAAAGATCCTCAAACTCCATCATGTCAATATCGAAGTTGAACGCAGATGTCGCATCATTTGACAGCGGAACTTCGGGATTGGCGGATAGGGAGTGTGGCAGAAGTTCAGCCTCGCCAATTGCTGCATTATCTAGGCCCTTAAAAAGTGGAGGAATTTGAGATGACGCAGCTTGAGAAGTGGGCCATGCGTCGGTGCTGCCGCGGGCAGCTTCCACCTTCTTGTTGTATTCTTGCAGCAACGAGGTCAACACTCGCACACCGTGGTTGGCTACTGCACTGGTTGGAAAGGAGGCAAGGTAGACGACAGCTCGTCTGACGCAGGCAAGGTACTCCTGAGCTTCTGCGTTGATCTCACTTCGATGGAATAGGTCCAGGATGAGGCAGATGCCAGCTGTGATGGAGAATGCTTGCTCAACCCAGAATTGCGGCTCGTCCGGCTCCCGCTTCGGATACAGCGAGAGTACATGTCTTGCAGCAGTCGCGCAAGCCCAACGGCTGTACGTGTAGCGGACGTCCTTGAAGCTTTTGTTCAAAAAACTTTGGTGAATCATGATGATCTTATGGCTGCATGATGCTTCATGTAGCCTTCGCGCCCAACTGACCCACTTGGGCCAATGAGGCTGAAGAGGCATCCGATGTGACAGGCACTTGGGGATCTTCTCGGCATAGTTCGATCGCAATTCACCATCCCACTTCAAGATCAAGTTGTACCTTGACGTTTCATCCAAATCTTCGGCTTCGAGCATGGCGTCTCCAAACCGAAGGAGCAAGTAGGCATACTCAAAGAAGTAGTTGCCCACCACAGCAAAGGTTGGTGTACCTTCCTCAACAGGCAAGACAGTTTCCTCGTCGAATATGGCTGGCTTCGACGTCGTGAAATGTTTTCGTTGTATGTTGTGTCCCTGGAAGGGCTGGGAACTCGAGCTCAACCATTCCTGAGTTGCGGCAGCGTACCATATGCGACGCCCAATTTCCCTCTTAATGAATGCCTCTCTCTGTTCCTCGTCAAGGTACGGTAACCTCTCATCGTCTGGGTGGGGACCAATTCGATGTAGATTGAGACCTCTTGCAATGACCATAGCTACGCTCTGCAGCGCGGCCCATTGGTTTGACGAGCCTACAAGATGCTCGAAACCGTGCAAGTTCATGATTGCTTGTACGGACGCCAGATGATACCGCGATGTGTAGTCACCAAGGTTAAGAGATGTGACGGTCGCAGCCCCCCATAGCCTTGACAGACGGACCTTTTCCTCAATCGAGAAGCCCCACTCAAGAGAGACACCTTCTGGTGAGCCTATAAGGCCTGCAGACAAAATCGAGAAGATGAGGCCTGTCCATCGCCAGTCCACAGTTGTCAAGTCGATCTTGCCAGAGGGGTTTGATGCTTTTCGTATTTCCTTCTTCAAGGTTGGGCCATGATACAGACCACCACCCCAGTAAGTCAAGAACTGTTCATGATATTCCACCATGACTAGTATCTTCTCCGTTGAAGGTAGGAGTGATTGCATCTGCACGGTTTCTACAGCTCTTGCAGCTGGCGAAAAGCAACTGGTAGAGTTCGTGGCAGTTCCCATCCTTTCGAAGAACGATGTTTCTTTAGGCCGCATGTTCTTGGACTCTTGGTCCAATAGAGGTACTGTTGAGACATCTTTTTCTGAAGTTAGTGCTCCAATGGTAATCTCTGGGTATCGATGGGCTCCTGCCGATAGAGCTTCCGGTCCTACAGCTGAGAGTGGGCCAGCCAATAAAGTTCCAGATCGGAAGTGTGAGGGTAACGTTTGATCGCGAGATCGTGATGGGGTTTGTATATCTACAGATGTGGTTAGCAAAGATCCACACGCTCGACAACCAGCATTATGGTCCTTTTTCACGTTGCACCGAGAGCGAGTTTTCTCGCAAAGCACGTTGTGATCTCTGAAGCAGACTTCCCTTTCGGGTAAGGCTCGCAGGTGGTCTTTGATCATCTCCCCGAGCAGCGAGCTCCTCCGTTTGAGAGGCTCTACCAAAAGATTCTGGAACATGTCGGGCCGAATGAAAGGTGAACGTACCAGGTGTCAAGGCTGGCAGTTTGAGCTGTTCAGCAGCTGGGAAGGAGGGTGGAGTATCGTGTGAGGAAGCAGTCTCGCTACTTGCAGGCCATGATGCGGTAGGCGAAGATCTCCTCGGATACTTACGATGCACAGCTGGATCATAACCACCAGCCCACACCGTGCTACACAAATGGCCCTCGTTGTTCTGCACGCACCGACTGCAAGGTGCCTTCCCTGTCTTGCTTCGATCACACTTTTGCCGACGCTGGCTGCAGCGCGTGCAAGTTTGGCGCTGCTTAGGCATGTCGCTTAAGATCCTAGTACTGTTCCGGACGAGGCGGCCGCTGTCGTACTGAATGTCCACCTCACAAGCGTGCGGGGGAGGTCTGGGGGGCTCAGGTTCTGAATCAATGGTACAATTTCCACATCCGCTGAACTGAGATCCGTCCACTCGACACGTTGTCCGATGGATGGGAGATGCGCAAGTAATGAGTTGTCCTCATGCGTCAACGTGGGCATCAAGGAGGGTTTGTCTGAATTGTACGATCGTACATCGATCGGGGCACGTGTTAAAATCAGCTCGTCCGCCGCGCAAGCGCGTTCCTAGGACGCCGATCGATCCTGCAGTCTTCCTGGAAATTCGCACGCAACGCGTCCACAAGGCCTGTGGTTCCTCTGTGTCGGCCGAAGGCAATCGTAGAGTGTATGATGCGGACTGAGAGCAGGGCTAAGAGAAAGAAACTGTCAATGCGCTAGCGCCCCAAGCCGAGACGGACCGCGAGCGCCACCGCGACAATAAGGCTCCCGAATGCGAACACGGAGATTTTGATCCTTAAGAATCATCACAGCTTGGATTTGATTCTGAGAACTCTAGAGACGGACTAACGTAATGGCGTAGACATCCATGGATGTTTCGTGGCTGCCAATCAAAATCTTAAGAAGTCGCCTCCACCATCTCCCGAAACTCAACAGCTTGCGAAAAACCCGCCCAGAGCGAACAGACCATGCCCTATCGACGAAGATACCATTCATCCTCCCATTCGCGCACAAGATGGGCGTTGAGGCGCAGATGGTGAGGACACTCGGAATGATGAGTGACCGAGTGAATATTTCGAGGCTCTTTGTAGCTTGCAAGACACTCCCAGCAGAACTCGTGCCTGCATCTCGTACCTACAGACGATGCGATTAGTGTTCATTCCCTGCAATTGGACTTAAGGCCTACAAGTCATATGGTCGCAGCCATTGATCTTCTCGATGGGGCGTTTGCAGCCTGGGCAGTGCTTGGCTTTCTCCTTCAGATACTTCTTGGTCGCTTCCTCTTCTTGTTTGTGGGCCGTCTTCTTCTTCCTATCCATCATCAGTTTCAATCAGCCTTCGACTCATGGATTTGGACATACATCTGCTCATATTGTTTGCAGGTCACCCCCTTGTGCCATGGCACATTGTGCTTCACGCAATGCGTCTGCTTGCACTGCACACATTCGAACTTGCCTGTACCTGGAGCGATCTGCTGACCCGACTTGCATCCTTTCATAATGCACCAGTACCAGCCCGGCATCGCTTCGAGCTCAGCTTTGATATGGAACTTCTTGTATTGGCGGTAAATTACCGAAGGTGCAAAGTCTCGAATATCTTCGATTCTCAGACGTACAGCGCACGTCGGGCAGTTGATGTCATCCCATGTCTTGTCCGAGAAGGACGTGCTAATACATTTCCGGAGACAGCTGCTGCACACATCGACATCGTGAGTGCAGCGTGCCGTTGGCGGCTCGAGAGGAAAGTGAGAAAGTGAGCGACTATTAGCGCAGACCGCACACTCTTTCCTTGATCGTGATCTCCGACGACGATAGTCTGTGAGTGATTCTTGAGACCTAGGTCTTGAGTTAAAAGACCCAGACACATTGTCGTTGCGGAGATCAGCGGATTGGGCCTCGTCATGGTGATACCCTTTGTCCGGTGTGGTATGGCTCCGACGTGATGTTTTGGGAATTTGTGGCGCCTGCTGCCCTGTTCGGCGATTTGCTGAGGTCTTATACCCAGACCAAGTCTTTTGATGCCTCGAAGTCGGCTTGATGTTCTGGGATTCCGCTCGATGCGAAACAGTCCGCCGTCGCCGTCTCGGCGCATTCTGCGCACTTGCGGTATCATCGTCCAATTGTGCATTAGGTCTGGTATGCTCATATGGTATCGCACGAGTTGTTTGAAAGCGCGCTCGTGATGAGACTGCATGTCGACTCGATGACTGTCCCATTGTGCCAGGAAGGGGAGCGATGGTGCAGTCTACCAACCCAAACGTTGGTCCAGTGTCTCGCGATAGGGCGTTTCCCATGCGGGGTTATGAACCAGTCAGCGCGCTGATTGGGTATAGCTACAGGAAGGCTGACGATTTGCAAAAGAGGGCACCAGGCTGAACCGCGGGATGTGACTTCGTTGAGTTGGGGAGCACAGTGTACGCAATTGTGCTCACTATCTATACAGCCCCCACCCCTCATATTCATTACCGTAGCAGTCTAGCTCTCCTGCATCTTCAGCGGCAGGCTTCCTGACAACTGTTATTTCGCCAGGCCAATAACCCTCAACTTCTGGATCAGTCTCACCCATAGCCAGCAGATTGTTGAATACAGCCTTTCTCTCTCTTCGAAATTTCCCGACCTCTGCGACGACATCGAGCTGTGGCTGCGCTGCACATTCGACCCTTCTCGGTTGAGGCGGGACAGGGTAATGCACAGCCAGCTCAAGACCCTCCATCGCTGCCAATGGCAATCCACGACCGGATTCTCTTCTAGGAATGCCACACTCTTCGTCATCAAAGAAGGAGAAGTCGTGTGTTGCCGCTTCCCAGAAAGCTTCCGAGTCAGCGTCTTCGGTCGATGACTTTGTGGGATACGCCCTCCAGCTAGTGGAGATCTTTTTGTGTTGTACCTGAGGCGGAGCCATCTCAAATATGATGCGCTTCAGTGCGAAGAGTCCGCGTGCATATTCTCGCTCTGCGACATTGCGGCTGCGCCCAGGAGGTAGCCTGTAGGTATGCTTAGCACGCTGTTTGGCAATCGATGCCTCTTCAGCAGCATCCTTGATGTATTGTATGAGGCGATGTATGAGGTCGGGATCATTCGTCGATGTTGGTACATCAACCAAGACTAGGGTGTGAACTTTAGGGAGCATGCCTGGATGTAACCTGTTCTCTCGCGACTGCCGAAGCCCAAGCCTGGCTCTACGGTCCTCCACGAAATGGGTAGAGTCATGTCGCGACCTTCTACCTGTGATTTCATTCGAGATGGAATTGCGTGAACTTGATAGCATTGGCGAAAGTGCTGACACGTGGTCGGGCGTCGAGTCTCCCCTCGAAAACGGTCTTTGATTCTCATTGCCTGGCAGGAGTGGGCTGGCAGGCGACATCAGTGAATCCAGAAATAAAGGCTCTGGTGCGTAAGCAGCACCTCGTTTGACTTCTCGTGGCTCTGAGGTAACTTCAACTGAAGGCGTCCGTGTGACATTGCCCGATCTTCGCTTGACCAGTGGCATCTCGGATGGGAAAGACCCAGGCAACTCTACGGGAAAGGCTGGGCTTCCAGGAAGCTCGAAGATGACGTTCTCTGTCGAGCCAAGTTCAAGAATCGGTATGGGCTGCCGGATGTCTTCAAGTTCAGTCGGTATCTGATTCTGGTGTGTTTCGAGTTCGTGCGCATTTGTTGGTGTACATCTGCCCGGATCTCCGCCGAGCTCAGCACGCGACGAGGGCAGGGCTTCTGTCGGTGCATCCTCAGTAACGATCTGGTAGTTGACTCTCAGGTACTTCATTTTTGCAGCTGCAAACTCGGATAATACCGGGGTCATCTTCGCAACGCCTGGAAGATCCATACTGTCTTCACCGTTCTCGTTGACCAAAGTACGCTGCACAGAACTCGTCAGCACTGCAGGCAATACTCCCACATCAAGGACACGGAGGCGTTTTGACCGCAGTAGCCCAGATATTCCTTCCACTGTTATCGAGGTCCTCGAAAGATACAGATGCGTGACCCCCATATCTCTACTTTCTTCGATGGCTAGACTACCAGCAAAGCCTCTGGTCAACCTTTGGCGAAGATGACCGACCAGATCTTCCGATTCGTGATCATCGATATCACCGCTTAACCTGCCGTGCTCTACTGGAGGCAAGGGAGCTCGAGTTACGTGCTCTGGAATAGGTTTTTCCTTCAGACAGTGTTCCAGCAGTAGTCTAGCACTCGCATCGGTCAGATAATTGCCACTCACGTTCAGACTTCTGACGCGCGTCCCTATGGAGGTTGAAACAACAGAAAAGTCAGCGTCTTTCAGTCCCAGGTCCTCTAGGTTGAGAACTCGTAGACTACGAAGATGTTTGAGCTTGCTGAGAACCACTTCAGATCGAGCAGCTGGCGTTCTCGACAAGTCCAAGGATATGAGGTCCGGGAAATGGGGCAGAGCTTCTGCAAGTCCTGTAGAAGTTGCGTTCGTACAGCCTGAAGCATCAAGCAAGCGCAGGCCAAACACTGGAAAGGCAGCCCGGCAGTGAGCGTTCCACCACGGGCTAGCATGTCGCAACGTTAGAAGCGCTGCGTGGTCAAAGAAGGGCAGTCCGTTGATCATAAGACACTGCAGATGAGGCAATCTTTCGAGGCAGTCTCGTAACCACTCAGAGTGAGGGCCTCCATAGATCTCGGCGTGGGCTGGTGGGAGTTGGAGAGTGTGAGTCAAGTCGCGCACGAAAGATCGTGCGTATGGCAAAGTGCGTTTGAAGCGGGTCAGAGCAACTGTCGTAGTTCAGCATTCGCGTTAAATTCAGAAGCATTCAACAGCTTACCATAAACTGTGTCGTTCTCCACACCAAAATGTGATGCGGGACTACCCCAAAGGTGCGGTGTAAAGATCTCGTGCCATTTCTTGCATACAAGAGCTGCAGCGCAATTGGCGTCCGAGGAGAGATATGGTGCAACTAGTGTCCACGGATCTGTTTGAATTGCACTTTCGTACGATGGTAGTAGATCATCCATGTTCGTGCATAGAGGTGTTAAGCCGGGAAGGGGGCCGCGCTCATGGGTGATATCGACTTTGATCAGTCGTACAACGTTGTCGCGGTCGTGTAGGAAACATCCCTTCCACAACCGAGTAATGCGCAAAGAAGTGAATACCAAGACCCGTATGTGGCAGTGTCATGAATTGTGCCAATTAGCAAGGGCGATGATGTCGGTCAAGCTGACCGCGCTAGGAGCCGCTCTAACCGGACTTGCTCACAGGCAACAACGCCTTACGCCCTCAACACAACTCATTGATCGGTTTGATCGGTTTGATCGTACATTGGGATTATGTTGCGCATAACACCGACGCCTTTAATCTGCTCGACGGAATTGATATTGACGTTAAGATTCGGCTGAATCTCAAGTTGCAAGCAGAAATCCCTTCTTGCCCCCGGATGTAGCTTTGGCATTGGACTCAGTACTCCTGCCTTGAGCTTGACAGATCCTCATTATTTCTTCTCTACCTCAGCATCCTCTCCTCTCGTTATTCCTTTGTTCTCATTCTCCGCTATCGCCCCTTGAAACCGCTTACTGTTTCCCTCCAGCCCCGCCATCATGTCTTCAGACAAGCCCGGGACCGTCATCTCGAATACCTCTCTGATAGCGGTGTATTCGTAGTAGCCACATCGCGCGATCGGTACTGGCTACGTTAGCAATCTACACACCAGATCACAAATACCTCATCTTACCAGTCTTCTGTGTGTCGATCTTGCCGTTCGTCAACACCCTCTCATCGATATGAATCCCCACGACCCTGCCAATGACGACATCCACCGAGCCTACCGGCGGCGCACCAGGTAGTCGCAGTGTCGTATAGTGTTCGCACTCAAATCTCACAGGACTATCCCTCACCATGGGAATCTTCCTCTTCTCGCCTTTGACGTAAATCTCATTGAGCGTACTATCCACCTTCGCTAACCCAGCTCTCTCGAATTCATCGACGCCATACTCGGTCTGTTCAGCAGTGATGTTGACAGCCTTGCGCAGATCGTAGGTAGCCAGATTCCAGCAGAATTTCCCGGTGGCTTCAGTATTCCTGACCGTATCCTTTTGTCGTGCAGTGGGCGTCTGGTTGGCACTGAACATCACGTAGGGTGGGTCGAATGTGAGGTTGTTGAATTGGGAGTATGGTGCTAAGTTTGCTTGTCCGGTTGGAGAGAGTGTCGAGATCCAGCCGATTGGGCGAGGGACCACACAGCCCTAATGAGGTCAACTTCGTGTTCTTGATCGGAGAACTGACAAAAGCAGGAGCTTGATATCAATTGCAGATGATGCATACTTTGAATGGATCATGGGGCAGACCGTGCTCATCTATGCCGGGTCGATAGAACATTATGACCGATCTTGCTTCAAGCTGAGTTTGATGGTTTGGCTAACAAACTGTGTCAATCAACTGTCGAGGTTTCGATGCCTACATATATGGCTGTCTGTCCCAAATAGCGATGCTCAGCTATCATGGCGGGGAACAACAGCGTCGGCAACTCTAGACGGGACACTAGATCCTGACGCCATGTTCACGCTAATGCACATGGCCATGTGGAGAAGCGGTTACCGGTAAACCCGAGGTACACCACAAAACATTCACAATCGAGTTCTGATCAAAGCGGAACAGGGGTTACAACACACAAACAATCAACTGCCCTGGTTCAATTTGAAAGGGGGAAGACATACACTTGCAATTGGCTGGCGAACTTGACATTCCAAATCACAGCTTCGCAACGACGCCCCTGTCTACCTACCCGTCAACCCTCGGCCTTGACTCGGACATCCATGTGAGACCACAACGATGGCGGAAACGATCCTCATAACAGGTGTTTCACCCGGCTTAACTTAGGGCTGGCATTCCTACACCACTACGCCTCGCAGACACCGCCTCCATCAATCATCGCCCTCGACACCGCTCAACTACCATCCAACTTCTCCAAATATGAAAACATATCGTTCTCTCAGGTCGGCATTGCCTCTGATTCCAAGGTTAAGGTTCTGGTCATTAAGCACGTTCACAACCCCCATCAACCCCCTAGTCCATCACGCCGGGATCCGTGGCCTCATCCCCTCAATCGTGCGCTCTCAACGTGGCAACGTCGCAGCTGCCGAAACGCTTGGAGTAATGGACCATTCCACGTTCACCACAACCTTTGAAGTTAATACCTGGGGCACATTCAACGTCATCACATCATTCTTACCTTCCCTCAATCTCGCTACAAATGCTAAGTTTGTGATCCTAAGCTCGCGGGTGGGCAGCGTGGAAGCGAACACAGCGGGCGCTGGGTATGCGTATCGGGCTAGCAAGGCGGCGCTGAATGCGGTAGTGAAGAGTTTCGTGATCGACCTGCCGGAGGTGGCGTTTCTGTTGCTGCATCCTGGGAAGGTGGAGACGGGGCTTGTGGAGTGGAAATAGGAGGGGGCTATTAGTTCTGAGGAGAGTATGAAAGATTGTCTGAAGGTCATTGAGGGGTTCGAGAGGCAGAATAGTGGGAGTCTACTCGATCGGTTTGGAGTGACCGTTCCGTGGTGATTTGCAAATGAGAACAGCGATAGTGATAGCTACGGTGCACTAGAGGGGTAGACTAGAGAGCCATATAGATCAGAAGAGTGGTCTGAAAGAACCAAATCTGGAGTCATCGTTCATATCGTGGGTACTACGTCTTCCTCCACTTTTATTAGCCTTGTCCGTCTGAGACGAGCAATACCGTACGCGCACATGTGTCTGAGATCAGCACGAAGCACATGACACAATGCCTACCATTCGTGTCGCCGAAAAGCCCTACTTCGTATAGGTTTTGATTGAGTTGACCAGAAATTGCACCTCGTCAAAGGCAGAAGGAGTCTTAGCAACATAGTTGCTGCGCGAGGCGACCCCTGTCTTTGCGCGGCACTGGGTGTGGTCTTCCCAAGCTTTAACACCTGCGAACTCCCCACAGAAGGTGGTGTTGAAGATCTATGAATGATCAGTGCATGCATTGACGCGGGGTATTTGAAACGTACAATCTTCGAGTCTCGATGAAGTTGAAGGAGCTGAGGGAGTTGCCCACGTCGAGCTTCTTGCCGAGCCTAAAAGCCTGAGCCCTGGGTGATGCTCAAGGAGAGACGAGTGAAGCAGTGCCATGGCTGCTGTATCCTAGTGTGTATGGCAGGGGCGGTGGTGAAGCAGAGAAAGGAAGTTCACCTCAACCTCACGTATGTCTTGAAGTTGAGGTGAAGACAACTAAGTGCATCGCCGTCCGTGCGCTGTTGTTTGGCGAAGAACTGTTGGGACTCAGAAACAAGTGAAGGTATATTCGTTAGTAGGACCAGTGGCATTATACTTCGTAAATCCTTGAAAGGCTTCATGCTGCGCGGGAACGTCACTCGTAGGATCATCTCCGCACTCAGCGGTGACCCAGGTTCTTGGACGATCGCCTTCCAGCCTTGCGGGCAGTGCTTGGCTATGACAGCTGTCACCCGGTGCGATCAAAGTCTAACGGCAGCTCTGGATGCTTGACTGTGCTCTTCCTTTCTGTCACTGTTTCCAAACCTGCCTGCGCGTTCTCCTGCTCCCTGGCCCCAAAGCTGGTGATCTTGCCAGCAACTGTAAGGCTACCCTCGACGCCCTTTACCAGGCCATCTAGCGCTGAAAATATATCGCCCTGGCTTCGCTCTCTCGCCTCACTCAGTATGGCGTCTCCAGGCTGGCCCTTGCCTTTACCCTTCTTCTTGCCAGGTATCTCAACTCCTTCTATCCGTAGCATCAAGCCCTGGTCCAGCGCGCTTTCGTCGAATGATGGTGCTGTCCGTGTCGAGGCGTTCGTGATCTGCCATGAAGACGATAGTGACTGCGCGTCTACTACCGTCCGTCCGTCCGCAGCTACATCGACTATGAGGTAGTGCTCTCTGACTCCCGGTATAGGAGGCGGCAGGGGAGACTCGACTGGCGAATCGTGCCCTGAATCTTCCTCGCCCACCTGATCTGGGTCATCGTTCCCTTGTAGAGTATCATGCGGCAAGTACTGTGCATCGTCCAGGCCCATGCCGCGCATTGACGCAGCAGTCACAATGACTGGATCATCATCCGCAAACACATAATGTACATATGGATGGTAATGTTCGCATGAGGTCGAGTCCTCTACGAGTGCAAAGAACGGTCTGAAATTCGGTGGAGGGAGGAGGGTCTGCTCGGAGCTAGGTTCAGGGTAAGGAATGTCATCGTCGACTGCTGCCTCTTCAAGCTGTGGGTACTGTTCTTCTGGTAATTTTTCAGCGGGGGGGTCTTCAAACGGCAAGGCTGGCGATCTCGGTGAGTTTGCAGAGCGTAGTGGCGGAGGCGACTTGGATAGACTTGGGGTGTTGAACATGGTAATGAGGCATTGATGGATCGTGTGCGGCTGGAACAGCTCGAGTTGAGCTCCAAGTAGTGATCGGCAACAATTGGTCCGTGCGCACAGATCGATTGACATGTGAACGCTCTACAAGTCTGGCGCGAACATTCCCACCTAAAACTTTGTCCTACGGGTATCTTCCAAACGCCTTAAACCATGGGAATTCGCATGAACGCCATAAAAGCAGTCGCGCTGTTGCAAGCCCAAATCTACTCCTTCCCATTCCATTTGAAGCCAAGTGAGGCTGTATATGATGTCTTTTGTGTAGTCCTGTCGCGGTGTCGTTCCACTTGAGGCGTCTCGATTATATGCTGTCTGGCAGCTGCGTAGGCTGATCTGCCCCGGCGGAGGTGGCGTCTTGACCCTTGGACTTGAAAGCTATTCCAGATGTCAGTGATTGTCGCACAGAGCTGAATATCCCAAGTAGTACTCACGCTGACGGCACATGGGGCACTTCTCTTGCGAACTTTCTTGCTTGAGCCACGAGAGAATGCAGTGCTTCTATGGATTAGCTGCAGTCTTGTGCAATGGCCAGCAGTTGCATACCATGTGGAAAGAGTGATTACATTCGCCGAGAACTAGAGAGTGTTAGCACACTCATAACATGAAAAAGAGGCAACATACGCAGCGGACACTCGTCGCCAGGGAACTTGCACTTGGAGCAGGTGCTGTCATAGGGATTGCGGCAGATACCACAAACATCGTCGTCAGGCATGTCCCAGCACCAGGCTGCCACCGCATTCCACTCCCTGATTGTGACCTTCATAGCGGTTTGTCGTTACTGGATGTTGTTGCCGGCGCATTCAAAGTGGGACGAAAACAGACCGTGGCGGCTCAACCGCGGCAGAAGCGCCTGTCAAGCTTGTCAAGCTGCTGGACCCTTGCTCGAGCTGCTCCACAGCCTTCCCCACACAGCACCGTACACAATGCCGAGTTCGGCTGACGACATTCGGGCTAGAGACCGATGAAGCTATCCCAGGCCGCTGCGATGAGATGAGCAGCTATCGGAGGCACAGATACAGCTGACGATGCTGACTGAGGATTGAAGCGGGCGGGTGAATGCATGATCCAGCTGGCCGGAGGAAGTTGCAACGGGCGTTGCTGGAGCTTCCTCTAGCCCCGAACTTAATTCGTGCCCTCAATCGCACAATTGATAGAGAGACGAGAGCTCCTCCCTGGCCTCCGAACGCTCTCCACTCTTCCAGACTCCGGAAGCTGGTAGCCCGCGATAGTCTGCAGCTTCTCGTACCAACATGTTGTCCCAACTCCACAACTTCCGCAGCACCCTGCGGCCGCTCTCTGCATTATCCTGCTCTCGTACCTTTGCGACGAGCAGAGCTGCCATGTCCCAATATGGCCTCAAGACGTACCTTATCAGCCCGGCTGAGCTCGATTCAGCACTCAAGGAGAACGTTAACAGCAAGCTATCGACTGCACCCAAGATCGTGCCTCTGTGCGCATCATGGTTCCTTCCCAACGACGGCCGCAGCGGCAGAGAGACATTCCTAGCTGAGCGCATTCCTTGCGCACAGTTCTTCGACCTTGACGCTGTCAAAGACGCTCACTCGCTGTTCCCTCATATGCTGCCATCAGTAGAAGATTTCGCTGTTGCTATGCGCAAGCTGGGCATTCGGAGGCACGATAGCGTAGTTGTCTACGACAGCAAGGAGCTGGGCATTTTCTCTGCTCCTCGCGTTGGCTGGACTCTGCTAGCATTCGGCCACCCAAACGTACACGTTCTGAACAACTTCCGCAAGTGGGTAGAGGAGGGGTATCCTACGGAGAGCGGGGAACCCAAGGCCGTCGACGAGGTCGATTACCCTGTGCCCGAGCTCGATAAGGCTAAGGTTGTTGTATTCGAGGAGGTTCGCGAGATCGCCAAGGAGCAAGGACTGGAAGGCGCGGAGGAAGTACAAATCCTCGACGCCCGAAGTCTTGGCCGCTGGAAGGGAGTCGACCCAGAACCACGAGAGGGTAAGCTTCAACTCTGATAGCTTGACTGAGCGTCTTTACTAACAGCCCCAGGTCTCTCATCAGGACACATTCCGCACTCGATCTCTGTTCCCGTCAGCGACCTTCTTGATGCCGACAGCAAGACGCTCTTGTCAGCCGAGAAGCTTCGGGAGGTCTTCAAGTCCAAAAACGTTGACTCCTCCAAGCCCATCATTGCCAGTTGCGGTACTGGTGTGACAGCTGCGGTCATTGACGCGGCTTTAACTGAAGCTGGCTTCCCAACTGAGCAACGAAGACTGTATGATGGTAGCTGGACTGAGTGGGCACAGCGGGTAAAGTCTAACGAGCGTCTGATCCGTAAGTCTGAGTAGGAGGGCACCAGGAACATTGGCTACGTCTTTACTTTATCTGGCAGATTGATACCCATCGCGTATGAGCAGCAACCGGAATCGCGTTGCACTATTTAGCAGATAGCCCAATCATCGAACATGTTAGCAGTGTTTCGCCTTCGTACCAGCCTCAACTGCTTTGCAAAAACATACACATACTACCCCGTCTCCATCAGACGGTTTCTGGGCTCATCATTTAGTAGTAGGAAAATTGCAAGTATTCTGACGGTGTATTACTTGCTCTCGAGTGAGGCGACACATTTCGTTGAGCCACGTTCCTGTGTCGTGCAAGCGACGTTTTCGAACACTTTTCCATGGAAAAAGCACACCGACGTACGCAGTTCAATTGCCATACCGCGTATGAGCAATAGGCCCTGAATGTGAAACACATATCTGGGTATGGGCTGATATGCATTTGTTCAAAGTGCTGAGTTGAGACTGAGGGACGCTTTGTCCTGCATTTCCACGCACAGACGATTAACAAGAACATGTCCTACCAGTGCTATGAATAGCCATGATAACAACGACATATTGTACGGACGAGCAGTATCAGACACACATGTCCCGACTCTTGTCCAGTGTACAGAACCGCATCCAGCTCATACACCACCTTCAATATGCACTCCCTTCAAACCATCTTTGCTCTTTGCATACTCGCACTAGCATCCGCCACTCCAGTTGTTGAGAGTGGAAGAACTTCACATATATACCAATCAAGGCATCGGCGTCTTGGTGATCATCACTTTGCTTAGCCTCATCATCAGTTCTCCCATCATCTCAACCTTACTTGACAACAAAGTCACCATCGATTGACGAACGTCATCCTTTCCGTCCCTATCACTTCAGCAAGCCCGACTAGGACACCACGACGGCTTCCTGTAACGAACTCATCCAAGCACGCAACGCTCCGAATGTAGCGACGTCCTCAAATCCCGTGACGGCCTTTAACTCAAAGGCGAACTCGGAGGAATGTACACGTGAACCGGCCCGAACTGGATCGGGACAGGCAAGTACATCCGCCCGGCCATGAAGACCTGCTAAGGCCTCTTCTTAGACTTCAAGTTCAACTGGTGAAGCCGCGTCATTAGAAGCGATCCTTGCTGCAGTTACACGTGTATATTGGAAGCCGAAGTAGTATGGAGAGAAGTTGAGAGACTTAGGCGACAGCCAACAAAGTCAACCAAGCGCCGAGCCGATGATGAGATAAGAACAACGAAGCCTACAGGCGATTGCGAGCGTACAAGAAGGAAGGCAAGCACGGGGTGAAGACGAGTTGGCTACGTGAGAGGAGTCAAGCAGCTGCATCAAAGACCCCAGACAGCCTGCTTATCGACTGTAGTTTACCAGCTCAAAGTAAAGCCCTTAGAGCTTCGAAAGTCCAAAATGCTGGAAAGCCAGCCCAGTTGCCACTGCGCTGATGCCAGCACACAGCAACAGCCGAGTGTTCGACTTCATCTCATCCTGCTTCGCTAATAGCCACCCCGGTGCGCTCTCGTCGATAGTCCGCACCGCCATATAGCCTAGCTTAGGTGCCTTCACAGAAGCTGTAGCCAGCTTCTTGACTTGAACTTCGTAGAGCATCGGGGCCAAATAGGTCGCGAGTACCCTGCCGAGTAACGTGTCGTACGAGTTCACTCCAGTCGCTTTGCCGGAAAGCTCGGCGAAGGCTTTTGCTCGATCGTATCGCTCTTTCTGATATTCAGCGAACATGGAGGTGATCTCTTCTTTGGTGGGATGACGGTTGGGGTTGGCGTTCAACTCGCGATTCAGGATATTTTAGAGCACTGTTGCATCCTCGATTGCGATATTCGCGCCAATACCCAAATCTGCAGTCATCTAGTGCATACACGTTAGCCTGACCCAGATGCCTTGTGACGCCCTGCCCGAAGAGAACGTTCGGCTCGGCGGCTGCCATGCCGCAATCCTCGTGGTTACCCTTCATCTTACTGTCTCCAGACATGTCATTGTGTTCGCTGAAGAGCACCGATTTGTCCGAGTCCGGTACTGTACTGTGTATGGTTCGAATTTGCTGGCATGGTCCCACATCTGAGATCTGACGATGCTGTGCACGCCGTCTGCACCGATGACTCTATCGCCATCTTCCACAGTGCCGTCGGTAAGCAGAACGCGAACACCGGTGCTGGTGTGCTCGATAGTCTCTACGCTTGTTCAACCTGACGGTAGACTTGTAAGGGAAATTATCGTACAAGTGAGCTACGCAAGACTGTCGATCGAAGAGAACAGGCGCAACGCCGAAGCTAGGGCGATATTAGCATGCTCATCCTTGCGCTGATACCTGGATATTATTGGCATACAGCTGTTGGAATCGGTGCATGGTACTGCGACTACCATTGATGGTCCCATCTGACCAGCGACGATGTTCTGTGATCACCGGTGTGGTAGTCTTCAGGATATTCTGCATGAAGCCGAACTGATCGAAGATGCGCTCCGCGTTCAGCCAGAGGATGAGTGCTGCCCCTTTGACAGACTTAAGTTTGTCATGTTCCTCCAGAACGACATGGTCGATCTTCGCGAGCTGAAGAGCATGTGAGAGAGTCAAGCCTACGATGCCTGCGCCCACGATAATCGCCCGGAAAGGCTTAGATCTTGTTGTGTCTGTATCTGCCATGTTTCTGTCCGTGTCAAGCCGTGTCGACATGCGAGATGTTACTCAAGAATCGGTAGATATAAGTGTGGTGAGGGGAGGTGAACAAGGAGGAAGGAGGAAGGCAAAAGGTGAGAGGATGTAACGGAAGGCGTGCGTCAGCTGGATCCAAGTGTGCTCTTGGTGAATAGGAGAGCTTTTGTCAGACGCTCGCATTTCTTAGGCCAAGATCTGGCTTAGTGGCCTGAACGGTGAGGTCGATGAGCCAGTAACGTTGGTCCATTGCTGACGCTGCTAGCAAGATTCGCGGATGGGCGTTGATGCCTGCCAATCGAGCGCATATGCCAGATGTTAAATTTGCTGCACCGAAGTATGCGAAGATGTTGCACCATGAGCTGAAGGAAGGGCGCATTCAAGGGGAGGTCCATCAATGGAGTCATGTGGATGCAGCTGCCGGTTCAGGCGTATGTTGTGAAAGTTGCCAGGGTCTAGGATCACCAGAGCTAGCTGAATGTCTCCTGGAGGAATTCTGACGCCCAAGTAAGTCGTCACACGTTCCGGGCACCCGGTAAGCTTCTTCAGCTTGCCATGCGGTTCGTGCAATAGACACCAGTAAGAAGGACCCCACAGAGCACATCAACACCAACAGGGTGGATACGTACCTGGACAACAACATGCTCTTAAAACGAAGGCCCCACACGAAACGTAAACATTGATCAGTGTCCTCGAACGGTGACTACACCTCGTGGAGTCTTCCTACTATCTTGCTGGATAGCGTACTGCAGCAGATTGGTTGGGCAGCCTTGCGCGACCGCGCGGTCAGTGAGTGTATGAGACCGTCCTACGATCCACACAACTGCCGGCATGGCATGCCACCTAGAGGACACCAAGAGACTCGGGTGGATCGCGGCTTTCACTCGAGCGTTCGGCTAAGGTGTGGAGCGCGCGGGAAAGGGATGTGCATGGGCCTCTGCGCTAGAACCGATCGGGCACCCTTCCTCTGCACCTGCCTGCGCACGCAACCTCACCTTTGGGGAAGAGGAGTTGCTTTTCGACGACGCGCACGTCCAAACGCCCGCGCATTCTTCCTAACACTGCCCGTCGCCTTGCTATCGATGACCATACCGCTCTCTGCTTGTCTGGCGGACTTGCGATCGCGGTAGCCCCATCGGCAGATAGCACCAGTGCCGGCGGCGCGTCTTCGCGACTCACCCTAGCTGACTTTCTCAACATTCCGCAGCGTTCTACATGGCGCCTGTATCCGATACACCCACTACGCGCATACGAAGTTCCGAACGGCCACGCAGACGACACATCTCCGACTCGGTGCCCGCAAGCAAGAAGCGCAAATACGTGCCAGGTGGACCAGGAGGCGGGGGACGCTACGTGGATGACGAGGGCATAGAGACGCCCGTTGGAGGAACAGGACCAGGCGGCTACGCGTACATTGGGCCCCGCGGCCGCATCGGACGCCTCAACGCCGAGCGACAAGGCGTCGTTCTCGACGACATCGCCAGCGCGCCCTCACCCTCGTACTCCCGACCGCGACGCGAAAGGCCGCCTGCTGGACCGCGCTCCAGTTCGGCCGCTGCAGTTGCCGCCGCTGTGGCGCAAAACGACGGGTACAAGCCGCGGGAGGAGCGGAGCTGGGATGAATTCCACCCCGATCTCGACATCGATGCTGAGTTCCCGGTCTACACCGCAGACCAAATCGATGGCATAAGCCCTGCAGATTCGCTGCCTGGGACGCCTGGACAGCCATCGTTAAGTGGCCAGTATGCTGTCGATAATGGCATCTCTGCCATGCTCGATGGTCTACGCGCGCAGCAGACCCAAGATGAGGAGGCCGTCGAGAATGGGTACAGTGGCTCGGTCAGCCTCCTGGCGACTCCTAAAAGGCGACCAGGGCGGCCACCTCGTAACCGAGACTCCATGCTTGCGGGGCTGGGGTCCCCACCTCGACCACGGATACAGCCCTTGCCGACTATGAATCCGAGGGAGAAGCTGAACCTGCCCAAGCCATCTGTGCGTGAGGTTGACCCCTTCAAAGCCCACGAAGAGAGCGAAGGAGTCAAAGTCAACTACGTCGACCGGACCATGGCGAGCATCGGCTACCAGGAGAGTGAGGTCTTCGCTAGGACAGAGAACCACCTGATACGACTTCCGGAGGGCTCGATCGAGGAGGATCTAGACCTGACTTTGCAGAATGAAGCCGAGGGATCTACAACAGCAGTCGCGGTCGGCCGAGTTGAGTATGACATGGACGAGCAGGACGACATGTGGTTGGAGGCTCTGAACGTGCAGCGCAAAGCCGAAGAGGTCGAAGCCATCAAGCCTGCCATCTTCGAGGTCACCATAACGCAAATCGAGAAGGAATGGCATGCTCTGGAAAAGCGTAAGTTGTAAATATTCTTGCAGCCTCTGAACATGACACTGACGAAATGAAGGCATCCCAAAACCGAATCCAAAGCCACCGCAGACACATCGACCGCGATCTAGTAGCGCAGCCGCGGTCAACGGAGAGCCTGCAGGACAAGGGGAGGAGCAAGACACCAAGTGTGCAATTTGCGACGACGGCGACTGCGAGAACACCAACGCCATAGTATTCTGCGATGGTTGTGACTTGGCGGTTCATCAGGAATGCTATGGTGTGCCTTTTATCCCAGAAGGACAATGGCTTTGTAGGCGCTGTCAACTAGTGGGCCGTGGCACCCCTGCTAGTGAGCTCCCGGTACGTTCTTGCCTTGCCCTTCGTCAAAGAACACACTAACTCTCATAGGGCTGCATATTCTGTCCGAATGGGGACGGCGCATTCAAGCAGACGACAGCTATGAAATGGGCTCATCTTCTGTGTGCGATGTGGATCCCTGAAGTTTCACTCGGCAACGTAACCTTCCAGGAGCCGGTACAAGATGTCGAGAAGGTTCCAAAGACACGCTGGAAGCTGGTAAGTTGCGCCCGTATATAACTCTGGTAGAGCTGACAATCATCGTAGTCTTGCTATATTTGTAAGCAGAAGATGGGAGCGTGCATCCAGTGCGGCCACAAGTCATGCTTCGAGGCATTCCATGTGACCTGTGCACGCAAGGCTCGGCTATGTCTGCGAATGAAGTCATCTCAATCCTCGAATCCTCAAGACTCCACAGTACTTAAGGCGTACTGCGATCGACACACCCCCTCGGATTGGAGGCGCGAGTATGACGTCGAGGGAGCAATTGCAGACGCGAAGGCCTTCTATCGACACACGATGCGCAATATTCGCTGGCCCGATAGCCAAGCATACGCGCTATCAATTGGCTCGACTCATGCAGCGCACGCTATCGACGACGAAGATGATGGCGTGCCTGGCAGTAACAAGCGCAAGCGCGGGCAGCCGACCAAGTCCTGGAGACTGCCCTCAGGAGCACCAGTGGTGCCTCAGGCTGTCTATCACAACGTCGAGAATGCCTTGATCAAGTTCAATGTTCGCAAACGTAAGGAGTTTGTGCAAGAGGCTTGCAAGTATTGGACATTGAAGCGTGAGGCACGACGCGGCGCTGCCTTGCTCAAACGTCTGCAGCTCCAGATGGAGGCTTTCTCGTCCATGGAGATTACTCGTCGTAACTTTGCGGGTATGGGCGCGGCGGGTCGGCCTCGTCTGCAGCGACGCATCGAGTTCGCAGAGCGCCTTGAAGATGACATGGAACAAATCCGCGTCCTTTGTCATGGTATCAAGGAGCGTGAGGCTATGAAGCTGGACGACATCATGATTCTCAAGAACATCCTGGACTGCGTGTACTTCCCCATACCGGCCATGCTCAGACCCATCCTGAAGAGGCTTCAGAAGTAAGTACGAGGCATTTCTTCGTAAGTTGTACAACAGCTAATTAACCTCCCAGTCTTGACAGCAAGGATACTTTTGCAGAGGGCTTTAGCAGTCTTCAGAAGAAGCTTGACGAAATGACCTACACGTCTGTCCAAGCCTTCAACGACGACCTGCTTACAATGCTGAGCGCACAGATGGATCTTGCACCTATCTCCAGCACCGAAGACGCTGATGACGAGTCCACCAAGCCGACTGCTCAAGGCCTAACCTCTGATCAGAAAGAGATGAAGAAATTGGTCAGGCGCATCATCAGGAGTGCTCAACCGGCAATCGAAGACGCGATGCATAAGGAAGCGGAACTGGCCCGGGCTCCTGTGGAAAAACTTCCCGACCTCGAGGCACTTCTTCAGCAGAAGCTGCAGGGTAAGCAGGATGCTTCTTCTCTCGAAGATGCCCCTCACAAGACGATTGAGACCGATGAACCAAGTCACGAGGAGACCCTGGAGCCAATAACCAACGGAGTAGACTCAGAGCATCTCAAGAAGACAGATGATGTTCAACTTGCACCTACACCCGACGATAACGCGGCGGACGGCAACCACTCAATACACGATGAGGCCGCAGACGAGGCTGCCATTGCTGCCCAACTCGGGCAAGACACCTTGCACGTCTTCAACCGCGAACAACAAGGCGATGCAATGGAGCTGGACGCAAGGGATGCCAACAGAGGAACGGAGCCTCTTACACCGCCAAGATCTGAGAAAAACCTACTCAACCCACTTCACAATGGCGGCGTTCCCTGGTATCTAGAACCTTTCGACATCCATGGCACTACAGTCTACGAACCTATTTGGGCTGGACGCGAGGTTCTCAAAGCTATGAGCGAAGATCTTAGCGAGCTTGACGACGACGAGCTTGACGGACTCGCTGGCTCTGATCCAATCCAGCCAGACGAGGAAGCGGCTGACGACCAGGCCATCGACTTGCGCAAAGCGGCAGTACGCAAGAGGCAAAGACGGTCGCGTGCGTACAGGTGATTTACTTCTTTTTCTCATTTGCATTGTTTGACCCCGGCATGTACATTGCGGTCATGTCATGTATCACCTTTGTGCTTTGTATCATATCCCTGCTTTTGGTAGATGAGGCGCAATGGTGTTTGGCTCTTAGGCTACGGCAAGACGCCATGGAATTACCCTTGTGGGATCTGGAGTTGAGATTTGCGAAGCATTTCGGCAGCGAGTAATGGGCGATGGTTGCTGCAAATGGAGACTGGTAATTCTAGTATTTCAGCTACGATACAAACACGCACATCCCATCTTGAAGACATTCACAGATGACTTGCAAATATGGTTCGGACTTGACTGCCGACGAAACGTGCCAGTACTTCCGTGGATGGACTAGGTAGTGACGCCTTGAAAATACATGGAAGAGCTGCGACAGGTCGCTTCGAGAAAGCGTTGGTAGCAGCCCCTGACTTCGCAGTTGCCTCACTCTGAGCCTCGCCAAGGGGCGCGCCTGCCTTTGTTCGACCTGTCCGCAGCGCACATCTCGCGCATAAAACGTCGCCTGCCTGCTGCCCGTTCTACGGTCAACAAGACATTGTCTGTCGTTTATCGCTGTCCCCACTCACTTGCAAGGTTGCAACAACTCGCGGCAGCTTCACTAGCGCGAACGCATTGAACGCTTACTAAATAAAGGCGCGGCTCTGCAGATCAGCCCTGCCAGCTGCCAAAAAATCCAGACCACTTCGCCGACAAACAACACCTCACCATCGTCATTGCCATCAACACTGCAACCCACACCGCAGCACAAGATGGAATACGAGAATGAACAACGCAGCTACGACGGTTTGTCCCAACGCTCCTGTGCCACTGTACCATTCGCTGATACCAACGCGTAGACGAGCCTCGCGGCTATGAGCGCGACCGCAGCAGGTCGCCGCGCCGTGAGCGTGGTGACGACAACGCGCGTGCCCGCAGTGCCTCCCCCAACGGCCGTGATGACCGCGACAGCCGGTATGTATCCATTGCCTCCATCGCAGATGAATCACCCAGCTGACAGACATGAGTGGCCCGCCGCCGCAGTCTCGCGACCGCGAGGCGGAAGAGAGCCGCAACGAGGGCTCCAACCTGTTCGTCACCGGGATCCACCCCTCCCTAACCGAGGATGAGGTCACCCGCCTGTTCGAGAAATACGGTGAAGTCGAGCAGTGCAACATCATGCGCGATCCGCACACTAAAGAGTCTCGTGGCTTCGGTTTCGTCAAGATGGTCACCTCTGATCAGGCAGACGCTGCCAAGGAGGGCCTACAGGGCGAAGTCCACCAGGGCAGAACTCTGAGCATCGAGAAGGCCCGCCGTGCCCGTCCCCGTACTCCCACCCCGGGCAAGTACTACGGTCCCCCCAAGCGCGGTAAGTAAGGTGGCTCTCATCTATACGTTCGTGCTGACGATTCAGAAGAGTTTGGTGGCCGCGGAGGCGGCGGCGGACGCGGAGGTCCTCGCGGCTATGGCGACCGCTACGGAGAGGACCGCCGGGGTGGAGGTGGCTATGGTCGTCGCGACGACCATGGCTCTCGCCGCTACGAGGACCGCGGCTACGGTGGTGGTCGCCGTGACGACTACGGCCCTCGTGGTGTAGACCGCTACGCTTCAGACCGCGGCTATGGTGGCAGGGACGGTGGCCGGGACGGTGGCAGGGACGGTGGCCGTGAGTCTGGTCGTGAGTCTGGCCGTGAGTCCGGCCGCGACTCTGGACGTGACGACCGTCGCGGTGGTGGCGGTGGCTACTACGACCGACCTCCTCCTCCCGCCGCGGGCGGCTACGATGCTGCTGCTCCCCGCGACTCGTACGGCGGCGGCCGCTCGTACGATGGTGACTACGACCATTCTTACCAGTAGCTCCCCTGCTAATCAAGGTAGAACCACAGCGGTACTAGAGTAGGCCTCGCGGGCTACCTCTGATCAAGGGAGGCAACTCTTTCAGCACTTCACGCATGTAACCCCACGGGTACGCCAATGGGTTCGCTTCATAATACGGCTTTACATCACAGGGAATGGTCGGCAAAAAGTTCTCCGATATAATCCGCAGCAGCGCACGGTAGCACACTTCGATAGTTTGCCATCTCGCAGCTCGACAATTCCCACACATCTTCGGCACGGTAGTTTTCCTTGGAGAATCGGTTATCAGCACTCGGTAAAGGCTTCTGGGGCATCACTCACAGCCCTTGGGAGCATCAGTCGTCTTGGTCATCACGTCAACACCAATTTGTACTTCTATAACTTTCCCTTACGATGCAACCTGGACGTCAAATAATTCATCCGCACCACCTGCCGCGTCACCAACCCTGTCCACATATTGTCAATATCACCTATCATAATCGCGCTTGTGTCAACAGCCTGCGACAATACCAGTTTAAGCGGCCAGAAGCCATCGTCCCCCGAATCAACGGCAAATTCCGCCAGGTATCTGCGCAATACCATGTCTCGCCTAGACGCAGCAATAAGATTCAGATCCACCTTTGTACTACGCCAAGTAAAACATACTGCACTGCGCGCAGCGCAGGCTGATTCCAGGCCTCAACACCTCATGCCAGTGCCCGTGACAGCAGCATGCAAACGAACACCGAGGTTTGCGCCAGTGCAAATTGAAGCTGCGACTCCTTGCAGTTCTCGAGCGCTGGCCCACGGGTAGCTACAAATGAAGGTGCGTGGCTTGCTTCCTTGTCGTACTTTTCTTGATCTTGCAATGTCCTTCTTTGCTTTGCTCTTGTCGCGCAATTCTATGTAGTCGAAATGCCAGACAGGTGAGTACTTCTATGAACTGTCCTACTGGGTCCCAAACACGATGGCTTCGCAGCAGCCAAGATCTGCTCTGGCTAAAAGCTTGTTTGGGTACACAATGCAGCTACTGCAGGTCCCGCAGCTGGACCCATCACTTTTCATCCACGAATGCTTCTTGCATCACTACAAGCGAGCCATCGTTCATCTACCAGGACCGGATTCGATCCATCGATGTGAGTTACCTGCGTAGCTTCTTGCTGAGTTTGTCCAATTCGACATCCTCACGCGTGCGCAACGGTAACCATCTCATGTGACATCGGGTATCTGGACGCCGTCCGCCATACGTATGGCAGGCCAGGACAGGCTTGGAAGGCACTCGCGAAAGCTCACATAGACGTGTGGAGAAGCCGTAGATCCCGTAACGTAGTTTAATATCTGACCCGATAGCTGATCCAAACTTGGTTGTGAGTCGTCCTGTAAGCATCGCTGTCTCCCAGCATTGCCAAAGCAGCTGGAACGCCGCAGGAAAAACGGCGCCACCATGGTTGGTATCTTTGAGTACGTGCGTCTCGAGGCCCCGCGGCCTACAAACACCCCGTGAAACCCCCTATGCGCACCCAATGTCTAACCTGGACTCCGGCAATGACTTCGTCAAACCTGCTAAATCTGCGCGACTATTTTAGGACATTCTAGGGCCTAGTCTACGACCCTTGGACTAGCCAACCCTACCTAACCTTCATTGACCCTAAGGTCAGGGGAAAAGAAAGTGTTCAATGTTCCATGGCAAGGCTCCAGAGCTTGCTTACTGCGGACGCCCTCCTGGTGTAGGAAATACGTGAGCGTAGGGAATCTTATAGGTGTCCGCAGGGCGCAACGCTCCAAGCCTGGAACGGTAGCGCTAGCGGCGAATCCCCGAGTCCTGGCTCTGGGCAACGGCTAAGACCACCTTGTCATTGATTGTGTCCGGCACCACTGTTGTGAGCTGACGTGGCTCGGGCTTGCGTATGATGAGCGCAGATACGAATCGGTCCTCCTTGGGAGGTCGATGCGACTCTCTGTCCTATGCGCAGCCCCGTGCTCTACTGTCTCATATTCACACTCTCGGCCATTGTGTTGGAGCCTCATGCCGGGGAAGCTTCTATACTTGCTGCGATTGAATGCGACGGCGCGTCGCGCGACTACTCCACTGTAAGCGCATATGATTTGATACAGTCTATGATCTTGTCAGGCTAACAAGACGGTGTAGAGACAATCTGCGGTGTCTCTGACTTGTGGGAGTCGTCGTTCGCTGCTTCCCCGCCGTATACCACACGTCACCCACGCTGCGCGCATCACACTATCACAATGTCGAAACGGAAAGCTGTCCCGTTCCTTGCCGTCGCAGCGTCGATTTCCATTCTTCTCTTCTTTCTCTCCGGCGACACGGCTCACAAGGCATGGGAAGGGTTACCACAACACATAGGACTAGGGGAGCACATAGGGAATAGCTATGCACACAATGCAAGCGGTGTAAGCCAGCATGAGCCAGACTATGCAAATTGGAACCCACGGCCAGACTTCCGCGCTGGCTCCGCACTGCCAGCAGGGCATAACTATACGTCTACGCTTGTAATTGCAAGGACGAGAGAAGAGGAAATGGACTGGCTGAAGCGCGAGATCCCCGACCAACCAACCGCAATCTACGTCGTTGATGATCCGTCCGCTGAACTGCACCCGCCCAAGAACAAAGGGCACGAGGTCATGGTCTACCTGACCTACATCATCGACCACTACGACTCCCTCGCCGACGTGACAATGTTCATGCACGCGCACCAACTTGCCTGGCACAACGACGAGATCCTCGGCAACGACGCCGCGAAAATGATCTCCCGCTTGTCCCGCCCGCGCGTCTGGCGTGAAGGCTTCGTCAACATGCGCTGCTCCTGGTACCCCGGATGTCCCGACTGGATGCACCCTGGCGAAACTCGGAAGAACAATTTCAAACAGGAAGAAGTCCTACTTGCTAAATCTTGGAGCGAGCTTTTCCCGCTCGATGAGATTCCGCAGGTACTGGCGCAGCCTTGCTGTGCACAGTTTGCGCTGAGCAGGGAAAGAATTCAGGCGAAGAGCCATGCGCAGTACGTCTGGTACAGAGAGTGGCTGTTTCAGACCAAGATTCCGGATGAATTGTCGGGCAGGATCTGGGAGTATGCTTGGCAGTTTGTGTTTACGGGGGAGGCTGTGTTCTGTCCGAAGGAACACATTTGTTTTTGTGACCAGTATGGGACGTGTTTTGGGGGCGAAGATGAGTTCAGTAGCTGGAAGAGTTTGAAGGATGAGCTTACGGATCTTGAGAAGAATTTGAGAGATTGGGAGGAGAAGGAGAGGAAAATCAAGCAGATGGAGGAAGAGAACGATGTGGAGAAGCTGAAGAAGCTGGAGAAGCCGGAGCTGGGGAAGAATCAGGAGTTCCAGAGGGATATCGATCGGTTAAGACCCATCATAGACCGTCTGAGGGACGAAGCTGAAGAGCGAGGGAAGGATCCGAAAAACAGGGCAAAGGAAGTGGGAAGAGATTGGCATGAGGGTGACGGTTTTTAACTCGAATCTTTTTGGAGCATGGCGTTACAAAAGAAGGTCTTACAGGTTCTGGTGTTACATGGAAGGATACCCTTTCAGTCTCACTCTCGACTAGATACCGCGGATCTGGAGATGCGCACGGCGCGACTCATCCTAGACGAAGTGCTCAAGCACATATTCAAATTCGATTCGGCATTCTGTTCGACCGACTAAGATCGCCGTGGGCTGTTCTTTCTTGCACCACCTCCACTTTTAGCACATTCGCCGGATTCGGCATTGTAGAATGCGGGAGTATTTGCACAACCAACAACAAATTCGATCCCTCGGAGCTCTACAAGACAAAATTTAACATCGCAAATCTCTGACGGCCCTTTCAAGTACCATCTGTGTTAGAGCTAGGTATTATTTTGATGCTTCGCGCCTTGCACATAGGCAAGATCGGACCCGTTACGTAAGCAGAAAGTGCAAACCGATGAAACTCAATGCGCAGCTGTGCAAACAACGTGCAAACAACACAAACGCCATCTACTCCACCCATCTCAACGCGCCAACGCGCCAACGCGCCGCCGCTGGTCGGCCGCTGTCTCCTGCTTGTCGACCATTCACGATAATCACAAGCATGATACAGCAAGCTACCAGCACCACAACAGGTGCGCAAACTGCTGCTGCAACACTACCGTCCCATTTCGATCGAAGCAAACTTCGCTTGTACTGAATGTCACATTACCATCACTCAAACAGCATCTCTACCTTCCCCATCTCGCAGCTCGCTTCTCGCATCTGCTGTCAAACCATCTCATCGCAAATCAAACTTTCCGTTGCTTCGAACAAACCAAGCCATGCCCACACCTGACCAAACCACAACTACTGGGATGCGTGTTCAAAAGAGTGGTGGTTCTCGAGAACGCGGCTTGCATCGAGTCCATCCACATCTCCCTGCCTTGAATGCTGAGTTTCGTTGACCACCTACTTACCTTCTAGCCTTCGACAGATCTGTCTCCACAATCGACACTGCAGCACCTACTTGCTTGAAGCGATCGCCGTGTCTGGTGGCTGAACTTCGGCAATGTCGGCAAACGCTCCATACTACCAGATGCGTACCAGCCAGCCGTCTACGGATACCTACAGCTCAAGTGCGGCTGGGCAGTCTGATACGCTTCAAGATGGTGACTATGGTCTCACGACCATGGAGGCCGTGGAGCGTGCTACTGGGAACCAGCACTTACCTGCACACTCAGAGAATGCGGCGCGTCGACCCGGAGCTGTCAGCCAACACAACGATGTCGAAGAGAACCGCAACCTAGCGGAGCTTTTGGAGGCTGCGACGACAGCTGCAGACCAAGACCATGTAGCCATGCATCCTCCCGCCACCGAATCTGCCGTACCACACGCAAATGACCAAAACAAAAGGAAAAGAGCCTCCAATATTCAAACTGACGCACACGCTTCCATCGAACCCATCTTCGAAGATAACGAGAGATCAACCATGAAGCGACGTTGCATCAACACCTCTTCAACTGATCCCAATCTACGACCTCATGAAAGCGACACTGTCATGTGCTCTCCTGCTTCGAAGAACAGCCCTTCGCCATCTCGCAACCTCCTTGTTGACGCACGCGCGGCAGGAGTGCATTCAGCCGCCGCTCTCTTTCGCCGTACCTCGACCAACACAACGCGCAAGTACACTCGACCACCCATGTCTAAGCTCTTCATGTCGCTGAATATCTCGCCTGAAAACTTCATAGCCCTACAGTCTCTCGCAAAGACATACATGCTTTCGCCCGCACACCCTGATCGTCAATCATGTGTTGGTAACCGCGGCAAAGGCGATACTGACATGGTTAAACTACGCCTCTTCAACTGCGTAAGAGACTTCCTTGCTGATAGCGTGGGCGGGCAATTCTTTGGCGAGCATGTAGCAAAGCCTGGCGAGAAGGAGAACAGTGAGGCTGCTGCTGCGCTGGGAGAGAAGGAAGGAGGGAGTGAGAAGTTAGTATGGCCACGAGACGGCAACAAAATTATAAGTCTTGTTACGCCCCTTATGAGGAGGATGGTCACGAATGAGCGTCAAAGACTGTACGCCATCGATACGCGGAAGGGCGGGAAAAAAACAGAGAAAGAGTCGAGCACTGAAGCCCAGAGCGTGCCCGGCACACCGGCGCACGATGTCCACCAACACCAGCAGACCGTACTTGACCCCACACTCCAACGCCCTGCTACCCGAGTAATCTCGCCTTCCACGCCGCCGCCGATGAACGCGCATACATTTACCGTCAACTTCGCACCGCCAACGTCCAATCCCCCGGCCTTCTTGTCACCCACAGCTGTCCCTCCACCTTCTCCCACTGACGCCTCCGAACCAAACCTCACAAATATCAATGTCTTCTTGATATACAATCCCAGTACCACGAGAAGCGTCAAAATCGACGAGAAGCGCATCTCAACAACTCGACCTGCACACTTGAGCTTCTATAACTACACCGCTTTCATCGAACAGGTCAACGCCATGGTCGGTCGAGTGGAGCTTCTCCATCCCTCTATCAAACATGCCGCTGTCACGTCAGACGGCGTGGGAGACACCGAGAGTCTGCGTGGGCTTGCCGCGGCAGCAAACGCACTGCAGCCGGACAAGGATGACCAACACCTGAAGTCGTCAGCAAGCGCAAATTATACGATCAAAACGATCGGTCCTAGTGGCTGGCAGGTCATTGATAGTGCGCAGACTTGGTATCATGTGCTTACGGAGCGGGCGTTTGCGATGTGGGCGGATGGAGTGTGCAATATTATTGTTGAGCTTGGTGCTACTCAGGTAGTGAGGAAGGCCGAGCGTGCAAGTGAAGGGATGAGTGGCGAGGTACAGATGGAGGACGCGTAATGACTAAGAGGACATATTTTGCATGTCGGCGTTGTGTTCGTTCGATCTGCTCATCTTGTTTCGCATGCACCTGCGTGCCATGGCCCAGCGGACATCAGACCAGGTGAACGTTTCACACTAGAATATGTTCCACTTTGCATTTACACATAGACAACCCCAGCTTTGCGTGAACCGGAAATCGCTCTAGGTCATGCAACTATTTCTGTTCACCGTGCCTTCCTCTGCGGAACAGCAAACGCGCTTGCTCTCACCTCACCTCAACTCACCTCGCCATAACCACATCATTCCTCCCACCGCTGGATCTGGGACTCGACATCTGCCACATCACTGTCAACATCACCAGCGAGACACGGCAGTTTCCGTCACTCCGTATTCACGCCCGGCCACCATGCTAAAGCCCATCGAGTCAGAGCTGCAGCCCTTCAACTTCGAGGAGGTGCTTGCAGCTGATCGTGCTGCCGGCAGTCGCAATATCCACATCGACGTCAGTCGCAACTCCAAAGGCGTCGCGGTACCATCTCTCGAACGACTAAAGCGCAAAGTACAGAGGTGCCTCACCAACGACACCAAGTATAGGCTTACCACAACCAAGTTATACATCAGTGGTGACTGGAACTACGCTGGGCCAGAAGATACACTGGCTGAGGTGAATTGAACACTTCTTGGACCTACTGCAATGTTCGCTGATCACAAAACAGAATGAGAAGACGCTCGCAGATGCGCAAGAGTGGAAGGAAGGTGTCGACGCTGTCCGCGAGCTCATTCGCGCGATGGTCAAGCTGAAGGAGCTAATGTAGGTGACACACATACTTGTGAGTAAAACACAGAACTAACTGTGGGACAAAGATGGCTTGGTGGCCTCCCGTTCATGGCGTCGGTCTTCGAAGATCTGAATAAGCGCAATCTGACGAAGCTGGTATTGGACCTCCACAACCATGTCCGCGTCGTCGACGAAGCCCATGACGGCCGCTACCTCATCAAACTGCACATCAATCAGGAAGATATGAAGCCGTTACTCAAGCAGACCAGGCTGCAGGAACTTCGCTTGCGACGCTTGAGGGACTCTATGCAGCTCATCGCCTGGAAGACCGTCTACATGAACGAGCTGCCGGGAGGCATGCGCACGCTCGAGCTACAGATGGATGTTATGCCTATCACCCGCAATGGTAATAGCAAGTGGCACAAGGCTGCTGATGTCCGCGGCTTGACGGTTGCGCAACCTGGGTTGCTCGAGAAGCCATACAAGTAAGTGGGGCACCGTCGAATTCAAAAAAAGAAGCTAATTCACTGCAGGGGTCGTGATGGGAAGGGCGGTCTCCACTGGAAATTCGGTTACGGCGAGTATCTCGACGGCGATTGTATTCGGAAGGCGAGGATCGCGACTGGTCCAGAAGAACCAGTACCTCTTCAGCTACAGTGAGTCTCTACCTATCTTCTTTGCAAACACCCTTGATTGACGTTAGTTATTCAGGTACCTCTGGCTTGATGGTTTCGTGATTGACCATCTTCCATTCGAACACGAGCTGACAGAGATCAACTTCCTTGGATGTGGCGAGAAGTGCATCGATGCGGGCATGCGAGCTCCTAGGACCCACGCGGAGCCATTCCTCGCTTGGAGCAAGAGGGTTAACCATACTGCCTGTCGTTTTGGCTTGCAGTGGCCAAACTGGACCGGGATCTTCGATTCCGAGGGCGAGCAGCGCGACGTGCATGGCCAGGTCATCTCTCAGGAAGCAGGTCTCTCGACGCCGTTCGCCGAATACGCGCCTTCTCCACCACAACAGTTGCCACTGACGGAGAAGACTTTGAACCTGAAGGACATCGGCGATGCACTCAACAATGTCTCTAAGCCTGACTACTTCAACATCCCGTATCCCACACCTCCTTTGATGCCAGCTACGCCTCTCGGCGCCATTTCGAATCTGTCAGAACGCGGGTCTGAGGTCCCGACAGAGACAGCGCTCTCTTCGACCACAACAGAGATCCCTACAATCGATGGCGTTGACGATGTAGAAAGTTCAGGCCCAGGTTTGGACTCCGGGGCCAGCTCTCCTATCCTGCATGCCAACGGTGCCAGCGACTCTACGCCGGAGATGTCCCCCATGGTTTTCAGCTGTAGCAGCAGCTTCGGGAGCGATGGCCCGGCTCTTGGTCACAGGGTAAGGAAATCCCTGTCTGATAACTACTGGGTTCTTGGTCCTTCTTAATTGCTTAATGACTCGACTATCAACATCGGCTGACATGGGGAGTTGGGTGATGTGGACGTGTGATGCCACTTTGGAGACGGGTGGGAAGCTTCGCACTTCCATGCATGTCTTTTGCGATTCTAGGATATATGGGTTATAACTTATCAATGAAGGGATTGCAGTTGAACTGTCATGCTCGAGGGGGTATCTAGTGCTCAAAACTCTGTTGGGGTAGTTCCTACAAGCTAGATGGAGCCTTCGAAGCTTCGGTATCCCTGGGTATGCCAATGGTATTCAAAATGGAATCCAGCTTGCCTTGTTGCGAGCGCAAAACATCCCGCTCTTCTTGGTTCTTGACTAGCATTGTACCCCCGAGAGTGGTGCCATTGAGGGCAACAAAGCCAATCTCATTGCCGTCAGGGCGTTTGAGCATAGTGCCTTCAGACCGTCTAGGCAGGATCACCATACCTTCTGTTGTCATCGCTAGGTTGTAGCTTATGGGCGAATCGCCGCCCTCGGTGGGATGCAGAGCAAACCTGCCCGGGTCTTTGGCTATGAAGTCATCTACGGCATCCTTCGCTAGGCCATACAGCTCATTGTAGATGCTGACAAGCTGCTCCCCGGTGGGCTCGGCGTCGAATCTGCGGCCGAAATGCGCGAACGGAATGTTTGGGTCTTGCCAGTATGGCATCGAGCCTGTCGTTTGTCTCAGCAAGCTATTCCGCGACGCGCTCCACTCATGCCACGTGCAAAACTCACCCGCAACCTTTCCGCTCTTCAGTATCAAATCAATTAGCAAACCCCACCCGTTCGCACCTTCGTGGTCGCGCATATTCTCCACAGGCAAGAACTGCAAATGACGATGCGGTTGACTCGCGCCACTATGTTCCCCCGAGTTGAAAAACGCGAACAAACGCTTCTGCTTGCTGCCTTGTGTCGCGTCCTCACCCCATGCCTTCAAACACGCGTACGTCGCTTGCAGATCATCTTGCTCTAGGATGTGCGTTTGCTGCTTGTTCGTCTTAGTCGCGAGGATGAAGTGGTTCGCTATGATGGGGAATTTGTTGAGTACGAGGAGGTGCGTTGGCGCATCGGTCGGGATGTCGGTGATGTGGAGCGAGGGCGACGGGTTATCGAAGGGGTCGAAGTGCTTCTTGGGTGTTGGCGAAGGCTTTTCAAGTTTGGGTATGGGCTTCTTGGCTAGCGAGGGGCAGAAACGAAGCTGGAACTTGAGCGTTGTTAGCGAGGTAGGGCGAGGGTGGTGTGGTACAGGTACTTGCGGGTATGCCGGTGGATGTGCGGATGATGGAGAGCTCGGTGGGCGAGAAGACCAGGCTACTTGACGATTTGGCTGAGGTGAACTTCGCTCCCACTAAGCTAGGCAGTGATTCTGTGAGACCGAGTAACATATTTCTGCACATGTGAAGGTGTGAATGTGCAATGGGTGAGAGACATGACGCAGGTACGCAAGGACAGCCTCGGATTGTGGGGAAGCAGCGAGCATGGGCCACATCCGCTCATGCATCTTTCCGAGACGTCACCATTCAATCTCATCTCATCACACCGGCAGCGTTATCATCACGGAGTCCGGGATATTGAATGCATTGTGAAACTGGCATCTGAGAGAGCCGCATACGTTGAGAATGCCTCCCAGATCTGCGAGAAGAGAGCCGCCCAATCCTTGCGGCCGTGCCTATCTAATATCCTGCAATGTGCAAGAGCTGGGTATGCAAGAAGAAAGGAGATCAAAGAACCTAGCAACACAGTACCGCCGACACAAGCTCGAGAAAATTTACAGGTTGTCGATGAAGAGAGAACAAGAAAGAGAATCAGACATCTCTCAAGTGTTGAAAGAGGCGAAGAATATCGCCAAACTCCGGAACCCAGAATGCCTGCCCAGATATGAGTAAGGATATCTCGAAATTTTCAGCGCACGTGTTGCGTATGTCTGCACTCGGCTCCACGAAGGATCACGGTCGATCAAGAGAGCGTCGAAGCCTTACAGAGCAGACAAGATCTCCCTCTAGCGACTTCGACTACGCTCGGCTGCGTCGATCAGACGACCGTAACGAAGCAGGCTGAGAGGTCTCGCGCCACACCCTCTTCACCGTGGCAGCGCCAAATTTGTACGATCCGCCGGTCGCTGCCATCCTGTCGGCGACCTTCGCCCAAGGGATCCTGTCTGGCTTCTGCTTCGTCTCGAGGGAAGGCTGGCTCACATCGAGCTTATCGAATTCGTCTTGTACATAACGTTTCATCAGCGTTATCTGGGCTTCAGTCAGCAAGAGCGCCTCTCATCGAATTGCGGTGTACTTACATCAATTTCTTGCCACTTCGGGGACCGAACACGGGCGCTTCTGGGTTTGGTCAAAGACCTGTAGCGACCACGGAGAGTGGATTCGGCTACCTTGCGATCGAGTCGTTTGCGAATGTCCTTGTATGTGTAGCCGTCACGCTTCATCTCCAGCAAGACCTTGTCGTCCTCTGAGCGTTGCGCTTTCTCGCTGTCGGACGGAGGCGCCATAAACCTGGTCTGAAAATGGCTCTGCGCGGGGACAGCGTTCTTGTTGCTCCACTGCTCTTGTCGCTGTCGCGAGCTGCGCTCGAGTGGTGCAAGGTACGAGTTAGGCCGGCGGTCGAACAACGGTGTGTCTGCCGGCTGAGGGTCCTGAGCGATCGCTGCCTTTCGTTCGACATAGCCAGGAGGGTACCAAGGCGACATGCCAGGACTGCTGCTCTGCGACTGATCGTACGAGTGCCCCGAATCGTACAGTTTCGTGTCGTCGAAAGTTTTGCTCATGGAATATGCTCCCGTCGACGGCATATGAACGCCAAACTCGTGCTGTGTAGCAGCGCTCTCCTGGTACTGCTGAATTGCTGACTGGGGCGTGGGTGGTGCGAAGTCTGGCGACGATACTTTCATCGGTCCGTTCACACTATAGCTCGCTGTGCCGCGGCGAGGAGTTGCTAAACTGCAGTCTGAGCCAGGGCTATACGTATGCTTCACATCGCTGAATGGGCTGACGGGCGACAGCAATGTGTCCGTGCTTGAGCTCAGCGCCATGTTCGGTACGCCGCTCGAGGGCCAGAATGATGAATTGCCGAAGTCCACTGCCTTGTTGAGAATGCTATGACTAGCGTTATGGCTGTACACCATCTCGTGGTTTGACAACATGGATTCGTTGAGGTGCGGCTCGTTAAACTGTCCGGTCCACACCATATCGTGGCCGGAGGCCACTTGCTGTGCCCACAGCGGGTTTGACGCGGAGACCGTGTTGCCGGACATGAAGTTTTGCGATATCGGCCACTGTAACCGCGACATATTAGTGTCTGGCATGAAGGGGCTTTGCTGTCTCAAAGTCAGTACTCGCGAAGCTGCAGGTGCCTGGGATATTTACGAGGGAGGATTGCGCCATTGAACCCTGAGGACACGCAGCCACAGATCTGTTGTTGATGTCGTAGAAGAACTGCGACCGAGGCTGCAGTCGAGGCTGCGATGGAGAGGTGTAGGGCTCGCTGGGGCTGTGGTACTCTTGTATGTGCGCCATGGCAGCACGTGCAGCGGAAGCGCGCTACGATACACTCGGGAGCCAATAATGTAACAACAGATGGAAGACCACGCGTGAATGTTACCCGCGGGGTGACAGGTGTGCAAGGTCGACGTGAATGTGGGTGGGGTGGGTGGAGACAGGGCGTGGGTACGTCAGTTGTCCAAGGTGGGAGATGGTGCTATTCGACAAGAGAACGACACCGCTTCACAGAGCAGCGGTAAGATTACGGCCGCCCAATGAGCTCGAAGCGCAAGCTTAACAACACACTATTCGACTATGGCGGACAGCCCTGGGAAACGTGAAGAGGAGAAGGTGGGCGATGCTGAGACCGGTCTCGGTATCTATATGGCGCAAGGCGAGGGCGTACAGGAAGCTGAGTCGATGCATGTCAGTGCGCTAATTTGGCGTGTATATGTGAAGACATCCTACCAGCAATGCCACGAGAGCGCGGAATGACCAAGTTGAGTTCGGCGGAGCAGGCAGCCAGCGCTTGAACAGGTACAAACAAACTTGAAGAGGTCCACGAAGTATCTTGTGAGACGAGCGTCTTGCACAACGATTGAAAACGCAAGACCGAATCGACAAGGCAAAAAGAAAGAAAGTCTAAATGATGCCGAAGCTATCGAAGGAAACCCCAACAAGACTGATGCGCCATCGACCAACGAGGATGTGGCCTTGTTTAAATCTAAGACAGCCTACCCACCCTCAGAGACTATTGCGCTCATCTGAACAACCTGTGTAGTCTTGCGCGGCAGCGGGATCAGAGGCCTGAGCGCGTTCGGGGGTACGAGTATCTTCCCACGCGCTGTCAATGCCTGTCATCGATGCCAAAGTCTGGTACCGGCACGGGAGGTTTCCTGCACTGACTATAACCCGGACTCCCGATTAGGACTGCTCCTTCCGGCGCAGCGCAGCCAACGTTCTGAGCAGCAAGCACCGCCTCTGCCAGCGTACCATATAATATTGACAGCAGCACAGATTTTACAGTGTAGTTTGCTAGTGCCTACGGATCTATCTGCTAAGCCTCGTAATAGCTCCGTGTCTGTTGACGTATCATATTTCATTACCCCAGCTCGAGCCAAAGGAAGCTTGCTCACTCTTGTACTAGCTGAGCTGTCATCTCGTGGTTCCTGTTTGACTGACATGCAGAAGCGAGCGGGAAGGCTGCGTACTAGTGTCTCTTGGCGCGCTTGCAACTGCAGGCTGCAGCTGCGAACGAGGACGAGTGAGCAGGCGTGGCTTGCGGCTCTCTCAAGCAGATCCTCCCGCTGCGCGGCACAAAGGCTCCTCGCGGGATGGCCCGTGGTTGACCAGCGTTATGATCTTTGTGGAGTTTGTACGCCACTACAATCGATATCCGTCAGTGCGACCCGGCTCTTCCACATCTCGCCCGTAGCACTGCTGCTCCGCCCCTCTCTAGTATAGCTCTTCAGATCAACCCCACAATGTTCAATCTGCAAGCTTGGGAAGTACCTCTCCGCTTTCTACTTTCGCATTAGGCTCATGGCAACCTTGGAATGAACTGGACGGATCACCAGCGTCGCCACTAGCCAATTACTCAAACTCTGGATGTTACATGCGGTCGGGGACCGCACGCCTTATCTCTGGAGCGGCTCGTGGCAGCATGGCCACCCATATGCGGCCATCTGCGGCCAAACGGAGGCCGCGTTGTACAGAACATGAGACACGACCGTAGCCTGTTGAGCTCTTCCACTCGGTAACTGCCGGCAGCAGACTGACATGAAAAGATAGCTCGCGTAGATTTTCTAAGAGTAAAAGTCTGGGGAAGCTGGTACCCGTCTGTCAGCTCCAAGTTTCACACGCGCATGCACTGCGTATTGGACGCCTGTCGTTGCTGGTGACACGAAACGGCCAACGTGCAGCTTGCAGCACTGTACATACAGGTCGTGCGAGTCCTCTGCTAAGAATACGATGGCACGCTGCGAATCATGTCAGATCATCCCAGCAAGGAACTAAGACAGACAGCGGGAGAAGACATTACACAACAGGGCGCCGCTAGATTTGTATCAGATCTTCCTAGTGTACGTGGTACGAAGACCAGGCCTGATCCTGTACCTTGCTGCGAGCCTGATCGCCAGCCGCTGTCGCTCTCAGGACGCAACATACTTGCAGCTTGACAAGGTAAGCACATTTCCCCTACCTCAGATCTTCGCTTTCGGCGGCCCGTGTGGTACCAGCTCCATATCCTTCCAAGGTAGCCCCAGGTACTCCCACATGTAATGAAATCTGACATTGCATCGTTAGCGCCCGACCCACACCAAGTTTGGATCTTCGTTTGACAGCTGCCATGCGAACTCGGTTCGCGTCATCTCATACGCTTTCCCGGTCCGCTGGCGCCGACACCAAACCTGACACGGATCGTCCCGCAATAAACGACGAACGAGATTGGGCTGTGGCGTACCTGTCACTTCCGAAGAAGGGCTCCTCGGCTCCCTTTGCATTGCGGACCCAGAACCATGGGGCTCCGAATGCTCCCCGGTCGAGAGCTTCCTTCGTGTTCTCATTCAAACGCTGCTTGAACGGCGCACTAATTGCGGATGACAGAATGACTTTGGCCTCCTCGGAGCTGAACCTCAACTGGAGTGTCTCGGCAAACGTATCAGATTTACTGACGTCTTTACCGTTCTTCCACATTGCCTCGAAGATGTCAAGGAAGGTGGAGACGAAGGCATCTGGATATTGCTCCTTCACGAAACACAGAGCACGTTGCGGTAGTAGTGACATGATGGGGAAGAAATCTGGCGTTTTTACAGCTTCTGCGCCGAAGTACTTCTTCGCTCGCGCACTGTCGTAGCCGCTGTAAGCTGCTTTAGCTGGCAGCGTCCATGGTGGCTTATTGCCTGTGAGGATCAGTCATGTCTGTGCAGGCACACCCCCGTCTCGATCATACTGCGCCCACGGGAGGGGAAGACATACCACTGCCGACATTAATGCCGCCAAGGAATACTGGAATTATGCTGTCCCCGGTCAGTGGGATGGCCTGAGGGCAAGGCAAGAGTGTCATGAAAGTTATTTGATGCGTTTCGTCTAGTGATAGCTTTGATGATGCACGGTATTCGCGGAACACTGGACTTACTCGATCTCTACGTTGTGCGTTGTAAGAGCTTGTTTGTTCTTCTCAAGATAGAGTAGTGCAAAGTAGGAGTATGGGGATACTGCACAGGTCAGCTCTAAGCTTAGTCCAATTTTGAACATACCGCAATCCAGATAGCACGTAATCTTGCTCAACATTGTCGCAATCGAGAGATTGATTAAGAAGTGATTGATTGATTACTTAGTCGGTCTTCAGTTGACGTTGAACCCCCGAATAAACAGATGTTGCCCACCTGTGATCGGCGCGGACCGAGGTTCAACGGTGCTGGAGCTTGTTTCCCGAACGGGCTCAATCACTAATCAATCACCACAATCATCGTTCCACGACGCATGCATGCCGAGAGATCCAGGTACAGCGATTCCTGCAGCAGGAGTTGTAATGCGACCTCGGATATCGGCCTCTGGAGGCTGAAGACATCTAATCACCTCCACGAGCCCAGCTCCGCTATCAGGCACGATGCAGCCTCCACCAGGAATGTCCCAAACCGACTTCTCGTTCGGCCTCATGCTCCTTGAGCGGGACAACAAACACCTCATAGCAATGGCGCGTAAAGAGCTCCAAGCTCCTGGCTCGACACCGACAGAGGAAGTGGTCCACGCCCTGGTCACGGACAAAAGACGAGCGCAGGGGAAGAAGCAGGTTGCTCTTATCGTTGGCGCTTCACGCGGCATTGGGCGACAGATTGCCATTGACCTTGCAAAGGAAGGATACGCAGGTATGCTTCATAACCTCTAGTGGCTCAACATCAGCATATGGGTGGAGCTGACACCTGCACAGTCGTCGTGGCAGCAAAGAGCACATCGAACGCCTCCTCCGTCTCCCCCTTCCCGCCAGACCCAAACTCCTCTGCCTCCACCATCTCGACCGTCGAACGCGAAATCCACGATGCGGGCGGCACCGCAACCGCAATCCCCGTCGACACACGCAGCCCTCTCTCTATCGCTACACTCTTCGCTGGCACCCTATCGCTCTACGGCCACATCGACGTCATAGTCTACAACAGCGGCGCAATATGGTGGTCCAGCGTACAAAACACGCCCTTCAAGCGCTTCCAGCTGATGCAGCAAGTCAATGTTGAAGGTCTATACGCTGTGGTACAAGCCGCGCTGCCTCAGTTCGAGAAGCAAGGGTGGAAGGGCCGGATTATCGTTGTCAGTCCACCGATATACTCGCGCTTCTTCCGTGGCAAAACGGCATACGCAATGGGCAAGGTCGGCATGAGCGTGCTGACCAAGGGGCTGGCGATGGACTGGCAGAGGGAGGGCAAGATGGATATGGCGATCACGAGTATCTGGCCTGCGGTTACGATTGAGAGTGCTGCGACGCAGAATGTTGAGGGTGAGAATAGGAAGGATTTGCGGAAGCCGACTATTTACTCGGATGCGATTCTGGAAATGTTGAGGGCTGAGCCTAAGGAGGTTAATGGTTGTTTGGAGCTCGATGAGGATTTTCTGAGGAAGAGAGGGTATCGGGATGAGGACTTTGAGAAGTACAATGTTCTGCCTGGAGTGAGGCCTAGGAGGATCATGCCGAAGGAGTTGCCAAATCTGACGGTTGCGGAACAGGATGATGAGGGGAAGAGGGTGGATAGTACGAAGCTGAGGGCTACAAAGCTATGACAGGTGCGTGAGAATCAGTCGCAAGGTCCGGGCTGTGTGTTGACGTTCGTTGATGAGCATTTTCGAGGACCTTGCACAGTAAGGGTGTGCTTCAACCGTCATTGGGAGCGATCTTTTACGATTGCCATATACGAACGTCAACACAAAGCCTAGACTTCACTTACTGTTGCCTCATGAATTCGAAGCTCACATTGTACAACTGCCACCTTGCCATTTATTACTTCTCCATATCCCCAGTTAAACACGTCACCTCACCGAGACTTATCCCGGTATTTTTCCCTTCCCCTTTTTCTGTGTATCAAGCTCTATCAGTTTACTGCGCCCTGTCTTTATCCAGCCAACCTGGGTGTACCGAAGAATTGCGACGCCTCTCACACGTGGAGTATGAAGCCATGTTTTCTGAAATCTCGGGACCTCCATCTTTGCGCAGAGCTTCCAGTTGTCCCCTAAAGTCAATTCCCGTCGCATTCTCGCACTTGTTCTTGCGCTCGTACCAGTCCGGTCAGTCATCCGAAAACATAAAACCGCTACGAGCCAGAAAAGCTGCCATCTCATCCTTCTCCAGACCATAGGGCCATCCTCCTCCCCAGCTGAATTCGCCACACATGCAAGAGAAGTTCTGATTGTTCTTTTCAAGGACGCCACATATTGATTCGCCCCCTGGGTTTTGGCAGATGGGAATTGTGAAGACAACTGCCATTCGGCCACCTTCTGGGTTCTTCTCTCCAAATTCTTATTTGATCCATTCGTCGACATCCGTAGGATCATACTCAATATTTTCACCTCTCTTCCGGATAGGGTTCTTCCAGTGTACGTAGTAAGAGGACCGGGTGACGTCTTCGAGAGTGATTTTGTAGTACTCGGTGGCCTCATCGGAATACGAGAAGCCAGTTCGACCACGAACCACAGTCTCGTGACCGTTATCCTCACGATACTTGTCGATCTAGTAGGACTAGAAGCTATGTCGTTAGAGTTTGACAATCGTTTATCTCTAAGCTTCTTTTCCACTGCTGCCTTGATGCGTGGTGGTGCACTGCTGAAATCATTCATGAGCCGATCCACGCTGTGAAGAACATTGCTCATGGCGTCTCCAAACAGCTGGCCGGTCATCATATGAACGTGGTCTCCATTCGCGATCCGTACGAAGACATGAATGGCCGTCTGTCTATCATGATGGTTGATGCCATCGTCGTCGACCAGAATCAGGCAAGTGCTGATGCTGCATTGGCTGATCCTGTCGCATGACAAGGCGCTGTTGACTGCCCCAAGTGCCCAACTCTCTCTCGAAAAGTTCAAGGAAGTTTATCGTCTGTTTTGCCATTGCCAGAAAGTCATCGTATTGTATCTGAGTCCATTCTATGATTTCATGGTGGTTTGGCTCCCATTTCTCTTATGAGCGGATATCTAGGCCACACATCCTTCCACGAATCGATGAGGCTTCCTTATCATTGGGTTCGTTCGATGATCCGCCAGGCCTTGTTGGCTTCGGTTTGGGATGGCGATCGCGGCGAGCGACAAACCAATTGTTGGCCTTAATGGGTGGAGGTAGCTTCCAGCTTGGAACACTTACACGTCGGCCGTCCGGCAGAGTTTCCATCGACAAAGCCGCAGTGCCAGCGAAGAGTGATGAGAAGGTCAGAGTGACCAAATACCAGAATACTTTCCCCATCGTTTCGTCTTTTCTTGAGAGCAACTATCGTTAAATTCGGTGCAATATTCCAAATGAGTATTGCTTTCGACTTTTGGATATCTGGATATCTACGGGTCGTTCAAGGTGAACTGCACGAAGTACTCATTACATAGAGAAGCACATATCAGGGACTGCCCAACCAATTTCACCATTACCGGAGTCTTGCAAGTGAATTGCTGGTCGGGAAGAACATGTTTCTGGAAGCGGGGGCTCTCGGCAAAATGTGGTGATCATAGTCCTGGGAGGTCGTCAACAGCGGGAAAGCAACGACTGCCCCTTTGCGTTGCGAACAGCATCTGATGTGTGGATCTCTCTGCCTTCGCATTAGAGGATCTCAAAAACCAGGGTTGATCCCGGAGCAAATGTGCGGCACTGCGGAGAGACGAGAGCTGTTCGTGGGAAGAAGCTCGGGCAGAGCTATTGAGAGGACCCTTCGAGCCGACATTTGTAACACCGCATAAAGTGTACTCTTCATCAACGCACCCTGGAGGCATTCAACAAATCTGTTTATCCCTGAATTGACTTTCTCTCTAGTTCCTGTACATCATCGTTGGGCTAGCTACACGCACTCAGCGGAAATAAGTCGGTGCTGTGGCCTTTGCGGCCAGCCATGCTTCATCCAGCGACTGCACAACATCATCGGGCAACGGGCCCTTCTCAAGATCTGCAAGGTTCCCTTGAAGCTGACTGAAGCTGCTGACGCCGATGATGACACCGTCGTTACCGCCCTTCACTCTGGTCTTGAGGTCTGAGTGGTGAATTATCCATCTCAGCGCAATCTCAAGCAGGGTCAAGTTGTGCTTCTGCGCAGCGTTCTCGACAATCTTGAGAGCATCAAAAGTGCCCTTCTTAAAGTAGCGCTCTCGGTACATGCTGCCAACACGGTCGGCCTCCTTGCCAAAGCGACCATCATCTGGAATAATGTCTGCAGACTTGATCTTGCCAGAGAACAGACCACCAGCAAGAGGATTATAGACAACGATATCGATCTTGTACTTGCGGCAAAGCGGAATGAGCTCAGGTTCGATGGCACGAGCTGGAAGTGTCAGTCACATATATTTAGAGCTTGGAATGGTGACCTTACTAATGGCGTTGTACATCGCCTGGTAGATTGTTGGCTTTACCCATCCTCGCTCATTCGTAATATTCCAAATCTCCGCAACTTCCCAGGCAGCATAGTTGCTGAGACCAAGCTGGACAAATTTTCCCTCCTTGTGCAGCTCATTCACTGCCTCCAAGGTCTTTTCGAAAGGCACGGACCTGTCTGGTGCGTGCAGGTAAAAGATGTCCACGGTATCCGTGCCCAACTCTTTCAATGAGGTGCCAAAGTGCTCCTTCAGTGACGCAGGCTCGTGAACTCCGGCCTTGTAGGGATACACCTTCGTGGCAAGGGTGAAGCCGCGGTCCTTCCACTTGGCATCACGCGTCCATCCCTCCTGCTTGCCACCAACGTACATGCGAGCTGTATCGATCTCGTCATAGCCCTTCGATTGAAAGTAGTCAAGATGTTTTGTGAATTCACTGTGGTCTGTGATGCGAGCTCCAGACGATGCATCAGGACCTGAGGGAGCTTAGCTGGAGATTTGGCGGGGTAAGTGGAGATGGCTGGAGTTACCGAAGGTCATCAATCCCAAGATGACACGGTCATTCGGATTCGCTGCAATGAGAGGCATGGCGGATAGTTGATTCTGAGATGTGTGAAGCTGTCTTTGGATTTGTGCGACGCGATGAAGAGACATTGCGAGTTGTCCGGAGAGATGACGACAGGAGACGGGGGGCTGTCACCACCCGGCTTATGTCCGAGTAGAAGCAGCTCCAGTCTGCCGAGCGGTCCCTAGATCACTATCATGCTGACAACTTTGTGTCTTTCTTCGATATAAAAGAATTGTAGGCGCTCGAGATATCAGGTGCCAAGGCCAACTTACCAGTCCATGAAGGTTTGGTCTAATTCTGCGCATGAACAATTGCATGCACTCGAATGCCCAGCTCAAGGACGATTTGGACTCTCTAGCGGCTAGATCCGTCACGACAGGTGTCTTCAGCGGCGCCGATATTTTCTGGCTGCTTCTGTGAGCTTTAGTGATCAGCTCTCAAGTCATTGCTCGTATAGCTTCACGGCTTGAGATCTCGATGCAGGTGCTTTGTGACAGTCAAGATGAACAGCAGCTCTCGGAAGGCCATGGGCCGCCAATTTCCTAATTCGGGACGAACTCGTTGCGGGCAGAGGCTCGAATCTGGAGGACTCTCGGCTGTGCTGGAAAGAGGTCAGAGTATCAGGGATATGCATAAACCAAGCAAGTTTCTCACCGATACCTCTGCTCACCAGAAACACATTGAAAGATTGTGCATTGGTTGCGGGTGACTCATCGCTCGCTTTGCGCGGATGGGGCCAAAGAAGAATTACAATCAGCCAATGGCGTCATCCAGCGATAACGATAAGCAACCTCGACGTCAGCAGGCCAGCTGTCACATCCCTTACCTGCAGCTAGAGGAGCGCCATCACACGAGAACACCTCTGTCAACGACCGTGCCCAGGATCGACTTGCGAGCCGTCCCGCGCTGCCTGCACTGCACAGGTGCCACGTAGCAAACGCAGGTACACGCAGAACCAGGCATAAACCGTCTCGAAAGCAACCACGGCGCCCATATAAGAGCCGCGCACCGCCCCACTGGACCTTTCGAGCGTAATACATACACACTCACAGCAGCAGACCGCTGCCGTGTGAAAGATGAGTCGATCAGCTGCCCGGCCCGAAGATATCATGTGGCCCAGTCAGCCACGCCTCCGCGAACTTACGAATCAGTCTTTTCCTCGCACACCATCAGACAGATTTGAATATGATTGGAGCGTAGTTCGTCGATACCAGGTACTTCGGATGGAATCTTTCTTGATTAGCTTCTGGCCATGCGCTCAAGCGCTTTATTGGAATTCGACTTCGACGCCGCGACAGTGGTGCGGTGTGCGACCTTGCCAGGTCTTTATCTTCACATGAGATCAGTATGCCCAAGCCTCCTCTTTTCTCTAGCGCCTAATCTTCTGAATATCCCTTTGCTTTGAAACGATCAGGTCCTTGTCGCAATCATTATTGGTTTGTCTTGCGCGCCCATAAGTAGCTCCTTGCGTCCCTCATCTGCACCATCCCGGCATCTACCAATCTGGAAGGACTTGCATGCGAACGTCGCTGACAACTTCAAGAGAGCTCTCTGTCCAGAAGCTGAGCGCGAAACGAATCGGGACTGATGTGCTGGTGTTTCAACTTCGGTTTCTCAAGTAAACCGAAGAACAAGTCGTCATCGAACGAGAAGAGGAAGCGAGATGCGCCGGCGGATGGCGCGCTTCACGGCAAGAGTAGACCTGTTGTCGCAGAGGTTCAAGAGAAGCGCAGCCCGAAAGAATCTTCGAGGAGGAGGCGATCAACAGATGCTGAGGTTCCGCGCTTGTCGCGGCGCACCAGGAATGAGGTCGATGCTCGATCGCAATATCAACATGCGGACCCATACCAAGGCTATGAGCAACATAGGCCAGCCTTGAATGTTCAGATCCCTGCCGTGTGGCACCGTTCAGTATACCCTGGAAGCACGCATTCCTCTCAAGAAACCTTGCTCAATCCTCGGCCGCTTCGCAGCACCCGCCAGCGTCAGCGACACCCAAAATACACGTCGCAGGGTACTCTTCGAGGTCGCGGAGCTAAGCGTGATCCTCCAAAGAACTCCAAGTCCAGGACAACTCTTCGTGCTGAACCTTCGCGAGGTTGGTCGTTCTTTGCGCCTTCCCCACCTAAGACGCCATCAAGGCGGACTTACCAGACATTGAACGCTTCGCCCCGTAGCCAACGATCCAGTCGCCAGCATAGATCGGTACAACAATATGATACTGTCCGAAACTTCTCGCCCTCACGCTCGCGCCATCATCGTTCACGTCAGTACGAACAGCAAGCTCCTACCGTTCGCAGCGCGCGCTCACGAACACCAAACACGGCTGCCAGGCGGGTACCCGATCGCCGGTTTGCTGTGCTCGCTGCTACAAACCAGGCGCTCGAAACTGTCCGTCGCGATGCCTTTGCGCAGTCATCGCCGCCTCCGAGGAGGGAGGGACTTCGAAGGTATGGGGATTTGTCGAACCCCACGCCGCAAGTACTTTTTGACTGGGACTGTATCAGTAGCTCTCAGGCTTCTGGTGGCCGAGGGGATTCAAGCACGCGACAAAGGCGGTCGCAAAGATAATCTGGACGCTGGAAGTCATGGACCGCGTGCAGAACTGCTACCCTTTACGGACGACATGCTGTAACAGCAGTGTTTGTTGATGATATCCCCATACTTCCGTTCATGAATACTCTGTATCGTACCCTTCATTTACAAAATACCCATACATCTTTTCTAAATCGTTCAGGTCCCTGTCACTATCTTGGTGTTCGTCGATGTTTCATATTTCTGGTGTATCTACGAAGCTGTAGGTCGCGGACCAGGTCGAGGTAGGAATATCTCCTTTGTCGCACAAAAATTCTTCTGCTCGTCGTTACCTCATCCCGTCCATACATTAGACCTCCACATGTAAAATATTCTTACCGTCACGATTACCTCCCGTTGCACGAGAAGCAATGTCTGCCAGTAGGACCACTCGATCCTTGGCACGTTCCACGACCCTGGAGACCAACCACCTCCTAGCACACCACAAGATGCCATACATCCGAGATAGTCACTCGAAGGACTAACCCCAGGAAGCTTTCTACGGCTATAGGCAAGTTCCCCGCCAGTCAAATGTGTGGGACGCGCTCAGGAAAAGTTGCCAGCCAGTTAGAAGCAACCCGCGGGCTGTCCTTAAATGTTGCGACGGGAGTGGCCGAAAGGCCGTTAAGACGCCGTCCTGAAGCAGCGGTTTTTGAAAAATGTCTACAGTTGTGTGCAAGTACTGCGCCAGTGACAACAGTCGGCAGCTGCACAATGAAATTGCAGCCTCTATGGTCAGTATGTGGTAGTACTCACGCATTCGACCCATTAAAGGTTGCTCCAGACCTATGGCTTGCTCTTGAGGCAGCTTGTATGGCTAGGAGTAGAAAGGCTGAGAAGCAGAAACCTGATTGATTGCCCTTTTATGAAGGAGCTTGTGTCTGACCTGTATGAATGTACGCATGGTAACGGCGAACGCTGCAAGGCTCATTGCGTCCACCATTTCGAACTGATCACTTTTTGTGCACAAGATCCGGTTGCTTTGCCAGTTGAAAGCCAGCGCAGAAAGAAGAGTGCCTTGTCTCAAGGTTCTGTGCAAAACGAAACTTCTGCGCTTCCAGCAACTGGGCGGGGCGACCTTGCGCTCCAATCAGACAAAGCTCGCGGCGTCTTCTCACCTGCAGGCCCTGAGCACAGGCTGGAAAGTCATAACGCAACCGAGAAAGTCTCCTCATTCCGTCGAGACTGACAGCCGTCCAAACTGCCTAAATAAGTAGGAAATGTGAAAGTGTTGATTTCTTTTGGGAGTGTTTCCGCGGTTTACAGCCAGTGAGAGAGGAGTGCTGGAAACTAGTGCGCATGCGGGTAAGCTTGCTACATATTGCTACCAGCTCGCATGCATCGTGGTTTCGACTAGTGATCGGCGGTGGCATTGCGGTGCTTCTGATCGTGTACGGCTGTGGGAATCGACGTGCCAGCGTCTGTCACACGGTGAGACGGCAAGTGCTTGACCAGCAACGCACTCCTGATTAATCTGTTCGCACCTGGTGTTGCAAACATTTATACCCTTTTTCAACATCGACCTGGAAATAGATTGATGTGATGTCAGTAGATTAACAAGCTAAATCACAGACCCGACGGGACATATGACCTATTTTCAACTGCATTTCCAGCGCAGCTTACTTTTCGCCGCCGTAATCACCACCTGCTGCTTTCACAATCGCGCGTATACGATCGATAAATCGACCCATGTGTTTCTGATTATGCTTTGCCAATCCTTCGTTCCATACTGGATACGTCTTGGAGTCGTTCCTTGTTTCATCGTTCACGTAGTCATCGTGTTCAAGTTCCAGTCGTGAAGACTCAGGGTGAAGAGCATGGAAACGAGCCTTCTTGAGAGTCTCACGCGTTGGATCACCCGGGGGAAACCCATACAATTTGGATTTAGTTTTCAAGCCACGGTTGTCGAAAACGAAGGTCAGACCTTTTGGAAATGGCGTGGGCCACATATACGCTGATGTTCGCTCAGTAATGGTCGCAAAAAGATCAAGTCGAAGACCAGCGCTTACATCCTCTCTTGAACATGAATTCTATCACTTTACCCTCCTGAGATCGAGTAACAACGTTCTGTCCTTCGATACGTAGCTGGTAATAGTCATTGCGGTGCCTGCGTGCTTCCAGGTATATTACGTCTGGTAGAATTCGCCTAGCAGAAGTTGGATGTGCTGGAATATACGTACCCTCTGATTCATAATCAATAGGCACATCTTCGTGTCCTGAGGAATCAAGAAAACCCTCAGGAACCTCACTGGAGACACTTTCGTCGTCGCTTTCGTATTCACGATCGAGATCATCGGCCTTTGCTTCCTTTTCGCTTTTGCTCTGCAGCTCTTCCAGGATCTTCGCCGTGATTCTGATGAAGGCATATGTTGGATTTCCTGGTCCTTCTTCGTCAGCCATGGTTCTAATAACAGCTTGCCACTACGCGAATGGGGGGAAGATAAGTAAAGAACATGCGGGGACGCGACGTACAAACGAAGCAGCTTGCTACGCAAGTCTTCTGATAGGGTCGCAATCGATTAGCAATCCAGGAGAACAAAGAATCCTGTCCTCTTGTTTCGTAGCAACGGTCGGCTTGACTTTCTGCTGCCTCGACGATACTCATCAGCCAAGCCGCAAAACACTGCCAAATTGGCGGATCCTATCTGGGATACATCTCGGAATTGTTTAGCTGTGGTTCTTTCTCGGTCGATTGCAGCTCCAAACCCGGAGTCTCCTCATCAACATATGAGAGTGCCTGTCCCGTTTCGTTCGAAATGTCTAGCTTAATCCCATCCCCTGCGTATCATTTCATATGTCCGCTGGGACAGCCTTTGCTTGTTATCAGCTTGTTGTCTCTTTAGCTGATGGGGTCTGCGTGACGGATATTGCTGGCTCGACGTAGAGGGCTTGAATGCTGTCTCTTGCTACTCAATGCATGCGTAGCTTCTAAATTCGCACTTCTGAAGCTTGATCATTGTCGTCAATTTGCACTGATGAAATTGTGTGTCCAACCTCGTGCAATCCATCGAAACTCCAATTTCGATACTGAAATCGGTAGCTAGACATAGGCGACCGCACAGTGAGATTTACGTGCTGTGCTAAACCAGAAGAGCTCCCCGGGATGTACCTCGAATGGCGGCTTGGTGTCAGAGAAGACGGGTATAGACTGTGGTGCATTATGTTGAGACTAATTTTACTATTAGCTGTTCTTGTCTCTACGGCTTATGAAATGAAGATATGGACGAACTTTCGACACTGGACATCACTCTTTGTAAACACTGTCAGCTTACCGGGCGGGTCTGTACTTGCTGGATCTATGTTCCTTGTGCCGGGGACCTACTTCTCTTCGATACTGCTCGGTAACAATGACAGAAGAATGTGTTGGCCTTGAAATTTTTTGGTGACCGGAAGGTTAGCACTGGCAACGATACCTACCACGAGAGTGCGCAGACTTACGCCAGTACGACTGTCAACCAGCCATGTCTGTGAGGACGAGACTTTTTACTGAAGCCTCTGGTGATGAAGCAAAGACTATTAATACAGAAGCCATCAGTTCCGTGGAAAGGCTTTATCAGTCTCCACGGGCGACTACCCACTCGTACGTTTCGAGCCCAGTTTAAGCTCCATACAGTTCCGTAGTTGTCAGCATTGTTCAGACTGATCATGATATCGTTCTCGATGTTCCCTTAGGCAAGAGTAATGGATAGCCTTGGTAGATCACATCGTAGTAGGTATCGAGAAGCATTGTGTTGACGATGGCTACAATCCACTTATCTGTAGTTCATCGGCCGTGAGTACCAGCACTGTGTAGGTGAGCTCTATCAGAGATGTTCGACATGTGCTTTCTCCCAAAGGACAGATAGGAAACAATGATAGAGTTCACTTTCGAAAGGTACAAAGAGAGCTTCGATCTTCTCCGTCTCCAGAGATCCCTGCGTTCATGACAAATCGATGACCTCGGTGAAGTTCTGCGTGAAACAGCCAGCGCGAGCATCCAACAACGCCGCGATTTGCACCAATTAAGCTTCTTTGCGACTGACGAAACGGAAAGCCGCTATTGAGCACCCACTCAAGCAGACTGACCTCAAGCTGATCACATAGATTTTCGTGGACCCATCCAGTTGACGACCGTTGGGAGAAAGATCAGTGGTGCCATCAATGACTGCGACAATCGTCCCAGAGGCAAGTCTGCCCTCCGATGCGGTGTGTTGCGTGGTGATTGTACTCGATAGGGGTCGCTCAAGCGCCCTCCTATCACAAACGGCTGGCAAGGAGTAGCGTCGTGCAGACCACTGCCGCAATATCCGATCCTTGACGTGGTGACGCTGGTCTGACCCCATCGTGGCACGACAAGCTTTTGTCCCGGAAATGAAGCTTTTGCTGAGACCACTCCGTGGCACTGTATTGCTGCTAGTGTTCACCGCCCAATGCTTGGCTAAAGCTTCGCTGACTCTAAATGTCTTGCAAGTTCATCCTGAGGGCGTGCTTCAAAGCAAGAGTCGTGCGTTAGAGTGGCTTTGTTCGATGTTGTATGTGTTTCGTGTGCAAAGGCTGTGCTTTCACTCGCTTGCAGCGATGTCATTAGCGCTTTCCAAATAGGTATTGCACAGTGCTCATCGATGTTCTGGTGGTCATTTTGGGAAGTATGCATCCGCTGCGCCACCATTAGGAGCCAGTATGGATGTGCCCAGTAGTCAGAACCACGCAAGGCAGCCTAGGGGTAGCGCCGACATTGCGAGACTTCGCTGGGGCCTGCACATGATCTCGGGTCCAATCTTGAAGAAACACATCGGCCTGCATCAGGCTTCAGGAACGTCTGTTGCGCGAATCTGGTCGCTCTTATGAGATACCTAGCTCGAAGGCTGACCTCTTGGAATGCCGAATCTGATTTCCAACTTGCGATGGTCTCACAGAGCATATGCTCAAAAAAAGACAGATGCGACTAACGGTCCGAACTCGTACTGCTGACGGTCTGCTCCACAAACCGACATTCACTCCTGACCATGACTATCGTAGTAAGTCGCCGACGGGCGCGTCCACGGCTGCCAGTGTCCCTTTTTCGATGGCTCATCAACTATCGACGGATGCTGAGGGAACCTTTGCTTCTTCCGTGCAATCACGTCAGGGATGAGCAAAGCGATCATGAGTGCTTTGACGACACGAGCCACGTGCCTCAAGCCACATTGGGCACATCTCGTCAACCTAGCCTTTCATTCGCAACCGTGGAATCGCCTCCGAATTTGGACCCTCAATTTCAACATTCTGAGGTCTCCGGCCCACGACCATTGGGCGACAAAAATTTGGAACTGAACATCTAGCGGCTGGGCCTGTGTAAACGATCGCTGCAGGGATTCTATTTCGCTCACTGTTCAGCATGGTTTCAGCGCCCGCGAAGCACGCGACCCGAACCTTGCTCCCTCTCACGCTTCAAAAGCCTCTCTGGTTCCCCGCACAAAAAGAGCCCAACTTGGCTTCTTACTCATTGGAGGAATCTGGCCCGCCCGCTCGTTGCTTGAATACCTGCTCGGCACGAGTCGCATTGCGCTAAGGAACGGTCTAGATCGACACCCTCAACTCCCCGATTCGATTCCACGAGCTGAGCTGAACATTCATCTATAACATCGCGAGATCCCTAGCAGACCCGCTGTCAGGTATCAATTACCAAAAACACCCCCAAGACCATGTTGTTCGGCTTCAGTACCCTCGCTGCAATCCTGACCGTCGGCATTGTTCTTGCAGCACCGGCTCTGGACCAGTGGAACGAGGAGCCGCAACTCGAGGACATCCAATGCCGCTGCCTAACATTCCGCGCCAACGAACAACCAACCACATGCAATTTCTTCGAGTCTGAAGGATTCGGCTGGCGATCCGCACAAATTCTGGCATCACAATACGACATCAAAGTACAGTTTGCAAGTAAGAGGACCATCTCCAAGGTGCTGGCGATCCCAGCTCCACTCCCAAGCGATGTACTGCGGACCACGAGCACTGGCGATGCGCAGTCGGCGTCGAGAGACGAAAGCGTCAGCCAGAACAAGATCGTCTGCGGCTTTGAGAGGGAGGTTAGGCACATGACCCACCGCCACCAGATCGAGCCCCATACCCACTTCATAGGGCAAGTCATCGCCTGGCTTGTGCTGATGATGGTTCTGTACGCCGCGGGCGAGTATCTCTGGACGAGGTAAGACACATGACCCCGTATTGTCAGCTACATGGACTAACTCCGCTAGGTACACATCCCGACGACCCATCAAGCTGACGGGGGAGGAGAAGCCCCTCCAGGCCAGCTCGAGCAGTGTTTTGTCTGAAAAGGAAACACCCTCAGACTTCTCATGAAGTATCCTGCGTCTTCAACACAACAGCAAGCAACACTTGAAGCCAGCGAGCATGGCACACCACACAGACAAGCAGTCTGTACCCTCCACGTCCGCACTCACGACGCAAAACACCACCAGCTCATCTCACCACCCGGAAAGCCATCACCCCGCCACGACAGCTCGAGACGAGCGTCCGCAAGCAGTCAGGCCGGGCGTCCCACCAGCGTCCCAGATCGGCCGTGCGTCACCACGCACGCCCGTCATCGCGGCCGTCGATGGGGCACCAGAAACGGCGAACGCGAGATGCCACTGAGTCGCACGCGCGAATTGCTCGGACAGTCTTCCCTCGCCTCGCGTGGGAAGAGGATACCGCCCCCCCGTGGTCGACGGCATGCATAGAGGATTGAGGCCGCAGCATAATGTCATGTGCCAATCGATATGTGTCAGGCCTGGTTGCTGCCGGCTGCCGGCTGCAAGGCATGCGAGCTGAGCGATTCGGGACAAGTCACGCACCTTGCCGCGTGCTTTTATTTAATCAGTGACAGCCGATCAATCCGTATTCATTCATATTCATATTCATTCATATTCATATTCATGTAGGACATGTATAAGTTACATGTAAAAGTACATACCAACACCGCTCTCCACGCCTCCGCCCGAACTTCTACTCCCCAGCCTTCCAACTCCCTCACGCTCACCTCGTCTTGTTCACCCCTCCCCGCACCTCGTTCCACGGCTTCATTGACTCTCCGCTCTTACATGACCTGGTCGTCGAACATGCGCAGAGGAAGAGGAGGGCGGCGACGGCGACGGCGATGGCGAAGGGCAGCCGTGAGCATGTTGCGCTTGTCTGTAGCGCCGGGCGGCGGAGACGGGTGCTGCGGCGAGAATATGTGCGAGCAAGCAAGTCAGCCGGGAGGGGGGGGACGTTGTGCCGCTGCCGCTGATGCATTGGCATTGTGTCGCGGGGAGCTGGGTGTCGAGGCAGCAGCAGTGGGAGAGAGCATGATGCTTCGCGGGGAGTTGAATTAGTTGATTGTGTATTAATTACCATGTACTCTATTTATGCGAACAAGCCCAGGCTCGGGGTATCCAGTGCAATCCCAGCAATCCAGTGCAATCCCAGCAAACCAATGCCAACGCCAACGCCAATGCCAATGCCGATACCAATGCCAATGCCATGTCAAAACGCCAATGCTATGCAAGCCTCAGAGGCATGCGCCGACTCGAGAGTCGACCCGCACCGCCGCCCAAGACCAAGCCATCCTACAGCCAAAGCAACCACCTCAGCACCCCCCAAACCACGACGACAAGACTCTTCAGCAGCCCATAGCCCGCAAACACAACCGACGCCAAGCGCAGCGCAACCACAATCCCCCACTCGACCACGCTCCACCCCCAGCTCATGACCCAGCGCGAATGCCTGCGTCGCTGCCTCAGCATGCGCTCAATCTCGTCGGAAATCTGCTTGACGTGCAGCGGCCCCTGCCCGCTCACTTCGCTCGTGATCTGCACCGCAGCGTCGCCGGCCTCGAAGACGCGGGGCATGAGATCGGCCTCGATGCTTTCTCTCAGCGCGACGATGCGGGCGTTGAGGTCCTTGATGGTGCCGGCGCGGAAGGCGTCGCACGCGCGGTGCAGTGCCGACGTGCCGCGCTCCAGGTCGGTGACCAGGATGCGGGCGGCGAGGACGTGTTCTTCCTTGCGCGGAATGGGGAAGATATCTCGTGCTGCGGTTTGCGCGGCAAGGAGGAGGAAGCCGGGTGCGGGGTCGCGACGCGAGTGTGCGCGGCGCGAGATTTCCTTTGCTTTGACGCCCGAGCACAGGAAGAGTGCGCGGACGCGGGCGATGTCTGCCTGGGAGACGGCGTTGCGCTTTCGGCGGTGGAGGTGGTGCTCGTCGTCGTCGTCGGTGATGCTCCAGTGCCGCTTGCCTTGGAGCGTGGGGCGGGAGCCGCTGCGGTGCCGGTTCTGGGCGGCTTTGAGAGCGGTTGGCGGGAGGTTGCTGGTGAACGCGAGCACGCCGCCGGGCCGGGCGAGCTGTGTCTTCATGTAGTCCTGATCGTGGCTGCGGGTAGGACCGAGGGTAGCTGTCGACGAAGCTGTCGAGACGCGCTCCAAATCCATACGCGGCGGCAAAAGGCGGTCGATGCGAGAGGATCGGTCATTGCGGCGCTCGCGGGACTGGCGTGAGATGTGGTGCTCGAGGTCCGATGCATCGTCGCTGTCGCTCAAGGCTTTGTGAACAGGACGGAAAGACGGGAGCTTGAGGTGAGACCGGCCTTCCTTCTCTGACGCACTGCCGGCGGTGGTTGATGTGACCGTTCGTGATAGCCCTGGTCGGCGTCGCTCATTGTCGTCAAAGTCGATAGAATTGCGATCGGAAACGGTGCTCGCATCCGTGTCGTCTGCGCGATCACGCCTAAAGATGATATCGCCAACCTTTGTTCCCTCATGTTTGACGCCCTTGAAGAATCTCGTGACAGCAGAGTGGTTGTTGAGGTCTTGTGCCCCTTTGCGACGCAGCTTGTCCGGACTGTCGAGACTACTGACGCTGTCGTTCTTACGGTGACTCAGGAGGTTCTTTACCGCACCAGGTGCAGCAAAGATGGCGGTTCCGAGTCCGCTGGGCTCGTGGGCCTCCTCGCTTGTCTGTCGAGAGGCCTGCTTCTTGTCCAAGGCTGTCGTATCCTGCTCGTGCTTGTGTCCATGCTTGTCGTGATCGTGCTTATGTCCACGCTTGTCGTGCTCGTGCTTGTGTCCATGCTTGTCGTGATCGTGCTTGTGTCCATGCTTGTCGTGCTCGTGCTTGTGTCCATGCTTGTCGTGCTCGTGCTTGTGTCCATGCTTGTCGTGATCGTGCTTGTGTTCGTGCTTGTCGTGATCGTGCGTAAAGTGAAAGGGATTGAACTTGCTACGTTTGGACCTGGTGCGGTCAGAGTCATCCGTGCTATGCGGCGGAGACAAGTCACTCCCAATGTGAGGAAAGTGTCGAACATGCAGCGGCGTGCTGGGCGCGGTGCTATCATCCTCGAAAGATGAGCGGGGTTCGGCCGACTTGATGGGGGTCAAGGGGTTGGTGCGGTTGCGTGGAGGCATCTTCAGAGTAGCCTTGTCGTCAATTCTTGTTGAAGAGCCGTTTGCAAAGCGAGGGACGTCCAACGAGTTGCGCAAAGTCTTGCCATCAGGGACCTCGGGTGGTGCTCGTCCCCACTTGTCTGGTGTGTCTGGTGTGTCGGCCGCTGGGGTCTTGTTGTTGTTCAGTCCCTGGGTCTGCAGCTCCAATCGTCTCTTGATCTGCAGTGCAAGCGGGCCAGTGTTGTGCTCAATGTCAAAGGACTTCCGAACCTTGCGCACGTCCACATCGCTGTCGGACGAGTCGCTGTAGCCGATGGAATGCTTTCGTGGACTGCCTCTGCCTGTCCGCAGTCGCGAGTTGGCGCGGATCTTTGGCAGAAGGCGCCTCTTTCGACCCCGCTCGCTGCCCTGTTCGCTTTCGTCACCGGTCCCGGGATCGGTGCCAGAGACGCCGTCCACCCAGCTTCGTCTTCTGGAAGACTCTTTGCTGGGCCTTGGCGCCAGGAAGTCGTTCTTCTGCTGCTGGGGTGGCTCTCGAGGTGGAAAGATCCTGCGGCCGAGGCGGTCTTCGATGACAGCTTTGTTGTTCCCGTGCTCGAGCCAGTACGCATCGGCAAGCAGCTCTTCGGGTGTGAAGCTCCAGCCTTGTTGCGATTTGGAAGACTTTGCCTGTGTGCCGGCCTGCAGCTCGTGGTCGTGGTGCAACTGTGGCAGTGCGACACGGCCCTCCAGACGGAACCCAGGCGTCTTTGAGTGCTCCTCGATGTCGTCGATCCACTCGTGGACCTGCTCAATGTCTGAGAAGGCGGCGGGTTCGTGGGGCAGCGCGAGGCGTTCGCGGGCTCTGCTCCTCCGGTTGCGCAGGGCTTGTATGGGATTGTAGGGGCGGCCGAGGTCGTGCTTCTTGTTCGCATACGACGGGGTGCGTGTGAGGTAGGCGTGCGGGCTGCCCGGGACGGCATTTGTGGTGTAGGTGAAGTTGCCCGGGGCGTTGGCGTCATCCTTGAGCGGTGGCAGGAATGCCAGCAGACGCATGTACTCGGCCCGCAGCTCAATGTAGGCACGTGCCCTGTCCCGGCGCAGGAGGGTGGCCGGCGAGGGATTGCTCGTCTGGCGTGCTGGGAAGGCTGCGGTCCCGCTGGACTGCATGCTGGCGGACATGTGGCGAGCGGGCGAGGCTTTGCCCATGGGCGACAAGTTGCGCGACACTCTGCGCTGCTCATTCAGGTACTGCCGTAGGCTGCTGCTCCCGCCGGCGTGCGAGAAGCTGCCCTCCCTGTGCGCGCTAGAGGGCGCCCGCGACTGCGCGCCCAGCAGCTGCGAGGCGCTGATGTTCCGCCGGCGGCTCTCGCTGAGGTTCAGGGCCATGTGCACCAGCTGGTTCGGGTCCACGGGGGGCGCGACGGGGCGCCTGGAGGGGGGCGCAACGGGGGGTGCGCCGTTGGGCGGGACGTTGGCGGGCGAGACGTTGGCGGGCGAGACGTTGGCGGGCGAGACGTTGGCGGGCGGGACGTCGAGCGTGCTTCTCTTCCCTCTGCTGTCCGAACTGTGTCTGCTGTCCGGCCTGTGTCTGCTCTTCCCTCGGCTGCCGTCGCGCGGCCCGCTGGGCAACGTCGGGGCCAGCAGGAACCCGCCGCCAGACCGCCCCGCCGCCCTGTCCGCGCGGTGTCGGCGGTGGGCAAAGTCGCGCTCGTCAATGGCCTCTGGCGCCAGGCGACTGCTCCCCGAGCCCTGCGACGCCGCCCTGCCGTCGCCCGTGGCCGTCCCTCCTCCCCTGAACCGCGCAGGTGCCGAGCCGCCTTCCCCGTTGTCCGCGTCGGCGCGCCGTGTCTGCGAGTCGAGTGAGTGCGACGACGTGACCGACGGCTCCAGCGAGAACGCGGGGCCGCCGTCGCTCGAGGGGGCCGCCATGGTGCGCGGTGCAGGCGGTGTAGGCGATGCAGGCGGTGCAGGCGGTGCAGTGCTCAGATCAACCCGTTCGGCGTGCACGCAAGGACGTGCAGATGCCCCGGCTGCACCCCGGAGTCCGGACCGCTGCCCTCACACGTCACTGCATGTGTCCGCAGGAAAGAGCGCTCCACTTCTCCACAGTCGCCAGCTCTTATCAGCACGGCCCCAATGCTCTGGGAAGGCGTCCGCTGTGAAGCCTGTTCGTCTTGACTGAGGGTTGGGAAGGTGGATTTGCTTCTTTGGAATTCCTTGGCTGTCATGATTGCAAACATGCACCCGTGATGCCTACGCTTTCGCCATTGTGCCACTCCCACTGCACCTGTCGGCACACCATTGTTGCACCACGCTCAAAATGTAGTGCAGTTGACCGGAACCTCAGTGTCACATATCGTGTCGGCGAGTGGCACTGTGCACTCGCGTATTGCCGCCCTAGATGTCCTGTCTCATCTCTGAGCGACTGGTAGTTTGTCCCAACTCGGTCTTCAGTAGCGACTAAGCTGGCCATGCACAGTGAGAAAACCTGAAACGCTTAGTCGTCCCTTCCCAAGCTAAAGGCTTACGAATCAGCAAGCATGCTCCCGGCGTCAGATGGCATGCTGCGCACATGAGCTGGACAATTTGGCGTCCAGCAGGACACTCGAGGCGGACCCAAGTCCGGTCAAGATCGTGCGGACGTCAATTGACTTGCAAGCTTCTCGAGGGTCTGAGAAGATCATCTCAGGACGATGCTGAGCAAGTTTTCGTTGCAGCTGCTGGTCCTCAGCCTCGGAGTCCTGGGGGTCCGATCTTACGCCCGATGCCGCCCATATACTGCAGTTCCGAGTATGAGCCAAGATCTGATGCTGAAGGCGCGAATACGTGTCTGTTAGCAGCTCAACAGTTCTCGTGCAATCGTATCGCGCCCCACCAAGTGTGAAGGTGCTGCGCAGAATCCTCGTACAATTTTTGCGTATGGCTACTGGCAAGCCTGTCTACGATCGAGGAACTCGAAGAAATAAAAGATCCAGACGCGATCCATCGGCCCAAACTTTTCTGCACGGCACCGGCAGCACCAATTGGCTTGTGGTCGGCGACTGTTCGTGGAATACACAAGCCTTCCGCTCGCTGATTCGTGACCAGCTCGGCTCCGCTTGCAACAAGGCGGATGATCCGGTAATCTGGCCGCGAGGCTGGACAGGGAAGAGTGTGTGAGGGAATCGCATTCTAGCGAACTTCTGCTGACGCTGGCCCTGGGCGATGTAATCTGAATGCATGCGTTCGAGTTCTTGGTGATGTGAAAGGAATGCAACGTCGTCCTGACCTTGGCTGCAAAGTTAGCGTCATGCCACCTCGAATCAGCGATAGCTTGAGTGAGCAGTCATCACAACAGCTCGCTATCCTCAGCCAGCCAGCCATCAAGCCTTGCGCTCTTAGACGTGCAATGCTGCGAGGCGGCGTGATCCGACACAAGGTTCTGACGGGCGCTCTCGTTTCTTTTGATTAGTCGGCCAAACTGGCGACGCAGCCTTTCCCCAGCCGTACGCGTCTTCCTGCTTGATTCGTGGTAGGGTCGATGAGCATCGTGCAGGCTGAAGCTGAGGGTCCAATAGGCGTTCAGCTCGCCTTTTCAGGTGGTGGCTGCAGGAGAACCGCCCACTCATATGGCAAGTGCGAGGCTGACGCCGGCTGAAAAACACAGCCTTGTCGCACTCCACCTTCGCAGCGAAACTCGGTCTATCATCAGGCAGCTGCATAAGTGTATTTGGCACGTCCAGTCCCCGCCCAGGCCGCCGACTCGAAATCCCTTCTGAAGTTCCTGCCATCTCGACATCCCACCCTCTATCCCCGTCAGCCTTAGTCGCCGTTGGAAGATCCGGCCCCACCCAAAAGCAGAAAATCGACTACCTACTGGATCTTTCTACCACGCTGCGCACCTGGCTGTTTACCAAACTCCTCCTGGACCCTGGTTGCATCAAAGTACATGCCTCCTACAAGAAAAAGAGCAAGGATGAAAGAAGAAACAGCCCCTTCCACGACCATCTCGACGGCCACCCAGACCACTGATCCGGTTGAGCCGCAGTCCATGTCGAGACAGACCCTCGTCACAGCTCCCGTCAAGAATGACACGCCGACTACTTCGCCCACATTCCAAAGCTCATCCAAGACGCCGTCGCGGAGAGTGATGCGATTGAAGTGTCCCCTCTGCTCTGACTATCCCGACGGCTTCCGGAGCGAGCATGAGCTGCGCCGTCATACCAATCGCGTCCACAAGAAGACGCGTAAAGTATGGGTGACCATCGACACATCGCCAGACAAGACCTTCCTCGCTAGTTGCAAGGCCTGCCAGACCGGTAAGAGGTATAACGAATGCTATAATGCTGCTTCACACCTCCGCAGGATGCACTTCCACCCTCACAAGCGCGGCGAGAGGAAGATGACGGCTGCAGAAGCGCGCAAGGGCGGCAAGGCTACAGATCTGGATCCGCCAATGGAAGTCCTGAAATCGAACTGGTTGCGGGAGGTAGATGAATTTGTCGACGGCGATGATGTGTCCATGGACGATGTGAGGAACGACTCACTGACCCAACCTCCAACGCTGCCACAACCACAGGCTCAGCAACAGCCCACCGGTGCGAAGGCCGACTCAATAGCGCCGCCAACACCAACAACGCCCTCTATCCGTTCAATGGCGATCGACAGCATTGTAGATAAGGTCGATGCTGCTTGAGCTGGCTCGTGTGGACGTCCTCAGTTAGACCGGGCACGGATCCCGGCGGAGTTACGAGCTCGTAAAAGCACTGTCTCGATACTTGGGCGCGACGACACCGAAGAATAGGACACCGCGCGCTGTACCAAAATAGCCATGCAAGGTGGAGAGGATAGCGTTCCTGACAATGGACGCGTCGTGTTGCAATCCCACGCTCGGCCGATCACTGGCATTACAAAGCCACCTCGGACCGCTACCGCGCACGGCTGTAGCTGCACCATCGAGCCACTCAACATGGGAATGCCTGGCGATGTCAACGTTGTCGAGGCCCTTTCGGCTTGCACCACTCTGCTAATTTTGGCGATTACGAGACCTTGCATAGCCGAGCGCAACTGCACCAGCAACTCATTGCGCTCTGCGTTTGGTCGAATGCAGCGGCCCTCTTCCCGTTCATCGGACCCAAACCTGTCGCCAAAGTAGGCTGGCGTTTGGCCATCGCAGTGAGGCTGGAAAACAAAAAACGCGGGTACCGGTGAGCGGTCAGCCTTATCGTATTGGGCGACTCAGGGGTGTAGTCAGCAACACTAGGTATTGGCAAGGCGTCCTGTAGAAGCTCCACTTGTCCTGTGCTCTTGCCTCGATAGTTACGAGACCTCGTGTTCCAATCCAGATATGGGAAGTAGCACGGCTTATGTTATATACATGTCCGCGCGGTGACACTGATTCATGTACATTTTGCACTTGCGCGAATGAACCATTGAAAGGCGCGGTCGAGAAGAGCGTGTCGCGCACAATCTGCTGGGAGAAGTGTAGAGTAGAACGGATGTACAGGAATTGAAGTGGAATTAAGAGCAGCGCAAGTGTAGATCATCCGGGTCCCAGCTGGGTGGACCGCGGCTACACGTCACTCGCGAGACTTTGGGCAACTGCCTCACCAAATCCTTTCTCCACCATAAACACACAACAAAGGTTCACACCCTCACACACACGCGCAGCGAGAGCACAATCGCTCACCATGTATTCGGTGCAGACGCGTCAATTGCCATGTCAACAATCTCGCTCCATCCTCGCGCCGTGCAATAATCACTCTCTCCCTCTTTGCTCCGGTAGCACGCCCTGCGACTCACCCAAGTCCACAGTGGCTGCAGCATCGCCGTGACCGACCCATACCTTGGGCTCAGATCTGCCATAAGGAGGCGACGAGTCTTGGTATCACTCTGCCTCAACGACGTCTTGCTGCGCTGATGGATTGGGGTCGCTGGAGAAATCTGGTCCAGAACTTTGTCAACCTGGGTGGGCTTTACTCCAGACGACCAGGCGACCTGCGCCCGCTATTTAGATTAGGTGGGATCCTTCCGGGTTGAGCTTACTTCGAGGATGGCTCGGTGTTCTTTTCGCGTTTCCCCTACACCCACGAGGAACTACAGGAAGTCACGAAAGTCGCCGCATGCTTTGTGCGTAGCCCATCTGATGGGAAGAGGACTCTATAAATGAATAATGATAACCACACATGAGTGATACTATTGGAATCAGTGGTATTCAGAGATCATGCTGGAATTGGATTCGATTCGATCAATACATGTTTCCATCGAGTTTACCGCTGAGATCAAGTGTTACCGAGCTCGTCCTTTTTGACCATTCCACAATAGATCAAGTCATGGCGCACTTCCCGGGGTACTCTAGTCGATAGAGTGTTGCAGCCTGAAGTTCGCCACACAATGGACTAGTATTTACGCTCAATCCGAAGGCTGCCATTGTTGATACTGTCTCTGAGGCCGCCGCCCCAGAGCTAACGCCCAACGAAAAGGACCGAGAGCACGGGCTGGACGGCGCCGGGAACTTTGTTCAAGCAGAGTGGCAGCGCAAGCTTGAGTACCTCCGGTTAAGCGATCTCACATCAGCCATCAGTCCGGGTTCATCTCTCAATTGGTCTCTCAGCTTCAGTCCCCGTAGAGGATTCAAACGGCTCGCATTGATCTAAGGTGGCTTAGCGCTGCTTCAACGCGACCTTGACCTCAGGCGGCGAGGAAGTGGCATCGGATCGAGAAGAGGTAAAGAAGACAGTCTTGCCCCAGAAATAGGCAAAAACATCGACATCATCCGAGAAACAGGCAAAGAAGTCGGCACCTTCTTCTTGCGGAGAGATCATCTTGGTCTTTGGGTTCCTTGAGAAAGACGACGCGAACCCACCTAACGCTCATGAAATGTTCCAGAGGGCGAAGGGAGACATCTAAGTCGTGGGCGGTAGATTGGAAAGACAATCAGGACCGACACTCAAGAGAGCACCTCCTTGGCACACCAGCTTGCCTAGCATCCGGAGTTGTCCTAGAACAGGTTCTTTGAACGCGACTCGCTGTTCCAACCACATCAGGTCGATTCACTATAGGCAGGATGGGTCTAGACAGGACGCAGCCTGACAGATAGCAAACTCACTGTACACGACTTGTCAAGTGTCAGGACCTTAACATCGTCAATTCGCGGTCAGTTGCCGCAGCGATTTACATGATGTATATCAAAATGTACCAGAGGTACCAAACCCAGCAGGCAACATTTCTGTTACCCACGTTCAACAGTAATCAACATGGTGGTCACGATCACTTCGCTGCTCTATTTCCGTCAGAAGTATGACCATGTGTTGATAATTCCCTTTACAGCACAAGGCAAAAAGATGCAATGACAACTCGATTTCTAATAAGAGTATAGCACTCCCACAACAGCCGTAAGCACATGCAACATAAGGAACATGTTCATAACGAAGGCAAAAACGCCCAAGTACCACTCAACGCCGCGCTTGTTGTACAATAAGAACATACACCGCCAGCTCGACATCGCAGGGTCGCTTTGTGTCGATCTCCGCTATTCCGAAAGCTGGTCAGCAGGGGTTGTCTGTGTTGGTTAAGTCTGGACGAGACAATGCCTTGCGCCACGCTTATCCGCAACACAATCCTTTGTTCCCACGCCTGCAGGACCTGCCAACACTGCCCTACCACTTCACCCTGCATATGGCCTTGTAGGGCTGCAGCTATTCTCTCTTGTCGGTGTAAGCGTGTCGCCGTCCACGCTCGCCGTTGAGACGTGGATGTTCGTCTCGACCTGAACTTTTATCCTGTCTGGGAGCGGGCCCGTCTCGAGCATCACATCTTGACTTCCTGTCGGACTGTTTTCACGCAGGGAGTCTATTTGCCGCGTCTGTGTCTGGGCGCGTCCGAGCCGGCTGTCGACTATGCGCGAGAGCCTGTTGCTGCCGCCGACGATGGTGACGGAGCGCGCGGGCATGGTCTCCTTGTGCATGGACATCAGGCCATAGTTTTCGATGTCGCCGTGGTGAGCGGCGTTCGCTGTGTTGGTTGTTGTGATGGCGGTGCGGTTGTATTGTCCCGATGGGCCTGTTGAGCTTTCCTGCGAGACGAGGATGCGCCGAGTCAGAGCGTAGAGTAGCGCGTCGATCCAGCCGCAGGATGTGAGAAGCGAGCCGGCGATGACAAAGAAGACGTCTGGCATGGGTGTGCCGGTCATGGCGACCATGCGGCCTACTGCGATGGGGAGTGTGAGGATTACGTAGACGGCTGGGTACATGACCATGAACTTTGTTGCGCGGGTCAGCTTGGTAGTGTCGTTACTTTGGATGCCTCGGATGCGACCACGTAGGTGGATGAAAACGTGTCCGTAGATCGCAATTGTGCCGAATTCGACGATGAAGATCCATAGATAATGGAGCCAAAGACGTTCGGGCGTATGGTTGACAGAAACCCAGCACCATCCTCCAGCTCGTCCAAAGTAGCGGTCTCTGTACATGGCAGGACCTAAGACAGTCAGAAGTAAGGCGAACGCCCACAGACCCAGGATCGAAGCGATGAACCACTTGTATGGCACCTTGTAGCCTTTGACCACACCCAACCATGTGTGAATAGCGATAGCAAGTACAAAGAACCCGCTTGAGACATCGCCGATTTGTAAAAACCAGGCTTGGATGAAGCAAGGTATTGTTGGAGCCAATATCTTGTTGATGCGAAGCCAGTGGAACGACATAACAAATGCAATCGCTTGTTGGAGGTCTGCCAACAGAAGGTTGTAGATGAGGATTACGAATTGATTGTGTCCAACGTTATAGCGATAGTGATTCCGCCAGCTGATTAAGCGATGTGTGATGAAGACGAGCAGCGCTGTGACACTGAGCAAAGACATCATGGCGAACATGGTGACCGGAACGAGACCTTTGCGGTAGACGGGCGGGAGCGGATCCAGGCTGTCCGGGAAGGGCAAGTAGCGCCTCTCCAGGTTATACCTGGGAGTTATGTCGATGTTCGCCATGTCGAAAATTGCTTGCGGTTCGAGATCTCCGGAGAGATGGTTGTGAATTTGGATGAGGGTGGCCTGACTCGCGGTCTTCAAGACATTGTGTACAACAAAGCGATTGATCGCAGCACCGCCAATACGAAGACAGCTTGTCTGGTGCTTTCTGGTAACCGTGGGTTAAGCTGGCGTGGCTGAGTAAGGGTCGAATGAAAGGAGGGTATGATGCGATCCTTTGTCGCGGGGACGCTGTGGCTTGCAGCTGTGTACGAAGGAATGTTGGCTCTAGATCTGCTCAGTAATGATGGACCCTTGGGCGTTGGAAAAATATTGACAGGAAAAGAGGATAAAACAAGAGACTGCTAAGAGGATCTGTGGAACTTAATTTGATGGAGAAGAACGGCATAAAAAGGGGACTGACCTTCAGTCTGCCGCCGACTTGGGGCAGAAACGTTACTAACGAGCATGCAGGCGCGGCATGCTACGACGGGTGCTAGCTCGAGCTGGACAGGGTCTAACCCAAGGTTTGACTGGGGTGCGCTCTACTCCCTGTCACCTGGTGTACGAAGTATAGCCAGCCGAACGGATTGCTTCGATGCTGAGTCGTGGTCACACCGAACGACTGGAGGGAACCGATCAATGGAGACGTGATGAATGTTGCTGCCCGTCGTGACGGTCGCACTGTTCCAACACCCCGATGTCCGGGCGTGCAAAGCCAGTTGAAGAGACGACAAAATTGGACTCGACGAAATTGTCAGGCTAATGTCGTGTGATGAGCTCCAGGGATTACGGGCGTTGGACGGCGTGGAACGAAGGGAGTAATTCCGCAGCCACTACGTGTGGAGACCCCTAAGCATGGGCGAGCACTGTACTGTGCACAACGCTGCCACAGAGCGTGCCAACCGCCCGATCATACCAATTCGTATGCACGCTCGGCAGTCAAGATTTGCGTCGCGTTGCTCAACTATTATCTTTACGAACGAGGCGCAAAGGAGAAAGTCGAGGTCGCAAAGAGCTGGACGATTCAACACACCTCTTGTGTTGCGCTGTCGTGTGGGGAGATTGCTTGGCTCCGGGGCTGTTCTCGCTAGCAAATCTGGGGGAAGCGGCCACCAACACCTTGGCTGATCCTTCAATCAGCTCAGGGTGAAAGACCTAGGAGGACTAGACTCTTGCCAAAATGCTCTACTACGCGGTCCGAATCAATGCGTTTACTAACTCTATTTCATGAATTGCACTATACAGTTGGCATGGATGATGATTGACTGCAGCTGCGCATCTGCCGCCTTCCCTTGCGCGCAACGTGACTGCCGGCTCTTGAAATATGCAGGGAAGGGGGCCCTCTGGCATCCAAGGCGTCCCACGGCCGAACGGGACCGCCATCGTCTTGCCATGGGTTTGCGACATCCTAACGACATGCGCCCTGAATGGATCGAGAAGAGGTCGAAGCTCTGCAGGAATATCGCCTGTATACGAAAGCTTCCAAGTCTCCACATTGGTCGGCCAGGCATCCCACACAGCTAGCAGGCCAGCCGTGGAGATCATGGCTGATACTTGACAGGCTTGACGTTCCAGAAATTGCGGGACGACGACTTGGATAGAAACGGGCGGTGCGACCAGCCTGTTACCTGTCTCCGGCTGTGAAACGAAGTGCAGTCGCGCCACATAGCTGCAAGTCACTACTGTAAAAGTCATTGCGCGTAAGCAGCACTGTACCATTACGGTGCTCAAGCCTCGTGGATCCCAGATTCCTCATCACTTCATCCGGCCTGGCATCTGCGCGTGTCTCACCCATTGGCAAAATCTCATGCGGCAACGAGCCTTCACGTGCGTGGCTTCTAGGTGTCAGATATCGTCATCGATAACTATCTTCAGCATAGACTTCATGACGAGCTGTCTGCGATCACTCATTTCAAAAGAAGTTTCATGTTGTTCTTGCTGGTCCCATCCTTATCTCCTAGCAAAATCTCTTGAGCACATATTCGCAGGATTCGATTCGGTCCATCTCTAAGCATGGCCTGACTATTTTCGTAAACAACGCCGCGGACTTGCATACCTTTAATCTATCGCGGTGTTCGAGACTCCCGCCCTTCGACCTGACTGAGGATTTGAGATGGAAGTACCAGAACGGAGACAGACAGCATGCATGTAAACACTGTCTTCCCGTGTCGAATTTACCCCGCATAATCCTACGTATCTACTGACGTCGTTCACGTGTGGCATGAGGTGTCTCAGACCCCATTGGATCATACGCGCGGGAGCGCGCAAATCCAGTTCATGGGGTCAGTTGGGGTAAATTGCACATTAGCCACCCATGATCTTAATACAGTGCGTGCTCCATAGTTCGGTCATACCGAGGCTTGTCGTTGTCGCTACCAGACCCGCGGAGGATTTCAGGTACGAGATGCATCCCTTGAGGCCTCACTCATCCTGGCGAGTGCGCTTCTTGGGGAATGTACAAACGACAGCCAGTCAGCTATTCCGGAGTCCACACAAGAACTGTTCGACCGAGATCTCGTACATGCAGCTGCAGATACGACCCATCGATATTTGAGGCTTGGGTTAAGGCCACCCCTCCGCTCGAAAGGTAATACTATTGACGGGACAAGACCAGGGTAAAGCACGCAGGCATTAATAAGCCATCCTGTTGGTCACGAACCTGACTTCTGGAACCACCACCAACATCGAGCGCGCCTAATAGAGGAACAAATGTTAAGTTGCTCTGCAAAACATACCCATCTAGCCGGTCACGATTTTCTCGTTACTACAGGATCCCAGCAAAAGAGGCAACAACTTCACAAATCAATGTTCAGCACCAGATGGAGCCAGTGCTCCGCGCTCGATACCTACTTAATGGTCAGCTGCAATTTGGCGTCTTTGCTGGAGGTCTGACCTGCGTTTTCATGTGCGATGAGATCTGCCGCACAAAGGCTGTGCTCTACATGGCTCATAACATTCGGGAGCAACGACGACGAGGTCAGCTACTTCAAGGAGCTAAGTACGACAAGCCCTTCTGTCTCAGTATGCTCTGGAAAGAGACTACCTTGCAATTTTCAGACTGATATTGAAACGGCCGTCTCGACTCGCGATATCATGGTATCTTCGCACAATGAGACTGCATGGGCCGGAGTGAATGAAGGACTGATGGATAATGATCTGCGGTTGTCAAGTTTCACCCGCGCTTTGTGCTGCAGCGACAATTGGCATCATCTCCTCGCTGTAAGTGCCTGCAAAACTGCGATGGAATCTTGGTAATGTTTCCACGCTCAGACTCTTCGTGGATAGGGCATAATTGAGGATGCAGACGTCTCCTTACTCTGACCTCTGAATATGACCTCTGACCGAGAAGATTCGGATGCGTCAGAATCCATGTCATAGCGATCGAGTCCTCCGACCTAGTCTTAAGTTTGCTCGGGTGCAGCGTTGATCGGGTCGCGCAGTGGAAGCGATACTCTCGCGCCGAAGGTTGAGGAATTACCACATTTGTTCTCCTCTGGAAAGGGTGGCATCTGACGACGCTGCTAGGCTGTCCAAGGCTACTAATATAATTCTTTCGTATACCAACACATGCGTACGGCGACTTCGGCTTGTAGTGCAGATCCAGCATGAGCGAATTTCCCAAGGTGTGACTGTTGTAGTGTATTGCTTGTGGACCCGTCATCGCTGGACCACAGAATACTGCGTAAGTATAAGAGATCAGGAACAGTAGCTGGGTATTGATCGATGCTATCGACACAAGGAGAATGCGATGGCGAGCGTTGGATGTAGTAATGACTTGCTGGGATGCTAACAGTAGTCAGCTACTGGAAATACTCAGTGCAAATCTGAGAACAATTGAAGGCGATCAATGGTTACTTCATGCTTGCGCAAGGTGACAACTACTTAGTACCCTCCAGCAACAGAATCATCAGTATACAACCTCGTCGCCCCCGGCCTATCTTCCACCTTCCCACTCTTCGCCTGCTCAACCTTCTCCCTCGCCTGCTGCATAATCCACAGCCCACTGCTAGTTCCCAGCCTCGTTGCACCAGCCTCCAGCATCTCGATCGCTGTCTCCAGACTCCTGACACCACCTGATGCCTTGACCTGCATATGCCTCTCGCTGACGCCAGTCTTGTGCAAATACTCTGATGCGCCGACCATGAGCTGCACATTAGGCAGCGATGCGCCGGGCCCGTTGAAGCCAGTGGAGGTCTTGATGAAGTCTAGATTTGCGGCGGCCGCGAGGTGCGAGGCTGCGAGAATTTGCTTGGGGGTGAGTTGCGAGGTTTCAAGGATGAGCTTGATGACGACGGGTGAAGGGCAGAGGGATCGTATCGATGCGAGTTCGCGGTAAATGGCGCTGTAGTCTGGGATATCCTCCTCTCCGCTGGCAGATCTAGAGTTCGCAGTGGTGTTGGCGGCGGTGATGCTGTCGATTGCCGAATCGTGGCTGCGGATGACTCGCGGGGTTCTGGGCTTGTTGTGCTTGGTTAGGAGGGAGTGGTTGAGTACGAGATCCAGTTCGGAGGCGCCGGCGGCCACGCAGGCGCGAGCTTCGCGCAGTTTGGAGTATGTGTCTTGAGTGCCCTCGTGGAAACCAACGACGGCTGCTACGACCACCGACGACCCCTTCAGATTGGAGAAACAGCGCTGTACCCAGTTCATTCGGACGCAGACGGACTGGTTCCTGTTAGTTCGTGCAAGTTGGATAGAAGCTCGAAAAGGCGCCAGCCCCCAAAATCGAGGTTGCCTACCTTGAAATCTTCTGTCCTGGCTTCACTGCACAAGGTGTCGATCTGAGCGCTTGTCGCCTCCAGCTTCAAGACTGTGTGGTCAACCGTCTTCGCCAATTCTTTCAGGGCCTCGTTCCCGTTCCTCATGCTCGGTCCTTCATACACTTTTTGCGCCCTCTCTCCACTCTCCACCTCTTTCAGCACCGCCTTCTGGGTTTCCGCGATCTGCGCGGCCCATTCTTCATTTGTGTAACGGTCGGTCATAACCTCAATGGGGCCCAGCTCAGCGTCAAGCGCGGGGTTTGCAGCCAGGAAGTCGCGGATCAAGACCTCTGATTCAGTCAGGGGGGTGGGGTGGGGATTCTCAGCAGGCGCAGACATGGTGACAGTTGTTGATATTGAGCAAGTCAAGCCTAAAACGGAAAGTTTTCGATAGATAGGAGGTCAGTGGTCAGGCCGCGGAAGGCCGGACAAGCCGAGCGAAGATCTTGGTGATTGGTGGTATGACGTTATGAGGACGGTGGGTACTAGTCGAGTCCTCCCTCAAGAGAATTCGTGAGCGTCACATTAAGGGTCAAGCCATCATTATAAAGAGAATCATTTGTCTATAGCCACGATCTGGGGTTGTCGGAGTTCGGCGAAACCTCGTCGTTTGCTCATCGTGCGGGACAGAAAGCGCAGCCAAGACTAAGGTCCTTCTTCAATGGGTATGGTCAAACAAGTTTGTACCATCACTTTCAGAGCTCGGGTTAGAGTCGGTGTAGTTGTTTCGAGAAGGGGAATCGGAGCTCAAGACCCTGAAATAGATGGCGTAGTGTGGGGCAGGATTAAATGATTATGGGGGAGATGTAGGAAGAAAAAAGGGAGAAACATAGATCAAGCCATCGAACGCATGGCGTGATGTCACTTCGTGCAAGGAGCGAATTTGAGAATTGACTTTCGATTTACAAAGGACCGCGTGCTGCGGAGGTATCCTCGATTGCAAACCGGTCCTCGCCCTCAGAAAACGTGTCCAGAGCTCAGATATGCCATCTCCCCTTCCACATGCATGTACAGAAAAGCTGTGAAAGAGATGCCAAACAGAAGGGACTAGATCGAAGGAGAAAGGGTTGCCCTGTGATCAACGCTGAATATCCGGAACTCCCGTTTTGACTTTTGCATTGACTCGAGTCGAAAGATCCCTCTTCTATCCCGCAGTCGGATCGATCGGTACCAATGAGATCTACACCCTTATTCCATGATAGTCGTCATCGTAACCCGTCAAATCCCACCGTCATCGTTCCGAGAGAATCGTTTACTTCCTGCGGAAAGAGCAGCCCTCAGTGAGACGTGCCTTACCACCAGTAGGCTGGCACCTGTTCCGCCATTAGTCCTTATTCCTTCCTCATCCAGATGTTCCTTGACTTACAGGACCTGCGAGCAGCCCTGGCAGACGACGACTGTGTTGGCGTGCGAGAAGACGGTGGTGATGGTGAAGCATCCCGGGCACTTAACGTCCATGAAGAACGAGCGGGGGGCGGGGACAAGAGTCTTGAGCTTGTGCTTGCGGGCCTCACTGGATGCATGTTAGTCGGTAGTCGCGGAGGCGAATCGAAGGGTGTAAGCGTACGCGGCGGGGGAGGGGTTGAGAAGGTCAACAGCGAGAACCTAGGGTGGCATTAGCATGCGAAGTCCATTGAGATACTGCTTGCGCGCAGGGTGGCCGCCAAAAGTTGCGATGTGAAGATTCTGTGGCAAACTCCGAGGCTGTCGTGTGCAGGCCGCACAATCTTCCTGTCACACTTCCTGCGGGCTGGCGGCGGCGGTCACTCACCATTTTGTCGGTTTGTGGAGAGTTTTCGGTTTGAAAGGTTGTCGGCAACGGGTTCTGTTGATGGTATGGCGCGAGGATGCGTGGACGCTGGACAGCTTTCGAGAGTCAAGACGAGGGACGTGGATTTCAACCGTAGACGCCAGACAGACAGTGGGCTTGGCGAAATCTCTCGACGCTAATTCGTCCGTGCGTTCGCTAAGTTGCTCCTTGCCGGAACACCAAAACACCTTTTCACTGAGTTGTGACTGGCTCAGTTTCGAGATTCATCTAGGCAACAGACAGAAGCTTCAAGATCACTAGCCACTCTCGATCGCGGTGCTATTGCAGTTGCAGTTGCGTTGTTGCAGACCGCTGCGCAAAATCAATGATGGCAAGAGCTCCTCGCCGCGAAACTTCGCCTCGCCCCCTCACTCTGGGACCCACTCGGCCCTCTGGCGCGACCGCAGGCAGTTAACAACACCACTTGACATGTATCGTCACATCGCAGAGCTCGAAGATGCAAAAATACTGAGCAGCTCAATATGATGAGTCGAAAGTCCTCATTGTGACTCCTGGCTAGACTGCAAGTCGCTTTCTGAGATCAGCAAGTGCCACCACGCACTCGAAATAGCATCTACCAAGCAATGAGGCTGCGAAGGTTGTGTGATCAAATGTCGGTATTTGCGTCCTACCGAAAAGCTGGACTCACTTACTCTGATCTTTCCACTGTTGAACCATACTCTGCATTCCCTCTCTGCTGCCATGACTGTCTCCAGGGGTAGCCCAGGACCAACAATAGAAGAACGAAGCGGCTAGCTGATGAGATACGTTGGAAACGGGAATGTCTGAAGTGATCGAGTGCATTTGGTAGGGATTGCATCCTTGACTGTGAAGCAAGAGGACAGAGCCATGAGTGTCATCACGATGAAGGTACATTTGAAAAGCTCACCTGATGCTCTCTAATAAAGTCTCACTCACCCAGGGCATTCTAGCTTTCCACCTGCTACCATGCACGATTTCAATATTGAAAGCTACCTTCCAACCGATAACAACGACAATCTCGCTAAATCTCACTATTTATGTGGCACCATCAGAGCCATACTTAACAAGGAAGAGGCAACAGACGAGGACATCACTGACCTGCTCGACTTTGTCTGTGAATTTCGTTCCACGATACTCCTGGAATCCATCATCGTCCACATTCCAGAGTTGAAAGTAGCAAAGATAAGCCGCGAACTTCTGGCGATAAGCTTTATGGTGAGCTGAGCACACCAGTTGACGGGTCTGATATGGCCAGAAGTCAGTGCGTAGATTAACTGCTTTATCACAATGTTGTACATTGCTAAGAAATGGGACCTGCCTATGGCTGTCACTGATAATAGGGCCGCTCCTGCTAGCAGGGATCAGCCTCCAATGCAAGGAGAAGTGTAAGCAAAACTGCCAATCTAGTTGGAGCCATGCCTTTTTTTCGTTCAGTCGGTCAACACCTACGCTTCGACTGTGTTAGAAATCTTGGTTTGAGATTGAATTTAGTTTTAGCATTCAGCATATTGGCACGCCAGTGAATGGATACTATCGTCCATATTTTCACAGCGGATCAACGGTGAACAATTAAGTTATCAAAGAGTATTTGCGTCTCCATTCATCTACATCTTTCATCGATTCCATCACTCGTGTCATACCACCCTCCATCATGAGCGACTCCAGAACCGAAAGCTACCTCTCTGTCATGGACGAAGAGAGCAGCGACAAGTTCTAGGATCTAGGCGAGTTGGTCAGACAAATGCTTCTGAACAACAAAGCAACAGAAGAAAAGATTGTTGGTCTTTTCGATCTGCTTCGTGTTGAGAAGCTTTTCGGTCATGCGAAGGCCTATGTCAAGGAGCTACAAGATGCGACGGTAAGTCAGAGGCACCTGTAGCGGGTATCAACACAGTACTGATTGCTTTTGGCTGAAGCGTACAATCTTATCAAATATGTGCGAGCAGATAAGACGTCTCATCCTGGAGATATTCACTCGTATAGGTATGAGGGACCGATAGCTCCTCATTACTGTATCCAATCTAGACTGGGGACGACTCTTCGGCGAGTCGAGGCGATGGTATTTTAGCACTCAAGGGGTACTATTTGCACTGGTCACCTGATGACTACTATGTATCTCCTTCAGACATGGTCTAACTTATGCTATCGATAAGGTGACATAATGTTCATGTCCTTCGATAAATATTGCATGTTAAATTGCCAACATCTAACCTCTATCTGGATTTGCCCTGCCACCAAGACATTTAAACGCGATAGGAAAAGTGCTTGCCTCAGCGATGTGATTGGCCAGATGTCGTACCGGGCTCAGTTCTTTCCAAAGTCTCCACCACACAGTCGCAACATTTGCGCTGCGTCAAGCTGTCCAAGAAATATACGCTAAAATGCGAGATACTTCCTAATCGATCACACAGCCCCGCCTTTCCGGATTGTTGACTCCATGGCAAGCACGACGCAACGTGGCCGCTGCAGGTGCAGATAGTATATATATCTTCCAATCGAGCTTTCTCCACACAAGCAATCCACACACAAGTCACAATGGCAGCCACACAGAAGAATACGCAAGAGATTGAGAAGGCGAAAGCCCTCAACCACGTGCCCTGGTGCGAAGAGTACGAGAAGATGATCTCAGGCATGCTGTACGCTCGATCAGGAATCCTTTGCGAACGCTCGAACGCTCGAACTCACAATCTCAGCTACGCAGCCCCCTCCCCGGAGCTTGCCCGCGCACGCTACCGCGCCCGTGCCTTCGCCCACAAATTCAACACCTGGTTCCCCGACGCCTCGACCGACCCAGACACCGGCTTCGACGTGCTCGCCTCCGAGCGTCTAAAGCTCCTGCAAGGTATCATCGGGCGCCTGGGCGACGATGAAATATTCATCGAGCCGCCCTTTAACATTGACTACGGCTGCAACATCTCACTCGGCAAGCGGTTCTACGCGAATTTCAACCTGACGATTCTGGACTGCAGTCTCGTGACCATTGGCGATCGCTGCATGTTTGGGCCTAACGTGAGTATCTTTGCTGCCACGCATGAGAGCGAGGTGCAGAGCAGGAGAGATAACGTGGAGTATGGGAGACCCGTGGTTGTAGGGGATGATTGCTGGATTGGGGGGAACGTGGTTATTCTGCCGGGTGTGACGATTGGGAGAGGGTGCACGATTGGGGCTATGAGCGTGGTGACGAAGGATATTCCAGACTTCAGCGTTGCTATGGGGCAGCCGGCGAAGGTGGTCAAGAAGGTCAGCCCTGTGCCAGAGGAGTACGTTGAGGAAAAGTAGACGTCATCATGGTTAAGTATGTAGCATTGGGAGTAGATGGTTATGTAAGAATAATGGGGTAGATATGAGACTGAGCACATACCAATAAGACGCCCGAGCGGTTATCACCGTCCAGACCGAAAGGATCCGTCGTGCGAGCGCAAGATATGTGACTACAGTTCAGGCCGTAGCTATGTCAGCGTAGGAGTGGATCATATTAATGCCCGTCACACAGTACGGAAGAACGGATGATGGCAGCTTGAAATTTTTGGGCAGATAGGCTACACGCTGTTTATGCAGGCCTTCCACCAGTCGAAACCGTGCGGGATATACTAAAGTCGTAGGCAGCAAGAGCGCCCGAAATGTCATCCCGTCATGCCCAACGCCGGTCACCCATGAATCGTTCCCTGTGACGTAGGATTTACTCCTCGTCGTCCTCGGCGGCGTCGTCGTCACCACCCTTGTTGGCAGCGGCGGCCTTCTTCCTCCTAACACGGCCGGGGCGGCCTCCACCGAAGGGCGAGGTAAGGGCGAAGTCGATGTGCTTCTGGGAGTCGAGACGGACCATGAAGGAAGGAACGTTGACGATCTGCTTGCCAACACTGCGCGGTGTTAGTGGTGTATTCTCTCGTTTTGGCCATCTCAGAGCTGCTTACCGAATGTGACGCTGGCGGATCAGGACACGGGCGTGGTGGATGGACTTGGCAAGACCGAGCTTGTAGACGCAGGTCTGGAGACGGCGCTCCAAGAAGTCCTCAATCTTGAGGGCCAAGACGTAATCGAGCTTCATGCGGGACTCGTCGAGGACACCGACACGGACGAGACGGCGAATGAGGGCGTTACCCTCAAAGAGGCGCTTGGGGTCCTTCTCGTCGAGGGTCAAAAGCGAACTGGCGCAGGTCAGAAATTTGCACTCGCGGCCATTGTGCGATGTCAGCGCGACGACGGCACAGGGAGCGGACTTACCGGGCAGCACGACGGATCTTGGAGAGAGTGAGCTGGACGCGCCACACTTCGCGCTTGTTGCGCAGACCATACTCGCCGACGAGCTTGAGCTCAGTGTCCCTGTTCCTCCATTAACCAGTTGTCCCAGACGTAAGCGGAGCAAGCTCGCGCTCAGTGGCCATGGGGCAATACGTACAGACGAGCGGACTCGAAAGGACGACGGGGGACGCTGTACGTCTTCGAGTAGGAACGGGGCGCCATTGTTGCTGTTGTCGTTAGGGTTCGAAAAGAGAAGTTGCGTTTGGTGTTCTGAGATTTAGAGCCACTGTGCGAGCACTAGCGCTCCTGCCTGTTTGGCCAATGACAAGCGGGGCAAGAGTGGATCTCTAAGCGAGGAAAGCGCAGCCCACGGCTCTCGAAATTCCATCCGGTCGAACAACTTCAAAGTCCAACCTCACGACAGACTAACCGCCAAAACACACAGTCAAAATGGGTCACGCAGCCGGTCTCCGCGCGGGTACGCGCTATGCGTACGTAGAGGACTGCAGGAACGGAATTGCGCCAGCCCGCTGACTGCCCGCAGCTTCTCCAGGGATTTCAAGAAGAAGGGAATGATCCCTCTCTCGACCTACCTCAAGCAGTACAAGGTCGGTGACATCGTCGATGTTGTTGCCAACGGTACGGAGCCCACAGTGCGAAACCAAACAGTTGCAGTATGCTCATGATACGCAGGTGCCGTCCAGAAGGGTATGCCGTACAAGGTCTACCACGGCAAGACTGGCATCGTCTACAACGTCACCAAGTCCTCTGTCGGTGTCATTCTCCACAAGCAGGTCGGCAACCGATACCTTGAGAAGCGCATCAACGTCCGCGTCGAACACGTCCGCCACTCCCGCTCGCGCGAGGACTTCCTTAAGCGCGTCAAGCTCAACTTCGCCAAGCAGCAGAAGGCCAAGGAGACCGGCGAGAAGCAGCAGATGAAGCGCCTCCCCGCACAGCCCCGTGAGGCCAGAACCATTAGCCTGAAGGACAACAAGCCGGAGAACATCACACCGGTACCTTACGAGACAACGATCTAAGCGGGCACTCGGAGGCTAGTCTGAAAGTCTGTGGTCAGCAAAGGCAAAATGGGAACGGATGGGCAACGGCGTGGTTTCTCGGATCTCGAACTTTTCTCTCTTCTGCACGTTCACCAGCATGGAAAGCGGCGAATTATCGGTGCAGACATGGTGTGCCAACATGATTTGGCTATGAGTTACCCCTCACGCCAATGAATATCATCCTCCAGTCCCAGTCCATACCAAATACCCATGAACATCCAATCTGTGTTTTCTGATACGCAGTGTGAAGTACCCATGAGACTACATATTGAATCGACGACTAACCATGATCATCGATTACTCGCTTCGATTCTAGCAACCTGCGTTCATGAGCATGCGCCCTCCAGGCGTTTACAGATATTGGTAGCAATTGCGCTCGTGTTTCATGTCCCTGTTCGCAGACATTGGTTGCAATTGCGCCTATGATTCATGTCAGCGAGACGGACACCAGTTGTGTCATCCTTGGTAACTGCCAGGCAGCCGAGCAATCTTCGACAGCCCATTTCTACCGGACACGACTTTTCATACTCTTTCACAAGAGCGCTACTCTGAGTCCAACCAATTCTTCGGTGGGCATACAAATCACAAATTTGCAAATGCTGCACGTAGCGGTCAGTTGCATTAGGTATGTGTCTATTCAACTTCTCCATCCACTACACCACCATCCTGTCCATGTTATGCCATGCATAAACAAGTTGATTAAACAATAAGTCGAAGCCAAAGCCAGAGTACACATGTACAATAAGAGGATAAAGTGCTGGAGCAAGTCCATGCAAAGACGACGCAGGGAGTCTTCAACAACGTCGAATTGGACCTTCACCAATGCGGGAACAGAAATTGTTGGAGAGCCGCCTTTCGTGAGGACCTCCAAGCTGCCTTTCGTGAGAGCTCCCATAGTCTCGAAGCTCGGACGGCAAGAATAGGTAGGCCAGCCTTGAGTAGTCGTTGCTGAATGACCGCCTTTTGTGCGCGTCTCCACCGTCCCAGAGCTCGAAAAATCGCAATAGCTGTTCTCACTTTGGCTGGGATCCACAACATCAGCTACAAGTAAACGATATAAAGAAGGGTATGAACGGAGCGACGCTGGAAGACAAATCGAGATGAGAGTCGTGTCGGCTTTTGGGAGAAGGAAAATAGTAAGTGGGCGCAGGTGTATAGGGGTGCTGATGGTGTCGTGGGGAGGTGGGGATGCGTTCTGTGCAGGATCATAGAATCGTACAACCGCCGCTCTTGTCCTTGCTGGTCTTGACCTGCAGAGCAACACGGGCAGCTTCTGTGAAGGCCTCGTTGACGCCGCGGTTCTTCATGGCCGAGCATTCTATGCAGCCCGTTAGCCTCACACTCCTTAGTTAGAGATTTCTATCGTACCGAGATATCGCAGGGCCTTGATCTTCTCTGCAACTCGGAGTCCCTCCTCGTAGTCGATGCATGGCTTCTCTGGCTCAGCGCCCTCGGCATCATCCTCTTCGCGCTTCCTCAGATCGCATTTCAATGCGACCAGGACGAGCTTAACGTTGGGGCAGTTCTCGGCAATCTCGCCGACCCATTTAGTCTCGACGTTTTCGAGCGAGTCGGGGGAGTCAACGGAGAAGCAGAGCATAATGGCGTGCGTGTCATCGTAGCTGAGAGATCGTAGCCTGTCGAATTCCTCTTGCCCGGCGGTGTCCCATAAGCTTAATTCGACGTGAGTGTTGTCGATGTAGATGTCATGAACATAATTTTCTATGGGAGCGTTAGTCCAAGCCATTGCTTGTCATACTTGTAGCATGCATACCGAACACTGTGGGTTCACTGAGAGAGACTGCGATTAGTCAAATGCACCGACCGTCAGGGGCGCATCACTCACTATACTGTTGGAAAATATCTATGCAGGAGATCAGCAACCATATACGTGTCTAAAACGCAGTACAAAGTGACGTACCCTCTTGTGAAGACATTGAGTAGTGATGTCTTGCCGCATGCGCCGTCGCCGCTATCAGACGTATGTTAGCCCCATCCAATTGCTCGCTCGTCCGTCCAAGGCCTGCTCTCTCAACGTAGGCACGTACAGGAGTACCAGCTTGCGCTGCACCGACTTTTGACCACCACACATAGGCATCGTTACGGCTGGGAGGGTGACTCGGCGATCGATTCGAGATGTCGTCGGCCTCAGGAGGTGTGCGCGCGGATTGGAGACGCGGGAATCGTTGGCGGTCGTAAGCGGTGCGGAAATGGGAGAGCGAATGTCGCGCACCAAGTAGAGGTCGGCGGGGCTTGTTGATAAGTGTAGAGTGAGGTCGGGGGCGTTCCAGAGCCGGCAGGCGATGTCTTCGGTAGCGATGGGGACGGTCGACGGCCCACGCGTTAAACCTAATCTAGGGTCAGCTCAGCGACACCTCCGCGAGCCATCGCCGCCTTTCCACCAGCGCTCCGCCGGAACGAGGCGCAGTGCATTTGCTCGCAGTCGCGCCAAGCGGCCAGAAGCTTGATGAGGACTCACGAGGGACGGAAAAATACAAGACGTATTCTCGCAATGCTGTGCGGAATCAATGTTGACAAAATACGTGCGGATACCAAAGCGGATTAACGTTTGATGAGGTCCATAGACCAAAAATGACGGTGCCTGGATCGTCGCTCCTAACGGGGGAGCTGCTAGCCGACCACCGACCAGTGATGGCAGGAGCTTGAGTGGAATTGAAGCAAGCTTCGAAGTTCCACCTGCCGCCCAACAAGAATGAAAAAGGCTGGGAATCACATGGTGTACATCACCGTACCGGGCCTTGAATGCTTCTCACATTCACATGCAATGCCATGCCGCGTGTCCAGCAGTCCGATCTGCTGCATGGATGTAATTAGACTGCTTTGAAGAGCGCGCGCACTGTGTCTCTTCAGCGTGTTGTGTGCAATTCGTGCTCTGCTCTCGAGTGCACTGTTGCTATCGAATCTGAGCGCATAGAAGTCAGGATGGTACTCTCCGAACTGCGATCACAGTTCACTACTGCTGACGTGAAAGTCTTTCGTGAGATTGTGCGTTCGAAGATAGATACAACCTTGAAGCCGGCGCGAGACCGAGCTAGCGCGCCCCACTATCGATGCGGCGACGCGGGGAGGTCTCAATCGCAGCCAACACCGCCTTTGCTGAGCAAACAATCCCACTTCCACCTTTACGACCACCACTCATCCACCCGAAATCCGTTGTCTACCGTACCGCCAAGATTGCTACAGCTTCACACGTGCAGCACCACACCTGACAGTGCCCGACCCTTCACAACCTCCGCTCGCGCCACACCATGTCTGACGACGATGATTTCATGCAAGACTCTGGGGAGGAGGAGTGCGTGAACCTGCAATCACACCTGGGCATTCAACCTAACGACCGTGTAGGTATGACTTCGAATACGAGGACGACGACGACGAAGAAAGCGGCGATGTCGACATCGAGAACAAGTACTACAACGCAAAGCAGCTAAAGGTCGATGACCCGGAGGCGGCTATAGCTGAGTTCCTGGGGATGCCCGCGCTGGAAGAAGAGAAGTCAGACTGGTACGAGACGCATTTCGAGGCTCCGAGTCAGCTACAGGCGCTGACGGACACAGGGGATTCAAAGGCTTGAAGCAAGCCATCAAGCTTGAATTCAGGCTGGCGCGGTACGATCAGGCAAGTCAACCCCATCTTCTTCCGTTGCGTCTAGCTAATTTCAGCCCAGGCCGTCGAACACTACAAGGAGCTCCTCACCTATGTCAAGTCCGCCGTCACACGAAACTACTCCGAGAAGTCCATCAACAACATGCTCGATTTCATCGAGAAGGCTGCTGAGGATGCGGAAGCATACCGCTGCATGGAGAAGTTCTACGCCTTAACTCTCGACATCTTCCAGAGCACCAACAACGAGCGACTCTGGCTCAAGACGAACATCAAGCTCGCGAGGCTGTGGTTAGATAGGAAGGACTACCGCCAGCTGAGTGAGAAGCTTCGGGAGTTGCACAAGGCTTGCCAGAGAGAGGATGGCACAGACGATCCAAGTAAAGGCACATACTCCTTGGAGGTCTACTCGCTCGAGATCCTCATGTATGCCGAGACCAGGAACAACAAGCGCTTGAAGGTTCGTATTGCCACCTCATTTAGTCTGAGGTGCACAGTCAGCTCACCTTCTGCAGGCACTATATCAGCGAGCGCTTAAAGTGAAATCTGCCGTCCCGCATCCCAAGATCATGGGTATCATCCGAGAATGCGGTGGCAAGATGCACATGAGCGAAGGCAAGTACCAACCATCCGAGACACGGGTGCGGCGCTAATGCGATGCAGAGAACTGGAAGGGGGCGCAGAGTGACTTCTTCGAGAGTTTCAAAAACTATGACGAGGCTGGATCGCTACAGCGGATCCAGGTACTGAAGTATCTGGTCCTTGCGACCATGCTGTCGGGTTCAGACATCAATCCGTTTGATTCGCAGGAGACCAAGCCCTACCAGAACGATCCCCGCATTTCCACAATGACTGACCTCGTCAACGCCTATCAGCGTGAGGACATTCATGAGTATGAGAAGATCTTGCAGAATAACCAGGATCTGCTTCAGGATCCATTCATCGCCGAGAACATTGACGAAGTCACGCGTAACGTGCGGACCAAGGCCGTCATCAAACTCGTTGCCCCCTACACACGGTTCACTTTGGCGTTCATTGCGAAGCAACTCAAGATCTCCCTTCCCGAGGTTCAGGAAATTGTGGGGTTCTTGATCGTTGACAAGCGGTTGCACGGTAAGATCAACCAGCAGAATGGGACGGTGGAGGTCGAGAGTAGTACGGACATGGACCGGGTGCAGGCGATGAAGGAGTGGAGCGCCGCGATTGGATCATTGTGGCAGACGGTTCTGAACGACGGCGATGGCTTCAAGTCGGACGAGAGCGGCCCACAATTCGCTCCTACCCCAGGTGAGGCCGGAGGCCAGCGTGCGTCCTGGAACATGAATGGCTTGGGATCTAAATCTGGGCGACCGAAAGGTAAGGGCCCCGCGGGACGCTTGGGAGTCTCGAGCAAAGGATGACCTGCAGGCACCGGTCTGTGAGCGGTCCACAAGACGACCTGTGTCTGGGTATTCGGGAAGACCACGGGATGCCGCCAGTTACACATTACCGTCACTGAGGGTTACGCACACCTGAACGATTGAGACATGCGGCTTGGTTCCCCAGAAGCAGAGATCAGGGTTGGTCCAGCAGGTAGCACAAGTCGAGAGACCCCACCACCTGAGCAGCGACTCACAAGCTGGCGTCTCAGCAGAGGCGGACATGTTCGGGTGCACCTGCGTGCCTCCACCCCGTTTGGTCAGCAGCGAGCTTCAGTATGTAACGTCGGCCTCGTTTTCTCAAGTAACCAGCCAAGGTACCGAGCGTGCGGTCATATCAGCCGCCCGCAGGCAGCGCCCCGCTCTGTTTCGTGATGTGCGAACGTCGGTGAGTACCTGTGACGCAGTGGCCTTGATGCTTCGGTTAACAAGCAGCGGAGTGGCCCTGTTGCTCTTCCTTGTCTCGGGGAAGTCGGCAAGGAGTGTCAAGCGAGAACAGCCAGCTAATCATGGAACACGACAAGCAGCACCTCTCTGCGGCCTGCCCTGGCTCGCTTGCGGCGTGGGGGCACGGCAACGATAGGATGTTGCGGGTCGGGCAGTTCTTTTTCATGCAGTATCGGCGCTGCATTGCCGCGAGCGAATGGTGTTATGCAGGAGGCCACGGTGACAGGAGCACTCAAACGCGCGGTCATCAGGCCTGGGCTTGTGTGAGACGATGTGAGAATTCGCTTTTTCCCCAAAACGACAGGGGTGCGAGCTTTCTATGATGCTCAACCATTGCATTCCACGACGTGACACAGCGGCGCTACTGCTCTCTTCCCCTCTGCTGCATGCACTACCAGCCTCACGCTCCGCAATTGAGCCGGTGGGCGGCGCTGCCAGAATGCTACTCTTCAATCTCGTGAGGAGGCCCGTTCGGTGAGACGGTGGATCGGCCGTAGATGGCGACCAAGTTTGATATTGGAGGAGAGTCAGTTGTGACGCCAATTTCGCTCGACTGTGCCCGTGAGAACTACTAGGCGAACCTGGAAGCGATATCACGGCCCAGCCGCGGGTCGTGTCCATCTGCCGGCTGTGCGAATACCTTGCGTGATGTTGCCAGTACCTCGTCAAAGGCGGCCATGGCTGCTTTTCTTTTGCTCGAGGTCGCCAGGCGCTGATTGTGTCCGCCCTTGGAGGTAGGAATTCCCTCCCTCTTGTACGCCGTCACGCTCGCCCTCTCCTCCCTCCGGTTTCACTTCAAGCAGCCCCATCGCTCGATGTGCATGAGGCGCCCATCGCACTGACGAGATCGATATTGTGTTTCTGCCCGTCTCCCAGGCTCCTGGTGCAACGAGAGCCGCCGTTTCGATCCACTAGGTGCCAGTGTGTTGCAGAGCGCTCTTGTACCTGGCAGAGTGAATTCCACCAGCACGCGGCCAAGAGCTTTTGTCTCTCTCAAATACCTGCGTGCCCCTGGAAGCCGGTAGGTATCACAGCAACGACCAAGCTCCAGCCCACAGCCGCGGATCTCTGCACCTACTAAAAGACGCGGCCGCCCTCTGCTCGAAGGAGCTCGTGGACGCTTGCTGCTGAACTCGCCTTTGTGTGCTGCCGAGTCTGTCGTGGAGTCAACCGTCCAATTGCTAGCCCTCGACGCTGGTCACGCCGCATACCGTCGCCAAAGCGCAATTTCGCACAACGCAGAGGGGAGCAGAAGCATCGCCAGAACACACTCACACCCTCTCGTCACCGCTACAAGTCACAATGAGTCGCCCGTCGGTAATGACGGGTGGCTTTCACCCACACGGTGTTATTCATGATCATGCCCATCACGGCGGCCACTACGGAGTTCACGCACAGAGCGCCTACGGCAGCGCGGTCCACTCAGGATTGGCGTATGGTCGGCCGCTACCAATCCGCGCCCCGGTCCTCCCTCCCGCCTTTAACCACCAACACACCGGCCAGCACCAGCACGGCCGCACCTCCACGTTCAGCATGGCAGACCCCGCGTTCATGACGGCCGAAGAGGAGCATGCCTACATGCAGAAGCTGTCGAGCGAGTATGAGCCTGAACCCACCGTAAGTCCCGCGTCCAGCACAGCATCGCTGGCCGAATACGGCAAACTGACCGCAGCCAGGGTCCGCTTGTCGGTCAGCGCCAGAGTAGCGCTGCCATCACCACCCAGTATGCCAACGCCGATCCCGTCTACAGGATCAAGACCGCCGCCCTGGCCGGCAAGTATGCCTACTTCCGTACCTGTCGCGGTGATGGCCACTGCGGATGGCGAGGTGAGTTGCATCGTGCTTTCTGTTGACATGTTTTGTTTGGGCTAATGTGCCCAGCCATCGCCTTCACGTACTTTGAAGCTCTTGTCCGCATAGGAGACTACCAGAGATTTGGCGACGAAGAAGGCCGTCTCCTCTCGATGGGCAACCTGCTCGACCAGATTGGCTACTCCCGCGACATCTGGATGGACTTCGCTGAGGAAGCATTCGACCTGTTGCGCAAGTTAGGTGAAGCCGTACACGCCATGGATGGATCCGCTGCCAACATCCTGCTCGACGCCTTCAACGACATGGGCATCTCTATGGCCATCATCACCTACATTAAGGCAAGTCCGGACTAGTTTTACTTCACGACCTCCCGCTAATTGATGTAGCTCCTTGCCAGCGCCTGGGTACAGACCCATGCAGAGGACTACAGACATTTCGTCCCATTCAGTGATGTCAAGGCGTACTGCGCCAACAACATCGAGCCAGCACAGTGTGAGGCCGACAACATCGGTGTAGCTGCTCTTGCCGACGCACTTGTCAAGCCTGCCGGTCTTGGGCTCGAGGTCTGGTATCTCGATCGCTCTCCAGGCGAGGAGATGAACCGCAGCTACTACGCGGAGCCTACAGTCCCCGGTTCACCCATGCTAAGACTACTCTACAGGCCGTATGTATCTCCTCTAGGACAAAGAGACCACTACTAACGTTGTACACAGTGGCCACTATGACATTCTCTACAAGGCGGAGGATGTCCCATCGCCGATTCACCATCCCGCTGTACCTCAAGCGCCGATCCAGGTGAACTTTGCCAATTACGCAGACGAGTTCCTGCCCCAACCCTCCGGCTTTGACGTGATGAGCTTGCTTCCTGGCATGGGTCGATCTGGCGGTGGCCTAGGAGGAGCATGGGCTTCGCTCTCGTACGACTGCAATCCGACCTCGGCGCCGCAGCCTGTAGCAACTCCTGTCTCGCCGTATCCAAGCGCATCGATGTCTGTGCCTCAGATCACAAGCTCGCTGGATTTCGTGACACCCGTTCCCAACACTCAGGCACAATATAGCGCACCACGTCACCACAGCATCCAGCTGGACCAGCCTCCAATCACCCTTCCGATGCATCCGGCACCGCAGCAGCCCCCACCACCAGTTAGCATCGAAAGAACTGCACCAATCACTGTTGAGAGCGGCGGTCCTTTCCGGCCTTCGATGTACCAGCTGGAACCAGGCTTTGGATTCTCAAGTCAAGCGCAGCCTTTTCAAACGTCCATCTTTCGCAAGCAAGTACAATCATATACCGCAAATGTCTCAATCTAACAACGAGCAGCTCGCATTTCAACACGGCACACTTCATGAACCCAGAGTTCCAACCAGAAGAATGGTGTCCGGACGGAGAGCACGCGACAAATAAAGGCCGACACAAGCATCCATCCTAAGCGCTTTCCTTGGAATTCTGTACACATTTTGCTCTCCTGGAGGTCCATTCCGACATCTTAGCGACTACTAGCGTCGGCGTTCAGCGAGCTTGCGATTGCTTTCGTTTGCTAGCTGCATTATCATCCGCATTGCTTGAACACTCACGACGACGCACGACCAACGATACCATTATTAATCATTTCTCGGGACATTGCTCTATTACTCGACTCTTGCATATGCAAAAGCGGCGGTGCTACAAGTACCGTGTCCTTGACCATACGGCGGCATACATCACATCCATCTGGCATTATCTACCAATCAAACTTTTGGGCGGAGTCCTCTAATACTGTTCTCCTCTCCAGGTTGCACCGCAAGCTGCGAGGACCTACGACCGTGACGAATACCGAAGACTATCAACCTCAGGGTACCGACATTAGCGTTGATCATTGTTATGATTTTCGTCACTTCGGAGTACTATCGACCGCCTGTTTTCGCGCTCCCCTTAGCCATACCTATCCTGCCCTTCAACCGCACACTCACCCACTATTCGGTATCCGCAGTCTTCTCGACTCTAAACCCTGCTACTCCAATCTCCCGCTCGGATGCGAAAGCACCTTGGGCCCACTCGAGCGCAACTCAACGAAAACACTGGCACGTGCCACAATCGGGCGCTTCGTACCGAAGGACTGGGACTGCAGGGTTCAAGATGCTCGTGGACAAATTCGGCAGATTCGGCACACAGATCAGCAGTCGACATCACAAGCACAAGCAAACATTAGATAGAAGAAGGAACTGCAAAAAAAACAAACAAATTGAGGTACCTCACAAATCCCAGTTTCCCGCGTGATTCCCAAGCGTATACCTGTGAACTGCTCCTGTCTTGCTCTCAAGCCCTGCCCACAGACTGGCGAGGCTGTCAGATCCGAGAGATCTGAGATCCTGTAGGATCGCGATGCAATCAGCCTCTGGTTGAGATCCAAGGAAGGCCACAGCTGAGGGTTCAAGACCGAAACAATGCAAGGCTCGACACAGCTGCACGCCGGCTTATCAGCCCGTCTCAGATGTGCAAATGCACCCCATGACCACTTTCGCAGCCACAGCGCCAGTCCCCAACATCCCTCGCATTCCTCACAACACCACTCACGGCTCACAAGCCTATACCAGATGTCCTAAGATGCGCTCCCAAACAGTTGCCCGCCGCCATGGCGATTGCGCAGTGCGGGATCGAAACGGCAGCGCTTGATCAGCGAGCCGGGCTAGTGCGCACGGTTGAGCGGCTGTGGGAAAAAGCAAATATGCGTAGCAGACGGAGGAAGGACGCAGGTACAAGGCTTCACGTGCGCGAGGGTGTGGTGGATCTAAAGGACATTGGATGGGGGTTCGTCACCGGCTTACTTGCGAGACGAAGGAATGCCTGGAGGCCTTGTCGTATCTGAACTTGTCTATGAAGATACTCAACAGACCTGAGTGATGGTAATCGAACCCCACGATGCTGCAATGCCAATGCGAACTACTCGTAAAGCTGCATGTATCTCACACCGCTGCACTCGCTCTCCCAAAGGAGCAGTGATCCGCACGGCAGCGTGCTACAGGATCTTACTCCTCACGTACTCTCTTCACCACTCAATTACTCGCATGAGGGCTTGCCCTGCCGCCGGTTGTTGCACGACAGCTGGGTTGTTGGACGGTGATTGTTGAGGAAGCCGCAGCATCTGACGCTTTGTTTGTCCCGGAGTGCAGACGACGCTGTGGACGCGAACCCGAGCGTAACGCTGAATATAGCGCGTCTTGTCGAGAGTTGTACAATATCTTTACCCCGCTCTGTGTGGTGCTGAGGAGTTCTAGCAGACGCCCAGAGCTGACTTTGACCGTTTCCCTCGAAAGCTGCGAATGCCACCCGTGAAGAATTGCCGGCACTGACGAATTACGGGCGGTGAGCGACACGTGTCATGTGGACCGGGTCTCGAGCGTCGATATCGTCCCTCAACGACGCGAGGGACTTGGCGATACGCGGTTCCATGCACTGAGGTGGTACAAATCTCGCAGCTCTGCCGCTCGAAGATGACCGGCGGCGTAAGACGAAGCAGTAGCAACGCCTCACTTTCCTTTTGCATCTTCGAAACTTCTGGGAGACGAGCACTTCATGCTCAGATTCCATCGCTGTGGCTCGGGTTTACGACTCGTTCTCGTCGCCGTCACTCATCTCCACGTCGTTATCGTCGTTGGATTCACTGCCTTTCTTTTTCGCTTGACCGCGTTCAGTCCGTTTCCTCTCCTTTTCCATAAAATACTCCTTCTCCTCGCGCAGTTCCGACAATTGAGCAAATGTCACCTTCTGGATACGCTGCAAGCTAGCAACCTGCTTCTTCAGCTCCTTCACTTCGTCTGAGGAGACATCGTTGGATGCGTCTGATGGTTTGACATATTCACTTTGAACAGGCGCCGTGACAGTGGCTGCTGCAGGACTGCTGCCCTTGGACGGAGCGATCCAAGAATCCAACTCTGCGAGACCTTCCTCAAGCATACTTGCAGGAAAACTGGGATGAGTGAGTGCCTCTGAGAATGAGCTCATCTTGACAGATCGCTGCTCAGTGGCTGATACCGATGGTATATCCACCCTGCCAGTGAAATGCATGCTTAGGTTGTAGTTTGATGGGACCAGACCACTGCTGCTCCCGGTCAGTCCTGCGTCTTGTTTCGGTTTTACGATCGTTTGAACTTTGAAGGTGGGTTGCTTAGTGTTCGAGAAGCCTGTAGGACGCAGGAACTGCAAGTTAGAAACGGGTCCTGACAGGTTGGCCAACGTGGAGAGGTAGTTGCTCTTCGCGATGTCCCAGGAAGCAATCTTCCCGCTGCTGTGCCCAGAAACAAGAGTTGTGCCATCCCAACTAAGGCTCAGACTGAGGATTCCTCCGAGCTTCTGCGAGTCAGCGCCAAACCTGGTCTTTGGTGAAGGCTGCATAGGTCGGTGCGATGATGAGGTATCTCGTAGGACGTCGGTTGAAGTCGCCTTCTGGATGTCATCGTAAAAGTCGATTGTCTGCAGGCTACCGTCGGCGTAGCCAATGAAGCAGGCTCGGTCGACTGGATCTAGTGTCACTGATGTGGGGGTGTCTGGGAGAAGGTATGTGCGCAGTGCCTGGCCATTGTGGTAGTCCCATACAATTGCCGTCTTATCTCCTGACGTCGATACCGCAATGTTGACAGTGCTGGAGCTGTGTCCGCACGCGATCGATGAGATAGGTCCACGATGCGTGGACAAGGTGTGGACCGGCGAGCGAGATTTGTCGGGCGAAAACGACAGGATCGAAGGCAGTGCCCAAACGTGGATCATGGCATCTGCAGAGCCGGAGAGGAAGAAGTTTGAGGAAGGATCGACGACAAGAGATGTCACAGGCTGAAGGTGAGAAGTTGATGTGGAGACCAGGCGACCTGAGCAGATCTGTGCTACATATTAGCACTGTGACTCTATATACATAGTTTGAGGCATGACTGACCTCCCAAGCTAGCACTCTTCCGCTTTCTCCTCCCAGCAACAGAACTGTGTCTTGCGCCGTGAGCGCAATGCTGTGAATCCTCTCAGGAAACGGCACGATAGCCTCCTGATTGCCCTTCTCTCGGCTATATACGTGTACAATCGCTTTCTCGGTCTGTGCGGCGAAGATATGCGTGCTGCTCATTGCAATGCCGTTCTGAGCGGTCGCGCTCTTCTTGAAGACATTTCGTTGCGCCGCTAGAGGTTGGAACTCGTGGATAAAGATACCTTGATCCTTGGTAACGCCAGTATTGGGCTTTGTCGAGCCAGAAATGGCGGCCACAAATTGTTCCGTCAGCATGGCGGGCGCCGCGTTTGTGATTGTCGTGAGCTTCGAGCTTTCTTCCTAGATTTATTTTCCGGTGGAGCAGGCGAGGTGGCCCATGCGCCCGGCGTTAACGGGCGTAACCTTTAGGGCTTTTATATCTTCGACTCGGCCTTGCCATCCACGATGTCTTCATCACGCGAGTCTTAATCTAGCCATGCCCGCGAAGCCTATGTAATTTTCTTGCTCAATATGTGAAGGTCTGCCGGCAAGCGGACGGCGTTTACGAGTAACAGCACTTAAAGCTCAGCATCAAATATGTCAGACTTGTACACTTCTGTCGGATGGCATCACATCCGCTCTGGGATTGCAGTTTCATCAGGTCTCTGGACTGGTCGAGGTGTTAGGGACTTCCATCAATGACAGTGGTCCTTTGGAGGTGAATGTCTTGTACAGTGGAGACTTTCCGAAGATCTACCTACAGTTCCATCGCAGAAAAGATATGCCGCAGCGGTCTTCGAAGCATTTGTCTATGATATAAGCTCACACAACTATTCGTCCAGAGCAAGCCATCCCTTGGCTTGCAATCAAATTCGGCTCTGACGATGGTCTCTCGGGCTCCTCCAGTAATAGTATCTCACACGCAAGGTAATGGCTCAAGGCGTGCACGACAAGTACCGACGGACATATACGATGCGACAAGTACAACAAGGATTCCTCACCTTTCCCTGACTGCATCCTTGATCTGAGGCCTAAGTGGGGGGCGCCATTTCGCTTCACATCTCTCGTCAGGGTGAGGTTGGTAAGTGTGCTGCGTTGAGCCATTGCTAGGGCAAGGCAAAGGCCTCCACCTAGACTACGGAAGCAAATCCTCAAGACCGTTTTGGCTCGATCAACAACCGCCGCCCAAAACATTCCAGGATGTGGTGCAAATCACCAGAGGACTGCACAGTCGCTACCTTTGGATCGATTCGTACTGCATCATCCAAGACCCACCCAAAGACTGGCATGTACAGGCACCTCAAATGGCGCACATGTATGGTAACTCTTACGTAACGATATCTGCAGATGCGGCCGATGACAGCACTGCGGGATTCCTCGAAGGTTCGATGCGATCCAATACATGCGACTTATGAAGTACAGTTCGAGAGCTGTGGACAGACGGACACTCTCTTCGTTTGAGAGCGATGTCCCATCATCTATCACCTCCCCCTTCATGAGTAAGTCCTGCCGCAGGACAATGTGAGAATCAGTCCTCGGGAGCGCCGCCACTGCTCAAAATACCTAAAGCCCGAATATCGAGTGGAAAAAGGCGCCACAAGGCCTGCTATCGAAACTTGCGCGGGCCTTCCAGGAACGAATTCTCTCACAAAGGACTTCACACTTCGGTCACGCTGAAGCTGAGTGAGAGTGTCGCTCCTTGACTGACTGCGAGTGTTCACCGACCAATCTTGCGCATCAAGGGTCCAATTACCCCAACTTCGAAGACGCAGTTACGACAATGAAGTGGACAGACGTGGCTCGAAAGTATACGTCGTTGGAATAAGTTATTCGGTGGATCGTCTTGTTGCAACATCCGGGCTTGTTTCGGCTCGCCACACGATAATAAACGACCCTTATGTGGCTGGTGTGGCTCTCGACAATCAAGGATGAGTTGATGTGGGGTATGCAGTCCACTGAGCAACATTGCCTTGATATCGCTCTTGAAATTGTAGGGAAAGATGAGTTTGATAGTTCCTGTGAAGTACTAAAGCTTCGGAGCGTGTACATCACTGTGCCGTATGGTCGCGTGCATATTTTGCTGACCTAGTCAGTCTCAGTGACCAATCACGATCGAAATCAGAGTCTCCAACGATGTGCAGTGGGCCAAAAGCCGTTCTGGTCTACATGAATGATGTCGACGCTGAGCTAGCTCTGTAGTTGCAGGAATAATTGCTCCCGAATCCCACCTTCTCCGCTCCTGATACCTCCATCACCTAGTCAATTGCGCCTTCTTCTGATCTCGTTCGTCATTCTAAAGCCTGATTTTTAATTTTAATGGCTGACAACTCTCCTCCATCTCCGTGATCCAGGGCAAGTAGCTCCACCGGTGACCTTTGCTCGCCCTGGGATATGAGGAGCAATCATCCTCCACCGCAACGGTGAGCCTGCCATCCGGTTCCACGACCACATACTCAGACTGACCTTCATCATCCAGCGCGGGAGCGCCTCGTTCCATCGTCGCTCTTGCCTCACCCTTGGAGACAACGTGTTGGAGTTTGCGGGGCAAACGTGTGCTGCACACAGATGGTGCAAGGACATAGCGACCCTGAGGTGAAGGCTCTGGGTAGAGCGGGTACTGTGGCGGCGCTATGAGACGTCAGCCCTGCATATCGAGGAGAAGAAGAATGTTACTGCTTACTGAAAATGGACCCGTCGGTGGCCCTAGGTAGTCCCATGCGCAACAGTCGGACTTGCTCTTCACATACGAAATTGTGAGGTATCCCATACATGTCACAGTAGCGCACCCAGTACCCCCAGCTTTTAATGTGCTGTGGTGGTAGGTCTTCTGAACAGCGCATTCGCCGTGTGTAGAGCTGCATGCCCCCGCAGTCGTTTGGTTAGGACTCGGTAACTACATTGGAAGGATTCTGTAGGGTCCACATGGTTCTCGGTGTGCGCTCTTCTTCGAGCCAGGCCGGCCGCCAGTGAAGGCTTGAGTTGTCGTTGAAACTTGTGAGGATCAACAGATCCTGTTGTAGGCGCTTGACCGTCGGGTTAACGTCTACGTCCTTCTGAGTATGTAGTGCAGTAAAGTCAACGCCATGAATGGTGCGTTTGCCTTAGGCGAGCTCCACTTCGAGCTTGTTGGAGTTGCAAGCTGGAAACCGACAATGTCGATTTTTGGGCTTGTGAGAGTAGGTATTATGGGCCCTTCATGGGGTGGGGTGCGATAACCGCTCATGGCCGCTCATTGCAGTCGTTGTGCTGAAACTGTGACTAGTTGAGATCTGATAGGTGTTGGCAGATAAGCTGCGACTAAGCGAAGAGGTTGAGAGGTTGGCGTTTGCGTTTGCGAGTGACGGTAAGGGGTGAAGATGGATGCAGTTCACTCAATGACGGATCTGGTCGTGTCACAGCAAGCGGGTACCTGCAATTTGCTGTCATCAGAAACAAAGGACTCCCAGAGAATCAAAGAGACCAATTGACACAAACTGTCTTGATAAGTCTCACAGACGCAGCCAAGGTCTCACTCATATCGAACGAATGTGCCTCGTTCAGACCGTTGCGCGCGTGGTCCGCGAATGGACTGCATCCTGCATATTCGGTGCATGATATGATATGTGACACATTCTGTGGAGGAAAATCTCTCATGTTGTTGCAATCCATCTCAAAGCTAAACTTGCCCAGATTTTCATTACTCCTGGGATCACTACAGTATGTATTTCAAGACTTGGGTGTCTTTAGAAACGAGTAGACTGGAAGCCATTGGGTGCGAGTATCTCGCGCTATTGGCGTCGTTTTCGAGTCTTTGCTGAATTGCTCAAAAGTGGCGCTGCCTGGGCTGAGGTTCATGATTTTCGAAGCGTTTCGCGGTGGGAGGCGGTAACGATCCGCCACGTTGTCTTCATTCCAGATCTTGCGTTTATCATCTCGCACGAACTGATGTTCACTAATCGCAGTGACCTGTGCGAGTAAGGGTTGCGAGAGATCAGGTGAACGTCGAATCAGGTGACGATGCGAGTGTCGAAGTGGAGGTTTACGGCTATGGAGCGATCAACTTTCGCACCTGTTTGCTTCTTCTGTGTGCGCACGGGCTCATTTGACGGTGATGTGTTGGTTACCTGGTTCGATATATGGATCGAGTTTGTCGTCGAACTCTTGAAAAGACAAGACAAGACAATGAACGGCGGGGTTGTCAGGTGCTTCCGCGTTCAATTTGTAAATCGTTACGTCATCGACGCGCTTACCCATTGCGCCTGGATGCTCGACTCATCTCTCAACACCACATCCATATCGATGGAAATCGTCGCCAAAACACCAGCATGGGTGTCACCGGGCTCTGGACTGTCTTGCAGCCCTGCGCGCGGCCCATCAAGATTGAGACCCTGAACAAGCGGCGCATTGCCGTTGATGCGTCGATCTGGATCTACCAGTTCCTCAAAGCCGTGCGCGACAAGGAGGGCAACGCGTTGCGCAACAGTCATATCGTCGGTTTCTTTCGCCGAATATGCAAGCTCCTCTTTATCGGCATTAAGCCAGTCTTTGTGTTCGATGGCGGCGCACCGGCGCTCAAACGACAGACCATTAACCATCGCAAGTCGCGCCGCGAGGGCAAACGAGACGATGCAGTCCGAACTGCAGGGAAGCTACTCGCGATACAAATGCAGAGGGCTGCAGAAGATGAGGAGCGCAAGAGGAAGGAGGTAGTGAAACATCCGCGCGAGGAGCAAGAAGAGGAGCTGCCGGAGAATCTAGTCTATGCAGAAGAGATTCTGCAGACGCAGCAGGAGCGTAAGCAAAACAGGCAATTTAAGAAGAAGGATCAATACCATCTGCCTGATTTGGGCGTGCCGATGTCAGAGCTGGGCGCTGATGACCCTAGAATCATGTCGCTCGAAGAGCTTGAGGACTACGCGAGGCAATTCGACCGAGGCGAGGATATCAACGTTTACGACTTCTCCAAGATCGACTTCGATGGCATCTTCTTCCAAAGTTTACCCGCCGTAGACCGCTACAATATCCTGAATGCAGCTAGATTGAGGAGCAGGCTGAGAATGGGGTACTCCAAGGATCAGCTCGATGCTATGTTTCCCGACAGAATGGCTTTTTCAAAGTTTCAAATCGAGCGAGTTCGCGAGCGGAGCAATCTGACGCAACGGCTCATGAATCTCAATGGCATGAACGACGACACAACCTTCGGCGCAAATCGAATCGCTGGCGACAAGGACAGGGAATACGTCTTGGTGAAAAACGAAGGTGTTGAGGGAGGGTGGGCGCTTGGTGTCGTGACGAATAAAGATGAGGGCAAGGCGCACAAGCCCATCGATGTTGATCTTCCTTCGCGTGCCGCGAAAATCGAAGAAGATTGGGAAGATGAGGAAGAATTTGAAGACGTGCCTATTGAAGGGTTGAACAGGCTACCGAAGGGTCCTAGTCGCGAAACTGTCGAGGGTCGCGAGTTCATCTCGAACGAGTTGCGCAAGCGGCGTCAGAACTTCTACAAATCGAGGAAGGACAGGCATACACAGTCTCAGCTCCGTAGAGCTGCACCCGTGAGAGAAGAGTCGGACTCGCTGTTCTTGGCAGAGGGCAACGAAGAAGAGCAATGGGAGAACGTGCTGGCAGATGGCGAAGATGATCTATTCGAAGCGCCTGGTGACAATGCTGAAGACGAACAGCTGCAACAGGCGATTGCGCTGTCGATGCAGCAACATGGCGAGGAAGAAATGGAGGAAGGGCCAGAAGAACGTCCAGCACTCGAAGAGTACCAACAGAAGCGGGTCGACGAATCAAACCCATTTAAGGCTGCAAAAGGATACAGAGGCCTGGCTATTGGGAGGCTGGCAAACCAGCGCGCCAATAGGCTTGCGCCGAAGGGACCTTTCGAAGGCAGCGACAGCGAGGGAGACGACATGGATCTGCAGGCTGCTCTCACCGAGTCTCGCCAGTCCAAACGATCTACGAAGCAGCAACAACCAGCTGCCCCGCCTGCGAAGACGAATGCATCTTCGAGGACAGCACAGTCAAATGATACGGCAATTAGATCACATGGCTTCGACGGGCCGCTGCCGTTCGAGAAGCTGAATCTAGGGTCGTCGCTATTGGGCAAGAAGAAGATGGACAAGATCGAGCAAGACACCGGAGGCGGTTTCGAGAAAAACACTGCAGAGAAAAGGGAGTCTGTTCCGCTACCACCTTGGTTTAAGGGCGAACGTGACATTGGGAAAGAGCTAGATAAGTACCGCAACGAGGAGAAGCGAGTATGGGAAGAAGACCGTAAAGAAGACGAGCAATTCCAGTTCCAGCAACTACCTCGCCTGCGAAAGCACAGAACGGGTGAGGTCATCGATCTGGAGGCAGACTCAAGCCACAATCAGAAGAAGCAAGTCGTTGCTCCAGACTCCCAGGGTGAAGACGATTTGGAGATGGAAGATGTACCTATTAACAACAGCCAGTCAGAAAAGCTAGTCGAGGACGGCCAGCTTAGGATGGGTGACTTGCAAGACAAAGCCCGCGCAGAGCCGCCCAAATCCCTGCCTGCTGATCGAAGAGTACCCCCTGCACAAGACCCCAAGCTCATCAAGTCAACACCGTTTGCAGATAACTCTGACGAAGAGCCATTCGACTGGTCAGAAAGCGAGCCTGAGGATGAAAGACAACCTTTGCAAAAGGCGCAACCTACTGCTACGGAGGAAGATCCTTCGTTGTCAAGATCGCCTTCACCCGAGTTTGAAGACGTTCCCATGATCACCGAATTTGCGCCTGCCCCGGCTGTGGAAGCGCCGAAGTCACCTTCTCCCGAGTTTGAAGATGTGCCTATGCACACCGAACCAACAGAGGTCCCGAAGTCAACCGAGTTTGAGGACGTTCCGATCCCTGCACTCACTCGTAGACATCGTCGCGAGCCGTCTCCTGATATGCTACAAGGCCCGGATGATCTTGAGATACCTGTTGTTCCGCACAGCGGGCTTGCCGATGACAACGCCCCTCTCGATCTGCCCGGCAATGACTCGGACCAATACTCAGACCCTGAGGATGAAGATCTGTTCGCATCCCTGGCTGCCGAAGCCGAAGAGCACAACCGCTTTGCGCAGGAGATCAACACTGCCGCAGCCCGTGTCGACTTCGAGACCGAGCTCAAGCAACTCCGTGCTCAGCAGAAGAAAGACCGCAGGGATGCTGATGAGGTCACTCAGACCATGATCTCTGAATGTCAGCATCTGCTGTCACTCTTCGGTCTCCCCTATGTCACCGCACCCATGGAAGCTGAAGCACAGTGCGCCGAGCTGGTGCACCTTGGTCTTGTCGATGGCATCGTGACCGACGATTCTGATACTTTCCTCTTCGGCGGGACGCGCGTCTACAAGAACATGTTCAATGCTGCCAAGTTCGTCGAATGCTACATTGCCAATGACCTCACTTCAGAGTTCAGCCTAACCCGCGAAAAGCTCATCGCCATCGCCCAGCTTTTAGGTTCGGACTACACCACCGGCATTCCAGGCATTGGTCCCGTCACTGCGCTCGAAATCATCTCCGAGTTCCCTAACCTAGAAGACTTCAGAGACTGGTGGAACGGCGTACAAAATAACACGATTCCCAAAGAAGCCGACGCTCCGAACGCGTTCCGCCGTCGCTTCCGCAAGAGTCAGGCTACAAAGTTGTTCCTACCCCCCGGCTTCCCTGACCCACGTGTCGCTGATGCATACCTCAATCCGGAAGTCGACTCTGACCCACAGCCCTTCCAATGGGGTGTACCTGACCTTGCTGCCCTGCGCGCCTTCCTCAGCGCCCAGATAGGCTGGAGCAGCGAGCGTACTGACGAGGTGCTTGTACCTGTCATCAAGGATATGAATCGCAGAGAGAAAGAAGGCACGCAGGCCAATATCACACGGTTTTTCGAAGGCGGGGTCGGTGCAGGCGCGTTCGCACCACGTGTCAGAGGCAGCGCAGATGGTAATGGGCCGAGTGGGAAGAAGAGAGGCAAGGCTGCGGCGGGGAAGAGACTCGGTGCTGCGTTGTGGAGGTTGGCTGAACGAGAAGGCGCGAGAGGTGGTGCAGACGACGAGGGCAATGAAGAAGCAGAGCAAGCTTTGGGTGCTGCTGAGGGTGATATCGAGCCAGCACGGACCAAAAAGGCGAGTCAGACGAAGAGGAAAGCCCCTGTATCGCTGGCTGCTATGGAGGAAGAGCCTGAAGATGAGGAGGAGGACGATGGGGATGCCGCATTTGTGGAGCCGAGGAAGAAGAGAGCGAAAAGGACTAGGAAGGCCAGGGCCTGAGTAGTCTATCGGGACACCCTGGAAACAAGCCAATAATTCATTGCACTGTCAGATGGTCCGCCCGAGTCGAACGTCAGTACCATCGCCACATTCTAGTGACTAACATCTACCACCTATGTCCCATCGGAGGCCTGGACGTGATGTGTTCGGAGCAGCACGACGCGGATGCCTGGTAGCCTGACTCGCAGCATGTGGAATCAAGGCATCGGACCCTTGCAAATTCGAGCCTGTCGCCGATCGGATCGGAGCCAAAGCCTTACAAACTCGAGCCTATCGTCAACTGGTCCCAGGCAGCTCAGTCACAATCCCTGGTACAGTGCAGCGAACCGCTCAAGTCGTCACTCCACCACTATGCAGCGCACGATGCCGAACAGAGAGGCTAGGAAGAATAGGGTGTCGTGGGCTGCAAGATGCGCGGCGCAGCAGAGGCGTTGCGTGTTGTGTAACCACACATTCTTGCGACTGCCAATGGGCATCCGTCTCGCGCTGCTGCGAAGAGGCACGCCCGTAAAATACAGCACTTCACCAGGGCTTGGACGAAAAAAAAAACCATGAGGCACAACCAACAAGACGGATATCTGGTGCGCGAGAGAGGAGCGATTGCACAAGCCAGCTGTGAGCTCATCTGCAAATTGAAACCAGCCCGTCTGTCTCATCACTGCTGGCCAACAGAGAATCTACCCAGAGCAGCGTGCAGCAAACTGAGAAGAGAAGAGTCGCAAGGTCTGGAAGTAAACCATGACTGTCGTTGTAGTGCTGTTCGGGGTGCCCAGCATCATCTTCGTGTACGATATTCCAGCTGCGAGGGGATGCGACACGGGCCGCGACCCGAGGTGCACGAGCGCGCAATAGCGGTGCATCCAGCAGGAAGGATTGATCGCAGATCGAAGACAGCAGGGGCGCAGAGGAGAAAAACTTTATACGGCCCAATCAGAACACTGCGCTAGCCCGAAACGACACTGGTCGTATATGCGTTGAAACGACGGAGCTTTGCGCGGCTCACGGACAAGCTGTACACGTCTTGTGCTCGCCCACCATGGTGTGCAAGCAAGTGCTTCTGAGTGGCTGCACTATTATAGTTCCCACGAGGCCCGTTGAGTGAGGGCTTCTGGTCGAAGGTAAACAAGCGCGTAGGTCCGCGCGATGGAAGAGCCAGCAAGCGATGCTGTCAAAACGTATCTAGCCCTGTTACACCACCATACAAGAACGAATAGGCAGAAGCAGGGTGTATATTGCAAATGTGTATAAAGACAGCTCGTGGTCGAGCATCGGCTTCAAATGCAGTGCAGCCCGCCTTTACTTGAAAACGTGGTACCATTTTCCACGGGCCAAGATTTTCGGTATGGGCGAGTCAAACGCGACCAAGTCCCAAGCCCCCATGTCCGTCTCGACGGCCAACAGTACTGGTACAAGCGCTTCCCAGTACAGTGCTGGTGCAGATGCAACGTCTGCGCAGCAACGCGCCGAGAGACCGTACACCACCATGATAGCGTGTAATGGTATGCAACCTCACCTCCGCACTCTCGAGGCCCGACTAACATCCTCGAGGCTCCCTGGACCATCCACCCGATCTCAGTACAAGCGTGCATCGTTCGAGTTCCATGAGGGTACTCTGTGACACTGACTTGGAGGACAGGGACAGAGTCGAGTCTCGGGGCGATGAGGCGCCCGTGCAGTTCCAGTGGAGTCGCCCGTGATATATAGTCGTCTCTACACCGTAGCAACGGCACCAAATAGTAAATCATCCATTTAGTTAGACCGCTCTTTGGGACGTTCTAACGCTTCGCCGGTGGGCTGTGAACTGCACGGTGCCATCAACGACGAGGAAGCACGATCCCATATGTCCCTCGAGCTATTTTGTCTACGTCTGAGAGGGGCGTTGTGCAACAAACGGGCTCGTCGCGATATATGACTTGTGTGCACGCTTGCTCAATGAAAAAGTCTCCCACGTTGTTCTTGTTGAACGAAGTGCATCGTGCGACTTCCTCAGAGCAATCGAGTAGTGTTTCGCCATTGTAAGAGAGCTGAAGAGTGGCGAGGCGTTCGTTTGGGGTCTCAGCGATATCTGATCCTCGCGTTGCTTCGTCAACCCGAAGAGTTGCTGTGTCTTAGGTTGAGGACCGTGCAGAGAAGCTGTGGAGCATGTAGATTGTGGGCTACATGATGTTGTCGCTGGTCTTCTTCGCGGAGAAAAGGTCGAGATGAACGCTATATCCCGAACGTCCAGCGTACCCGTAGACCCAGTCGTATCGTCCAGAGTATCAGAGCACGGCAGCGCACCCAAGAAGCCCAACCACGAATGCAGACAGCGCACTCACGTCCACTCTCTTGTCGTTCGCAACACCCCTGCTGCTCGTCGACACCGCCGTCACCGCAGCACGCGACGTAGCCACCCCTCTCCCCGCACTGTCTGTGATGCTGGCCTCGAACCCAGTCTTCGGCAGCGTGAGCGTGGCAGGTGCATTCGAGAGCGTGGCAGTGACCGCCGTGCCGCTGGAGCTAACCGTGATGATGGTGTGGCTTGCGCCATCGGTCTGGAGGGCGATGAGCGTGGTATCCGTGCCAGTGCCGACGACAGTTGACAGCCCGGGCGTGAGCGATATCGCCGCGGAGCCGAGCGTGATGACGGTGCCGACTGCGATGCTATCGCGGGCAGAGGCTGTGTTCGCCGGAGCCCGTGTGATTTGCCCGGATCCAACGTCCCAGCCTTGTGCTGATTCGCGGGGTCCGACGTGGGTCGTGTCTGTCGGTGCTGCGGCAGACTCTTGGGCGAAATGCTCATCCGACCCTCCGGTGGTTTGAAGACTGTGCTGCGTGGGTTGTGCGGGTTGTGCGGGTTGCGTGCCTGGCTGTGCATTGCCCAGATGACTGATGATGGTGTCCAAGAGTGCGTTTCCGGTCGAGGCTGACTGTCCCTGGGCCGGTAAGTTTTCTGGGCTTGGCTTCGACCCCGCTGTGGACTGCCCTGGTGTAGGTTGAATGGGATTTTCTTGAGCTTGACTTCCATGTGATGCATTAGGCCCCCCTGCTGTCTTCGTCTGCGGTGCGTCCTTGGCAGGTGTGTGCTGCGCAGGCGGTTCCTGCTTCGCTGTTTGCCAATCTCCTGCAGGGACCGTGTCCGGAAGCTGTGGTTGCGGCGTCGCACCCCCACCCACCACCGCCTGCACACTCGTCCTGATTCCAATGACCGTAGGCGTCACCGTTGTGACAACCTGCGTTGTCTGCTCAACCGGCATGAGCGTTGGCGTCGTCGGCGCGAAATCGTTCCCGCCTCCAATCCCATCATTGTTCCACGATGCCCAGTCGTCCCATCCCGTCGCAGACTCCTCAGGATGCCAGAAATCCGGCGGCGACTCGTTGCACCAATCTGGCGGATCGGGCAAGTCGCACGCCTCGACCTCTGTGAACTGCGGCGGGTCGTCGGCCGTGGGCGTTGGGGCTGGCGCGCCGATGCTGTTCGCGTCTCCTGTAGGCGACAGAGGAGCAGCTGTGGGTGTGGTAATGACAGAAGAGACGTCCCACGTGGTAATGAATGTTAGCGTGGTCGTATCCTCGACTTCTTCAGCGTGTCAGCACGTGGTTGTCAACCTGTTTGGAAGGGTGGCATACGCGCATAGACGGCAGCCAAGCCAGTCAGGAAAACGAGCGTCAGCAGCTCTGGCGGTAGGATCATGTCGACGGATAGCGGTCGCTTGGTGGGCGATTGAGAGCAACCGAGAGGATTACGAGCGCCTGCGGGCTGAGGGCGCGGAGGACGCCTGAGTGGTATGCAGCAAAGGCCAGCCTGTATAAAGGTAAAAGGAGCGCGTTAGACGCGCCCCTGCGCCCACAGGATTCATTTCCTCACCCCATCCAAACACCTAATGCCTCTCTGCCGCGCCGCAGCAATGTCACAGGCACTCGCGGGCTATTGTATCGAAAGCAGTCAAGGGCAGCCGCGGCAGGGATGCAGCTGCCGGTTAGAGTTGCTGACCCGCACATAGTGCAGCCGCACAGACACCGTGCCACACCGTCGGGTACGGGGACCTGAGTCACGTGGTACGAGTGAGAGCGCGTCGGCGGACCGCAAGGTTTGTCTCGAGAGGTGAAGAGCCTGAGAGGCCGGATTGAATACCGGATGCTACGTATCCAATGATCCATGTGAGCTGGGGTATACCAACGCCTGCCAATCCCCCAAAACATGGTCGAACGTGTCGAAATATACGATATTGATGTGTGACGTGCTCTCCAGGCGAGCAGTCACAGCTCGTCTCCCCACTCCAGGACATCTATCTTCTTGCGCGCGAGATCTCGCACGGACGGCCTGCCCTCGAGGCTGCGCGGCCACGATTTGCTCTTGTCAACCTGTGCTTCTCAGTACTTGCGCGTCTCGCTCCCAGGCCCGCCGGTGCTCTTGTGCCTCCTTGGAGCTGGGGTTGCGCTTACCCATTTACTCCCCGTCGTGGCGGACAACGCCTCGTGCGCCTTGACAAAGTTGCGGTACTCGTTCCCTGTCCCTGTCTCGAGCGGAGAGGCTGATGGTTCCGAGCTGTACAAGCGAAGCCGGTTGCCGAAGCTGGATCGCGAACTCTGCAGTGTCGAGGCCGTCTGGGCGGAGGTCGATGCTGGCGCAGCGCGGGATGGGCTCGCGTGACGGACCTGCGCCGTGCCGTTGACACGAGCCGAGAAGGCGCTGCTGGTTACCGTAAAGGGAAGAGACTTCCGAGACGGCTTCTTTTTCGACGGCGTGCTTGCTGGCTGAGCAGGCGGCGGCATCGGGGAGTGGGCCTGTCGCGGAGTAGACTGTCGTGGCGACGGCTGTAGGGACTCGTGAGGGAATTGCTGTGCTGACTTTCGACGCACTGGATGAGCATCCGAGAAATGGTGCGAAGACGGCCGAGAAGGTCGCTCAATCGGCTGAACACCGCATTCCTGGAGTGCCTGCTCCAAAGCCGCTCTAGTCGCGATGACGCCCTTGTTGAAGATTGCGTCGCGGATCGTGTCCTTGTAAAAGCGTATGTACTTCATGGGCTCTTCTCCAGATTCAATGCAATCCGCTGCATATTGCGCATAGTCTGTCCGATTGCGGACGATGAAGTCGTCCCACATCCATTTGGGCACCATTTTATCCTCTCGATCGAGCTCTTTGATCAGCTTGCACTGGTTTGCAAAGTGCTTCGGATTGGCTTTGTACTCGGGATACGCAGACTTGAACTTTTCAAAGACTGTGCAGGAGGCTGAGCTGTCGCCGGGAACGGCAGGTGAGACCTGCTCTGTGCCGAGTCGAACCTCTCGGCTTGGTGAGCTCGGTTGGCCGAGTGCAGGCTGTGGTCTGGCCATGGGCCTTGGCGCAGATGTAGACGGTGGCTTCTCCTGCGACTCCGGTCGAGGTGCTGGCAGGCTCGCAGGTTGCGGCCGTGCTTCTGCTCGTTGCGCAGCAGGAGGGCCCGCGGGAATGGCTTCATCTGTAAGGGGTACTGCCACTGGACGCAGGACTGGGCTGGGCGTCGCGTAGAGACTTTGATGGCGAGGCGACATAGCACCTGCTACTGCAGCATTCGTTTCTTCCATCTGGGCCTTTTCTCTGGCATCAGAGTCTTCCATTCTCGAGTCCGAATCCTGTTGTACAGGCCCGGTGGTCACCGATCCTTGTCTGCTCTCGGCACCCGTAGTTGGCTTTTGCCGTTGGATCTGTTCAGCTTCTCTGCGCTGCCGGATCATGGTCTCGGGATTGAGGCCTCCAAAAGCATACTTTGGGCGCTTGGCCTTTGCACTTCGCCTGCGATCAGGAGGAGACGCTCCACGCTTACGTTTGACGAGACTAGGCGTCTCTGACGGCTGCCGGGACGGCCGTCCTTCAGGTTGCGCCGGTACTGGCATTGCGAGCTCAGCGGGTGTTGTTGCGGGCTGTTCGCCCGAGCTTGAGTCTTTTGGTGGGCGCTGGGCAGACATGGGTGTTGGCTCTGGTGGCGCTTGGATGGCGGCTGCGATTCCTGCTTGTAGATTGCGCTTTTGCTTTCCACCGTCACCTGGCAGCACCGATTCCATCAGGGGGTCTTTGTGAACAAACGTGCCGAACATGGACATGTCTTGGGCATCATCATCAGCCACAACCTGGGCATCTTGCGTCTCAGCCTGTAGATCGGCGCTCACTTGAGGCTGATGGTCGTCGCTGCCCTTGCGAAGACCATCCAGCGTGGTCTCTTCCACTGCCGAGGAACTCGGGTCTTGATGACATGTGCCTCGTACAAAAGACGCAGAAGACGAGTTGCTGGCTGATCCTTGTGTCGGACGACACACTGTCACAGCAGGTTGCTGCCCGTTCTCGCCCTTGACGTGGGACGTTTCCTTTACTTGTACGACAGACTTGGTGCTTGTTTCGGTAGGTAGATCGTGACGCTGGGCAGGACGCGAAGTCGGTTGTGACAGATCTTCACCCAGTGCCCGAGGGACCGAGGTCTCCAGTTCCGTGTCGTCGTCACTGTCGAGGGCTGCGAGTTGCGCCGGGGGCGAGGATGGCGGAAGCTCTTCTTCGTTCCCGCGCGAGGAGACGGGGAGCGTAGACAGTGGCGGCTGTTCGCGTCTCGCTGCAGGCTTCTGTGATTCTGCTGTTTCTGCTACATCTTCAGGTATTTCAAGGCTGGAATCTGGAGGGAGCCCTGGGTGCGGTATGGTCGGACGTTGCGGCGGCTGCGGGCTGGGTGAAGTGTGCCAGGAGACTGGACTGGTGGGAGCTTCGTCTTCAGACTCCGTGTCCTGCTCGTCCGTCGGCTGAGGGGCAGAATCAGCAGGGTGAGACGCGGACGATGGAGTGTCGTGGAATGAGCCCGAGCTGGTCGCACCCTCGAGGGCAGCCTTTTCGTCCGTCATTCTGCTGAAGATGACGAAAAGACTGGTGGGCACGTTCGTCGGAGGAAAGTTTGCTTGTTTGGCCCAGCTTTCGGGCTGGTTGAGAAGGTAGCGCTGGTCGTCGGGCACGGTGGCAGTGAGCCGATTGAGAGCAAGTCCCTTCATCCACGAGCACTCGGTCGCAGACTTGTCTTTGCCGACGTTGCTCCGCTGGGGTCGAGGTTCGGAGAAAGAGGGCTTCTTCGCGGAGGGTCTTGATGGCGACGCGGTGTCTGCTTCTCGCGTGTGCTTCTTGTCCTTGTCCTGCGGGGGTTGACTTGCTTGCGGGGGTTGGCTTGCTTGCGGGGGCTGACTTGCTTGCGGTGGTTGGCTTGCTTGCTGGGGTTGACTTGCTTGCGCGAGTGGCTTGTCCATCCTCTCGGGGCTGGGTCGTTGGGGAGATGGCGGTGGCTGCACTTTTCTTCTACTCAAAAGCGACAACAGCTGTGCCTGCCTTCGCCGGTCGTCTGCTGAGCTGCCGGAGCGGGACTTGAGCTCTGCCCTTTGTGTGTTCCCTGCCAACACGGGCTCCATTCTGTTGATGCCCACAAACGAAACCTCGTCCTCGCTCGGCGGCGACCTTGCCAGGTGCTGTATTTGCGTGCCAAACGGCATCTGCGTGTGCATCGAGGCAACCTCGTCGAGCGGCCCGTCGGCGCCAGCCATGTTGTGGATGACGTCGTCTGGATGCTCGTCGTCTGGATGCTCGTCGTCTGGATGCTCGTCGTCTGGATGCTCGTCGTCTGGACGCTCGTCGTCTTTTGGCTGCAAGCGCAAGCTCCGGCCGTCGTCTTGCACGCGGGCGTCGTGGATGCGCTGCAGCGCCGACGCTATCTCGTCGGAGCGGTTCAGGACCGATGCGATGCGAGGGAGGGTGCCTTGAGCGACGTCGACACAATCGACAGCATCTAGTAAGATGCAGAGTTTGCGGCGTGGGGGGCCGTATGAGGTGTAGCGTATAGTGAACTTTTTGACGGTCCAGGTGGTGCCGGCAGCAATTTTTCGGCTGGGATGTCGTGCGCGCAGATTGTCCAGACAAAGCGGCGTGAGGGACGTCTCGGTGGTGTGGAGGCCGTCTGTGATGGTCAGAGGACTGGTCTGCACAACGCAAGGGTTAGAGGGTTAGGACGGCAGCGGGACATGGCAGTGGGTGGTGCCTCACCTGCAGCACAAGCACATGCGCCTGCTCGGGGCCAAAGGGCACAATAATGTCGATGCAGGAGCCGTTGTCGTGGTACAACCCTGCCCACTTGTGGTCGACGGCGGCCGAGGGCCTGGCGGACGCTGCCTTGGCCTTGTTCTTCTGCTCGAGCCAGCAGTGGCCGAGGTCGAGCTGTTCCTTGACCTCTTGGTGCAGCCAGGGCGTGAGGGCCAGGGCCATGGGGCGACGCGTCGGGGACGCGCCTAGCTTGGAGAATCTACGAGGGCCCGGCGGTGGATCGCGCAAACTCGGCAGCGGGCGGGGCGAGTGAGCAGCGCAGAGGGCGGGAGGCCTGCGATGCGCGAGACGCCTGCGATGCGTGAGACGCCTGCGATGCGTGAGACGCCTGCGATGCGTGAGAGCGCCTGCAATGTGCGCGCCTGTCCACTGCCTGGAACTGCCTGGGACTACCTGGGACTGCCTGGGACTACCTGGGACTGCCCGGGACTGCCCGGGACTGCCCGTCCGCTGCACGCTCACTGCGCCGGGGACGAGGCTGAACCAACCCACGGCGGGGCGGAAGAGAGCTCCGCAACCGCGACTTGGCCGGCTCCACCACAGCCCCGAGAGGGCCGACGAGAGATGACGCGCGGGCGGAATCAGCGCGATCAGGTGCACGACCGTTGACGCTGTCGCCGTTTGATCAGTCGCAGCGCCCGCCAGCCCACCGCGTCTCAGCTTTCAAGAGCCCGCCCCTCAACTTTCAAGAGCCCGCCCAAGAGCGTCGAGCATGGCCAGCACCCAGCTGCTCCCTCGCTAAGCCCCCTCCCCTCCCCCACCGCGGCGACCGCATCCGCTGCCGACTCCCCAGCTCGCCCGCCGCCGACTCCCCAGCTCGCCCGCTGCCGACTCCCCAGCTCGCCCGTCGCCAGCTCCCAGCTCGCCCGCCCGGCCGGCCGCCCGCCCTCAGCACGCGCGCCGCGACGACGCCTGATGATACGTCGACCGCCATGGCCCGCGACTCGCGCGACTCGTTGCATGCGACGCTGCACCAGCTGCACCAGGCCGCCGCCCACTCGCACTCGCTCACCACTTTCGACGACCTGACTGCGCCACCCGCCCCCGCCGCCACGGGCGAGCCGAAGGGCATAGAGCTGGTGCAGGGCGGCCTGAGCGGCCTGTACAGCCGCATCCGAGCGTCCGTTGGCGGCGGGGGGAGGGACGCCGCCGTCGACGGCCCCGACAGCTCGAGACCCAGCGCCATCGGCCGCAGCCCGGGCGGCGCCTCTGCAGTCTCCTCGCCCGTGCTGGCCTCTGTGCCCCCGTCGCGTCTCCAGTCGCCATCCTCGGTCGCGTTTCCCGACCTGCTGCCGCCGCCGCCGCCGCCGCCGCCGCCCTCGCGCGACTCGACCGCCTCGAGTGCCACCGTCACGAGCAAGCTCTCGCTCAACGGCTCCAAGTCGTCCCTCCAGACCGCGCGCTCGCGCCCGTCCGCAGCGCCAAGCCTCGAGCCGATCAGGCCACGGAGAGACGACGACGCGTATGCACACAGCCCTGTGAGCGCCCACGCGCGCATCCAGAGCGGGTCCGCCTTTGACCTGCCCAAGAATGCCTCGGCCAAGGACTTTGCGCCCGGCCGCGCGGCGTCGCCGTCGCCGCGATTTGCGCCGCTTCGAGACGACGGCGCTCTGCGCCGCAAACGAACCAACATGGAGCACGGCGCCCAAGACAGCGACACGGAAGACGACATGGTCGTTGTGGACAGCGACAAGCCTGTCGACACGGCCGGCTTCAAGTTCCCTGCCGATGCTGTCCACGACAGCCCCAAGCAGTTTTCCGACAACGGCTCCGAAGACACGGAGAAGCAGCACGCCGCTGCCCGCGCTCGAACCCCCGTCAAGGCCCCCGAGCCACAGCGTCCACCGCTGCTGAAGATTGGCCCTTCGCACTTGCCCGGCTTCCAAAACTCACGAACCTCGTCCTCTGACGGCATCGGCTCTGTCGTCACGACTTCGACAATGCGCACGCCCACTGTAGCTCCCATCAAGGAGATCCAGCGTCAAGCCCACGCCAGCCCTGCCGTGAACAGCCTGCCACGCAGCGCCTTCAGACAGATGGGCAGGAAGATACTGGACAGGGAGTTCTGGATGAGGGACGAGAATGCAAAGGACTGCTTCAACTGCGGCGACGCCTTCACCACCTTTCGCAGAAAGCACCACTGCCGCACCTGTGGCCAGATCTTCGACTCCAAGTGCACCTCGATTGTCGCAGGCAAGCTCTTTGCGCAGCCGGGCAACCTGCGAGTGTGCAAGCCTTGCGAGAACATCTTGTACGGCCACGGCGACGACTCTTCGGATTACACCGATGACGATCAAGCATCCATCTACGACCACCATCAAGCCGGGGACTTTGACGACGACGACGACGACGAGATTGACCAGCCGCAGAGCGACCACACCAAGATTGGCACCCCGACCATCAGCATACCAATGTCGCGAAAGAGCGGCAGCGAGAAGAAGCGCCGGTCTCACGTCATTGAAGTCGACGCGCAGACGCTGGCCAGGCCAAGCTCCTCGCGGTCATTGCGTTCGCTCGGCGGGAGACCACGTTCTTCTAGTCACAAACGCCACCACTCCAAGCATCAGCACATGCGCCATGTCAGACACGATGACCGTGCGCCCTTTCACCACTATCTTCACGAGAACCCTCGAACTCAACCCAGTCTGCCTGCCTTCCACCACGACAACATCATCGACCCTGACCTTGCCCCGTTCATGTCGGACGATGGCTCCAGCGAGGACGAGCACCCAAGCATCTTTGCGGCCTTGAACGCAGACGCCTCGGCTGCTTCGGGCCTCGAAGGCGACAAGAGTGGCTTCGGCGGCCTTTTGGCCTCGTTGAAAAAAGGCAAGTCGCGTGCGGGAGACAAAGGCGGACCTGCTAAAGATGGCGACAACGGCGCGCGGCCAACGAGGCGACGCAACCTGAGCGTCAGCAGCATCACGCACCGTCCGTCACCACGACGCGCCAAGAGCACCAACCTGCTGAGACCATTCACTTCAGGCTTTGGCGCATCGCAGTCCGGCACCCCACAACTGCGTCCGTCTCCGTCGCCGACCCCGCCTGGCACGAGCATCACACGTAGCGCATCCATGCAGGGCGGAATTTTCCCAAAGGTCGAGCTCAACAAAGCCAGTCTCGATCATGCCCGCAAGCTCCTTGCGCAAATGCTGCGCGACGCAGCCGTTGCGCACGTCTCCAGCTGGGAAAAGGCCCTCATTCCAATCTTGCGCCAATGCACAGACGACGTCAACCCAGACGTGGACAGGGGCGACGACATTGACGTCCGCAACTACATCAAGCTGAAGAAGATACCTGGGGCAAGGCCGCGCGACACAGCGTACGTGTCAGGCGTCGTGTTTACCAAGAACGTCGCCCTGCGCAGCATGCCACGCAACATTCCCAACCCGAGGATCATCATCATCACATTCGCCATCGAATACGCACGCCATCAGACGCACTTTCTGAGCCTGGAGCCTGTCATCGCGCAGGAGCGAGAGTATCTGCGCAATCTGGTCAGCCGCATCGCTGCTCTCCGGCCACACGTTCTTTTCGTTCAGCGCAACGTGTCCGGCTTGGCTTTGGAGTTCCTCGACGACGAAGGCATCGCCGTGGTCTACAACGTCAAGCCCACGGTGCTCAACGCCATCGCCAGGTGCACGCAGTCGCGCATGATTTCATCGGTTGACAAGCTCGCCATCGATCCGTCTCACCTAGGACGCTGTGGGAGCTTCGACGTGCGCACATATGTGCACAGGAACACCAAGAAGACGTACATCTACCTGTCTGGCTGTCAGAAGGATCTCGGCTGCACCATCATCCTGCGAGGTGCCGAGAACCACGATCTGGTCAAGCTGAAGCGCGTTACAGAGTTCATGAGCTACGTGGTGTACAACCTCCGTCTCGAGACGTGTCTGATGCGGGATGAGTTTGTGGACACGCCGACAGAATCCGTTGTTGATCCTCACGCCGTCGGCGACGATGCGCACATGGAGAGCATCAACGACGCGATAGCCAATGCCGCTGGCATTGAAACTCACTCTGGCGACTTACCGACGAGGGATGCTGCACCGTCCTACTACAGCGATCTGGTGGAGAACCACCGCACAAAGGTATTGTCATCATCACCGTTTGTCAAGTTCATGCAGCCCTATCTCCTAGAGCAGGCTCGCCAGTACGAGAGGAAGCTCGGCTCGCTCCGGAAACTAAAGGACCAATACCCACCCGCGACAGGCGACGAGGAGGATTCGACGCACGAGAAGTTTGAGCTCGTACAGCCAGAAATGGTACATGGAGTCGTCGAAGGAGCGTCAAAACCGATGCGCGACTTTTTGTCTGCCGTGCACGCGTCCGAATACGACAAGGCTCTGCACAACTACGAGACGCAAAAGCGACAATGGGAAGCTTATCTCTCCGGCAACACGGACCTATATGATCCGTTCAACCACCAGAAGATTGCCGTCTTATACAGTGTGGTCAACACCACGACCTCGACGCCATGCATCGGGCCTGAGATTATTGCGCTTGGTTTCTATCAAGAGCACGATTACGACGACGGCTTCACCCCAGACTGTACTCTCGGCCAGTATGTCGAAGATCTGTGCACATCAGCAAGCGTCGTCTGCGAAGTCGACGGGTGCAACCGCCGAATGCTCGACCATTCGCGTCAGTACGTGCACGGCGAGGGACAAATGACCGTCGTCGTCCAAAAGCATCCTCCAAAGCTCAAGGGTTTGCACCAAGCCATGCTGATGTGGAGCGCTTGCAGAGTCTGCGGGACCGAGACGCAGGCGATTCCCATGTCTGAATGGACCTGGAAGTACTCATTTGCCAAATACCTAGAGTTGACGTTCTGGAGCACGCAGCTGCAATCCCGCGTAGGCTCGTGTTCTCACGACATCCACAAGCAGTACGCACGCTACTTTGGGTACAACAATGTCGCGCTTCGCATCCAGTACGACCCCGTCACAATGTACGAGGTGATTGTGCCAAGACCAAACATCACCTGGAAGGTGGACAAAGATCTGAAGCTCAAGAACGAGCAGTTCCTGAAGATCGAAGAGCGGCTTGACTGTTTCATGGCTTCTGTGCGCTCACGCATCAAAAGTATCCACGTCGAAAGCGTCATCCCGGAAAAGGTCGAGGCATGCAAGACAGAGGTCGAGCGTCTCATCAAGCGCGCGAATGACGAGCACGAGTTTCTGCGGCACAAGCTGCAAGACAAGTACATGAACTCAAAGTACTACGAGATCATCCCGCTCAATCGCGCCATTCGTGCGATACAAGAACGGGCCATTGCGTGGGACGAAACCTTCATGGACTTTGAGCAAGTCTTCTTTCCATCTGAGAAGGATATTCGAAGGCTTGCCACCCTGCAGCTCAAAAAGCTGTTCCTCGAGCGCGACGAATCCAGCACGTCTCTGACTTCGGTCGATGAAGGCGTAGAGTCTGGTGAGGAAGAGCATGGGTACGACGACAAGGATGACCTCGCACTGACGCCGATGCCGTCGAGTATGTCTCCAGAAAAGGCCACTGACATGTTGACATTGGTGGTGAAGGAGGATGGAGACCCACCCAACGATGATGATGCCACTCCTTTAGCAGAGCGACCGTCTACACCACTCATCATTTCCGACTTGCCCATACAGACACCTCGCGAAGCCGTAGAGCGCGAGGATGTGAAGCACCTGGATCTTGCAGTGTCGTCGGACTTTTCTGTCGCCCCAACCAAGGACGAGCAGCTGCCACAGACACCCACCCTGTCTCCTGATGGAAAGGAGTTCGATCCAGGATCGCCTACCCCGACGAGCCACCCGAAGATCAACCCCATCGACAAGTCTCTAGCAGACGCCATTGAGAATATGCAAGGTTCGCCATCGCCATCGCCATCGCCAACGCCACACATGACACTGGAAAGCAAGATTCCGCGACTGGTAGAGACCATCCGGCGTGAAACACCAGCCCGACCCGCCTCTTTGGCACGCACTCAGTCTCAACCTGGCAACATACCGAAGCATCCATCGACGCTCCCACCCGCTGTGCCTTACAAACCAGAAGTCCTTCGACCGACGTTTAATGAATCGCAGAAAGCTTTGGAGCGCATGACTGAGCGTTTGCGTCTTGGTATCTCAAAGCAGTCAAGATCAGTGTCCAGGATCCCGCGCTCTGTACCCTTCAAGACTCAGTCCACCAAGGTCTCCAAGCTCGCGGAGCACTTCGAGCAGTTGTCCCGCGAGTTCCAAAAGGAGCGCACACGCGAGCGTTACCGTGCAAGGGACAGACAAGTGCGCGCGTACCCGCTTGCATCTTCCAAACCCATCGTCGAGGTCTACAAGGATGTACACGATGCTGTGCAAGAGAACGCAGCATCTGATGAGGACGCGCCGGTCGAGTCTCCACCCCGCACAAGCGTCGACAATAGTACTCTCGACGACAGTGCGGTCACGGAAATGACAGACGTAACGACAGCTCCACAGTCGCCAGTCGACGAGCGCCAAGGCCGAGATCCGCCAGCATCTCATACGGATGCTCTCACTGACAGCGAGGAGTCACCAAAGGCTGACAGTCACCCCACTTCTGATGCCGAGAACGACGCGAGCGATGTCGAGATGGCTCCAGAAGACGTCCCCCTGCCAGACAGCATCTCAAGCTCGCAGCTTCTCAACATGAGCGACTCACAACTCGAGGCTTCATTGGAGCTGCCCAAGCATGAGAAGACCACACTGCTCAAGATGCTCACCAACTTTTGGTCAGAGCGCTCTGCAAGTGGGTGGGCGCCCCTCGACTACCCGTTCGCTCAGATCGAGCACGTTTGGGAGGACTCTGACATAATCGTTCGTGAAGACGAGCCTAGTTCGATCATCGCGCTGGCCCTGTCAAGTCCGGACTACTTAGCCAAGCTTCAATCATTCCGCGACGACCCATCCGGCATGGACACGGAGACTATGGAAGATTCGATCGAGCGTAACCTCCTCCACGACAAGAACACCAACATCCGTTATGGATTCACTAACCGAGGCGTCAGGGCGCAGTGTAAGATCTTTTATGCACAGTCGTTTGATGCGCTACGGCGAAGGTGCGGAGTCGCAGATCGCTTTGTCGAGTCACTCTCGCGTTGTTCCAAGTTTGAGTCCAAGGGTGGAAAATCAAAGTCCATCTTCCTCAAGACACTGGACGACCGCTTTATCCTCAAGTCGTTGTCGCCTATCGAGGTTCAAGCCTTCTTCAAGTTTGCGCCCAACTACTTCGCCTTTACGCATCAGAACTTGTTCAGGCAGCTACCGTCCGTCATTGCCAAGATGTTCGGCCTCTTTCAAGTCCAGATCAAGACACCCACCGGCCGCGACTTCGACTGGTTCATGTTAGTCATGGAGAACTTGTTCTACGACCGTGAGCCCAACCGCCGCTACGATCTCAAAGGCAGCATGCGCAACCGCAAGATCCAGTCAACAGGCGAGCGTGACGAAGTACTTCTTGACGAAAACCTTGTAGACATCATCTACTCTGAGACGCCTATCTTTGTGCGAGAGCACACCAAGAAGCTGCTCAAGGCCAGCGTCTGGAACGACACGCTGTTCCTGTCACAGAACAATGTTATGGACTACTCACTCATGGCTGGATTCGACGACGGCGAAAAAGAAATCATCGTGGGCATCATCGACTGCATCCGCACGTACACGTGGGACAAGAAACTCGAGTCGTGGATCAAAGACCGCGGAAAGAACAAGCCAACGATTACGTCACCGAAAGACTACCGCAACCGATTCAGGATCGCAATGGAGAAGTACATCCTCCAGGCGCCCAACTGCTGGCACCAGTTCGCTGGGCGTATGGCGGCTGGTGGCGACCGCAGGAGGCTGGTATTCGAGGGTACAGGTGCTGGTGGTCCCGGCCACCAGAGGAACGTCAGCAGCGGAAGCACCATTGGCGGCGCAGGAAGTGGAGGACACAGCAGAGGAGGTAGTTTGACGCAGAAGAGTATCATGGAAGACGTGGGGAACATGGGAGATGAGATCTCGAGAGCGGAGGCCCGAAAGATCAAGTAGAACCGTCCTTAAGCATAGCGAGGGAGCATGGAGTTTTCTGTTTCGAGCGGCATCGTCGGACTTGCACGCATTGCTACGCATACCTAGCGGAATGAGTATATCTTGTTGTAGAGGTTGGTGTTCTGCTGTTCCGTCCACTGACAAAGAGTAAGGGCGTTGATGCCACATGTGGCAGATCAAGTGACCTTTCCCGTCAATGACCACAGAACTCCCTTCCGTCCCCACACCTTACCTACCCCGCTTCAGCACATCTCGAACAGGACTTGACAGTCATGTCACCATATCACGAGCGACAGGGCTGCCTTGTCCCGTATCACAATCGTGACCCGGGCAAGCCTGTTTGTCTGCGTCACAAGACCGGCCTCTCACAATTGCGAATTGTGGACTTTTTCCAGTCTACCCAATACGGGTTTCCTCAAACGTGTGATAGGCCGCGCCGATCCAAAAGCTCTGTGCAGTGTTGAGGCCATCAAAGATGTGACTCGAAGACAAGGTCGTGGAGCACGACGCCTGCGCAGGTGTCACCAAACGGGCGTTGTGCTACGTCTGCAGATTGACAGCGACGCTAACCATCTGGGTACAGCATCATGTGTCTAGACTCCTCATGTGCTGTTCCGTCAAAGGAGCTTCGTTTGTACTTTGTTCACCAGCCTCACGGCAAGCGCCACGTCAGTCGCTGCTACTTAAGCTGGCAAGGCCTCATCTTCGACCCTGCTGTCAGTAAACGGTCGCTTCTGTTTGCAACGCTCAGTGACGACTTCAAAGCAACAGCACCTGGCTGCCTTCACCACGAGTCTACACAGTTTCACGCCTGTTGACTCTGGCACTCCAACCACACACTTTGCATTTCAGTTTCCCATCCGCACAAGCAACACCTCAACGTCAACAGCAATACACCAACCACACTCTGACTACCTTTAGGCCTGTCTATCCCTCTAGCAGACATCTCACCCGAAATGACCGTCATACGTATCGTCTCGATCGCGCTGCGAGTCGCGCAGTTCATCACGGCGGCCGTCGTCCTCGGCCTGACCGCCTTCTTCCTGCACCAGTACGACAAGTACCACATCGGCCCCTTCAACCGTCTTGTCTACAGCGTCGTGATTGCAGCCCTTTCTGTATGGCTCTCGCTCCTCTGGGTAGTCCTTCCCCACGCAACCTGGGCTCACTTCGGCACCGACCTCATCTTCTGCGCCGCCTGGTTCGCCGTCTTCGGTCTCCTGCAGGACTACTACGACGACAGCATGAAATGCGGCAGCATGTGGGCGTGGAACAATATCGACCTCACTAATAACTACTGCGGGCAGTGGAACGCTGCGCAGGCGTTTAGCTTCCTCGCCGCAGTATTCTGGTTCGCGAGCTTCATTGTTGGTATCCTGGCCTGGAGTAAGGCGAGACACTCTCCTGTCGCTACGGATGGCGCGCCTGCAAGGTAAGTTTCTGATCGTAGTTGGTTCGCTCTCAAAGTCGAGAGCTTCTATCCGGTTGCAGATGATGCACAGACGAACTCTGACTACATGCCATTCATCTAAAATTCCTCCTCTTACAGTCATATCTTTCTGCAACACAGGAGGTACGTACATCTGCTGACAGGCGCAGGCGTGGTTTCTTCCGCAGAGCACCCAGGTCTCAGGTTTAAATTTCTGCAAAATCTTGTGCAAAGGAGCTCCGGGCAAGAGTTTGTGAGATGACACAGCTCAATTTGAATAACAAGGACGTGAGTGGCCATGCAGGAGCTCTTCTGAGGAGGGGTCTGGACTGGAGCGATGTGAATCATGGATAAGGGCGTTCAATCTTTTTTTCTTTCTTGGTTATGGATTGGTAGCTGGCATGCAACCGCTAATGGACACAAAGGGGCAGGCAACTTGCAGAGTCTTGGGTAAGCTATGGAATTACAAGGCATGAGTTCAACTGGCACATCATAAGGCATGAGCTGTGGAATTACATCTATTTCGACAAGTAGGCTCCTCACCGTGCTGGCACATGTCCTACCCTCATCGTGCCACACTTGCGATCGGCAGAGTATTCTGTGCTTGTGAATTCATTCAGGACCAGATATCAGAGATTGATGTCCAGAAGCAGAACGAAGATGATTTGACCCATCTTATCACCATGCCGTCACGCTAACCTCTCCTAGTTAAATCTACCGGTCCGTCCCGCGAGCACGTCAGATAGCCACCCACACCCCGCCATACCCCTCGTCAAGTCCCCTCTGACATGTTCCTCGAATCGTCACACCTCGGTCCATCTCATCGACGACTTCCACCATGACGACTAGTCTTGCTACAGTCGCAGTCATCTCAATCGGCCAGATGGGCCTTGGAGTCGCATCCCTGCTGCTCGCGCACGACTTCCGCGTCATCACAAACGTATCGGACCGCAGCGCCGCGACTCAGGAGCGCGCAACGTCTGCGGGAATACAGCTGCTATCCTCCGACGAAGACGTTGTGCGCGAGGCAGACTACATCCTCAGCATCGTGCCGCCCGCAGCCGCCCCCGCCACCGCGCTCCGCTTCGTCCGCGCCCTGACCCGCGCCCCCCGCGACCGCAAGGCGCACGACCTGTGGTTCCTCGACCTCAACGCTGGCTCGCCCGACGCCGCGGTCGCGCTGCAGGATCTGTTCGCCCGAGACGCGCCGAGCGTGCGCTTCGTAGACGGCGGCATCATTGGGGCCCCGCCCGCGCGCAGGGATGACGGCTCCTGGGCCCGCCCCGGCGTCGCGCTGGCAGGTCCGCACGCGCTGTCCGCGGCGTCTGAGCACGGCGCCCGGCTCGCGGCTGTGCTCGACGCGCGGCATCTCGGCCCCGCCGTCGGCACCGCGTCCGGGCTGAAGGCGTGCTTCGCCGCGCTGAGCAAGGGTTTCACTGCGCTGGCGCTGCAGTCGTACACCACGGCGGCGAGCCTCGGTGTGCTTCCTGAGCTGAGGCGGTATCTGGATGTGTACAATCCCGGCGCGAGGGAGAAGGCGGAGCGGGGCATCGTCGGGTGCACGACCAAGGCGTATCGGTGGGTTGGGGAAATGCACGGGATTGGGGACACGTTTGCGGTGCAGGGCAGGTTTGGGGCGCAGGCGAGCGTTTTCAGGGAGATTGCGGGCGTGTACGAGGGGCTTGCTGAGGTGGTGGAGCGGCAGGGTACGAGTGGACTTGACGATGCGGAGGCTGTGGTTGGCAAGCTTGGTGAGCACATGCGACAGCGGCGACGGTCCGTGTGAGCAAGCAACATGTTCATGTGTATTTGCGCCCCTAGCCTGATCCTTACCCGCCGCACGCCCTCACTGCAAATTGTCATAGATCGTCTTCTCGCACATGAACCACGCAGGAATCACCTTTGGGTCGCCGTTCGGCAGCACCTGGCCCGCCAAGAACCCAGCAACACCCTTCTCGCGGTCGATCCACCAGAAGCAGTTCGCCAGCCCCATCCACCAGATTGTGTTCTTGCCGCGGCCCGACGGCCCGGCTTCGATCGTCAGGAATCCTGCGTACGTCCAGCCTTGCGGCGGATTGCCGGGCTGTGGGTAGAATTCGGGTGAGGCGTTGACGAGCTCGGGGTTCGCTGGGGGCGGGCCGCCGCGGGCGAAGTCTGGTCTTTGGAACGAAGTGTTAGATGAAGTTTCCTGAAGGAGGCGTGGAAGGGGCATCGTGGAAGGGAGGGCAGAGCTTGACATGTTGCGATCAACGTGTGCAATGTCAGACGAGAGATGCTTACTGGTTCGGGATCTGGTTCTCCCAGAACAGCGCCGCGGTCTCAGGCTTGAGGATCTGCTTTCCTGTTGTGGGGCTGGTGCCCTCGTTCAAGATGGCAGCGAGGATCTTGACGTACTCCTTCGGCTTTGCGAATAAGCCTGCGCCGCCGGATTGGAAGTAAGCGTCTTGTTTCTCTGCGCTGTCTTGCTGGAGCGGGAGGCCATAGACGTGGTCGCGGACACGTAGCTCGCCGCTGTCGGGAGAGCGTTGGTGGATTTCAGCGAGGTTCGAGCGGGCACTGGAAGGGGGGAACATTGTTGCGCCGGCTGTATCGACGCCTAGAGGGGCGAAGATATGCTCCTTGAAGTATTCCCCTAGCCTTTGGCCGGTGAGGCGCTCGAGGACTATGCCGGCCCAGTCGATATTGAGCTATTGCGTGTCAGTACGGATCATCACAGATTGCTATAAGGGAGGAACTTACACCGTACTCCCACATAGAGCCGGGCTGATTGACGAGCCGCGTATTGAGGATGTCGTTCACATCACCCATCTGGCCTTCGATGTTACCTGGTGCGCGCAATCGCGGGTCGAAGAAAGAGTATCCGAAGCCTGCTGTGTGTGAGAGCAGCATCCGTAGGGTAACTTGGTTCTCCTGGTCGACGCCATTGACACCATCTGGATAGACTTGCTTCTTGCTAATTTCGGGGGCATACTTCTTGATTGCCTCGGCGTCGTCAAGACCAATCTTACCTTGCTCGACAAGCTGGAGGAGGCCAACGGCGGTGACGAGCTTTGTGCAAGAGGCGATCCAGAAAAGAGTATCTTCATTGACGGCTTGCTTGCTGTCGATGCTGAGGTTTCCTGCCTGGTGCTCCACAAGGGTCTTTCCGGATTTGTCGACAGCGTGGAAGGCGAGGCCTGGTGCGCCGGACGGTCCTTCGCTGGTCACTGCATCGAGAAGTTGCTTTACGCCCTGTACACCCTGATCAGAGAGAGGCATCTTGAACAGTGCGAGTAGTAGGTTGAATGTTGTTTGAGTGTCTATCGACTGCTGCGTAGCGGCTCCCGAGCTGAGGGGTCGAGCTGAGGGGTCGAGCTGAAGTATTTGTACGTGGCAGTGAGACGCCCAGACGCCAGCATTCGCCCGACCGTATGGCCTAGTCATCTCTCATGCGCTGTACCATTGACTGCTTCAACCATCATTTAAAGCAGCCAGAAAGCCAAGCAGACAACGCGAATTGACCCAGGAATCTCTGTGTGACGACCATCGACACGCTTTACTGAGCTTTGGCGCCATCAGCACTTGAATTGCTACATGATATCAAATGGCAGAGCCCTTACAGTCTGTCGTCCGCACGTGTACCCCGCAGCGGGGGTTAGCGTGTGGAGCTGAGTTGTGAAGCTATGGCCATCGAAGCTGCGCTTAAAGAGGGGCTGGCTTAGCTGCACCCGAGGTTCTGCACGCGGGGAGCAGTCAAGATGCTTCTGAGAAGCTAATGCTGAAAGGGTACCGAGTTTAGCTTCGTGGTTGCACATGGCTAGTAGTGGCATTTCCCGTTCACCTGCCGCGAATTGCTGCAATTACGCCTTTGAGCTCCTTGAGCGCAGCCATAACTAGAGGCACAGCAACTGGGCCCAGTAACGGCAGATAGACAGCGACCTTGTGCTCATCTGGGAAGTAGACCTGGCCGACCATGGAACGTTCGAAGAACGCCTTCTCAGCCTCCATTTCCGCAACTCGCGCGTGTTCGAGAGCGCTCTGGAATTGACCTTCTCGAAGGAAGTTACATGCTTGGTGAAGATGAGTGATGGTTGAGTCGACGGATTGGGCTACATTGTCCGGTACCGGAATAGAAGGCATCTTTTGATAGACTTGGGCCAGTGCGCCTAGCGTCGAGGAGGCCGAGAAGATGAGTGATGCAGCTCGCACACGTTCAAGGGTCGATATGCGAAGAGGCAACGATGCAGGAGCCTGTGGTAAGCCGAATAATGTCGTCAATTGGTCCGAGAAGGTGTGCATGGCCGGTGCGAGGTCTTTGGCGGCCAAGACGTTGGTTGTACTTGAGCCACTTGGAAGGTTCAGAATGTGAACGCCACCCCATTGAGGTATCAACCAACTGTTGCCTGCATTCTCTTTGACGAGCAAAGGAGACTGGCTTGCATCCGGGACGTAGAGGATGAAATTGACGGTAGGCCCTTCGCCGATGCTCGGGGTCAGTGGCCACTCGGCGGCGTTGATGAAGCCGCTAAGATCCTCTCTGCGGAGCGTCCATGCCTTCAGGTCTTCGTCATACTCGGGTTGACGGATAGATGGTGAGAAAGAAGCGTACAGCTGCACCTGAGAGTCGACAGTGAAGTTGCTGATGCCTGAAAAGGACTCGAGTAAAGATGACACATATGTCTTGAGGGCAGCTTCGATGTTCCAAGCGGACGGTGTGTATGAGGGGCTGAACAACGAGAATGTGAGGTGGTAGGTCGGAGCGTACTTCAACACCTTGGTCGACTGCCGGTCCAACTCGATGTACTTCTCGATAGACAACGCCTTGGTTCTAGCAGCTTGCGCACCGGGCTGGGTCGCCAACAGATATGCTAGCTGGGCCTGTTCCTCGGCGAAGACAGTGTGCAGTTGCCGGGCTATAAAGGTAGCGAGCGGTGAGCTGGTCGAGGACTGCGCAGGAAGTTGACTTGCGGAGTAATATACGTCGAGTGTAGGCGAATACGACTGCAACTGCGATCGAGGTGTCTCCCCAGTCTCCACTTGAATCATGCGAACGACCAATGCGTTGTCCGTGTCGTCACTCCTGACGCTCATCCCATCGATGGCAACCTCTTGGGAGGAGTTGGCAGTGTTGGGGGAGGTGGTGGAAATCAGTCGAAGATGGTGCGCGGAGAATTCATTGAGGTCGTCAATGGCATGCTGTGTCAATCTGACCAACTGTTGTGCGTCATGCGAGGGCATCGACGGTTCGACGGCGATGCGCAGAGGGAAGACGGGCTTGCATAGCTGGCTTCGGCGTCAGCATGTGTGTTTGCAACATGGCGTCAAGCGTGCATATACCTTTCCCGCAGCCCAGTCTGTCATATCCTGGAGCGGAAGCTCCGCCCTATAGATGGCTGTCGTCTTCCACCATACTGGCAGCCCCAGCAGGACGACGACAGCCCAAAAGGAGAAGATGGCCGCGCGACGAAGCCATATGCCTTCTTTTGACTCTGCTGGAGGCGCAGTCCGTGCTCTATTGGCTCCTGAAGTAGTCGCAGACGTCTCTTTAGTCGATGCAGCCGTAGATGACGCGTCGGCCGCGTTCGGTGAGGCCATGTTGGGGGTGGTGCTGTTCAACTTCAGGGCTTCGAGAAGATGCACGCTAGAGAAGATGCACAGACACCCAGTTCGCTCATCCCCAGTATCGTTCGACGGTGGGCCACAACACCCGTGCACTTCGCAAAGCGTCTGAGAGCGGGTAGATTTTGGATTGTACGCTGCATGGTTAAGACATAGACGTTAAATGAAGTTAAATGCCCTGCGTGTTCAACTGCAGGGGGAGTCAACCTATCACAGGCCAGAGGTCGTCGTCAGGTCCAGGACCAAACTTCTCGCCCAAGTTGCAAATGATACGTATGAAGTACACCTGCAGGCATGCTCCTGTCATACAATAACGTCTAGGTGGGCATTAGCCGCAGGAATGCGTATAAGCTTGACGACCAGAGGAAGACGTGTAGACCATCAAAGCTCGAAGCGCCATTGACTGCGAAGGCTTAGATCTGGTAACGAACTTGGACACTGCAATTCGATGGAACCCTGTGTCTTCTCACACAATCAGTCACAAATGCTCGATAATGTGCCTCTCCCTCATCCTCGGTGATGTCGCCTCAGGCTGCACGGACCGAACGGGTTCATCGAACGCGCTAAGACAAGCGGCCCTTCACTGGCTTGTGGGTCGCTCCTGCCCCACTGAACTGCAACGCTTTGAACTGTGGGTGGCTCTTGCCGTGCGGGGTGCGTCGCTCGTTTCCTGGGGAAGCTTCACGGTGACGCGACTGGCATGGCACGAGGGGCAGGTGACCCTCAGCTGACCATACAATACCCCTCGCGCTGCTGCTGCAGTCCATCTTCCTCACACGACACTTTCAGTCTCAGTCTTCACCATTCCACTATTCACCCCAATTCTCGTTATACAAATCCCACCTCAAATCATTCAAGATGAGTGCAATCGCTGACAGCACCGATGGCCCTGTTGAGAAGGTCAAGGTGCTGTTTGCCCTGTTCCCTGGCTACAACACCCTCGACGTGGCTGGCCCGCTTGAGGTCTTGAGCCGTTCCCTGCAGAACCCCAAGGACAAATGTAAGAATTCAAATCAATTGAGGCCGCGACGCGTTCTTTGTCGAGCACAATTCCAATCCAGCCCTTGCTGACACGCTTGCCAGCCAGCAAGGCTTTCGACTGCCAGTTCGTTGGCACCGCCGCTGCCATGACCTCTGTCCAAGGACTCACCATCAAGGCTGATATGGACTACGATGATGCGAACGACGAGCTCGAGGACTTCGATGTCATCATCGTGCCCGGCGGTGAGGGAATTTTTGATGTTCTCAAGAATAAGGCCGAGCCCCTCGGTCTCCTCTCCAAGTACGTCGAGCTCCAGGAGAAGAACCCTGAGAAGGAGCGAACCGTCCTCGCTATCGATGTCGGTGCTCTGTTGCTTGCCCAGCAGGGCATGCTCGAGGGTTTGGCAGCTACAACACACCCAGACTACTATGTCCGTCTGGAAACTCTCTGTCAAGACGCTTCCAAGCGTGACATGTCCATGCGTACCGACGTTATGGAGGAGCGTTACGTCGTCAACAATGCCCGCTTTGACTTGGGTGAAAACCCGGAAGACAACCCGTGAGTACTTCCCCGCAGCCATCTAGAGGTTTTGCTCACACAAACAGATATATCATCAAGAAGGACCGCTCGGGTGCCATCCCCGACGGTACCATCACCCAGAATGGACGTAGAATGTCCATTGCTCGAAAGGGCAGCAACGCTTGGCGCGACTCTCGCCGCCGCGAGTCCATCGCCAGGCGTGCCTCTATGCCGCTGGGTGGTATGCGTGTCATCACCACCGGTGGTGTCACTGCTGGCCTTGATGCCAGCCTCTACTTGGTTGGTTCCCTGGCCTCCCACGACTCGGCTCTCGAAGTTGCTCGCGTCATGCAGTACTCGTGGGTCAAGGGCGTGACGGTCGACGCGATTGATGTATGAGGTACTCGATGCGATGTAATATACGATTGGACTGAAGTGCACCCGGCGAGGTCACCAGAAATGATATGTCGGGAATCTGGAAGATTTACCACGACTGGGAGGAACTTTACGAAGCATCTACGAATGTCAATGAAATCATCAAATCTCATGCTATACCCGTCTTCTCTGTGAGTTACGTACCAGCTTTTTGATTATGTGCAGCCTTTGTGCCAGGTCTTCTCATCAATGATTGTCCCGTCCCTGTCCCGTCTGTGAGGTCAGGTGTACGCCGAGCCGCCGCCGCCACTCACGCACACTATAGCTCATGAAGCCGCTGAGTTTCTTTACAAGGACGTTACTTCGTAACAAAAATGATCTATGAGCCTGTCAGGAAGCTTATGTTGTGCCACAAACGTACGCTGACCCACGGCACAGTGAGCGTCTTGAATGCTTCAGGCCCACCGGGACGTATACGTCCCCCAGCCTATGAGAGAGTCCACGCATACCTCTCGCCTGCTCGTTCTGTCTCCACCCTGTGCGTCAATGCATGTGTCGACAACAGGGCAAGGGTCAGCTTCGGTTGGACACACTCGAAGCGATCTAGCACAATGACAAGCACGAAGTCTCAATCATCCGCCCTACGTCCTGGCTACCCGTTGGTCTGGCACATATCCCACGCGTTATCAATGTACTAGACGGTAAGCATGACGTGCATGCGAGATGATCGAGCTTGAAATGGCTCACAGTCGTCAGTGCGCACCACGGCGGTACCGAGCGCCTGGAGCGCACCCAGCCTGTTTGGTAGACAGCCGATCAAGCTCTCGATCAAGCAAATGCACGGATCCAGACGGATCTAGCTATACTGCAGCGCGCGGAGCCCGGACGGCTTATGAACGTGGATCCCCCTTCGTAGCACGGAGCAACACATAGCTCAGGGCCGTCCCCGACGGACGCTCCCGCTCTATGAGCGACATACCGACTTGAAGCAACTGGTTGTTAGCTTTGTAAAAGTTTTGCAGAGACCGGTGTTGGGATGACACAGAGGTTCGGTGCTGTCTCCGTTCGCAGGCCTTTAAGCGCGGCTGATTCAACGCTCGGCTCGGTGGGTACGTACTGCGGCAGCCCACACGATGCGTCAATGCACAAAGACGTCGACATAGGCATTGCTCAAGATTCGTTCCGTAACTCTTAGCGACTCGTTAGGTACTCAAGTCCTATGTACATACATCACCCAAGATATCGATGTAAACACAAGAAGCAGGGTTGATCCACGAGCAGCAGCGGCAGGGCGTGCGTACGAACGCCCTGAAAATCCGGAATACTGGATCTGGACACGGCAACTACTGGCAAGCGGAATACAACGTTCAGTAGTAGTCATCATAATTGATTTTGAAACGCGGTATCCAGGAACTGCAAGTGTCGTACAGGAGGTGTCGTCAAGCGGGAAACGCAGCGATTGGCGCGCTGGAGAAAAGCTTGAGCGCTTCACAGATCCAGCGTGGCTGTGTATCACATGCATATATCATAAATCGCTCATCGCTAACCAGCAACAGCTATGAACATGACAGCGATACACGGAAATTGCGCAGCACGTGAAGCAACCCGGCGGTAGTCCTGATGTGAGCACGATTGACACACTGCATCTGCCTGCTTCAGTTTGCATGAGCGATTTATCATCTAATCCGACGACAAACACTGGACGCCGCTTTGTAATATGGCGTTGGTAAAATATTTCGATGGCGATTTACCCGCTTAAATGTCAAGTCGAAGAGCGGGCAATGCTAATCGAAGCGCGGTCTGCACCTGTCTGATGCGGCTGCGCAGCCTGCCTGGGATGGTTCACTGGCACGTAAGAATGTCATTTCTCATTTGAGGAGTTTGTATAAATTGCTCAGCACCACTGCACTCAAGTGATCTCTTACATATTCTCTTGTCTTCGGTCTTCCACTTCCTCCTCTACCTCTACCCAGCTCCACGGGTCTGCTGTGTAACAGCCAGCTTCCCAGTGCGGCTTCTCCACCATATCTTTGCCAACCATGAATAAGGAGGGAAAACCAGTCCAGCGAATTCGCTTCGACGCTACGGATGAGGAGGCAGGCCGTGAGCCGCTTGAGTGTGCGCGTGATCGTCGTCGTCGTCGCAGCAGTGTGGGCAGTCTGTCGATTCACAGCACAGGTGGTGCAAGGAACGTAGATCCTGGGACTGCGCTGCCTATCACTTACCGTACACTATCCATCGAAGTCGACGAGGAGAAACAAAAGAAGCAGTCGGAGATTAAGCGCGCAAAGGAAAAGGGCGCTGTTGACCTTGCTGTCCTTGAATGGTACGCTGCGCCAACATAACCTACCTCTGAAGGAAAGCCTCCTAACCATCCATAGGCACACCCTAGAAGTTGAAGAACTTTGCCGACGTCTCTCTGTCGATACAAATCAAGGTCTCTCAGATGATCAGATCAAGCGACGCGTTGCCGAGTATGGCAGGAATAAAATGTCGCCTCCCCCTTCAAGCCTCTTCGGAAAGATCATAGGCTATTTCTATGGTGGCTTCGGAAGTATTTTGCTCAGCGCTGGTATCCTCGTCTTCATCTCATGGAAGCCCCTTGGAGATCCTCCAGCGGAGGCTAACTTGGCACTTGCCTGTGTCCTGATCGCAGTCTGGCTCATCCAGGCTGCTTTCAACGCATGGCAGGATTGGTCCACCAGCCGCGTAATGGCCTCCATTGGGACCATGCTTCCTGACCAGTGTATTGTCATTCGCAATGGTTCGCAGGCCAGCGCATCTGCTCTCGACCTGGTGCCTGGCGACATTATTGTCATCAAACAAGGCAACAAGCTGCCCGCCGATGTTCGCTTCGTTGAAGTTTCCAGCGATGCTATGTTCGATCGCGCTATTCTTACCGGTGTGTTTTCAGTTCCTGCAAGGCAAATACTCAGCTAACGTTTCAAGGTGAATCGGAGCCTGTACACGCGACCGTCCAATCTACAGAAGAAAACTACCTCGAGACCAATAATATCGGCATGCAGGGTACGCACTGTATATCCGGTAGCTGCTTGGGTGTCTGCGTCGCGACTGGTGACAGCACCGTCTTCGGACGCATCGCAAAGCTTACCTCGGACCCCAAGACTGGCATGACACCATTACAAAAGGAGATTCTTCGCTTCGTCCTCATCATCTCGACTTTTATCACAGTAGTGGTCATTGTCATCATTGTTCTCTGGTATGCTGGCTGGTCACCACGGATACTAGTTCTGCTAACAACGATGCAGGGCTGCATGGCTGCGCAAAGACCACCCTAACTGGATCAGCGTTCCGCTCCTAATCGTCAGTTGCGTGTCGGCTGCGGTCGCTTTCATCCCCGAAGGTCTACCCATCGCACTTACTACGAGCTTGACTATCGTTGCCAACATCATGAGGAAGAACAAGATTCTGTGCAAGTCGCTTAAGACTGTTGAGACTCTAGGGTCAGTTTCAGTCATTTGCTCTGATAAGACTGGCACTTTGACAAAGGCAAGCTTTTCTGATCGATCGCCGGAAGAACATTGCTAATATTCACGTAGAATAGCATGGTCGTCACCAACCTCTACGCTGGAGGCGAAGAGCACACGCCCGAAGCAGCCCGCGACCTCATGGCTGCCCTTAGATCCGGGAACAGCATTGCTGCCATCTCAAATAAGAGAGAGGATGTCATCGATCGCGTGCGCATGCTCGCTGGTCTTTGCAACTCCGGAGAGTTCGATGCTTCCACGATGCACCTCCCCATTGCAGAACGCAAGATCAACGGTGATGCGACAGACCAGGCCCTGCTTCGTCTTTCCGAAAGCCTTGGTTCAGTGGCTGAGCTTCGTCGCGACTACAAAAAGGTCTTCGAGATTGCTTTCAACAGCAAAAACAAGTTCATGGTGAGGCTTATGAGTCCGGCTAACCAAAACGCGACCGGTAGCATCGCAACACTCATGATCAAGGGTGCGCCTGATATTCTTCTCGATCGTTGCGAGACAATTCTCGACAACAAGGGCGAGTTTGTTCCTCTAACTTCTGGTCAATTAGCCCGCATCGAACGCATCAAGGATGACTGGTCTTGCCAGGGCAAGCGTGTCATCTTGCTCGCTCAGAAGCCAACCATTGCTCCATTCTCTGCCAATGCTGAAAAGGAAGTTCTTGTCGCTGCTCGTCAAGGTCTGACTTTCGTCGGTATGGTTGGTATCGTTGATCCTCCTCGCGACGAGATCCCTGGTGTCGTTCGCATCCTCCGTGGTGCTTCTATCCGTATTTTCATGGTCACCGGCGACTTCAAGCTCACGGCGCAAGCTATTGCAGAAGAATGCGGTATCCTTTCGAATTCGGCACTTGTCGATGAAATCAGCGCCCTTAGTCACGATGGCAAGATCGGCACGACGAAGCAGTCTATCGTCCTGAGTGGACCGGAACTCATCACTCTGAATGAGGCGCAATGGGACCAGCTTTGCCAGTACCAGGAGATTGTCTTTGCAAGAACGACGCCTGAGCAGAAGCTTCGTATTGTCAAGGAGTTTCAGTCTCGCGAGAATATTGTCGGTATGACCGGTGACGGTGTCAACGATGCTCCGTCTCTCAAGGCCGCCGACATTGGTATTGCCATGGGCAGTGGCTCTGACATTGCCATCGAAGCTGCTGATATGGTCCTTCTTGACTCTTTCGCCGCAATCGTTGAAGCAGTCCAATACGGTCGACTTGTCTATGATAACCTCAAGAAGACCATCGTGTACCTCCTTCCCGCAGGAAGTTTCTCTGAGCTCTGGCCCGTCATCACCAACGTCGCATTCGGTATTCCCCAGGCCCTGTCTTCTTTCCTCATGATCATCATTTGCTGTCTCACTGATTGCGCCGCTGCCATCACACTTGCGTACGAGAAGCCCGAAGCCGATCTTATGCTACGCCCACCCCGCAATCCGCGTAAGGACCGCCTGGTTAACACTCATCTCATCTTCCATGCCTACTTCTTTGTCGGTCTGATACAATGCTTCCTCTCCTTCACAATGGCCTTCTGGTACCTGGAGACCCAGGGCATTCCTTTCACAGCCATGTGGCTAAAATATGGTGTCTACGACCCTCATTATGATGCCGACTACATCAACGAGAAATTCAAGACCGCATCTAGTATCTACTTCGTCACGCTTGTTGTCATGCAGCTTTTCAATCTGCTGGCGACGCGCACACGTCGACTTTCAATTTTCCAACAGCCGCCGCTTTTCAACAAGGAGACGCAGAATTGGCTGCTGTTCCCTGCCATGGGTTTTGCGATCGTCGTTGTTTTCATTTTCTGTTACATCCCTGGCCTGCAAAATACGATCGGTACCAGGCAGGTGCCAGTGGAACATTGGTTCCTGCCCGCTGCGTTCGGTTTTGGATTGTTGATGTTGGACGAGGCAAGAAAGTACTGCATAAGAAGGTGGCCTCAGGGCCTTCTTGCGAATATCGCATGGTAGATAGACTGTTTGCGTAAAGCTATTTCAATCCAGATAGTGAAGTTGTCGCAGCAAGGATCGAGGTGAGGGTGCATATGACGTGATCCGCATCTGGATATTGGACCGATCAGACACTGGCGATCGACCACGCCATGGTGAGCGGAATCGGGTACAGCTTGGAGCCGTGATTAGGGCTCCAATTAGGGTATAGCTGGATGAGTATTGGTGTATATATTCTGCTCATTCAGCACCGCAGATAGAACAAGGAACTTGATCACTTTCTTCACACTTGATCAACGATCAGAGACTACTCAGCTTCCACAGAAGTAGAAACCATTCATGCTCTCCCACACATATACTCTTTCTAAGACGTATCCATCTACTCGAAGAAGCTGACATGTTCCCTCCAAGCATCCCTTGCAGTCCTAAATCCGTTTGGCCTCGCTCCCAGATCCTCATATCCCATCGCCCCACCACTCAAAATAAGCATCTCATCCCCAATCTTCAGCTCTGTTCGTACCACATTAGGATACCCAGCGACACTGACCTGCCAACAACACGCCACCCCGCGCTCCGCCAACAGTAAGGAAAGACTCTGCATGTACATACCCACACACATCAGATCGACATCTGCCAGGCTCTTATCCATGCAAAAAAACAAACCAACCGGCGCATTGAAGAAAGCGTAATTCCGAAGCAGCGCGGTCTCCGCGGCTCCCTTGTCTTCTCTTGCGATATCGTATCCATCAGGCCCGTACAACAGGTGCCCAGATTCTGAGCGGTAGTGGTCGTAGGGCTCTGGAATTGGCTCTGTAGTCGGCTCAACGCCGGCTTTGACTGCGTCGAGCAGGGCAGAAGAGAGGCGCTGAAGCGCGCCGCCGGTGAGAATTTTGACGTGCCACGGTTGGCAGTTGGAGTTTGATGCTGTTTGTTGGGCGAGCTGGAGGACTTCTTGGAGAAGGGAGTGAGGTACGGGAGTGGGGAGGAAGGCGCGGGCTGAGTGACGGGTGCGCATCAGGGAGGTGAGAGTTGTGTCGGCGCCCGGCTTAGATGTGGAGGTGAGGGCAGCTGAATATCTGCAATCACCTTGCGAGCTTGATCTAATTGTGGAAGAAGTGCGTCGAGTTGAGTCGCTCATTGTGGGAGGTCTTCACGGTGCTTGCGCCTTGTGCTTGTCCAGTGTGTTGATGGTCTGCTTGGATTTGCTCTTTTTGACTGTGACCGTTCGTACTTATCTTGAAAGTTCATAGATCGTATTACGGATACATCTTGTCCAGCCGACTCGGGGCTCAAGCTATATATCGCGCACTTTGGGTCGCTCGCACGAGCGGCGCCTCTCGTGTGTCGCCCGAACTTGGTGGGCTTACTGATCATGACTGTAGCCCACAAACAACCGCCAACCTCGAATCAAGAGCGAAGAGTCAGCGCTATGATGTTTATCCATGGCGATATCCCTTGGGATGAATGAAACTGCGAAGAGATATTGAGGAGACGGTGCGCGGTCACGCCTTCCTGAGTTGTCAGGAGCCCCTTCGCACAAGGTAGCGCTCAGCTGGGTCGAGGACGATCCTTGGATTCTTCGACGTTCTTAATTAGCAAGCTTCTATCACGACATCACATGAGCTCAATTTCTCTAGCGTGGAGCGGTCCGTCTCACACCAGTCGAACTGGTTCTTGAGCTATCCTGCGTGACTGGACTTCGCACTACCTAGCAAAGCGCTGCAGCACCACGCGAGCGCCCCGCGTGCCGACCCTCACCCACTTCAAGAATCATCACCGACTGGGCACATCATCTCCGAGACTCGCGTACTTTGTGTGATGTAACCCCAGGACCAGATGAAATAAATATGCCGGGTCACTTGTGCTTTCCTTTTGGTTGTTACGAGACGTTCGAGATGTGACTGGCTCCCGTCGAGATTTCGCCTCAAGTAGGCCGAAAGTCGAAGGTGCAGGGTGGATCTCAACCTTCGGAGGCAGTAACCAGACAGCTCATTCTCTGCAGCAATAGTCTGGCAGACAAGTAGCTTATGGCGACCGTTGCACGGCCCTGTTGCAACTACATGTGTATTGCCCAGCATTGGCGGAGGAGCGTCAGCGTCTACTGTCAAGAGCCGGACGGCTTTCAAAGTCACTCCGAGTTGGCGGAATTGTATCTCGACTCAAGCTTTTGGTCAGTCCTCAGAAACGCTGCAGCTTCGAACTCACACGCGCTGTTTTGGCCGCAGGACCAAAGTTGGGTTTAATGAAGCGCTAAAAGCAACGGCCACTCACACGCACCTATTCAAGACTTTCGAGAACCACCCCGGAACACCTCAATCTCCCATGTGAGGCTACACAAGGCTACTGACAGCCTCTATAGCACGAGCGCTGGCTCTCCGTCAGGAGGTAGCTTCACGTCCTTTCTGCAGAATCTTTAGGGTTCTTCTTCGGGCTGGTCGCCCGCTGTATGTCTGTCACACTGTCTTTTCATCCTAGCCCTGGAACACATTGCATCATTACCAGGCTATTTCTCTGAAAGTGTCCAATAGCAGGCCATATCAGAGGTGAGCATACCTACGGACGTTGTTCACTTTCACGACCTCTCAACTAGATGGGAGCAGGGTCAATCAGGAGTCGGCATGTGGACAATGCTATACCAGGTAAAATGACTTATATAAATATGCGTTGTAGTCCAGGCTGAAACTTGCTGTACCACAGCACGACATCGCTTTTCGATACATGCTGCAGCTATGTCTCTGTCCAAATTAATCGCATCTCTCTCACTGCTGTGGCTCTGTGCTACGGCTATACCAGCTGGACCTGGCTATTGGCCAAATGGCACATCATCAGAAATCGTTGGAGGCGAATACAGTGTGGCATCGTACGGACTCATCGGCAATTACGATGGCACCAACTGGCTGAATATGTTCGACGTGCAAGCAGTAAGCTAGCGCATCACCTGAGACTTGCAACGACTGATATCAAGCAGATAGCTGACCCTACACGTGCGTTTCTATGGAATACCCCTGGGTTCTCAAACACAATTCTAACTACCGACAGATGGCTTTGTAGAGTACGTCAACGCGCAGCAAGCTCAACAGCTGGGCCTTCTTCGTACACAAGGAAGCCAAGTCTATATGGGAGTGGACACTACCTCTGTACTGGATCCTAATGGACCGGGGCGTAAGAGTGTCCGTATCCAAAGCAAGCGAGCCTACAACCAGGCCCTCATCATCGCCGACTTCGCCCATGTTCCAGGGAGTAACTGTGGCTCCTGGCCAGCATTGTAATCCATCTCACCCTTGTAGCTGGCGCAGCCGCTAATATGAACGCAGCTGGATGGTCGGGCCCAATTGGCCCAACCAGGGCGAGATAGATATTTATGAAGGCGTACACTTAAATACCTACAACCAAGCCACTCTCCACACCTCGCCCGGCTGCGTACCTTCAGTCGGTCCCGGCGGTGAAACAGGGCGCCGCGTCGTGAATGCAGACTGTGGCGCAGGTGGCGGTTTCGATGGCTGCGGCGTCATGTCCAACAACCCGACCTCCTACGGCACAGCATTCAACTCCAACGGTGGCGGTGTGTATATATTACTGTGGACAAACTCGGCAATCAAAGTCTGGTATTTTGCGTCGAGGGATGTGCCTGCGAATATCAGGAACGGTAGTCCTGATCCTGGTTCGTGGGGAACACCGACTGCAAATTTCGGACCGGGATGTGACTACGGTGCAAAGTTTTTAGATCTGAGTATTGTGTTCGATATCACGTTTTGTGGTGATTGGGCGGGTGGTATTTGGGGCCAGACGAGTTGTGCGCAGGCCAATCCGAGCTGCAATGCCTATGTGGCGAGTCAGCCGCAATCATTTGCTGATGTGAGTGCCACCTTAACCGTCTTCCCGTAATGACTGCTTGCTGATAGAAACACAGAGCTACTGGTTGATCAACTCAGTAAAGGTGTACAGTGTGTGAGCACATGAGTTCAGCACATGTTTCCATTCTGCATACAGTCGCTCCAGTCATGGGCATCGCTTTGATCATAATTCCTCCACCGCGGTCCTCAGTGCTTCGACTTCGCCCTTCTGCCACTCAGTGACCTTGCCTTGCCATTTTTCTCCCCTGCCGCCTCCCTTTACCGTCTCGACGATGCCTTTAATCTTCGCTGATAGCTTCTCTACCAGTTCTACTTTCCCTGTGATCACCAAGGAGCCGGATGTCTTTACGTCGCCAGTACACAGCAAAACAACACCATTGCCCTTAAGAGTCTCTTTGAGCTCGACGAGAACAAGATTGATGAAGTCCAGGCCGTCGTCTGGGCGGTGCGAGAAAGCGCTTGAGGCGCACTGCAATGTGTCCTTGATCTGTTCAGCTTCGAACCTCGCAATCTCTGCAAGCAATCTCTTTTCTCTTTTCCTGGCGTCGGAAGCTTGCTCTCTGAGACCTTGTATCTTCGCTGCGACCTCTGTAGGCGCAGCGCCTGAAGAGAGTGAAATAGCAATATTACGGAGACCATTGATCGACTCGGTTGCCATATTGATAGCACGATCTCCCGCAGTAAAGAAAAGTCGACAGTTGGTCCCGCGTATCGATTGCGTGTGATGCAACAGAACAAGGCCAATGTGCGATGTTTGCTTGAGATGTGTGCCGCAGCAGGCGTTGTAGTCCAGGTCGCCGATCTTGACGAATCGCACCACGCCTTTCTCCCCATCGTAATCGGCTGGCAGACTTGCCGATCCTTTCGCTTCTGGCGTTTCGACTGTGACAGGGAGATTTTCGCGGATTACTGCGTTGCACTCCTGCTGTATTCCGGCCATTTCCACGTCTGTAGGTTTTCGTGGTAGTTCGACATAGTTCATCTCCCCGGGCCGTCCCATGCTCCAGCCTAGCGTCGGCAAGTCCATACCGTCCATGATCGCGGAGAGCAAGTGCTGGCCTGTGTGCTGTTGCATTAAGTCCCATCTTCGTGCGTAATACACCGTTTGCCTGACTCTCGTCCCGACTTCAAGAGGTGTTTGAGAGAAATGTACGCATCGTAGTCCATGTCGCTGGATGTTCTCAATCGGTATCGCGCTCATTCCCTTAACGCCAATTGGTGTGACGAAGCCATGATCCGTATGCTGGCCTCCGCCTTCAGGAAAGAGTACGGAGTCAGCAAATTCGATCATCCATGTCTTTTGTGTTGCAGCGTCCGAATTGTCGTTCGCTTTTGAGAGGTCTGTCACTTGCTTCGATTTTGCTCTACTTTGTTGTGGATTGCCTCTCGGTGGGATGTACTCCTCGCATCGTACAACCTTGGTTTCCAGGGTCTGCTGATAAGAGTCTCTCTGGCATGATAGCGCGCCGACGATGGTCGGTGTGACATCTGCTATCGCCATGTTTGAGTGACAAAATATGTTTTTGGTGTGGGAGTTCAGCGAGGAAGGCGACTTATTGACACGAGTGTTGGGTCAAAAAGTTGCTCGGGAAAGAAAGCCACGTGGGAATATGTTAGTAAGCGCATTACCTCTCTCAAACGTGAGGCCGCGTTGTCCCCATCACGATCTCCAGATACATCAACCGAAGCGAGCAGTTCAGGCACATCGCGATGTGCAAATACCTACTATACATCCCAAGCAATACCCAATGAATAGCTGAGACCGAAAGAGCCTAAAACATTGATTTCAGACATGGGACCACGGTGCGTCCGCCAATTGCAGAGAAGCGGAGTCCATTCCGCGCGTACTGATCCACCTGCGTCATTTTATGCTGCAGAAACATCATCAAAACGTTCTGAAAGCCATTCTGGAACTGCAAAAATCACTTGGACCTGACTACAGCGTTCGTTGCAGTGGAACCTCGACTTGAGTTCAGGGCGTGTGATATGGTCGAAAATTCGATGACGTAGGCGATCCAAGATGCCATACCGGTATGCCATTGTGTGCATGTCGGCTTTGAATCTCATACATGCCAATCTTGTTGAGACATGCCGTTGTCGATGCCGTTGCCGACTCACGCGGCAGTCACTCGCCTTGTGGCTTCAATTTTACCTTTTAAGGAGAACGATGTCCCGCTACTTTACCACGTTCCGCGAAGACGCCGTTATGACTCCGAACTTGCCTTTCTTGACCGCATTGTCCTTTCAATAACTCCTACGCCTGGGGTGTATCCCTTCATCAGCCACACTGAAGCATACCACCCGCCGCGTACGGTATGTTTCCTACATCGACCCTGGCAACTCGACCGAGGCGCGGTGCGTGGAGACACGCTCGTGCTTTCGAGCCACACGTCTTTCGATGAGAATCTGACGGTGGGGTGGAACCCAACGTTGGCAACACGACTTGGAATGGCAGAAGAGAATTGGTTCTGTGTGCAAGGCTATAAGGGCGATCCAACAAGAAAGATAGGCATCGTAGGCGCTGTGTCAATACCGCGCGACACAATCCTTGAACACATGAAGCGCGAATTTGGGCAGACGGAATTGATTCAGGCAGGGCAATCTGACGAGATACGTGTCGTGGCAATCATGAACGCATTCAATGAAGAAGAAGTAATGCGCGTATTAGACATGGCGCAAGAGCGTGAATGGGTGCCAGACGCAAGCTTTGAGGCTCGAGGGCGGCATGTGCTCTATCTAACAGGTCAGCCTCGTGAGAGTGGGATGCTTGCAGCTACCGCATTGGGTCTGACGGTCGCGTGCGTTGGACATCGAACTACTGAGGAATGGGGGATCCGATTCCTGGCTGCGGCACTCAGGACCGCATTCTCCAATGTGCTGGTTGAGGAAGTGTACGAAGAGGAGGAGCCTATAGCTCGGAAGCCAGAGAAAGAGATAGTCGCCCCTGCTTCGACACCCGTAGAGGCCGTGTAAGAAATAACACCTGCCAGTTGAAGTACATGTGCCTTCTACACAGATCTAGCCGGTTTGATTGTTGAGCAAGGGCGTTAGGAGTGGCCATTGATGGACGACTAATTGCTGCGATTGCAAAGCGCTGGCAGTCACATAAGCAGACGCCTAACACGATACAGTAATAGAGCGACACACACAAAGAACACGAGACGAGGCTTCCTGCTGTCAAAAACATCAGAGCCTCATTCAGTACACGTCTGTTGATTCTCGCATATGGAAATTTTGAACGTTCCTTTGACAATAGCATGGGGTCTTTGTTCAGCCATCATTCCTTAATTGAGACACAAGACAGCGGTACTAGAGTTGATAGGAGCGTTGAGCAGTGCTGTGGTTCCCTTCGGTTTTGGCGTATATTCGAAAGCAAATTAGATCATGGTCAAGCGGCCACGGCCAGCCATGAACGTATTGGGTCGAGTCTGTATAGTCGCTTGTCAGGTGAATGGCGTAATATCATCGGATAGTCACTACCAGTTCGTGAGGAAGGGTTTGGTATGTCTTCTGCATTATAACAGTAGAGGCTATATCCGTTGAATGAAAGTCCGATACGTACAAGCCATTTCACCCGGCATATATGCAATAATTAAAGCTAGCAAGGTAAAGCGTCCCAAAAAGCGAAAGGTTCAATCTATCGGCAGACCCAAGGGTTTTGTTGAGTCTTCGGTCACCACGCCTAGCCCCCTAGCTTTTGGTTCAACAGTATTCTCGTTCTGTGAGGCCTTCGGCGAGTGGTAAGGCGATACCCGACAGCTTGGCCCGGTCGACAGCTCTGAGTATCTGTTATGTGTGCCAGGTCTTGCAACCTCAGCAGGAAGCTCCGAGTATCTATTCGGCGGACCGACATCCGCTTCCATTTCCTGAGGTCTGTCGGTGGTGTAAGCCCACTGCCCTTGTGAGTAGGGACTCTGAGTGTCGCGGTTGGCCTTGTCTTGTGGTGTAATACTCTGGTAGTAGTCTCCACTGGTCGCAGAGTATGTTGGTGGTGCTGCTGTTTGAGTCAGTGTGTGACGCGTCATAAGCTTGATATCGTACTTACGTGACTGAGCAGGAGGGTTGGGGGAGTGAGGATCGAAAGCTTTGAGATTGTTCGTCGTGGGGCTAGCGACCTCGACATTGTCGCTATGGACAGTCTTCGCGTTGCGTCTCCTGCGCCAGAGAAGGAGAACGATCAAACTAATGATGAGAATGGCACCGGCAGCTCCTCCGACTGCTCCACCGATGACTGCGCCATTGGACTTGCTGCCTCCATCGCTGCTGGATATTGCAGAGACCGATGCACTCGATATTGATGATGTTCCAGATGCAATTTGAGAGGCGACGTAGAAGTTGATTTGCGCAGGTTGATCCACGAAGGCCGGCGTCAGGTTGCCGTCAGGACATGTTGGCGGGTCTGACGAGCAAGGATTCGATTTGCAACATCCCCAAAAGGTCTTATTGACAGCAGCAGCGCAAGTGAAGAAGTCGCTGTTGATACCGCAGCTAGCATCGGGGAAAATTCCATAGTTCTCAAACGGATAGGCAACAGGACGAATGTTTCCTTGAGTACACCCTGTCGTGCATGGGTCCGCGTCGCCTGCGCAACATCCCACAAACTTGGATGACCCAGTGTTTGAAGGGCAAGCGTACCTGTCAAACTTAGAAATGAAGTTCATCGTATGCCAGTCATATAGCACATACCATTTACCCCCAGAAGGACACGTGAATTCGCCGGCCATGGTGGTATGGAGTGCTCTCAAGGCGACAACGTTCTCCGACTGACAAAGAGGCAAGAGAAAGACGATGAATATGATGACCGGGGAAAGAGAGGGGAAACTGCGAAAGAAGAGAACCATAATGACTGCTGATGTGATAGCTAAGTGGCACAGGAAGACTGATTTCAGAACAACACTGAAGACACAGGCCTGAGGTGCTAGCAGAAGGATTATACTCCCTGCACAAGTCCCCTAGTGAGCGTAAGACCGCAGAGGCAACTCCACGCCGTCATTACACTCATAGGTCCGGCCTCTGCAGAGCCTCCACTAGAATAGTCCACGATTCCGAAGACGGTGTAGCCGCGTGCCATTCTGCATGTCGGCTTAGTTGTTTGCTGCAATCTTGGTTGTGCGTGGGAAGCTTAAATCACTTGTGGTAAGCGGGAGTGAGCATTCAGTTGACTGATTGCCGAAAGTAGTTTGGCACGATGCAGCGCCGCACGCTTCGACCTCAGCTCCTGTCGGATCGCGGTCATAGCGAGAGCTTAGAAAGGCCTTGAAAACGCCTTCAGTTGTTGTGGGGGATTAGTCGACAATGCCTTCCGAGTTACATTCGGTAGGAAATCGCTGTCCTTCGTGAGTGGTAGGTTGTGCACAGAAATCTTTACGTCCGTAATGCCGTGCGTGGAAAAGACCATGGGATGATATGAGCTCGTGGCAATGTCTCAGAAAGAGTCGGTTATCGGTGAGCTGCTGCGCCCGACCATCCCGGTCTAGAGCATCGGTGGTCTTGGTAGCTGGAGGCTGGGGGCCTCCGACGCGTGTGTAGCTATACGCGAGAGGCGTAAGGCTGAGCGCAGTAGAAATAATGATGGAATATTAGAGCTGTGCAATCTGCTAGCAGAGAGCGTGTAATGAGCTCAACTATGTGCCTTGAGCGATATGCCAGCAGACATCCTCAGTCCCACACGCAGGGCACTTGCTTATCAGTTGTAGTTTCTGTTACAAGTTGCGGTCGACACCAGCCGTATCAGGCAGCCTTCTGTCAAGCCAAGGACCTATCTTTGACTTGTGCTGTAGCTTGTCCAGGGCTGCGGAGGCATCATTCGCAGCTTCGGAAGGGCCGTACCAGTACCAAAACTGGCCGTCCACACGAGCAACTTCTGTTTACACGTTCTTTGACGTATCGCTGCGATGTACGAGTATGCAACAATAGAAACAACGATAGAGCATTTGCGATATGATAAAGAAGAGATAGATTCGAGACAGAGAGGATGCGCATTGGAGGCACTCCGCGGCTCTTAGGAAATTAGCGCACCCGGAGGTAGACCCACCCGCACCTTCCACTTCACCAGCAGCAGCATGTTCCAGACCTCGTATCTCTCAGCCTCAGTGAAGCGCCCTGCGACCCCGCTTCAGATCGCGACCAAGCTTGCCTTACAGAAGCTGCCACGAGGACCCGACTCTTGCGCCTGAGGCCAATAGCGCACTCGCCACCACACCCGCCTTACATGGAACTGCCATCTAGCTTATCTATAGACATATCACCGCCACGTGCGCTCATAAGAAGGAAAACCTTGGGCGGGTCTTCTCCAGCATCGCGTGCAAATTTTCGCTGCGATGCCGAAAAAGACCCAACATTAGCAGCCGTGGAGGCCGGGAGGGCAAAGATTGAAGATCACCTAGCGTACTTCAAGCACTACCTAGCAAAGGGTTCAATGGTCACATCTCCAGAAGTTCCTCGACTTCCAATTCACGAGCTCGCTATTCTCTATGAGGACAATTTACATCAACACGGTCATCATTTTGTCATACACCAGCACAATCATCCCAAGGCAGGCGTACATTATGATCTCCGTCTGCAATTCTCCGCAACAAGCTCTGTGTCTTGGGCATTTCCCAAAGGCATTCCCGGGAGTCAAAACTCTAGACAGTTAGGACGCATGGCCATCGAGACACGCGTACACAACCTCTGGAATAATCTCATAGAATCTGCATCAATGAAGACCGGATCCTTACTCATCTGGGAGACCGGTACATACACCGCGCTTCCGCGGAAGAACGATGAAAACGAGATGCCGAGCCCGCAGACTACCGATGATGAGTCTGATCGGAGTGATGGAGATAGTTTCAGGATGCGAGACGGGAAACACGAGAACGAGACGCTCATCAACGCCTTCAAGTCGCGCCACACCCAGCTCCATCTGCATGGTATCCGGCTCCCCAAAGACTACACTATCACTCTCCGCCTCACCCCAAACAACGATATTTCCAAAAGGCCAGCTGCACGACGCAGAAGGAGCAGACCGCTAGCAAGAAGTCGTCGACCCAGCCATACCTCCGACTCAGACAGCGCACCCAGCGCACCCACAGCGTTGCGTCGGCCCTCTATGGTCATCATCGCAGACCAACACGAAGCCAGAGATAACATAGACACGGACACTGACGAAGATGCCCAAACACGCACCCACAACGTCTACCCCGGCTCCACAAACAGCATAGGCTCTATCCACTAGCGGCGGTGGTTCGTGCTTCTCGACCGGCAAAGCAGCGGTTTCCAGTTCATGAGCGGGACATGGATACGCCGCGCGTTGTCGAACGGTGAACTAGGTGGCTTTGAGCCCTCTGTCGTTCGGGGTAGGGAGCATGAGAGGAGTGTAGTAACAGGTCGGTTGGCGCGCGATGTGGAGAGTAACGAAGGGTGTGAGGCGTATGTAGGGCGCGGAGACTGGAGATCGATCGAAGATTGAGAGACGTAGGTGAATAGTGATATGAGAGTATACGTCTATAGTATGACATACAACAAAAGGGACTCGTAACGAACGTGGTCCAGTCTAGTCTGTAATCTACGGTTTGCGCGCCCTATCACTCCTCGTACTTCCCCTCACAATGCTCTCAGCAGCTGCTGCAATGCTCTTGCTCCCCGCTGTGATTTCTTCGAACTTCTCCTGCGGTACGCGCTGCTCGGAATCGCGCTTTGTGCGGATCTTACATTGCTTCCTGCCTGCTGCCCGGGCCTTGACGAAGGGCGGCGTCGACATAACCGACGAGCAAGGCGTCAGAGCAGGTAAGCTAGCTGGCGTGTCGACATTGTCACCCTGGATGGGAAGGGTGGGTGTGCAAGGCCTGACGGACTCTCTGGCGAGCTCCCTACGCTTCGAGAGGACCGCTTCATAACAGGTGTCTCCCTCGGTCTGGTCCTCGACTACGTCAACGCTGAGACGCTTGCGTTTACCTGTCGCAATGGTCTGGTATGCCGGCACGATGGCCACCGGAGTTGCCGTTTTGCGCGGATGGACGCGAGTCTTGTTGGGAATGACGACATGGGTCGCTACCGCAGTCTCCCATTTAGCGGGTGGACTTGACATGCTGTCCACCGAACGCAAAGATTCTTCCATCTTAGCTCGTTGACGGCGAATCGCCGAGGTAGTAGCAGTAGCCTGCTGTTGAGGAGCCTTGCGGGCAGGTATCTCAAGAGTGACAGGGTTTTCGTCGCCTATGGGCGATAGGCAAGAGTCTTCTTCGACTGGGCTTGATGGTGAGGGTCGTTGCGAAGTGTTTAGAAGTGTGCGAGTCGCTGGTGGTGCGGAGCCGATTTTGCTGCCGCCGTTGCTGCATGAACTAAATTTAGTGGGCGTTCGGTTCACTGCGCTGCGAACTTCGTCGACAACTGGTATTATTAGTGGGTATTGCTTGCATTGAGTGTCACAAGTGACTCACGGTCTACAGGACTGAGACGCTGGCCCACTTCGAGTTTGTCCAGGAAGACGCGTGGAACGTACTTGTAGTCTTCGTTCTTCCTCTTCGAGTCGTCACCTCGGTAGAATACATGAACAGCTCTCCGTAGCTCATTGGCTGTGCCGAACTCTTTGACCTTCTGCATGATCACTGAGCTGGGTGTAGGCAGCTTGAACCGCGACCCAGACTCATATTGATCCAGGTTGTTGTGGTGTGTAAGGCGAGATTCGTTACATGATACGGCGTTGCCAGTCACGGACTCCGTTGTCTCCGCGTCACCTGTGTTGGCAAGGTCCCAATGTATACGGAGGCTCTCCCAGTCGGCCATACGTATAGTCTCCGGAAACGGCAACGATGCTGCAACTTTCTTGTACCAGCTCTCCGGGTGATTGCCAAGACCGCCATAGAGATATGTCTTCTCTACATCGTCCATGCTACCAGTCTTCGCTGTGCGTCGAGCAGATGGACCTTCAGGCGTCACAGGACTGAAATCCATACGATACAGACCTTCCTCAGCTGCTGTAGCGTAGTACTCTGATGAATCGCTGCAGTCGTACAGACTAGAGTCTGCGTCTACAGCGTCCTCGAACTCGCGGAGCACGTGATCGATCTTCTGTTTGACACGGCGAAACAGCTTGGGGTCGCAGTCGTAGCTGTGTGTCGTGATCTCTTGAACCAGATCTTCATTTATGCGATAAATGCGTTCCATGTAGGTTGTAGGTGAGTCTTTACCTCCTTCTGTGATGACGTAGTGATGTGCTTGTCTTAGCAGCTGGTCGGTCTCATCGCGATCTGGCATCTCCTCTTCGCTGGAATACAAGTCTTCTGTATCCGAACAAATAAGCTCAGGGGTACGGATGAGCGAGCGATATTGCTGCAGGGCCGCCATTAGGAAGTGGTTGGTTCTGTATGATCCGAAATCGTTGGTACGCTGGCGTGTATAAGTGTATGAAGCTCTGCAAGTCTAGCAAACAACTTCAACAATCAGTGAAGTAGGGAACATGCAGTACATATCGACAGAAGATGCGAGAACCCTCTTGTTGAAGCAGGCAACTGTCTATTAGCGATCTCTTTGTTTGAGGTCAAACGAAGCCACACAATGGAACGCCATGGTGTTTCCCGAATGCGGGAGTCTCCTTACAGCTGCGCCTCTGCAGTGGATCGACAAATTCTCTCTTTGTGCTCAGCAGCACGTCAATTGCGGCCGTGCGGTCGACCATATACAACCATAGTGCGGATGTCATCATTGTTGTGTTGCAAGGCTAAACCTTGCATGGCCGCCATGCAGTTGAGGGTCGTTGTACCACCGGATGCGCAGGCTTATGAGACCTTTCAATACCGTTGGATAGACAACTTAGATGCCGTGTAGCACGACGCCCACACCAGGCTGAAACAATAGAAGCAAGCGACTGATACCGGAAGACTGGAGCTGAAGAGTCAAGGGTGGTGGGGGGAGTCAAGCTTCTCTTTCACGATGAATGCCACCCACGGGTCGCTCTCTTGCAGCCAAAATCCTACAACGAAATGGCCGATTATCCGCCAACCCTGCGATGGCCATTGTCGGATAAAGGTGAGTACGGGATGCCTGGTCGTCGAGTTAATCTGTGCGTGCGTCGTACGTCGACCACCTCTCAATCGGTCGTCTTGCGCCCAAATTTACGCGAGGGGAAATTGTAGGACAAGTAAAGGCAAAACAGGGTGACGAAGGTGCGGAGAGCGAGCTAGTTAACGTGCCTCGGCTTGCGCAGCAATGTCAAGCACGTCTCACCTTCCTGACAGCGACTCGACCTAGAACACAGGCTGGCCTTCCTGTTTCGCCGCTGACAGCTCCTTCCTTGTACTTTAACTTGCTCCTTTTCCAGTGATACTATCGTCTTCTTGTACATTCCACATTGTATAGCTCTCATTGATCGTCCGCGATGGCAGGTACGTCGAGAGCTGCATCATCAGAATGTAGCACATCTGACTAGCAACATAGCACTTCCACTTGCTGTTCCTGCTGCAGCTGCAGGTCTTGCGTACCTCAATGCCCGCCATGGCATCAGCTACGATTGGCCGATGCTTTCCTCTTTCGCCTTGGCGATCGTCCGCGTGATCCACGCAGAGCGTCGCGACCAGATCAACCTCTTCTACGAACTCGAAGCTCTTGCGCAAGGTCCCCGAACCGAACACCCATGGATCATCTTTCACGGGCAAACATGGACATACAAGCAAGCATACGATGTCATCCTCAGATATGGCACATGGCTGAGCGGTCGCGGCGTTCAAAAGGGCGAGATTGTGGCGATGGATTTTGTCAACTCAGAGATGTTCATCTGGATCTGGTTCGGGCTATGGAGCATTGGTGCAAAGCCAGGTAAGTTGACACATGTTGTAATTCGTGTTCACATTTTTGAAAAAGTATCATAGCTTTCATCAACTACAACCTTACAGGCAAGTCACTCATACACACAATCAAGACATCGACAGCACGTCTGGTACTTGTTGGTCAGGAGAGCAAGGCCAAATTTGCCGAACATATCATGACAGAGCATGGGTTCTTTCCTATGCCTACGGCGATAATTAGCGACGAAAGAGAAGCCAGCTATGACTTCGAGATGGACCAGAGTGAGGTGCCACGCTCCGTCAAGAGTCAGGCACTAGCACAAGCACAGCAGCAGGGCACCACCGCAACGCCACAGAAGAGACAGCTCGAAGTTGTCTTCTTCGACAAGCAGCTTCAAGATTCCATACACATGCTCCAACCGACCCGCCAACCCGACTCCCGCCGCGCAGGCCAGCTACGCAACAGTATGGCAATGCTCATCTATACAAGCGGTACCACAGGGCTACCCAAACCTGCTATCATGACATGGGGCAAGTGCAATGGCGGCGCAAAGTTTGTCTCGAGCTGGCTAAACATCAAAGACGATGTCATCTACACCTCCATGCCACTCTATCACTCCTCTGCCTCAGTCCTGGGCGTATGCGCTGTCCTCCGTGCTGGCAGTACCATTTGTCTCTCGTCCAAGTTCAGTCACAAGACCTTCTGGCCCGAGGTTAGGGCCAGCAAAGCAACAATCATCCACTACGTTGGCGAAACCTGTCGCTACCTGCTCTCCGCTCCTCTCTCTACTCTTGACAAAGAGCACTGTGTCCGCGCGGCTTTCGGTAACGGCCTGCGCCCCGATGTATGGGAACCATTCAAGGAGCGATTCGGTGTAAGGACGATCTTTGAGTTCTACGCGGCCACAGAAGCCCCTGGGGGCATGTGGAACCGCAGCGACAATACTTTCTCCTCTGGCGCTATCGGACGAAGCGGGACTCTTGCTTCTCTTCTCTTTAACTCTGGCATGTCTGTCGTGCGTACCGATCCTGATGCCGATGGCGCACAGCCTCTGAGGACCAAGGACTCCGGTCTGTGTCAGGTGTGCGACTCGAACGAGCCAGGCGAACTCCTTTACAAACTCGACCCTGCAAACATCGAAATGAAGTTTCAAGGCTACTTCGGCAATGACAAAGCGACTAACTCGAAGATCATCAGGAACGTAAAGAGTCTCGGCGACGCATACTTCCGCTCGGGCGACCTAGTACGATTAGACAAAGAGGGAAGGTGGTGGTTTGTTGACCGCATCGGCGACACATTCCGCTGGAAGTCTGAGAACGTCAGTACAGCAGAAGTCGCTGATACCATCGGTAGTCACAAGTCAGTTGAAGAAGCCGCCGTTTATGGCGTTCAAGTGCCCGGTCACGATGGACGCGCTGGCTGTGCTGCCATTGTATTGAACAAGTCCGCGCTCTCCACCTCTGCCAATACTGAGAAGAACATGGCAGTGAAGGGTGAGGTTCTGGAGTCACTCGCTTCTCATGTCACGAAAGAGCTGCCGGCTTTTGCAAGGCCGATCTGGATCAGAGTCACCAAAAAGTTGCAGACGACAGGCACGAACAAGCAGCAGAAGCATCTCTTGCAGAAAGATGGCATTGACCCTGGATCTGTCAAGCAGGCAGGCGACGCCCTTTACTGGCTTAGTGAGGGGTCATACATGCCTTTCACCGGGAAGGAGCTGAAGAAGATTGAAGATGGTGGGGTGAAGCTGTAGCCGTCCTGCGTACAGTGCATGCATGGGTAAGGACCGTTAAGATTTCCCGCCTCAGATGCCCTTTCATTCGATAGGCTTACTCGCCTTTCTCGGTCCATCAGTTTCAGTTCACTCGCAAACATCCGCATCCGGTTCCTCCTTTCAAGTTTCCTTGCGTTCGCCCCCGTAGCTTTCGTCTTGACGTTTCCATCCTGGGAAAGTTTGGTGTGTACCTCATAGTTATTGCCGGGCACCCTGCTAAATCATCATCTTTGCGTGGAACGATGCACTCTAAATCATGCAGCAACATCATCTGTTACCTTGCATGAGTATAACACCTGCCACTCACCTAAGAATGGCGAGCATTCCACAGAGCTTCGAACTCTCATCGTGGGTCTTCCCGACCATTATCATTGCTATACTGTAATGACGAACTCCAAGTCAAAGGCCAACATTAGCGGTCCTCGGCCAACCACTCAGTACTTCGACACCTCGCAGGAACGTCATACCGAGGATCAACACTCTGCTACAACTACTGCGGATACAGCTACTTATATCATGATATTTGACACAGACGTAGAGACTTACTTGCAAAGGAGGAACGGGTCCATTCATGATCTACAGCCCTCTGAAAACCTGCAAACATACATATCATGCATCGCGGTCCTTTCTATCCTTCGAACACTCCGTGGTTGAGCTCGACACCGAAGTCCTTCGCCATAGTCTTCATCTGGTCTTCCAGGATATCTTCCAAACCCCTCTCCGCACCAAAAGCCTGCTTGACCCTCGCCCACAAGAACACACCATCGCTGAGCAACAGCACAATTCTAAACCTGAGATGCTTAACCCAGTTCTTCCACCGCTCCCCCGTGCTCAACTCTTTACTCTCCGCCAGCGCCCTGGACGCCCACATGCCCGTAATCTTGACCCGGTTCACCGGGCTGCCCAGAAACTGATTATTCCCCTGCACGATCCTCAGATTGCGGCCGATGAAAATCAACTCCTGGGGCCACTTCTTACTATCCCCGAGAATACTCTTGATAGCATCGCGGCCCTTGACCTGCATATCGTATGCTCTCTCTGCCGCGTCCTTGCCACGGACGCCCTTCTTGATCTCCTCAATGACCTTCTTGTCGCCACCTTGGTACGGGCGCATCAGCGTCGCCGAAGCGAAGATATCGGGGTTATTGACGCCCCAGGAGGTCACGATGTCGGAGATGGTGTTGTTATCGAATGCGAGCAGACTCTTCCAGAACAGCGCGTATTGATGGCGGAATTGGGGGTTCATGCGGATGTACAATCCGTGGTCGATGAGGACGACTTCTGGTTGCCCGCTGGGTAGGCGCCGGACGAAGATGTTGCCGGGATGCGGATCGCAGTGCACTAGCCCCCAGAGGAACATCTGTGCGCTGAAGAGGTCGACGATGGTGTTCATTGTCGTTTTGAGACTGACTCCCAATCCGCCCTTGCTGTCCTTGCCCTTCCATGACTTGCGGCTAGGCTTTATGATTTCGTTCTTGGGCGCGTCGGCGGGCACGTCGGGGTCGTAGGATGCGTTGGAGGGGATGGGAGGGAGCTGCACGCCTCCTGCGCCTGGGGAGCCACGGCGCCAGCCTCCGTGCCATTTGTTTGTGATGCCCTCTTTATCCCAGAGGCGCACGCCTTCAATCCATTCAGCAGTCATGACGCGCTTGGAGGAGAGCTCGCGGTAGACCCGGGGGATGTAGACGCGGCCGTTGAGTCGTGGCTCGCCTGCAACGAGACACCGCATTTCCTCGCCGTTGTTGGCTTCGTTCTCGAAATCGGTTTCGAGCATCAGCCGCTCGGAGATGTAGGGTACAAGGGTGTATACCGGGATCTCGAACCACCATGTGTACACCTTGGCGACGACTTTGAAGGCCCACAGATCCCAGCCAACTTGTGATGCAATCTCACGCTTCTGGATCTTGATTGCGACTTCTCGCCCGTCTGCGAGACGTGCCCAGTGGACTTGCGCAACACTGGCGCTAGCTCGCGCAGTCTTTTCCATCACGCCCTTGCCTGGTGTCTGATCGTGCGAGAAACTCACGCCAAACACTTCCTCGACACTTTTCCCGAAGTCTTCCCTGACCACCTTCTCGACCTCCCACCAATCGTTCTGCGGCGCGTCGTCGAACATCTTTGCGAACATCTTCTGGAACGACGGCGGCAGAATGGCACTCTGCATGGCAATCGCTTGGCCGATCTTCAGGTAGAGACCTCCATTGTACCGAAGCAGGTTAAAGATGCGCTCAGCATTGCGATTGTGCACGTCCTCGACGCTGTTCGCGAATGGAGGGTGCGCACGGAAGTTGATCTTGTAGTCGAGGCCGATAACAAGACCAGTCTTGAACGTACGCAGTGATCTTGTCAAGGAAGAAGCGTAGAACTGTCTGTCGATGGCGTAGCCAACACCAACAAGCGCAGTGACGGCAGCAAGGCGACGCACCCATCTTCGCTTTGTGAATGGTGGCTTGACTTTTCGATTTCGAGGCTTAGGAAGATCGGCGGGATTTGGTGGGCGAAGAGGCTCCCATGCTTGCGACTGTATGCGGCGCACAAGGGCAGGTTGTGGTGACCACACAAAGGCGAAGGGCGGGCGTGCTAGCTGCGACGCAACTTTGTGGGCGGGTGCTCGTCGCAGAGCGAGTAAGCCATATATCATGACTGTCGCAGAGACGTGGCAAGTGAGGAACGCGGTGCAGAGCTGTTAGACAAAAGCATGATGGAGTATTGAGGCAACTATCTTTCTGTCGTTACCCGGAGTCATGACGGCATGCTGAGCAGGGTCTGTCCGTGCATTTCCTCGTGGCTGGCTGACTAATCTTTGTCGCCGCTCCGAGGAATGTGAGGTACATACATGCCGACTTCAAAGCAACTTGCCTTCTCCTCAAGTTTGAGGGGATCTGAGCAAGTCAGATCTATGCATGGTCTTCCCAAATCAGTGCAGCTGCCCACCTGAAGAGAATAGGCGGTCGTAAGGATGCCGAGGCCTCGTGGAGTGTGGATCTTCGCTTTGGTAGTAGCAGGACCGTCACTTAAAGCCCTGGACTTGCATGCCAGGTTGCAAGTATAGTGCCAGCCGCTGCGTTGTAGAGTCTGCTAGCCGCTCCTGAGTAGAGGCAGTGGTGCGCGACAGATCGGCTCCTACGAGTGCTGCGCAGTTCGTGTCGATGAAATTTGGGAACATACTCTGTCCACATTTCATGACTTTTCTTCCTCCTTTACGCTCATCTTCTCCACAGCTTGGAGATCCACACCCCACCGCCTAGCCAGCTCCTCGACCTTGTCGTCCCACTTCTTGACTACAGGATGCTGCGCCGCGACCTCTCTGAATGTAGCATCACCGTCTGCTCCTTTGACGTCCCACTTCCAAATCCCCTCCTCATCGACCCATGTTTGGCCCATCAGCTGTTCGATCGCAAGTTCCTTCTGCGCTTCTTCACACAGCTTCGTGGCCTCGGTATAGGTGTCTTGATCTTGGTCTCTCCAAGCACGCACAAACCCTCTCAGGACGCCTTGGATGTACCCCACGCGCAGCCCCATGTCAGCGCCCAGCGCATAGCCCTCGTCGAAGCCCTCTTGCACGTACTGTCCTTTGGCTGAAGCTAGGCCTTCACGGTAAGCGTCGGCGTCGAGGGCGCGCTGGCGAGAGGGAAGGTCGGAGAGTATTTCATGAGCGCGGTCTGAGGCTTGTGCGTCGGGGAACGGGGAGGTAGGCGCGGAGCCGTATATATCGTCGAGTGCAGATTCGTGAGGTGGCGTTGGAGGTGCATGGCCTGCTGCCAACTGGGTTGGGCCCAGAGGAGGGGTAATGTCGCCGGTCGTGTTCATATTGCTTGATGCGGCAAGTGAGTGCAGTGCGATGTGGTAACTTTTTGGTAGTGGGGTCGAGTGACAGGAACTGAGTGGGGCATCGGCGGACTCGGGGTGTCTGAGTGGATGACCAGCTCTTCGGCATTCTGAGCAGTTGACCAAACGTTGCAAGGACGACAGTTGAAGCAGCTGCAAGGGCTCTTCGGATCTGCACTGCTTCCTATGCCGAATTATGAGCCAGAGTTGTGGATCTGGTCAGTCTATAAAAAAATTCAGTCCGCTAGGTAATCCATTGAAATTCTGGAAGATAGTAACCCTTATCTACGGAAGGTGGTCTTCCCAAGAGATGGGTTCAACTAGACCGAGAAGTGCGGGGAAATATCCGTGGGGTGAAAACTGTAGAACATTTGATGTCTGACTTGCGAGTGTTTTTGCAAGCTCCAGACAGCAATTGCTGCACAGCACGACGCGGCAGATCAAGTGCGAGGCTCCTTCGAAGTGACATGGCACCGCCCACTCGACTCGAGCACCGGCGCTGCTAATTCTGCTTCATAGTGACACCGCAACGGCGTTCTAACGTCGAAGGAGGTGTCCCGCGGCAGACGAATTCGCCGGATTTCCCAATTGGGACATTCCGTTTGCAGGAGCTTTCCCCGCCCTCGAGCTCTCAGTAACCCGCCATGCAATCGTGGCGTGTGCTGTGTGGAATTCTGTGGCCTGGACTTCAATATAGCCGTGTGGTGACCTTGAGACCGGGTCGCTCTTAAAAAGTCAAGTGTCCCTCGTGCCGACGGACTGTATTCTGTCTGTGACTTCTCTGCGACTTCTTTTGAACAGCGAGTTTTCTGGTATACTGTACGCTCTTACTCTCCAGCTGGATAATTCTGCACATTGAGCGGTACTCCAAAGCATTATGACTTCGCCAACCCTCGCTCCTGGACTGCCAGAGTTCAGCCTCAAGGACAAGGTCGTCCTAGTGTCTGGTGCGGCACGCGGGCTCGGTCTGATACAAGCGGAAGCATTGTTGGAGGCAGGCGCCATAGGTGTGTGGACTGCGCATCGATCTCGAAGACATCCAAGGGCTGACTGAACCATAGTGTATGCTTTGGACAGGCTACCTGAACCACACCCAGACTTCCACATTATCGCGGAGAAAGCAAAGAACGTGTTCAACTCGAAATTCGAGTACCGGCAGATCGATGTAAGAGACGTCGATGGGCTCCATAAGGTCGTTGAGGATATTGCGAGTGTCGAGGGAAGGATGGACGGTTTGGTTGCTGCTGCTGGTATCCAGCAAGAAACACCGGCGCTCGAGTACAAGGCCGAGGACGCAAACCGCATGTTCGAAGTCAACATTACCGGTGTCTTCATGACTGCTCAGGCGGTTGCGAAACAGATGATTAAGTTCGGCAACGGCGGTAGCATGGCTTTCATTGCAAGCATGTCTGGCACTGTCGCCAACAAGGTACGGTATCGTGAAAATGATCGACTGACTGTTGCTGACAATGTGCAAGGGCTTGATCTGCGCCGCATACAACTCGTCCAAGGCAGGTGTGATCCAGCTCGCTCGAAATCTAGCGTCCGAATGGGGTCAGCACAACATCCGCGTCAACACCATCTCACCCGGATACATCGTAACGCAAATGGTGGAGGAGCTGTTTGTGAAGTACCCTGAGCGCAAGGAGACGTGGCCGACGCAGAACATGCTGGGGAGGCTTTCAGCTCCAAAGGAGTACCGGGGTGCAGCAGTATTCCTGATCAGCGACGCCAGCTCGTTCATGACAGGGTCTGATCTGAGGATAGATGGCGGTCACTCTGCGTGGTAATTACGCGAGAGCATTGTAAGAACACGACATATAACTTATTCAACGGTGCAAAGGTGTTGTCTAGAGGAGGTGTGATTGCGCCAATGAGGGTCAGAGGAAGTCCGGCTTGGCGGGTCTCACCAAGAAGCAGCAACCCGCAGCTCAGCGTTTGAACATCTGCACGCGCATACCAAAGCCGGACATGCCAAACAAGTAGTCGCGGTGCTGAAGCACGTGCGCTCATATCTCAGCACCGCTTGCTGCTCAGCCATCTGTTGTTGTGTTGACACAAAACTGATCCTGATTGAAGCGTGACGTGCCTGCAAGCTCCACTGCCTCCAATGTCGAGCTCGACACCAACCGCCGTCACCCGCTATCGCCCTGCCATACTCGTGCTCACCGGGGCGGCAGCCGCATATGCTGTCTATCTTGTGTATGGCAGCCTCCAGGTTGCGCCCAGCGAGAGTCTTCACCGCAGCAATGCCATTCGGCGAGGCAATCCACAACGGCGATTGTCACGAACAACGCGTATAATCTCACGTCTTGAGAGCGAGGTAGACAACTTGGGTGACCACACCGTCCTTGGGCTCGTGGTACCACTCGATCCGCAAAACCTCATCAGCCCAGATGAGCTCCGCGAACTGCTTGTGCCCATGGTCCCGGACGCCAGTGCAGACACCATCGAGGTCGAGACGGCACGGCTGTACGACATATTCCTCGATCGACTGCTAGACTCAGCCTTTTCGAATCGGCCACTCGCCCCTGTCGAAATCGAAGCTGTCACGAGATGGGTCGGCGCCCGGCTGCCGACCATAGCCACCATCGCTCGTGCTGTAGAGAGAAGGACACAACGGCTAAATGACGCCAGATTTGAAGATGGAGACGGATCTGAGAGCGTTGCGGGCACGGATATATCGTTCATGAGTGACGACGACACAGACGGTGAGGGCATCGATCCTGAAGGGCAGACACTCCAACGTACGCTGTATCACATTGCAGAAGAGCGTGCAAGGCAAGAAGGAGTCATACACCGAGGCATCACATGCAATGGCTGCGACGAGAAGCCCATACGCGGCATCAGATGGCATTGTGCCAACTGCGTCGACTTTGACTTATGCTCCTCGTGCGAAGCCACCAACTCTCACACCAGAACCCATGTCTTCTACAAGATACGGGTGCCAGCTCCATACTTGTCCCTACACAAACAAGAACCGCTGTATCCCGGCAAGCCACACATGATGCATCACTCGGTCAACTCAGCGCTGAAGAGGCGTTTAGCCTCAGAGACCAAGATGGAGGTCGAGGAGATTGAGGCGCTGTGGGACCAATTTACCTGCCTTGCGAGCACCGAATGGAGAGATGACCCCAGCAAGGTTGGCTGGGCTCTTGATCGAAGAGCCTTCAACCATGCTTTTGTGCCTCGATATAACGGCTTTATTTCTGCGCCAAATCTCATCTACGACCGCATCTTCCAGTACTATGACAGCGACAAGAACGGCCTCATTGGATTTGTAGAATGGATCAAAGGCATTGACGGCATGCATTCCACTGACATGAAAGTCAAGGCCAGGATCATCTTTAACGGTTATGATATCGATGGTGACGGCTACATCTCGCGTCGAGACGTGCTGCGAGTATTCCGAGCTTACTACGCGATCGAGAAGGAGGCGACCCGTAATTTTGTTGCTGAGTTGACAGAAGAGCTGTCCGTGCATAACAGTATGGATACCGTACGATCGAGCCAACCTCTAGGCTCGGCTTTCCCTCCCAATAGCCTTTCAACCACGAATCAATTGCACGATAGCATCGCGCAAAAACAGAACGGAACATTCGACGAGGCGTCCCCTATCATCCTTGATTCAAATTTCGAGTCTGCGAGCCGCGAGGAGGTCATCAGGGCCAACGAAACTAGTCAGATACTTATGAGCTCACCTCAAAAGGAGGCCGGGAAGCGCGTGGTGCGGGAAGCTTGGGCAAGGCGCGAGTTCACCCTGGACGAAGAGGAGGGTATGACAAGGCCTATCGATGCAGACGTCACAGACAACGAAGAGGAGACGAAAGCCCGTCACACAGATCCTGTCGCTACTGAACCTGAGACGGAACGCACTGTGTCCCGCCGATCGTCAAGAGTGCATTTCCAGGACGAGGTCAACCATAAAGATTGGCCTAGCAACTCAGCCTCAAAGAAGCCGGTCAATGAGCAATGGGGCGGGTATGAAATCCCGGAACTTCAACAAGACCTCGGGAAGGAAGTCCTGTATCAAATCACGCAGCAAGCTTTCAACGAGCTGCTCGACCCGCTCTTCCGCGTTCGAGAAGATATGGCATTGGATGCTCGTAGTCTGCGTAACGAGCGACGCAAACACGCCGATGTTATTGACGCACTGCTGGAAGAAGAGAAAGGCTGGGGAACGTGCAATGCACTCATCTTCCGTACTGGTATCTTCCGATTTGCCAAGACTATCGTCGATGTGTTTGTTCATCATTTAAACAAAAGTGCTTTACAAGCTTTGAAGAGATACTCGTACAGGGATGATCCGGAGCTATATGCTGCCATGATCCGTAAGGCTATCACAGCCGCTGAGGCCCTGGTCCTGAGAGATCTAAAGGCCCGCTGCGATGGCATGCCTTCTAATGGCATTGCTGATTCAAATGCCGAGCTTATGAGAGCGCAGCTTTATCAAGAGCTTACAACGGCAGCAGTCTGGTTACTCAATCCGTCAGATTATATTACACCAGAGAAGGCTACGCCCGCAGAACAGGAAACGACGTTGAAGGAGACAGGTCGCGATCCTACCATGCCACAGTTCCGTCCCAACTCCATGGTCGACTCGGAAGCTAACGGACATGAAGAACTTGCAGGGAGTTCCCAACATTCTACGACCGCATCAGAGCTCGGTCAGAGCTCGGTAGGCTTCATGGATGATGCTGGACGACTCCACGTCGGCGAGGACGGTCCCTTCTTCGTCTACGTCAGCCACCCTGAATCAGGCGCAAGTGACGATGATGATCTATCGCCAGCGTCCGACCAAGGTGCCCCATCTTCGCTTTCTCGCCCTATCGATCCCCTCGAAACCCTCTCTTCAGAGATTGCAGTCCCCCAAGTCTACACCAACACCCCCTGGCTCCAGATCCTCGCCCTTGTCACCTCTCCTCAGGGCAGACAGACCGTGCACGCCGGCCGCCGACACATCGTGCACACGACAAATCCGTACGCCATCAACCCCGAACCAGACCAAACAGCTGCTCTGATCGCAAATCTGCGCCGCAGCGCGAAGAATCCTGAGTCTCACTTGTACACCCGCTTGCTGGCGAGCTGTGAAGCGGTAGAGCAGGAAAGTCGCAGACGGAAGAACGATGGGCTGCTGAGCTTTGAGGAGTTTGAGGAAGTGTTTAAGCATGGCAGATTGAGGTTTTTGGAGAGCTGGATGGATTGGGTGAGTCTGTAATAGGTCACGAATGTGCAGCTACGAATTGAGAGGGGGGGGGGTAAAGATCCATGCTGCCAGATCTTACTAACGAGGTGCAGCAATTCAACGGGGTCAGAGAGTATCACGTTTATTTTCGGAGCCCTGGACTCTGACAGGCAAGGCATATGATATCTGCTGGGCGTGGGTCATGCAGCAAAATTGGTCTCGTTGGCAGTACGCCAAAGAAGAGTCTTTAGCAGAGGACAGAGAATGAATGTGGTCGATCATTAGCCACGAAACATGTCGGCTAGCTACATTCACCTCCGAGAACAATTCCGTGAACATGCAGTCTGAATCGCAATCAACCTCGTTGGGCGCCAAATGTGGTTGATCGGTGACGGACTCTGGTTTCCGTTCCCTGCAGACTCTTCCATTCAAATTCCTGTCAACCTGGTCTCGCTGCAACCCACGCCTTTTGCCAGTAAACGACTTTGTTTGATCGAGGAATACTGTTTGGGTCACAATCTTATGCAGACCAATGGATCGAACACTGACCGTCTACGAGCAATGCAAAGCGGATCTTTTCACAGAAGAGCATGCATCCATACGTATCGACACATATTTTCTTCGCCTCACTTCTGTTTCCATAAAGCCAGAAAGACTTATAACTATCCGCATCGGATATTTTCTTTTCCCAGCGAAGTCTACTGGGGCTGCATCAATTCAGGCTTCTCACGCATGGCCACTTGTTGCGAATTATCGCCTCTTGGACCCTATTTCGTGAGCCCATCGATGTCTGAGAGCGAGCTGTCATGAAGAAGCCCGTTCGACACCACGGTATCATCAAGCTCACTCGGCGACATGTCATCAGCATCATCCTGAACATCACTCTCTAGATTTTTCGCCAAGACAGATCTCTAAGGTTCGCTCGGCTTTGACTTCTGCGGAAGCTTTCATGCCGGAATGCCAGATCTGTGTTCAGACTTCGAAAGAAGCCTCACAAAAGACCTTCAGCCTCCACAGTAGGGGGTTTCGGGTTGCTAGAAATAGTGAGTGCAAGCGAGTTGGGGTATTTTCGATACTGCGATAGGCAATCATATGAGCGCAAACCGATAGTTACTCGGAATCTAATCGTCATTGTCCGAGGACCTTTCAAAGTCGATTGTTGTGCAGTGGTATTGGCATGTGCCTCGCCGACTGCTGTCACCTGTGCCACTCGTGCGGCACTCACACCCGCCTCACTGGCTGCCTCGCCTGGGCATTTATTTGTCACAATCTACCCGTAATCTTGGAAGTGGCAGTCTCATATGGTGCGGCTCAGACACATACTGACACATACTGTCCGGTCAGAGAGGATGCGTAGGATGCGAAAAAAGCAAAGAAGCCGGAAGCGCTACCGATACCTACCGAAGAACTTGGCAAATCGTGGACGACCCTACACAGTCCATGACCCACATGATCTCGCTTCGTCCGACATGCGCCACGGCGCTTCTTGCTGTGCTGTGAAGTTGTTGGAACAGAGGCTAAATGCAGTAGGATCCTTCCGGACAAAGGAAGGAGAGCAAGGCCTCATCAAGCGTCAACTGCAGTACCTCACGTCGACAGCATTGTCATGCGAATGCAATGTTGATTAGATCCGTGCAACAGATAATAGTCAGAGTGAGTGGCAGTTTGTAACAAACGAAAGCTGTAGCCGCCTCACGATCGTGAAAAACCGGCAACCATGTATATCCTCAGAGTGTGCGTATCACACACCGATGAGGCATAGTTCCCACAACGTGCATGTCACAGAGCAAGAGAGGAGCCCGTACCGCGTCAAACGCGCCAACACGTAAGGGAAGTCCCGTCACCGAGCGCCCAAGTGTCCCAAAGATGACAACGGTGTCGCTGAACGGCAACAAATTCGCAGTGCTATGCAGGTCCCATCTCTGGATCGTTCGGAACCGCAGAGCCGGTGACACGTTCGCGCATAGAGTGGTCTGATGCTGAAAAAGCATCTCACTGCCTTGATGGAGGACTGTGGATGCAGATCTCATGCGGGAGGACTGTTTTAGCAGATGACTAGCGTGGTCCTGTGAGACGTTTTGAGAGGGTATGGGTGCCGCGGCACGCACATTTACTTCCCCGGTATACCGGCGTTGCACACGATCTACACATCCCTTAGCGTCGATTTTGGAACTCCCTTTGGTGGTCGAAGATTGATCACTGACTTAGCGTGGGGTCGTCTTCGATCGCACAGCTAGGATTGTTGAGCAAGCCGCCAATCTCCTGAATGAGCTGTGCCGGGCTATGATGAGCCCTCGGGACGTCGCTGTTCTGCCTCTTCCCAGACACATCTTGGGCACATGCAGTCTCCGCCCAATGCACCTACTGCCCACTCTCTGCGCTCTTTGACGGGTAACCTAACATCGCAGTAGTGCCCGAAAACTTCTTCGCCCTTCTTCAGACCAGGGCCTTTGCTTGGATTCCTTCCCTCCCAGTCAACAAGCTTCTCGCGTGCCCAGAATTTCATGGTTCCTTGCCACTCCCAAGCTACGTTAGGGTCGCAGCTGTGGTTAGCCAGACACCACATCGGATGCACAGCACCGATTTCTGGTCGTCCATCCGGTCCCTGCTGTGCAGATGCGGTGCCTCTTAACTTGGCATAGATGGTGTTGAAGACCCATGTGTCGTATCGATAGCTTTCTGTGAAGATGTTGACGTCCATCTTTTCCAGAATGTGTAAGGGTTTGATGACATTGTTGCTGAACGAGAATGGCAGGGTCCGTGGAACACCAGCGAAGTTATCAACAAGCTGACCCTCTGGATCGATCTGCCATACCATATCCAGGTCTTTGCCATGGTAGTCACCCCAAATGTAGCGCAATTCCTTCAGCTCCAGCGGGTGAAGGCCCTGTGTTTCCGCGAGTGCTAGGACTCGCACGAGAAGTATATAGTACAAAGAGTCTGCAGCTTCACGGGCAGGAACTTTGCCTTGATCCATGCTGACTCCGCAGATGGAAGGGTGGTAAGTGTCCTGTGCCAGGTCGTAACACTCTTCGCTACAAAAGAACACCTCGTCGCATTCATCACAGGTGACAATGATCTGTTCTGCCACTGGAGATTCCGGGAGCATAGTACTACAAGCATCGCAGTATGTGTCGTACCGCCGTGAGATAGCGGTCAATAGAGATCGCTCATTCAGGACTTCAGCTCCGGGCGCAATGTCTTCTTTCGCAAATACGCCTAGCTGTTTTACGAACTGAGGCTCTGGTGGTGAGCTCTGTGTTGACGAATCAGTCGAAAGCAGTGGCAACTCAGAGATTCTGACTTCCAGCATGGGAGCTATGTTCTTCAACTCATCATTCAGGAACTGCAAGCATTCGTCTGAGTGCCGATCTGGTTCATGCTCATTCCAGGGATAGTTTTCGCGGCGAACAAGTCCTTTGTCGGGGTAATCTTCGACCTCGACATCGTCGACATTTTCCCCCTCGTCCTCATAGTGTGTTCGGATTTTTGAAGTCAGCTCTTCGTCGTATTTGTTGAAGATATTGTCGTCCGGAAATGCTCTCAATGCTCGCGCGATGTAGTCGAACGCGCTGCGGAAACATCCACAAGCCATCAGAGCTTCGATAAGAATGTCATGCCTTGTTCTGTCAGCAATAGGTCAGAAGCTCGCATCGACCAAACCCTTAGCTTACATACGCGGATCTCGAAAGATTGTCTTGCGCCCAAGAAACTACTTTCTCATTCTCGTCGCTCACGGCACCATTGCTGGCGTCGACCCTCAAGCCTGCGACCTTTTCGGAGAGATAGTCGGCGTTCGCAGCTTCGAGGGCCTCTCCATGGTATTCCCCTTCCTCGGCAACCTCATCAACGAGCAAGAGCGCCTTGTATGCATCACCAATAGTAAGATCAGGGTATCCAAGGTTCCTATACGCCTTTGCCAAATTGAGACGATGTACTATGCTGTAGGGCTGCTCGGGTGTTTTTTGCTGCAGCGCAATGATCTTATTCGTAAGTGCCGTACGACTCTGACAATATCAGCCTCTGAGTTCTCTACGCCACTTCCAATGTTCTCACCTCCATCTCTAGTTACTTTGATAGACGTTGTGTAAGTGACGGAGCACGAGGAACAGATTTTGGCATGGTGGCGGAATTTAGTGTGGCACTAGCTCGCTTCGCTCAGTGCGACACTTCCTAACGTTGCAGTGACACAAATCCAGCAGTGGACTCGACCCAGCTTGCTCGTTAGTCAGGAGATATTATTACCCGCCTATCATGCTACCCTCCGCGGCTGAGCTTGTCGCTCGATTTCTCAGGACAAACGGGTACACCGAGGTATGACGTAGCTTATATCGTTGTTCCCCCTGCGCTCACACTGTGCAGACGTTGAAGAGCTTTGTCAAGGAGGCTGATTTACCATCCGATATCGGTACCGGATCTGACAGCTCAGTAACAGTAGAGTCGATACTCCAAGAGAAGAAAACGTTCGACCTCAGCCTCAATTTCGAAAAGCTTGGTGTGGAAGATGGAAACCGCAAATGGACAGTACCGGCGCCATCAAAACCAACAGTCTTGTCATCGCTGCCCAGTCGTTCCAATATCTTGAGCGTAGCTGCCTTCCGACTGTTACTTCCATCGAGCTCGAGCGTCAAACAGTATGTCGCTGTCACTACAGCCGATCGACGACTGCACCTCCTGGACCCGGCGTCTCCTAGCTTTGAGCTCGTTCATTCGTACGCTGGCTTTCAAGACTCACCGATCCTGGATGTTCTCTCTATAGGCTCTCGGTATTTGTTGATCGCCTCTATGTCTGGCAAATTGATGCTGTACGACACTGTGATCGACCAAATCGTGGACGAAAGAAAGGATCATTCCAAATATGTCGTCAAAATAGCATGCTGGTCTTACGATGACTTTGTTATGGTAGCGAGTGCAGGATGGGACTCTCAAGTGTTGATCTACCGAATTCACATTGGTAGAAACGCCCCACGCCTCGGCGGACCTTTGTCCACTCTTACGCTGAAGAGCATCCCCGAGACTGTCCTTTTCATTCAATCGCCAGAAGACGGTTCTCCGGTTCTATTGGTCGCACGCAGGGACTCTACTTTCCTGTACTACTATCAGGTCCCTCAGGTCAGCGATTCAGCATTCAAGCTCCTTGGGAAGCAGAACCTAGCTCCGCATTCCAACGCATGGGTGGCGTTTACTCCTGCAGATGTCCGTATCTGCCCTACTGATCCGTCTGTGGTTGCTGTTGCAACTTCATCGACGCCTCACATGAAGGTTCTCATCTTGAAGCTCCTTCTTCCGCCAACACAGCCTTGCGCAATAGACGACACGGCTGGTTCGGACGCGACAGAGCCGATCGCACTTACGCAAGCTTCTCAGGCACGTGCTGAACTTTTGGTCGCAGACAGAGAAGAGGCGGCCATATCGATCAACGTGTCGACCATGGCACCGCAGACTGCTTATTCCACCCCACGGTTGACTTGGCGACCTGATGGCACAGGTCTCTATGTCAGCTCAGACGACGGTGTTGTTCGGAGCGTCGAAGCAAGCAGTGGAAAATTGATTGCAAGTATGGAGGGACATGAACCTGGTAGCAAACTAAGGTGTCTCTGGGCTGGAGCCCTTGAAACACACGACAATGAAACGAGCGATTCGACAGCCAGTCGCGAAGTCTTAATTAGTGGTGGTTTTGATCAGAGATTGATACTTTGGAAAAGTTGATTACTCTATACTTGATCACTCTCTGTTAGGCATAGATTCTGCTCGCCGTGGAAATGAGGCTCATGACAGGCTCTGCCCTTAATGCGTACTTTCAGGTTTGAGCCGCAGTTTGTATCACGAGTCATCCACACCTCGGCCCACCATTCTAAACGTAAGTACAGTCGTGCGTTTTCACATAATCCGGTGGACACTCCAGAATCGATGTGATTAAAGGTTTTAGCCCATAAACCATCGGTACCAGTATAAAGACCATACATGTCGAAAGTGTGCTTGGCGTGGTTTCTTTTGTGGTCGGCGACCTGTACAGATACCCTGTACCGCCACGATCCTGTCCCCGCGATCTGGCAACGACAGATCCTACAGGGTATCCTCGCTTATCCGCCTATGACACACGTGGTAAGCCATCTTGCATCACATATGTACGCCGCGCAAGGGCCTGTGTCTAGCGTCCGGATGCTCCACCTGTTCCGCCATACACCGATTACAGGACCAACAGACGGCTTTACGCGGGGCACCTCATAATGTTTTTGCTGGGGCCTAGAACTGCAATACGACCGGGGAAGAGGCGGATGAACCGCACTTGTCTCTAGTTGTGAACATCTCGAGTTATTGCAAGGTCACAGGCAGTATAGTGTGTACCTAGTCGATGAACACGTCCACTCGTTCGCAAAATGACTTCCTTGGCTTGTTTCCGTCCTCGTTTAGGTCTACTTCAGACTTTGCTATTGCGGGTATTCGTATCCTGGGACTGAGATCGTGCTCGTGCACTCCCTACGCCGAGTAACTGTATATATATCACCATGGTGCAACCCAATACAGTCATACTTGCAAGTCAAATTCGTCACCTTCTCACAAACATATTGACAACAAACTTCGCTATTGAGCTCCCATCACAGCGGATATCGGGCCTTTCTCTCAGCTTGCTCGCTCTGTATACTTCGGAAAACAGTCAGTCACGTCACAGAACAGATTTTCCTGTCGTTCCAATCATGTCGTATGTAACGAGCTGGAAGGAAGGAGACGGAGATTTCCTTTTGGTTGTTGCTGGATTGACGCGCTTTGCACCCTATCTATCCGGCTGGCAAGAGTTCAAAGATCATATTCGGAAAGTAGTCCGAGAGCAGCCCGGATGGGTTGACGTATACGCAAGTCAAAGTCAACGTCGGGGTGAAATGCAGGGCTGGTGCAGACTCAAGGACAAGGAAGACGCAGATGCTGCATATAGTGAGTCATGCAGACTTGTCATTGAATAGATTCCAAGACTAATCACGTTCTAGAAATATTCTACCGGTCAAAAGGCATGCTGGTCCATGTCTGGCAGACGCGTCGCAGCAGCGATGGATTCCGCCTGATGAAATGCAACTGCTCAGTACATTTCCCAGAAGTGGCTGAGAACGATCATTCTGCTGGCCTATGCGGCATCGACATTGGAAGGGTGAACCAACTGGGCGGTAAGCCATACACCGCTGCTCCAGCACAGTACATGGCAGTTCAGCCAGGCTATTCTTATCCTGTCTTCCCCGCAACCACATCCTATGCTATTGAACCAGTCTACGCAACTCAAGTACCCCAAATACTACCGATGATGGCCCAGTCCCCAGTTTACTCGGCGAGCAACAGCGGCATGCCAGTGAACATCCGCGACGGAGCGATGCTCACCGAGGCTCGCGGCATTTTCATCCAGAATCTCAGCTACAAGGTTGGCTCCGACGAGCTCAGAAACTTGCTCTACACTGTGGGCCGGCCCGTGTATTGCAAAGTGCACCGGGATCGTTCTGGTGTGTCAAAGGGGGTGGCAACCGCCAAATTCGCATCGACCCACGAAGCACAGCTCGCGGTGACCCATCTCAATCGCAAACCACACAGGGGTATGGCCCTGAAGGTCCGCTTGGACCAGGACACAACCGTTGTTGGGCAGGTTGGGCCTCCCCTGGTGGTCAATGGATCTGTTGGCGCCTATAAGTGAGTGCAGCTATGAACGCGTTGGTCAAGGCTAACGGCAGATAGCGCCAGCAAGTAGCAACGCCCACACCACTCGAGCCTGATGTCTCTGGTACAATCTATCCGGTAGACATTACTGTTATGATCGTTGTATGAGGCATGTAGTGTGGCTTCTGTTGAACCAAATGGCTGGGTTATGCCTCAATTTGGATTAATCTCCGGGAAGATGGGATGTGTGTGGGGGGCGCGATGTACATACTCTCGTTCAGTGTGGGTTTCTGGGCTATGGCGCAATTGTTCCTTTCGGTATCCTTAGCGCACCTATTGTCCGATATCCACGAAATGCTGCGGTCAATGCATTCAGATTGTGGTAGCACAGAAACATGCGATCGATATTGCTTTTGATATGCAGGCGCTTCCTTCCCAATTTGTCAAGCGTCATCATGTCGCAGCGGAAGCTAGCCTAGTAGTGCGGTTTTGATCTCGTGCTTGCTTCTTACTGGATGAGCTCCACACCAGACTCCACATACCGCTCACCCTTTGCATTACGCCCACACGAGCTTGCATTTGTCTTACGCGTGGCGTTCGCTGGCCGTTTCGAATCCGATTTGTTTAAGCCAGCCACCCATATGCATAGAACATGGCATCTACCGCGCCCACATCCGACGACCGGGTGCATTTATGGCTTACTACCGCACCTCTGGGTCACCGATGATAGACACGTAAACGACTGGATGGCCGTTGAGCCCCATCAGCTGTGACAGATGACACGGAGTTCTTCGGGCACCTCGGGTGCCTGTGCTTCACGGCCACCTGCCCTTTTAGGGAGGATTCGACGAGAGCTTCCAAGACGACCAAGGGTACACAGAGGAGATCCACCACGTCAAGATCTGAAAGGACTCATCCAGGTACTTGGGACGGCACGATGTTCCCACAAGTAAAGCAGATATGACAGGGAGTGCTAATGTAATGGTAATAGCGCACCCTACGTGTGACCAGGATGTCGGCTATCTATGTGTAAGTCGTATCTGTGATTGTTGCCCATCGATCAGGCTGTCGTTGTGCTAGGTTTATGACCTTCACCAGCCTGCGACCGTCATCACACTAGCCCTGAGCTTCTTTCTCTAGTTCCAACCCCCTTGTAAGTTGTCGGTACTCCAGCGACCTTACAATTTGCCTCTCGAACGATTCGTTTGTTACTGTGTGACACCGAAGCGCTGGGCAAACATGGTCGGCGATGTGGTCACGAACTCGACAGGGGTGGGAAGCTGGGAGATTGCTAATGATGCGCTGTTGCGAATTCTAGCGCCTCCAGGCAGATCGTTTACTGTATAATCATCAGCTTTGCATCCAGTGCAGGACTAGTCAACTATAAAGAGTGGCCTGAAATTAAATATCAATCTTGCCGCGTGTTATGTGGCTGCTGCATGAAGCAGGCCTGCAGAGCGTCGGCAATGCGACGTCAGTAGTATGATGTTGCATCGCCTGTCAGCGGAGACAGTTAGGGCTGCGGTACGAGATTCGAAAGAGTATCAGAGCCACATCTAATGTCGTAAAGGCCTGGTTGTAGATGCCCAACCATTGGAACTCGTTCAGCCTGCCAGACCATGGTACGCACACTCTTACTCTTTGTTTACTGGCCGCTCACGAATCTCGAAACAAGACATAGTAACATGTCGGATGCTTGACGTTGCCCGCCCGCTTTCGGCATGGCTGTATTCGAGAGCTGAGGAGCAGGAGACAAGTCCAGACATTTTCCGTACACACGCAGACGGAGCGCATGTTCACCTTGACACCCACGCGTGAGGTCCCGAATATCCATGCGGTGACAGCATAGTGAGCATGACGAACGACTGCATGACATACCAATGACCGGCGCCGGGCACGTTGCGGTGCAGGAACGGAACGGGACGAGAAGCTCAGTGTGGGACTTGCGGATACTTGGGCACGGTGGTGAGTGAGAAGGGCCGATTGTGAATCAGTCAATCTCCCAGTTGAGGCACTGATCTCGTCATTATTGAGCAGGGGAAGGATCACTTGCTGAGGGCGCTGACGATGTCTCGCTGCTGAATACGACACGACGCTGACTGTGGAGAAAGTCTCAGACCCTTTTCCCACTGTCGTCAGCATCCGGATATCCACCATGCGTGGTGGTTTTCTTTTCTACAGTCGAATGACCGAAGACGGACCTGAGATGCCGTCGTGGCGTCTGTTGTTGTATGTATGTCTCGTTTGACTGCGAACATTTGCCCTGTCTTTCGGTAGCGAGGCGGGCCGCTGCGAGCTACCGGTAACGAGTCTTTAGTGAAGTACACCATGTCATCCAAAGACAGCGGAGTTGCCGAAGCTAGCGGCCCAGAGTATTCTGGCCGTCTCGACGGACGTATCAAATGTACGAAGGAGGTTGTACGCAGCCAGTCGTGTGAGACCGCGTTGAAGATCAAACGGAAGTGACAGGGTGGACGCAATTAGCTCTTTCGAAATCCGGCGTTTATTCGCAGAAGGTCACCCTGCTCTGGAGGGCTGAGATCCAGTGCAATTCCAGCATGCTGTTTTGCTGTGGGTTGATTTCCTTTTGCGGCCAGCAAGACCGTCAAATTCGTTCCAGCCTCGCGCACAGCAAAGCGGCCTTTCGTGACCAAGACAGACTGCTCAGGCACACGTACAGTGACTTCAAGTGGTCGTGCTGTCGGATATAAAGCAGAGTACCACACAGGTGTAGAGTGTCAGTCGGCGGCACGCAATGAGTCGAGCATGAACACTCACCGCGTTTTGCGCACAGAACGATTGAGCCTTGGTACGGTTGAAATCTAGGTTCATAACTTCTTCACCACGCACAGTGCCTCGGAAATCCAGGCTCCAACACAGCACCTGCAAAAGTATTACTGGCGATCCATCACTAGACTTTAACACGGTCGGAAAACTCAGCAATGTCTGAGCGGCTGAGTGCTTGAAAGCCTTAAAGCTGATTGATTTTGATGGCCTGCAGAGCTATCCCTGGTGCTAATTGCGCTGGAGTAAGTATAGGGTCAAGCTACGGCCTAGAACACTCTGAGATGTCCAACAAGCTCTCAGCTTGACCGTGCCTCTCAGCAGCTTGGTATCTGCCTTGGTAACTGGCGGAGATACCCGGTTGGATACATGGAGTCGATACGAGCTTGGCAAATGTGCAGCAAATGTACCAGAGCACTCAGTACGGCCGCTTCTTTCTCTTTGAAGAGCGACTGTACTCCATTTTTTTTTGGCTAATCACCTGGGTCTTTTGCATGGATTAACAGTGCATTTGATGCACCTATACAAACTAAATGTATACGAGCAGTCCGCAGCTGAGGTCCCCGAGATTCATCATCGATCAAGGAAAACTCGACTCCAGATCTCGTCAAGCTTAAACAGCTCAACGCTAAGCACTGTCGATCTTCGAAATTCGCTTTCGATTTCCGCTCCTCTTTTCCAATTTGGACGCACTTGAAGATGATAGTCTTGGGAGGTCAGTGAGTCTGCAGCACAATATAGCCCTCACCGCTTCTCGAATACGCAGATAGACTGGTGGCGCATTCTTACGATCCTGTTGAACTCAAGATCAATATTCGACATCTTCGATCCACCTGAACGAACAATCGCTTCGGAGCAGACTCCAGTAAGGCCCATCCGAGGTCCCGCAACATTTGAGGCTCTGTTCATTCGTGAATCCTACAACACACAAGGCTGGAGTTACCACGTCAGCAGAGCCTTTCCACCAACTGGCCTTGCTAAGTCCTTGATTGCTCACTCTCTCATATCCTCCATCCTTTTTTCTGGGTTTTCATCGTCACAAACCACAGCACAAGTAAGAATCCCGTCCCTACCATAAGACACACCCCGCTCCATATCTGGATACCAGTGAAAATTAGGCGGCCGTCTGCGTTCGTCTTCAGCAGCGACCCGGCAATGGGGGCACCAATAAGAGTAGCTGCATAGCACATTAGCTGACCTGCACGGACTTTCAGGGCAAGCTTCACCTGCCTATACTTGATACGCTCCACGACATGCCTAGGCGTGTGCCTAGCCGCGAGAGATCAGGAGTGATGTTTGCAAACGCCGCAGAGGGCAGAGTGACCAAAGCGGCAGAAAAGAATCCTGTAATGTGTCAGTGTACCACTTTAGCCTCATCATCACGAGCACTTTAGACACTGACATACCCCATAGTATACTAAATGCGATGAAGTTGGCTTCCGTGTCGATACTGATCCAACACAGCGACAACACGGCGCTAGCAAAAGTGCATAGCCCCCAGGTCACGATAGGCCCCAGCCACTGAGCCAGTCCACCGCTCACCAACCGCCCGAAGAAGCTCGCTGCAATCGCCATTACCAACGTGTACAAGCCCATACTCTGACTCAAGTCAAGTGCGTCTCTCGCATATGTTGGGATATAGAAGTAGGGTACAATGTAGCCTAAGAACGTCGTAAAGGAGCAACAAGTGAAGATAAGAAAAAGTTTATCCTTGTAGGCTTTCTTGTCGAACAAAGATCGCGCCTTCCGTTTCGTAGCCAGGACACTTGAGCCACTAAGCAGGGCAGGGATAGAGAGCAGCGCAGCAGCAAGCGCAACGAAGCCGATAGCGCGCATCGCCCATGGGAATCCAGAGGACTTCAGTAGCCTGTCGAACATCATGATGTAGACAACACCACCTGCTACACGTCAGCGACACCTCCCTCATTCCGCCCGTGTCGAACTTACCAACAGCGATGCCACTCATGACGATCCCCAACGCAATCGCCCGCTTCTTATCGAACCAGATCCCGACCAATGCCAGACTTGGAATATACAACAACCCCGCCCCAAGACCCATGCATATCCCCTGACTCAAGAACACCTGCCAGTACTGCGTGCTCAGGCTGAGCATCATGATACCAAAGACGACCAAGAAATTGCCTACAATGAGCATAACACGAAAGTACCCCAAGTCGAATAACGGGCCGGAAAGGACGCCGAAGAATATAAGCAGCCAGGCTTGTACGGTGCCGATCCAGGATATCGCAGATGGTGAGGCAGAAGAGAGAAGATCGGATTTATAGTAAGCTTGAAAGGCACCGTAACTGAGCGTGAATCCCCAGATGTTTATCTAGACTAAAATCAGACGAAGTCATCTGGAGAACACGCAGGACACATACATATATCAAAAAGCCACCGAACACCTTCAACCATGCATGGAGGCCTCCATCGGGTGGCGGAGGGATCACAGACTCGGTCGTCTTGGTCGAGCGTGCGTCAAACGGCTTCTCTGTTGTTTGCGCAAATTTAATGCCTTTCCCTTCGTCATGGTGGGGTGAGCCTTCAACGTCTACAACTTCCTCAGCTGAAGATGGCCGGGAGGTCCCTTGAGATTCGCCCAGGTCGCTTTTGGGCGGCTGCTTGTCCTTCGAGTGCACTGACGACGGCATTTAGATTTGCGAACAAGACGATTGTATCTGTGCAATCGCGATTCGAGCGCCGTGACAGTTGTCTTCTTAGAAGTTGATCAGCTATTCCGGTTCCAGCTCCGAACCCCAGCTGGCTCCAGATCCAAACTGCCGCGGAGCAATGGCGAGAAGTTTGCGACCGCGTCACAGGGACAACAACGAGCGAACGTGTCAAAAGAGGTGTTAAAGGAAAGTTGGGTCAAGCACGCGAGACGTGCCAAATATTGGCAAGGACCCTAGCTGGTCGGTTTCCCCACAAATCTGGGGATGCACATCATGACGATTTCTAAGCATTATTGCCGTTAATGCGGGGACAAGTTGCGGGCCGAGGTCAGGATTAAGGAGTTGTGCGCTAGCTTTCCAGCCTCAGCTGCGGCAAGTGGGCGCTTTGATGTTAATTAGCGAGAGCGGTACTCACAAGAGCATGGTGAGGAGACAAGCTTATTCATGGAGACTTTCAATCTTCCAGATGGTTATCGAGTCTTGTAGCTGTGGTCAGCTTGGCAGAGTTATTGATTGTCATCTACATAACCAACATTGATGCAGGTGCGTGCGTTGCACCTTGTTGATGAATAGGATCCACTCTGAATCGGGCAAGTAAATGCCTTCCAAGATGTGGCATATACTGGGTTGATGCTTTGAATAGCAACAAGGGCGGGTATTTGATGGATACCCGACGCTCCTATGAGTAGCGCAGGTACACTTCAGGCTGAGATGCTTGTCTCAAAACCATGATACACACTCGAGAGTCTCTTCGGTACGAATGCGGCTTTGCTTGCCTCAGCTAAGTGCAGGAAACGCACATGACGAATTCTAACTCCAGCATGCATAGTGGCGCGGACTTGTAATTCTGGAGACTGAATAGATTCCGAGTACGTGCTCCAATGTCCGCGAAGAGGAAAGGCTTGGTGGTGAGCAGAGGGGAGACCAGCGAGGATTCACCACGACCGTGCGTGTAAAGGCTTGGACTTAATAGATTTATTGGTAGAGTTTCGAAGGAGCGGTGACGGCCAATAAAATCGAATGACGCCTGAAGCAATGTGTTACAAAATTCTCGACGGTCCTGCCTTTGCTGTTGCGCCGAGCCGGATCAGATATCGTTCGGTCTCGGGCATGCTGCTTGCTGACACCCCGAGTAGGGTGGCAGCAGAAAAGTCTTGACAGGTTTAAGCCGCAGGCTTCGCAAATCTGGCCTTTCTTGCCTCTGCCGCCTTCCTGTCTGATTCGCTGTAGCTTGCATTGGCTGGAGCACGCTCTCGGCGAGGACTTCTGCTGTCGCGGCGGCTGCGCTCGTTCCTGTTGTCGCGTCTGCCACCACCGCCTCGGCCACCGCGACCGGGCCTGCCTCCATCGCGGCGTTTATTCGCACCTGCGTCATCTTTATCTTCCCGTCCGCGCTTCCTCTCGCGCTCAGGAAGAGCCTCGTCGAGACCTTGCACCTGGCCCTTCTCACCGAACTTCTTCATGCGCTCCAATTTCTTGAGCCCTTCGTCGTCTTCAATCTTGGTGCCGAACTTCAGAGCACGCTTCTTGCGGCGCTCGATTTCCTCGTCGATGCTGGTGGCTGCGAGGCCTTGCGCGTAGCTAGGAGCGGGCTCCTTGTTCTCTTCGGCCGTAGTATCGGGGCCCTCTGTCGGTGGCTGAACGGACAGATCATCGGTCTTCGCGGGATCGATGTCGGCTACCTGATTGGGGACAGCTTGCGGGTTCAGCGGCTGCCCTTCTCCGCCAGCCTTATCTACTGTCTCCTTGTTTGTTGTGACTTCCTCAGCTGCGGCGGGCGCGGTCTTCGCAGGCTCGTCGTCATCCCAGTCGATCTCGTCTTCCGTGTTGACCGCGGGCTTGGGGTCAGCGGGAGTGGCGCCGGAGCTGTTCTTCTCGTCGTCTTTGGTGAGACGGTCGACCATGTCTGCCTTCTTGCCGGCGTGCGGGAGACCACGCTCCTTAAGGAGTGCCTCCAGCTCGGCGTTCTTCATCTTTGCGTATTCTGGCATCTTGGGCGCGTTTCTTCGATGATAATGCGCGATAACAGTACTGTGCGACGCGACTCCTTTGACGCGCAATCGCTAATACGTAGACGCGAGACTCAGTGGGTGGGAGGGTTCGAAGTGAGTCGGTGGAAACGTGGAACGAAAGAAGAAGAAATATGAGCCCAGAAAGTGGTGGTTGCGGAACAAAGGATAAGAAAAGCGCGACTGCGACAATGGATTTTGTTGAAAGGGTAAGCCTGGAGGTGAGGTAAGAGCTACCGACGCAGCTCCAGCAAACGTTGTCCATGAACGGCTAGCGCATGCCAAGCACCTCGCAGAGCTCTTCCCACGGGAATTTGCATCAAACTCAACATCAGACCTTGCGTCTTGAAGTATTACCACACTGCGGACGATCCCTCGTTTCATTTCAGCTGATTTGCTTGTGCATCTGGAAGCCCGGCACGGCGTTTGTCACTGTAAGACTAAGTTGATCTTATTCACAACCCTGACGATCCACGAAAGACTCTTCGTGAACGCGATAAAGAAGAAAGCTATCACTTCTGGCTATCAAGACTCTCACCATTACGATTTGAGGCGAGCCGGGAGTCTTCATGAAGACTGGGATGGTGAGGTGGAGTTCAAGAAATGAACTGAGAGAAAGAGTAGAGTGAACATTACTGGACTCTGTGAGCCGCAGGCTTCATCCTCACAGGTCGCAGTGTCGAATCAGGAAAAGCAAGACTGTGGGCTATAATTGTGGAGGGTAGTGCTGCACAACAGTTACAACAGCCCGCTCCGATGATCCAGCAACACATGAGCTCACTTGAGTTTCTTTACACAACACGTAGGCAGCAATACCGTTACCAGTCTAAAAGGGAAGCGCGTACGGGCTTGTCTCGCCATGTAGAATTCGTGGTGCTGGTCTGACAGAATTGCACACGGCATCGATGTGTTATACTACGCCCACACATACCATTCTCGTTTCCAACAATATATGTCGTACATGCTCCACATCTCTCACAGTCAATTTCTAGACTATAAGACCTAGGTCTCTCAAGCTATTCTCACGCTTGTTCGTGCTGAGTAGATAACGCATCGCTTTCGATGCCGGTCGTTTATGCCAACAACTGAAGAAGCACTCGGATCGTGACCGATAGGTGTATGTCACCATGGTATCCCACAACCATTTTCTTGCAGCAAATGCTCCGTTCTCTAGTCTGAGGCTAGCACGAGTAGCACCGGTCGAAATGTCGCCATCGAAGAATATCTAGCATATCAGCGGCTCGCAGTTCAATCAAATGTCGAGCTTCACGTTACAGCGTCCACAAAGTTTAATCACAGCTTACGAACCGGCGGAAGGCTAGCGTTCGACACAAACTGCCCAAGGGCTGGGTGTGCGGCCAGATCCACTGTGGACTCAGAGGTTCCTCGCTGCCGAACAATTGATTCGTAGGCACTTTTCACGCGCCGTGCCGTCCTCCCACACGGTACCAAACGGCGAGACCCAAACTTCGAGTTCTCACGCTAGGACTGCCCTTCTCATGATCATGAGATGAAGGTATGGTGTGTTTATCTGCTCTTCACAGCCTCGCGGTTAGTGCAGAGTTTCTGCTTGGCTGCAAGCGAACGCAGTTGTACTGCGTACGGTGAAGGTACCCCGCTGTCTAAGTTGCGATGTGCAACACCAGGTTGCGGCAGATCACAGAGACAGACTTCGCAGCTTGCACCATAGTAATAGCGGTTACCTGTGCAGCCATATCACGCACTCGTTGCTTTGAGGTGGTGCACGCACGAGCGCGCACACACCCGTGGACCCGAGTCAATACATCACAATCCTGTGCATGCACCTCACGACGCCTACATACACTTCCCCTGTTCTTGTTGCAGCATGTAGGGAAGATTTGGTAAAATAGCGATGTCTACCTGCATGGTGGTGGAGAAGGAGTCTCGAGTGTCATGCAAGCCTTTCGTCCCCGTATCTGATTCTGGCCAGTGATCGTAATACAGTTCGATGCTGCATGCTCATTGGCAGGTTATGTGATTCAGACTGCCTTGGTGAGGCAAGGTACGGTCACATGACAGAAATGGTATGCGGGAGGTAGTGGAATCGGCACACAGGTGAGGACGAATGATCGTGCAAAGACTGGGGCAGAGAGAACTCGGCGGCGTGTGCGCAACCTGGATGGTGGGACGCGCTCGTTAGAATCGCCATCCCCACCCTGATGAACTACTGAAACTGTTGAGGCAAAGCAGACGGACCGTCTCTTTTTCAGACCTTTGCGAAAGCAAGCGTTCGAGCAAGTTTATTCATAGGCTTGTGACGCCTTCGATGTGCTGTCAAGTGGCGAGGCGTGGATCAGTGCACAGCCTCAATCTGCTGCAGCTAGCAGGTTTACATCTGCACCTAGCCACACTTCAGCTGGCACGGACGGTCGCTCCGGCTTGACATACAGCGTACATGGCGACTACATTCTCTCCTGCAGCTCGTGGTATTGCTGCGTTGCAAGGGCTACGAGAATAGCAGCCGGCGTTATGAAAAGGCGTCATTCTCGCTCCATGGGCTCCATACAAGGCCTATGACTCTTCCGTAAGAGGCCAAGCCGCTCCTCACGCTACGCGACCTGATTGACCCGTTAGACTTGTCATGCCGTAAGGACTCTTCGAAGACCTCGACGGTGCAGGGCTATCAACGGATCTGGGCTATTGACCGCTCGAGTGGGCTGCACCGATCCGTTTGTGGTGCATCGTGCTCCTGCTGTAAGAAGCGTTGAGGCAGGCGATCTGATCGTCGTATATCGTCCAACAGGTCAAGAGTACATTGCAAGTTGAAAGGGTGATGGATGTTGTTTGGTCAGGAAACGAGGTTTGCGCTGGTAGTAACCCACCTAAGTATCCTGCTCGCTAGGTTTCCCTTCTCAGCTCTTGACTGAAAACGCCCCCCGGGTGAGGCATCTTCAACAATGAGCTCATAAAACGGAAGGCTTCGACTGGGCTGTTGTTGGCTTTGCAACGGCATTGATGGTGGAAGTAGACGAAGACTAGGGGCAGCCGAGAGCCAATTGGGCTCTGCACTTACTGCCGCCGCGCAGGGACTCACTGCGAATCGTCGCCCTCCATCAGGCTCCGAACGGTCGACTGGCTGCGCGTTGCCCTGAAGCCTCCACCCGCTTCTCCAAGCGCAAGCGCCCGTAACTGAACCAAGAATGCTTTCCGTGCCGGGGTCAGCACAAGTGCACAGAGCCATGGGCAGCCATGCCATCGTTGGGGGTGCCTTACGCGTGTGCTTGTCGCGAAAGGATACATATCGACGCCCTGCTCACCCCGCAGAGTCTTCGAAAAGGCTGAGACCCAACGAATCCTGAAAAACAAGCTTACGATCTACTGACTCCCTCTCCGTACAAACGAGAGATCCCTTTGATAAGCCAGACTGGCCTTGAATGTTGAAGAGGGCCGACTCGTGAGCCAGCCCCACTGCGGCGACAGTGAATTGAATCCCCACACTCGGACGGCAGACCCTGAGGACAAGACGGGACGCGTGAGCCCGTGCAAGGATACGGATATATTAGCAGTCGCCAATTCCGCCGCTGCTCGAACGCTTCGCTGTCGACTTTCGCTTGAAACCCACGATACCCTTGCACAGCCCCGTCTTGATCGGGCTTTGCCGAAAACAGCGCCACACCTTCGGTGGCGCCGAAGAGCGACAAGAATTCACCAAAACCAACTCGGACCAAACGACCGCTGCGTTGTACATTTCTGCTAGATGACTTATATCGTTTGTCACCCATTCCGACTATCCTGGACCATACCGATCTCGCCACTTCTGTCCCGGCAGAGGAGACTACCCGCCGTCACCCGCTCACCAACCGTCTGACAGCACAACTCGAGCTGAACACTGCTGACGGTCCCGAGTCTTCGACCGTCCCAGCAACTCGAAACATCCGACACCCCTGCGTCGTTGGACCCTTCTTTCAAGAGTTTCACAGCCTGACAAGTACGTGCCTTCATGAGGTACCCACAGTACACAAGGTTCCGCAATACACATAGTCGGGTTACACAAACCTACCCGACATGGCTTCCTATAAGTCACAGTACGGTCCTCCGAGGAGACCAGAAGACAATACGCCCACAACCCGGTTACCAAAGCGATCGATCACACCCACTACTACCTTATCTCAGCTACCCACAACCAGCAGCCAGGCCAAGCTGGAGAAGAGAAGGCCTTCGCGCGATGAGCCAGCGCAGTCAAAGAGAGTGTCGTCGAATCAGAGAGAGCCCACACGGAAAGTCAGCTCACACCAGGCATCTAGCACAGCCGGACCATCCACCATTCCAGCTCCAGGCTTCGCGTCGTACAAGACAAGGTCGACTAGCTCCTCATCTCGACTACCAAAGCTGGAAGTACCCGTAAACACTAGAACACCATCTCTTGTTTCTGGATCATCCGCTTCGACTATAGAGAGTCCTCGTTCGAATGTGCTTAGAAGGAAGCAGCCTAGTATAGGGGTTGCAAGCGGCCGATACGCCGTGCGCACACCAGACGATTCAATGTCCTCCCATGAAGGCGGCCAACATGCCGATGGCAATGCCGCAAAGTTCAAAGATCCCTTCGTCACCGATTCCGTTTTCGGTATTTCCCTTCCGCCATCCTCCAACATTCTGGCTCGCTCAGATCCGGAGCGTGAATCGCCGCAACATGGCTTATACGACAAGATCGGTCCCCTGGATATTTACCCCATTCCCACTCCACAGTATACCTCGTCAGCAACTCCTTCGACACGTTACGCGGAATCTCCGGGCGCATTCAGTATCTCATCCACCGCAACCTCCATGACTTCATATTCCCCTGCGACTGCTCTTCCGAAGTCATCTTACAGGGTCCGACAAGTGAGTCCACTAGAGACCCGTCCGCCGGTCAGCCGGCACCGAGCGCCTGAAGAGCCCAGCGTCCGTACGACGCACGGCTTGTCGACAGTCCGTGAGTCACCCACGTCTTCCTCATCAGCATCCACCGTCGTGGCTGAGACAGGCAAGGCGGAGATGGCTAAGAAGCAGCTGCCAACAGTACCACAAAGCCCACCAGTGCTGAGACCCACCCCAACAGTGCAGACAAAGACTCGTATACAGCCCGTTCCAGAGCTTGCTCACCTGGCTGACCCTTCCCCCGTGTCGCCGCCGAGTTCGAGACGACCATCGAGGCCAAGTCGAGATGGAACCCCTGAGATCCACGGGCTTCGCGACCCATCGCCAATAATACAAAGCAACATGGCCAACTTTCCGACCCACCACAGGCGCAAAAGCTCTACTGAATCGAAATTTGCCTCTCTGTCTGCCGCGAGGTCTCGTATGGCGGTCCCGGTCAAGCCGTCTTCACGCAACCCATCGCCAGTACCCACGTCGAGTATTCCGACAACACCCAGCGGACTAAGACGGGGAATGACACAGGATACCCAAAAGGAACGTGATACGCGGCGATCGAGTACGCTACCAGCCCCGGCCCCAGCCCCAAGTCCGAGCAGAAGATTCGGTATCTTCTCCCGACGCACTAAGACTGACCCTGCGCCGCATCCTAGCAAATCCGAAAGCAAGCTTGTCCGAAAGGGACCAGTAGCAGGTACTGGTCATGAGGGCTATGGGCGACATGCATCTCGGGGCAGGAGCAGCAGCTCGATTGGCGCAAGCATTGGGCGCTCAGCCAGTGCAGGCACAACATCTGAGAGTCTGGCACAAACTCCTTCGACCCGCAAGAGCAGCATGACTAGCACAACTAGCGGCGAGATGGACGACTTTTTCCTCAATAGACTGAATCCTGTGATTTTGCGAGGAGCCGGCAGCAGCTCAGAACTGACACGCAGTCCGGAGCCAATGAGCAGCAGTACAAGCCTCGATGTCTCACACCGTATGAGGCAACCTATGGGGAACACGACAAGCGTCACGGCTGAGCCCGCCAGTAACATGGATCGACCAAGGCTCTTACCCTCAGCGATGCCAAATACTACACGCAGTGGATCGCCAGCAAAGAAGTCGCTAAGCAGACCGTCCGAAAGCGACGATGATTCGAAGCGGTCATTCTTACCTACCCTAGAATCAAGACGCACCTCACGCACGGTGAAGCTTGCAGAGGTTCCTCTCAGCCGCACTAGAAGTCGCAGTATCTCTAAGATACACAAGGACCCTGCAAACGACGAAGGCGGTTGGCTTCGGTCTTCGAAGAAAAGCAAGATTGACAAAGAGAAGGAGCGACCCAAGCCGTCGAAGTGGAACTTCTTCTCCCGCGCGCACGCGGCACCTAGAGTTGAAACACCGGCCGTGCAGGAGGCCAAGACTACGAGTCCAGGTCCTGGCTCGCGATCTGTTGCGCACTACGCGTTTGTAGATGCGCAGTCCAGCCTCGACATGGAAGATATTGAGCAGCTGATGAAGGAAGCAGCAGGCAACACCGATACCGAAAGCGTGCTTTCCGACAACGACTCCATGCGTAAGGAGCGTATGCAGTCGATGCTTTTGCCACCTAAGCCAATGTTACCAGCGTTCGCCCCGCCTTCTCGTTCTGCTTCTCCCAAAGTTGTTCTACGGTCAGACGAATCGCCGCAGCGGTATGTCAAACTCATGGTTAGTACCGATGTGCAGCCTGTCCCTGAGTCCTCTCCAAGGCATTCGCAAGCTGGCACAATCTTCGATCTCTCGCAACCTCCATCACCTGCCACGCAACAACTTTCTGCGCGCAACGAGGCTGAACCTGGAAGTGTGCCGGCCGTTGTTGCCAGACCTAACTTCTCTCCTCCGCCACCAGCACCTACAAGTCCGCCTCCTCGCCCGAGTCGCTTGCCACAAGTTGGTCGCATCCCTCAAGTCGTTTCAAGTCGCGGGAAGCCACGCAAGCCTTCCTCTCGATCATTCTCGCGACCATTTGTCACAGACCAGCCCGAGCCGCGTCCAACAGCGCTCCCACGCACCTCGTTTGACTCTATCGGCTCAGTGGTGGCTACGGCTGGCCCCGTTGAATCTTTTCCGATTCTGCAAGGACTTGGTGCACTCTCGCACGGCTCAGCCATCGCGACCATCAGTCCGTTTTCTGACGAGTCCCGTCAGAGCGAGTTCTTCAAATTCCCACCGCGCAAGGACTCCGAGGTCTCTTACTCGAGCAGCTCAGGCGTTTGGAGCTTCGCCCCTGTGGCTGGTACTGCGGTCATTCCTCCTCCTGAAGCTCCACTATCAGACGACGAGCTGTGGAACGAGTATGATGATCTGCTCGACCAGGTCGTTTCCCCAGGCGGCACCATCAGGAAGGTGCCATCGCGGCGTGGGGACCCCTCACTCCAGCCGCCACCTCTCCACACGAAGACTTCGTGTGTATCGGTCCTGTCTGGAACCTCAGAGGCGGAAGCTTCGGTACCTTCTGTCCACATCCGCCGGTCTCGCTTACTTGCAGCTTTGTACGCTTCTCAGTCCCCTACCTCCTCCATGGCCCTGTCCGATGTCATCAATGACTACGGTGACTGTAAGCTTAGCGTTGTCGACTCCACCACTGGCCGGTTGAGTCTACCTCTCAGCCCTAGCTTGCCAAGCTTTTCAGCTCAGAGGCCCTCGACTCGGACCAGCTTGCCTACCTCGATGTCCGCTGGAGATAGACTGTCCAAGGCAACCATCACCTCGCGATCAGACAAAGACCGACACAGTACCACCGTGGCCCGCTACAGAGACACACGTCACATGGACTTTGCTGAAGCCCAAGCATTTGGCCATGCATCTATGGCTGACCTCCGCTTCGGTGCTTTGATGACAAGCAAATGGCTGTCGTTTGGCCGTGTGCTTTTCAGTCCCGTACACTTTCAGCTCAAGGATACCAATGTAGATCGTGTGCTTGTCATCGATGGCACAGGCAAAGATTGGTCTTTCTATTGCGCCCTGACGTACGAAAAGGCAGCTGTATACGACCTCGGTCCTGCGCCGTCAACTCCTCCTTCAACCAACAGGAAGTCTGCACTTCCAAATCACCGCCATATCCGTCATACCTCTCTCACCGATCCGCTACCCTACCCGCAGAACTTCTTCGCATGCGTCGTCCTCCGCTTTCCCTCTGCCCAGCCTTCGTCCACCCACGACTTCCTGTTGTCCGAGGCTAAGCGAGTGCTTCGTCCTGGCGGGTACCTGGAGTTCAGCGTGCTAGACTTGGACCTCGTCAACATGGGTAACTGCGCCCGGCGTGCTGTGCGTCAGTTGAAGATGGACATCCACGGTGTGGACGACGGCATCTCGCTCCGCAATATCAGCGATGAGATCATTGCAGGTCTCGGTCGCCGGCGCTTCGTCGAGTGCAAGTCCTGCGTCGTCGGCGTACCCGTTGCCGGCAACCTGCCCACACCCAACGACGTCAACCACCCCATGCGGAAGAACAGCACAGCCAGCTCGCGCAAACGCGCCGACAGCAACCTCAACCCCGCCACGCTGCCCAAGTTCGAGCCCTCGTTCTCCGACCTCCTCAATGCCTCCAACCCCTCCGAGTCGACGGATAAGGGCATTGCAGACAAGGTCGCACGCGTCGGTCGGTGGTGGTACTCGCGCTGCTACGAGAGCATCGTGCTGCCCGACGGCGACGGCCCGGACGCCGCGCTCTCGAGCGACCTGCTCAAGAACAGCATCTGGCGCGACGACAAGCTCATCCGCGAGTGCGAGCAGCTGGGCACCACATTCCGCATGCTCATCGGGTACGCGCAGAAGCCCGAGGTCAGCCTGCGGCGCCACGTCAGCGTGTGATTTCCTACTATTTTCTTCACCACTCGTCCTGGCGACGTACTTTTGACGACAAAGACGGATTTATAATGGGCTTTTTGTTTTCACGGAGTTTGAATGCGTTCAAGCGTTTTTTTTTTCTTTTTTTTTTTTGCGCTCTGGTTCTGGCTTTGGCTTTTTTGCGCCCTGGTTCTGGCTTTGGCTTTGTTATACCCTCGTTCGTTGCATCGATTGCATGGCATTCATCTATTGTACAGCATCACCCGGGTCATTGTACAGCACGACCCCACCGTCACGACAAGCTTATGTAATCTTCCTTTCCAGCGCCGAGCGCTTGTCATGCCGGCCATGCATGCAGCCGAGGCTGGGTCTACGCGCGCCCGAGATACCCTGATGAAGACGACAGCATACTATACTATACGTTTATGTAGATGTGGGAATGATATGATGCATGGTTTTACGATAATGCATGGTTTTACGATGAGCGGGATGCTGTGCAAGCGTGAACTTTGTTGTATTGCTGTACATGAACTTTGTTGTATTGCTGTACATGAACTTTGTTGTATTGCTGTACATGACCTTTGTTGTATTGCTGTACATGAACTTTGTTGTATTGCTGTGCGTGAACTTTGTTGTATTGCTGTACATGAGATGAGACCCACAGGTGGCGACGGCATACTCGCAGCGCTCTGCTTCTCCACGCGCGCGGCTCACGCGACGTACTTTCTCAACTGCAGCGTCGTTAGCAGCAGATCACACACACAGGTGGGGGGGGGGGGGGGGGAGCTTACATCCAGCGACAAGTACTTGCTAGTCATCTTGGCCTGGTCGCGCATGACGCCAACGAGGGTCTCGCTCTCGTGGAAGAAGCCGGCCTTGAGCGAGATGACAATGAACTGCATACCCGGCCCAGCATGATCCCTCACATAGTTGGCGACCCTCGCCACATTAACATTATCCAGCGCAGCATCCACCTCATCGAGCACGAAAAACGGCGACGGCTGATACGAGTGGATGGCAAACAGCAGCGCGAGCGCGGCAATCGTCTTCTCGCCGCCGCTGAGGTGCTCCATATCCCTAAACCGCTTGAGCGGGGGCATGGCGTGGTACTTGAGTCCCGCGGCGTAGGGCGCGCTGCTGTCCTCCATGTCGAGGTAGGCTTGTCCGCCGAGCGGGAACTGGGGAGACCGCGTGAGTTCCTTGTAGGTGCCGCCAATGGTGTCGGAGATGTGCGTAAACGCCTTCATGAACAGGTCGTGGCGGCGCTGTTTGACGTCTTCAAAGGCTTTCTTCGCCGCGAGCGCGCGCTTGCGCGTCGCTGCAAACTCGGTGTCGATGGCGGCGAGGCGGGCTTCGGTCGAGGCGAGGCGGTCGCCGGCGCGCATGTTGGGCGTCGCCTTGGAAATGTCCGTCTCGAGGCGGGTGATGGTGTCGGTGAGGCGGGATTCGGTGGCGCGCAGCGCCGCCAGGAGCGCGGATTGGGCGGCGCCGCCGTCGTCGGCCGGCTCGTCGTGCTCGAGCAGCTCGAGCAGCTCGGTCCTGAGCTCGTCGTCGAGCTCGTCAAAGTCGACGGCGATGCCGTAGTCGTCAATCTCGGGCTGGTGGATCTGCGTGCCGTCCGGGTCGTCGTCCACGTCCATGGTGTCTGCGCCTGGGCGGGCGAGGTCCGTCATGGGGAGCGAGGTGAGCGGGCTCGAGTGCGAGGCGAGGGGGATCTTGATCTCGTTCACTCTGCACTCCTTGAGCGTGTTGTAGCGGTTCGTCGCGCTGGCTTTGATCTTGGCCTCTTCGCTGTCGACGGCGCGGAGCACGTGCTTGACCTTTTCGTTGCGGTGGTCGAGAGTGCGGCGGGCCTCCCGGACTGCGAGGGCGCGCTCTGTCAGCTTCGCCTCGAGAGACTCGCGCTTCTCCTGGAGCTCCTCCAGCTCGGCTTGCAGCACGTCCATGGAGCTCTGCAGCTCTTGTTGCTTGTCCTGCTGCTCGGCGAGCTGCTCGTCGATGCGCCTGATCTTCTCCTCGGCGGCCGAGAGACGGTCCTCGAGACCGCGGAGCGAGGCCTCGAGCTGCTTCAGGAGGAAGGAGAGCTTGCTGCGCTGACGGGTAAAGTCCAGGCGCTGCTCGGCAGCCTCCTGCTGGACGGTGCCCTGCTGGTCTTCGTAGTCTCGTATCGACGCGTAGCCGAGTCTCTGGCAAAAGGCAGCAAAGATGCCGTCGGTGACTTGGTTGACAGAGTCCTGGAAGCCCTTCAGCTCGTCCTCGCTGTTTCGCAGCCGCTGCGTCTGCTGATCAAAGTTGGGCCGCACACCCCTGAGCTCGCTCTCGTGGTGGGCGAGCTCCTTCCTCAGACTGTCAATGTTGCGAGCAAGAGCGTTGGCCTCGTCCTGTGCGCGTCCGACTTGGTCGGTCAGGTCGAGCAGCTCGGCCTCAATGGTCTGCTCTTGTTGCCGTGAGCTCTCGAGCTTGGGCAGATTGGCAAGCTCCTTCTGCAGTGAGTCGACGCGGTCGCGAAGCGTCTGGTAGGACTTGTCGTCCCACGACTGTTCGCCCCCGTCGTCGTCGCGGTCAAGCTCACCACCCGTCTGGGTGCCGCCCTTGCTGATGACGCGGCCGTCGAGGGTAACGGCCTTTGCTTGCACGCGGCGCTCGTATCTCAGCTCCTTGGCGATCTTCTCGGTGTCGCAGACCATGGTGCTGCCGCACGCTGCCGTCATTGCGCGCTCGTGCTTTGGCTCGTAGTTGATGCAGTCAATGGCCAAGCGCATGCCCTTGTGGGTGCCCTTCAGCTGCGGGTCGACGGCCTTGATCTGGATCGAGTCGAGCGGGTCAAAGGACATGATGCCGATGCGCTCCTGCTTCAGGTATGCGATGCACTCCTTTGCCGTGGCCTCGGTGTCGACAATGACCGTCTCCATCTGCGGACCAAAGACTCGGCCCAAAGCCTTGCGGAACTTGGCCTGCTTTGCGGAGAAGAGATCTCGGTACCGGCCATGGACCTTTTCGGCGCCCAGCCGCACGCGCAGTCGGTCAATGGCCTTGCGGGCCTCCTGCTGTTTGCGCGACTCGCGCCTGCTGCCTTCGACGATGCTGAGCTGTGTGGCCGACTCCTGCAGCATCTGGTTCTTCTCTTGGTAGGCCAGCTCCAGCTGTCGGCGGTCGGAGCGCAGCCTGTCGAGCTCCTTCTGCTTTGCACTCCTGGCAGCCTCGAGCTCCTTGATCTGCGACTTGTGCGCCTTCTGGTCATCCTGGAGACGGGTGAGGTGGGCGGCCAGTCGCTCGACGGCTTTTTCGTGGGTGCCGACGCTCTGCTGTAGGTTCCTGACGTGGTCGCGGTCCGTGTCGACTTCGCGCTTCAGGCGGTCAATCTGCATCTGGTCGGCGTGGGTGCGCTTGACGACGTCGCCGCGCAGCCGGTTGTACTCTTCGAGATCTTGCCGGGACAGCTCGCGGCCCTGTGTTTGAGAGGCAGCTCTGAAGTCGTCTTCCCACTTCTTCTCCGCCCTCTGCACGAGATGGAGATCCTTGTTGACCTTTTGCACGTGCTGGGCTTCCGCGTCGCGCTTCTTCGCGAGGCCGGCGAGCACGGCTTCGTTCTTCTGGCGCTGGTTGTCGAGGAGGCGGATCGTCTCCTGGACGGGGGCGAGCTCGTTTGCCGTGTCTTCCATCTGCTTCTCCTTGTCCTTGATGGTGCGGTCCGTCTTGGCCAGGTCGCGCCTGACCTTGGCCTCGGCCTGCCTCTCGTGCTCGTGCCTGGTGTGGTACTTGTCGACGCTGCGCTTGTGCTCCTTTAGCTCTTCCTGGTGCGACGCGATCCGGTGGCGCGACTTGTCCATGGTCTGCTGGTACAGGTACAGCTTCCACAGCGTCTTGGTGACGACGACTTGGTCGCGCTCGGCGAGCTTGCGCTCGTACTCGTCGGCCTCGGCCTTTTGCTCCTGGTACGTCTTGAGCTCGCCGTTAATGGCGCGGCGCTCGTGCAGGAACTTTGCATTGTCCTCGGTCGCAGCCTCCGCCTCCGCCTTGAGCCTGTCGTAGTCGGGCTTGTGCTCGAGCGAGCCCGAGATGCGCTCGACCTGCTCGGTGAGCTTGTCGGGGGCCATGGTCGCAATCTTCTCGACGTCGCCCTGGAAGACCAAGAAGTTCCTGGCCTTGACCAGGATGCTGTGCTCCTCCAGCGCCGCGTTGTACTCGTTGGCGCTGACGTGGCGCCGGTTGATGCGGTACTCGCTGGCGCCGGAGGCCGTGATGGAGCGCTGCCACTCGTGCTCCTGGTCGGCATCGTCTTCGTAGACGGCCTTGACCCAGGCCGTCTGGGGGTTGTCCGTCTGGTGGTTGTCCGTCTGATGGTTGTCGGTCCGGGCGTTGTCCGCCTGGGTGTCGGCGTTCGAGTCGGCGTTGGAGTCGGCGTTGGAGTCGGCGTTGGAGTCGGCGGTGGCTGTGGCGGTGCCGTCGGCGTTGATGGTGGCGTCGCGGATGAGGCGGCCGCGGTAGACCAGGTCCTGCAGCTTGTCGGAGCGCAGCTGGGACGAGCGCACGCCCAGCACAAAGGAGATGGCGTCCATGCTGTTGGACTTGCCGGAGCCATTGGGGCCGATGATCGAGGTGAAGTACGAGTCGGCGAACAGCAGCGTGTGGCGTCCACGGTAGGACTTGAAGTCTGCGCGGGTCAGCGAGTGTGCATGCAAGCCGTGGCGCGCGGGGGCCTCGTACTGTAGACCTCGAGGCGCACGAGCTTCCCCATGATGGCGGCCGGATTGCGCGAGAGCTGGGCAGCCGGGCGCTGGGTGAATTGCGGTGGCAGCCGGGCGCTGGGTGGATTGTGGTGGCAGCTGTCGCGGGGCGGTCCAGCGCGTCGTCGGAGCTCGAGTGCGCGTCGGAGCTCGAGTGCGCGTCGGAGCTCGAGTGCGCGTCGGAGCTCGAGTGCGCGTCGGAGCTCGAGTGCGCGTCGTCGGAGCTCGAGTTCGCGTCTGTGTACTTGGTACGCGTCTCGCAGCGCGCAGGCGGCCCGCCGTAGCTAGCGCACAGCAGATGCACGACCCGAGCGCAGCAGGGCTCCACAGTGACATAACAGGGCCTGCCTGGCGTCTGTGAGCTGGCCGTCAACTCCCACCTTGTTGTCTGGCAGCCGTGGACGCGTCTTTGCTGCGACTGTCCACCGCTCTCCCGCCTCTCGGACGCTCTGCCGCCGTCTCTCGGACTTGCTGCCGCTGTCTCTCGGACGCTCTGCCACCTCGACCCAGCCTGTCTCCGTGATCCCCACGCACACCGCCGCATCGCCGCACCGCCGCACCGCCGCTGCTACAGTATATCGCTTGCCAATCACCAGCTCGCATCCTCGCACGATCCCACTCCTCGACCGCTCACACACACTCTCTCTCCCCCCCTCTCTCTGCGCAACAACCACGTCCCGACCTGCCCCGCCCCGCACCGCACCGCACCGCCGTGTCATGCGAACAGGCGCGTCGTCTTCGTCGCGATAGAGTCTGACCATCTACCGTACGCGCTCTCCCCGTGAAACCGTCGCGGCTCCCTGCCGCCATGGGCTTCGGCCGCAGACAACCACTGACACACTGGCTGCAGCCTCTCCTCCGCGCCCCTCGCACCGTCTGTCGCATCGCCTCTCGCGCCGCCTCTCGCGCCGCCTCTCGCACCGCCGCGCCGCCTCTCGCACCGCCGCGCCGCCCCTCGCACCGCCGCGCTGCGCCGCCTCTCGCCCCGACATCGTCCCCTCGCACCTGCCCGCCATGGCCTCCCACGACCCCCGGCCCAGCTCGGAGCCGCCAGCACCCACGTCGACGCCCGGCCTGTCGCGCTCCAACTCGGTCTCCAACAGCTCATACCACGATGACTCGGAAGACGACACGGCCTTCTTCCCGCCCGTCGAGCGCCTGACCGTGTTCGACTTCATCGAGAACATGGCCCTCACCGAGCGGTTCGACAAGCTGCAGGCCTCCATCTCCTCCCAGACCGCTAGGCTCAAGAGCCAGGCCAAGGGCCGCGGCATCACCCGAGACCGCGTCGTCGACGAGTGGCGCAGGCGCGTGCCCACCGAGGGCGAGCAGCTCGAGCGCTACAAGAGGCGCGTGCGCAAGTCGGTCGACCGTCTCAACGCTCGCTTCAACGACTCTCTGACCGTGACCGCACGCGAAAAGGCCTCCTTCATCGCCGCCGTCCTGAACATCTTCGTCTCGGGCTACCTCGTTGGCCTGCATCCCGACTACTTTCCCCACTGGTACACGGCCCAGCTCCTCTGGTTCATGCCCATCCGCTACCACACCTACCACAAGAAGGGCTACCACTACTTCCTGGCCGACCTGTGCTACTTTGTCAACATCCTCGCCGTCCTCAGCATCTGGGTCTTCCCCCAGTCGAAGCGCCTGTTCATCTCCACGTACTGCCTGATCATGGGCAACAACGCCATCGCCATCATCATGTGGCGCAACTCGCTCGTCTTCCACTCCATGGACAAGGTCGTCAGGTGCGTCCCTCCACCCTGCCTGCGAACATGGCAGCCGATACTGACCGCCACAGTCTCTTCATCCACATCATGCCCTGCGTCACGCTCCACTGCATCGTGCACCTCCTCGCGCCCGACTTGCAGAAGGAGCACTACCCAGCCATCTACGCCATCCGCCACTCGGTCCCCTCGGACCCGCACCACTACACCCTCCCGCAGATGATGCTCTGGGCCACCATCCCCTACGCCGTCTGGCAGCTGACCTACCACTTTCTCATCACCGTGCGCCGCCGCGACAAGATTGCCGCCGGCCGCCCCACCAGCTTCACCTGGCTGCGCAAGTCGTACGCAAAGACGTGGATCGGCAAGTTTGTCCTCTCGCTCCCGGCCTTTCTGCAGGAGCCTGCCTTTATGGCCATCCAGTACTCGTACGCCGTCCTCACCATGCTGCCCGCCCCGCTGTGGTTCTGGTACCGCTGGGCCAGCGGCGGCTTCCTGACCGTCGTCTTCATCTGGAGCGTCTACAACGGCGCCACCTTTTACATTGACGTCTTTGGCAACCAGTTCAAGAAGGAGCTCGACGCCCTCAAGGCTGACATTGCAAAGTGGCAGGCGAGCCCCGACGCTGGCCTCACGCCCTACACGTCCTTTGAGGCCGGTGCTGAGAAGCAGCTGGGCTACATTCCTCTCGACGGCAGCACCGCCGTGAAGCCTGCTGCCGAGGCTGAGAAGCAGCTGGGCTGCATTGCTCCGCTGGAGGGCAGCACCGCCGTGAAGCCTGCCGACGGCGCCGCCGAGAAGCGCAAGTAGAATTGTACGCATTGTACGGCATTTGTTTATCCATTTTATCCATTTTATTCCATTCGCAGTACCGCGCTTCTCTCGCTTCCCTCGCTTCCTCGCTTCCCTCGCTTCCTACATGTACCCTTTCCTCGCCATCCACCATGTCATGGTTTGCGAATCATCTCACAGCAGGCGTTCTCATCTTCTCCACCGTCTCTTCCCTCGGGCGCCAATCTAACTACTCGCCGTCCCCCCTCAGACACCAGTCTAACTGCTCGCCGTCCCCCCTCAGACACCAGTCTAACTGCTCGCCGTCCCCCCTCAGACACCAGTCTAACTACTCGCAGTCCCCCCCTCAAAACACCAATCTAACTACTCGCCGTCCCCCCCCCCCTCAGACCAATCTCATCCCAGCCTCTTCTCCCGGATGCCCCACGCACAGACTGCACTGCCCGTGACAAGCACCACGCTCACGCCCAGCGCCGCCCTGGTCGCCTGTCCATAGCACTCGCGCACCACACCCTGCAGATGCGGCTCCAGCCCCCGATAGTACGCGAGCCCAGCGCGCACCCGCTCCGCCACCTCATCCGCATCACTGTGCCCGCTGAGCGCTGCCCGCAGCCCAGACCGCAGCGTCTGGTTGAAGGCTGTCGCGCACATGGACACGCCGAACACGGACCCCAGCGACCGGAACAGGTAGCTGCATGCCGTTGCGACGGCCTGGTCGGCGTGCTCTGCGTTGGCAACTGCGGTTTGTTAGCTGCGTGGCATACAGAAAGGGCGAGGGGGAGGGGACGGACTGAGCCCGATCAGTGTGGTCGTCACGCCGATGCCGTTGGAGAAGCCGCAGATGCATGTCCCCACGACCATGAGGGGGAGGTTGCGCACCAGCGTGCCGGCGAAGAGCAGGATGAGCGAGAGGCCGATGGTCAGGTTCGAGTAGGCGACGACGGTGATCCAGTAGTACTTTGCCGTGCGCTTCATGTAAACACCGCCGACCAGCGACCCGCTGACGCCTGAGACGATGGAGGGCATGAGCAGCAGCCCGGCTTGCGACGCGCCGTACCCGTACGTGACCTGCCAGTACAGCGGGATGAAGAAGATGGCCGCCAGCCAGCCGCTGAACGAGAAGAAGTTGCACAGGTAGCACGCGACCAGCGACCGGTCCAGGATGATGTGGCCAGGCGCAAAAGGGTGCTTGGCCACGTACTTCTCAACCAGCACAAAGACGGCGAACAGCGGCGTGCTGCACAGCCCCGCGATAGCCAGCGGCTTGCTCCAGCCCTCGTTGGACCCGCGGTCGAGGCCCACGAGCAGCCCGAAGATGGCCAGGATCAGGACCAGCGCGCCCAGGAAGTCGATGCGCGCCAGCTTCTGCTTCCAGTGCGCCGCCTCCTGCTTCGGCAGCTGCAGCGCCACGCCCACGGCGACCACCGCCACCAGACACAGCGGTCCCTGTGCCATGAACGACCACCTCCATCCAATCGTTTCCGCCAGCAGGCCGCCCAGCGGCGCGCCTGCTGCCGCTCCACTCGCGTACACCAGGTTGATGTAGCCCTGCCACGTCCCCCTATCCCTCAAGCTCACAACATCAGACAGCAAGATACTGACACACACGGTCATGCCACCGCCCCCAATCCCCGCGAATGCCCTGGCAGCGATCAACTCGCCAATGGTGCGCGCGAACCCGCACGCCACGCACCCGATGCCAAAGACCACGTACCCGAACAGCAGGCACTCCTTGCGCCCAAACACGTCGCTCAGCCTGCCGTACAGCGGCTGGCACGCGGTGAGCGTGAGAAAGTACGCCGTCGCTATCCAGCTCGTCGCCGACAGAGCGCCGAGATCCGTTCCGATGATGCCGTACGTCGAGACGATCAGCGTCTGGTCCGCTGCTGAGAGGAATACCTGTGTGCGTCAGACGCTGCCTCGACTTGTCTTGGACGAGACGCGCGCTTGGGGCGGCTGAGTGGCTAGGGATGGCTTACGCCGATGGCAATGGCGGGAAATATCCACTTCAGTCGCGCCCGCACCATGGGTAGGCCTTGCGCCTTGCTTAGCTCCCCGTTGCGCGCATGTTGCTCAATGTCTCCCGGGTCACTGTTGGGTTCGATCGAGGGCAACGAGGCGTCCTCGGGTCCGCCGGGTGCGCTTCCGTCTCCAGCGTCGACTGCCGCGCCCTGGGGCGCTCCGAGGAGAGGCGAGGTCTCTGTTGGCTCGGGGCGAGGAGTGTCTGGCGCCATGGCAGGTCGCGTCTTGTGGGCTTGTTTTGTGAAGCTTGTCTTGCGAAGCTTGTCTTGTGAAGCTTGTCTTGTGAAGCTTGTCTTGCGAAGCTTGTCTTGCGAAGCTTGTCTTGTAGACGCTCACAGAAAATAAAGCCTAAATGTCCTTCTCCACAGTTAGATATCTCACCCGAAAAGGCTCCACAGTACCGGCGTATTCGCTCTCCAATCAACTTTGTTAGGCAGGTGCTCTCAGAACCACGGTGCATCAACCGCCCATACGTCGTCCCGGAGATGTTCGATGGCCTCGCACACTTCTCAACGTTCCCCGTCTTGAAAACTGCTCGACCACGGACCGACAGCGATTGATGAAATTAGATAAAAGCCCCCGGGAATGTCATATCTGCTCAAGCACCCGAGGTGAGGCGTGATTGCAAGGGTTCTCAGGGCCGGGATTTCGTCATTCGCTACCTACCGCTTATCTCCTATCTCCGGACCCACGCTGAACCGCGACGAACCCACGCTGAGCCGCGACAAACTCCCCGCTCAACGTGTCGAGAAACGGTCGCGCGAGAGAGTAATGCAGCGTGGCGTGCTCGGCGCGATGTGTCGACTAGTCTAGATGGAACGGGCAGGGACGCAGATGTTCCTTGGGTCGAAGGCGGGTGGCTGCATGCATGCTACAACTGTGAGTGAGCATCGAGTCTCGTGCTCAAGTCAGCTCGTGTCTTGAATGCTCGACGGAACCAAGAGTAGTGAACGAGTAGGTACGCGAAGATTCGACCCGCTTCCGTCGCTACATTCGAACGCACCATGAATACACGCGTGACATATAGTACAAACAAAAGCACAGCTCACGCGGCCCTGGCCACAGCCACCACCGGGTGCCGTCTCTGATACTGCTCCTCCTCCTCCTCATCGTCTCCGGCCTCATAGTACAGCTCGTCGTCGTCCATGTCGGCGTACCCAAACACGCTGCGGTATAAGCGCTCGCCCAACCCCTTCTTCTGCGCCATGGCCAGCACCATGACAATCGGCAGGTGCCACACGCTCGCCCAAAACAGGCCGCGCGCGCTGCCCCTGTGCCCGTCGAACTTCCAGAACTCCCACGCCTTGTACGCCATCCAGCCGTTCACCACCGAGCTCGTCGCGATGTACGACATGTCCGTGATGCCCGCCAGACTCAGTCCGATGCACACGGGGAACATGAGCAGCGCGTAGCGCAGCGCGACGCGGCCGTTCTGCCGCGGGTTGACCCACGCCAGCATCCTGTAGCCGGCGTTCTTGTACTCGTCGCGGATCGACCACGAGAGCGAGTTGAAGTGCGGAAACTGCCACGCGAACAGCAGCGCTGCGGCCAGCCAGCCGCCCACGCTGCCCTCGCCGAAGAGCAGCTCCTCCCACGTCCCGTCGTGCGCGTACTGCGACGCAGCGGCCGTCCAGCCCATCAGCGGTGGCAAGCCGCCGACGACGGCGCCGACCCACGTGTTCAGCACGGAGATGCGTTTCAGCGGCGTGTAGATGCCGGCGTAGAGGACGATGTTGGAGAAACCGAGGAAGGCGGTGGTGGGATTGACGCCGAAGAGGAGCGCGCCTGTGCCAGCGACGCCGCACGCGACGGCAAACACTACGGCGCCGCGCGTCGAAATGAGCTTCCGCACCAGCGGCCGGTTGCGTGTCCGCGACATCTGGGCGTCGAATTTAGGCTCCATCAGCATGTTGAAGGCGTTTGCGCTCGCCGAGCACAGCGCCGTCCCGGTGGTCAGGAAGAGCAGTGTGAGGGCGCTGAGGCTCGGCGTCGCGGTCGCGGCGGTGCTGAGCAGCTGCGGTACAGGATACAGGCTGTATGTGGCGGTGGCTGTGAGGACGACGAGGAAGGAGAGGCGCGGCTTCGAGAGCGAGAGATATGTGAAGAACAGCCGCTTCAGGTTCGTCTGGGAGGCAGCGCGGTCGGCGAGGCGCGCCGAGGCGTCGAGGGGGATCGGGTAGGCTTCGGTGCCTTCTGGGACGGGCGGTGGTGGGTCTTGGGCGGCGACTTCTTTGGCGCGCTTCCGCCGCCGGTGCGGCAACACGTCGTCTGGTGTTGTGGATGCGGTGGATGCGGTGGATGCATGTGGCGGTGCTGTCTCGGCGCCGCTGCTCTTGCCGGCTGCAATCGAGCTCTGCAGCGCCCTCCTCGGCTGCCAGAATGTCTCTCTCAGCAGCGAGTTCTTGCCAAAGAAGTCCTTGTTGACCGGGTTCCTGCTCTTCCCGACAGCGACCGCGCCGGATCTACGTGGTGGAGTGGTCGAGAAGGCCTGTCGCAGAGGCAGCGGTGTCCGAGCCAGCGTCCGCCAGCACTGCAGACATACTGTGTTCGCATCGCGGCCGGCAATAGAGCGTGGCAGCCCCGATCGGAGGCTCATGGCGGCATGTGGGAGCGTTGCGGAGTGGTCGTCATGTCGTGGTACTTTTCGAGATGCGGCTGCTCTTCGGCCAAGCCCAGAACGCCGAGGCCGCAGATGCATCGTCCAGTTGAGTTGAGATGATTATCAAATAGCCACCCAGGAGGAACAATGCAGTGAAAAACTATGCTTGTGATTCTAGTAGACCGCATGGGCTATTATACATCTAAGCAGGCTGGGAAAGTGGCCCTCTGACCTCCCACGCCCGAGATCAATGCAGACAACCGCCCGCCTTCAAGAAGGATACTACAATCCACCCTCCATCATCATCTACTCGCTGTCGTTCGGGTTTGTGTCTGACTCGTACTCGAAGTCCCCAGGTAGTGATGCCTCCTCGTCGCCCTCGTCGATCAGGTTGTCCGTGGTCGGCTCAGATGTCTCCGTCTCCTCGACACCTGCAGGAGCCTGTTCGCTGGACGACCCTGTAGCTCCAGGCGCAGGTGCTGGCGCCGCCTTCTTGACCTTGAGCTCGAGGAGCTCCTTGGGCTCCGAAGGCCTGGTGTCTGTAAGAAGGATTACTCCAAGAGTTGGCTGTGCATGGGTCAGTAAACGGTGCTTGAAACATGGAAGTGTCTGACATACCTTCTTGACTGGAATGAAGCGGTCCCCAGGGAATGTAATGTGCTTCACCTGGGGTGGCAGGACACGCGACATGTTCTCCAGCTCGTAGCCAACCTTCTCTTTTTCAACCTTCTTCTTGGGTGACTCTGCCGCGGCGCCCTCGGCCTTCTCATCATCCTTCTTGTCCTCGTCAACCTCCATCTTGTCATCGTCAGCGGGCTTGGGCGTGACAGGTGTGTCGACATCCATGCTTTCCCTACGGCGCTGACGCTCCTTGACCATCCTTCGGCGCTTGTCTTGCGCCGTTGTCGACAAGACAGCTGTCTTGACCTTCTCTGGCGCCTCCTCTGTCTTGACTTCGGTCTCGGGTGGGTAGTCGAACATGCTTGGCCGTGTGTTGCTATGGAACTGGAAAGATGGGATCTGGAGGTCCTGGTCGACACCAATAATGGCCGTCGGTGTAAAGCTGAGCGACAGGAAATGGGTGAGAGGGAACCAGTACCAGTACTGTGTGAAGACGGCCATGCCGACGATGGCAGCCATGTTGAGGTTGCCCGTCGGTGTCTGCAGGCCGATGGTGCAGTTGCGGCCACCAGCATCGATGATACCAAGGGCAAGCGCACAGCCCATCTTGGCCATTGCATCCTCATGGCGATCGCCGATGATCTTGGTAAGCTGCTTCCTGATCGATGCAACCTTGGGGTTCATGGCCTCGTTCTGCTGTACCATGATCATGGCAAGCGAGATTAAAGCACCCTGGCGCACGAAGTCGGTCGAGTCCTTCATCATGGGCTCCAACAGATCAACTGCTTCAGGAAGTCCGGTACCAGCACAGGCGATTCCCAGAGCCATGGTAGCTCCGTAGCGGACGTGTGGGTTGTATGACTCGGAGAGCAGCTCGACCATGCGGGGAACGCTGCCTGGCTTCCGAAAGAGCACGAAACCCAAGCTCATAACTGCGACGCGACGTACGTCATCGCTGACATCGCTGACAGCAACGTGCAATAACCTGCGGACAGCCTTATTGCTACCTGTGCCGCAGTACGCCAGAGCAATCGTCATGATACCTCCATAACGCAAAGTCGGGTCTGGGTCGTCGAGCAGGCCGTTGATCAGCTCGTCGGCAGCTTCCTGACGGGCGTACATGATGAGCGCCATGCCCATGGCCAGACCGCGAACAATCTTCTCGTGCTGTGTGTCGTGTGCGTACTGGATCATGTCCTCAAGAGCCTTGATGCTGCCTGTTCCAAGCATGACAAGACCCATCGAGAGGCCGACAGCCTCACCGTTGACAGCAGAATCCGAGTACAGAACCGTCTTGAACGCATCGAAGATCTCCTCAGATCCGGTAGCCATACCAGCGACACCAACACCAAGCGCACCACCGTGCTGGATGACCTCCTCTTGAGCTTCCTTGAATTGCTTGACGAGGTAGTCCAAAACATTGCCGCCGTGGTTGGCATAGATGAGACCAAGGGCGTACAGAGACCCACCCTGCTCGTAGTGAGAGCCGGATGAGACGCTGTCCTTTGGCAGATACGGGTCCAGCAACTTCTGACCCTGTGTAATGTTACCGCGGTGGATGACACCGAGAGCAGCAGTCGCTGAGAACTTTGACCAGTTGACTGCCTTACCCAACCAATCCAGGTTCTCGCGGAAGAATGTGTCGTTTGTCGTACCGGCGTTCATGAACGCGTTTGCGAAAGTAACGCTGCTGTGGAAGATCGAGCTTCGCGCCTCGAGACTGTCACGGATCTTGTTCAGAACGGACTTGTCGGTGTGGTTATTCCTGTAGAGAAACTCGAGGTTGAGCTCGATGCTCTTTGTCCCACGAAGGATCGAGCGCACGGAGCTGTAGGCCTTGCCATGATCGCTGCCAGACTTCTTCGAGACATTGCTTGTGTCTGCGTCTGCAAGTAGGGAGTCGGACTCCTTCGCTTCGGATGCGTCCCCGTTGGCAGACTCTGACTCCTCCTCGTCCTCGGGCAAGTCTGCCATGATCTTCGCAAGGAACTCCTGGGTGCCGTTCTCATACAGGTCAAAGGAGATCTGGTACGCAGTCGCCAGCGACTTGTCATCGCCCTGCTCCACTAACTGTCGGACAAGCTTCGAGGCAAGCGAGTGCTGGTCGAGGTAAGTGACGCACTTGGCGATCGAGAAGTAGTCGGGGTTAGGGATCTCGTTGTCGTTGAGCAAGTCGAGGATGAGACGGAGGATCTGTGGGGCGTTAGCTGATTGCCGCGAGCTTTCCAACACTTGACATACTTCGTTCCTGAGACCACGCTCCTGTACGACATTCATACAGATGTCGAGAACATAGTCCATCAACTCCTCACTCTTGCTGGGAGCGCCTGTCGCAGCCTTCTTGTTTGCCTTCTTCTTCTCGTCCTGGCTGGCGCGGAGAATCGAAGCGCGCATAACGTCCAGATTCCGCGCCTCGATCGCAATACCAACAACCTGCTTGTAGTTGCCGGTCTCATAGCAGCTCTCGAATATCCGTCTTATTGTTGCTTGCAGATTCTTCTGGACGTTCCTCTGCAGGATCATGGGCGAGGGATGCGATCCAGCTACACCAGCATTGCCACCACCTGGAGTTGTGGGGTCGAACGTGTTCGAGTCCTCGCGGGAAAGCAGCGACTTCGAGGGCAGCGCGGATTGCGAGAAGGGTGTGATCGGCGAGGCCAAGCTAGCGGAAGTGCTGGCAGCACCTGCAGAGCTTGCGGGAAACGCTGTGCTCAGCTGCGGGGGCGCCTGGTTTGCTTTGCTGACTGGGGTGGGTGGGTTGTGGAGAGCGGACATGGCGATGTATGTGTCGACGCATTTCGCTGGAACGAGCAAGTTAGCCGCTGTAGCTCCAATACCTGGAGGACTTCGCTATTCCAAGTCTATCATGTAGCGTTTGGAGCTAGGCCCCATTTTGGACTGTTTGTGCCTGCTTACCTAGTATTGTCTCCTCGAATTCACCAGCCTTGTGGATGTCCAGGAGTTTGCCAGCACCCAGCGCGAAGACCATGCTCTCATTGTACTCTTGCAGCTGGTAGTAGACCTTCGCTGCTACAAGCGCGGCGAGTTCTCGCTCGGGGAACGACTCATCTTCGTAGAGCGCCTCACTATGACGCACACGTTAGCAGCTGGTAGTGCAGTAGATGCTGCGGGCGAACAGCCTGGGTTCGAGAGTGCTTACATCTGACTGACGGAGCCCGCGACTTCTGGCCACAGCAGGTCGATCTGATCATTCAACTGATGCAGAGCGAATGACCGCAGAGCTGGGTCGGGCTCTGAGAGGAATCCAACGACGCCGGCTGCAGACGTGAGGCCAACCATGGTGAGAGAATTTGGCTGATGGCAGTTGTAGTTGTGGAGCTGAGGCTGTCCCCGCGGTGTGGTGGCAGGTGTACTGATTGCAGAAGCAAGTGGAAGGCGATGGAGCTATGTGGCGCCTGCGAGGGTTGCGGCGGTCAAAGAAGACACTGGGGCGATGCAGCTCAGACGGCGTCGTTTGTGCTGCGCGGTGAAGGAAAGACGGGAAAGAGAAGTGTCGTGGGTGATGGGTTGGCGTTAGCCGTCGTGGTGGTGTATTCGATGCTGGACGTGATGGCCGAGCTCAAACACACGGAGGCAAACTAGCGCAATGACCTAATCCCTCCTTCTCACATGCACAACACGCGATAAGCTTCGGCTCTCCAACGTAACACGAACTCTTCACTCTTGATTCAAACGATAATCATCCCCAATGTTCTCAAATGTCTAGGCATGCTCACTGACCGCTCCTGCTTGTGCAGAACTCGTCTTGGCAAGGCATTACTAGGCAGCTGAGTTCCACTTTCACATCACAAAGCAAGTGGAAAGCCGGACAACCGATGTGAGCACTGCGACCAAGTGCCGCAGTAAGAATGGGTATCTTATTATCACGCATTGAACTCCGCCCCCAATGCCGCGTCCCACCTATTCACAAACGCCATGGCAATATCATAGTAACCGTACATCATCTTCGTCTTTAGTGCCCAGGACCCTGAGGTGTGATCTCGCGTGACAGAACACGCAGGTTGTTGAGCATGCCATTGATCAAGGGCTCGAAGCCGCTCACACCCTGCCCTCGCGCTTTGTCTGCCTCTCTCAACAGCACGCCCGAGTCGAGTTCCAGCTCGAGCTCATGGTTTTTACTCGGCCCTTGCACAACCTGTGTCAGATCGATCTGGTATGCGCCGAGCCATGAGTAGGACATACGGTCCTTCTGACGCTGCATGTCCCGCAGTGACTTCCCAGGCTCGGTGCTGGGTTCTAGCTCCTCGATCGCCCCGGGGTAGTTGATTTCGAGATTGATGCCAATGCGGTAGTCCCATTCGGTCTGAGGGGAGCTGATTTCGAGATTGGCGATACGCAACTTGATCATCTTCCGGAGGACTTCTCCTGTCTTTGCATCCTTTGATACACGCACACGCTCATGTTTGCCGGTTTGCGCTATCAATTGCCTCACTGCGAAAGGAAGCTGGTCGAATCCTGCCTGTCCCAGCTCGTAGAACTGGTCGATCTCCCTGGTATGGTGGTACTTGACCTCGGGACGGTTCTCCTTCGAGCCGGGCAACGATTTCTGCACCTGGCCATTTAGATACATGTTCATGCGCTTGTGTTGCTCCATCGTCATTGTGCTTTCAAACTTGAGGTCCAGGTTGTCGGTCTTGCGGATAACGCATTCTGTATCGTGGAAGCCGCGCAGGCGCTCTCCACCGGGCCCACGGTGCTTGTCGATTATCTGTCCCCAGCGCGCCTCGACCTCGAGTTGTGTGTGTGGCGACTCTTCAATGGCCTTACGGACGATGTCGTTGCTAATGGCCGTGTTCCAGATGAAGTCGCACACTCTGCGCGAAACGTCGTCGTAGACATGCGCACTATTCGAGACAGGTCGCTCGTACCCGGCGAGTTCGTGGACGGCCACCGGCGCGGCACCGGTGGCTGTGGGTGGCCGTCCGTTACTCTGCGCGGTCGCTGGAGCCTGGTGATGCGCCGAAGGCTGTACGGGCGGCGGAGGGGGTCGGGCTTGCTGGCGCTGCTGTTCTTGAAGTTTTTGAAGCTCCTCGGGTAGCTCCTCGCCCTCTCGGTAGGCCCATATGGGCTTGGGTTCGTGTCTCTTGCGCTTCAGCGGCATAGCTCTCGAGGTCGGCGTTGGGATCTTAGAGGATGCGGATACAGGACTCGGTTGTGATATTGCGTGCGCATTGGAGCTAGACCGGCGCGGTAGCACCAGCCCCTCATCTTGGTTGACTATTGCGGATAAATCCATGGTTTGTAGTGGTAGAGTGTCACGATCCATAGCCTTGTCTGGGAGTGATTGGAAGCACGACGCTAAGACCACTTAGTCACCCACGGATCTGCCGCCTTTGTCTGAAGTTGAGTCTGCTCTTTGTCGCCTGGAGAAGATGCCTCTGAACAGATGAGTGTAGAAAGCCAGAGTCAGGTGAGTTTTGGCATCGTATTGAGGTTTACTTGCATACATATACTAGCGTATGCACTGAGCATCGCACCGAGCACGCCAAACCGCAATTGCCAAAACGAGTCATGAAAAGGTATTCTTTGTTCATTGCAGCGTCATTTCTAATCTCATTATAGACACGACTCTTTACATTATAGCCGACTGTGTCATTCCTTAAGCCTCCTGGTCCAGACCAAGATCCTCTGTCGCCGGGACGATGCGGAGGGTGTTGGTGTGGCCCATACCTCCCCTCCAGCCCTGCACACAGACAATGGGATCGCCCTTGCTCAGGACACCGAGCTTGATAGCGTTCATGATGCCCCACTTGAGACGGCGGTCAACATCCTCCTGCCATGGGCTCTGGTTGAAGTCGGGCTTCTCCTCCGGGAAGAAGAAGGGGTATACACCGCGGTACAGGTGAGAATACTGGGAAAGTTAGCGAAAGCCCCTTTTCTATGCAGTGGGCGTACTTACCCTGCAGGCTGTAGCGTTACGAGAAACCATGATGATGGGGCACACGGGGCGGTACTTGGAGACAAGGCGAGCAGTGGTACCGCTCGTTGTCAGGACCAGGATAGCACCAGCGTTCTGCTCGAGAGAGGCGCTGACAGCGGCCATGGCACAGGTCTCGGTCGTGGGGCAGGGGATGGGAGCAAGCTTCCTCAGCTCGTCGAAGGCGTTGACGTATGGGATAGCGACCTCGGCGAGCAAGCAGGTCTCGTGCATCATGGTGACAGCCTCGACGGGGTAGTCACCCTTGGCGGTCTCTCCAGACAACATGACGCAGTCAGAGCCGTCAAGAACGGCGTTACCGACATCACTGACCTCGGCACGTGTCGGGCGGGGGTTGTATGTCATGGACTCGAGCATCTGTGTGGCGGTGATGACGGGCTTTCCGGCAATGTTGCACTTGGTGATCATCATCTTCTGGGCAATGAAGACCTGGCTGGGAGGGATCTCGATACCGAGGTCACCACGGGCGACCATGACGCCGTCAGTCTCCTTGAGAATCTCGTCGAAGTTGTTAACTCCCTGCTGGTTCTCAACCTTGGCAATGATCTGGATGTCCTTGCCCTCCTCGCCGAGGACCTCGCGGATAGCGGTGATGTCGCTGCCGCGGCGGATGAAAGAAGCGAAGACCATGTCGACACCGTTCTTGACACCGAACTTGAGATCGGCCTTGTCCTTCTCGGACAGAGGAGGAAGATCGATGTCGGTCTTGGGCAAGTTGACACCCTTCTTGGAGGAGATCTTGCCGTTGTTGACACACTTGCACTTGAGGGTCTGCTCGTCAACGATCTCAAGGACCTCGAACGACAGAACACCGTCGTCGACGTAGATTGTGCGGCCAACCTCAATGACCTTGGTGATGTTCTTGTAGTCGACGAACATGTTCTTGTCGTCGGAGGCGGTGGCGTACTGCTCATCGGTGGTAATGTTCAGGATGGTGCCGGCCTTGATGGGGATATCGGCGTCGCCAACAGTGTTACCTGTGCGGATCTCGGGGCCCTTGGTGTCGAGGGCAATAGCAAGAGGGCGGCCAGCCTGTGTCTTCTCGGCCTCGCGCGCATTGTCAATGACAGACTGGTGGTACTCGTACGAGCCATGAGAGAAGTTCATGCGGACAACGTTCAGACCGGCCTTGCGCAGAGAGTTGATCTTCTCGGCAGAGTTGGTCTTAGGGCCGATGGTGCCGATGATCGAGGTGCGACGGTACTGCTTGGCGGGGTGGTACTCAGTGTTGAGCTGGCTGAGCCACTCGATCCTGGTCCTGCCAGCGTTGAGGTGGTCCAATCTAAAGTCAGCTGTCAGTGTCTGTACAGATAAAGGATTTGCAGGGCTGTTGGTGCAAGGGTCGGCGGTTCATGCGCTTCTCGCAGAAAGCTACCTTGAATTACGCCGTAACCAAGCACCTCTGGTCCCCTGGTCGTGTTGGACATACGCGTTCGCCATTGTTGCGGTATGTGGTGTGTAGGCTGAAAGAGCTATTCAAGAGGTGAAGCGGGGTGCGGGGCCGAGTGTTGCTGCTGCCGTCTGGGTGACTGCAGGTGCTCTTGGGGTGACTTGAGGGAGGAGAGAGGAGTGAATCAGACAGGCGTGCTTCTGGAAGGAACGCGCCTGGGCGGGTTTTGTTCTCTCAGAAAAGTTGGCGCGTTGAGCTTAGGTGGAGGGGTACTGTATCGCGCTAAGGCGTGGGGCAGTCCTGCAGGTGTTGTTGAGAGCTTCAATAATCTAGCTTACCCTCACCGGAATGTTTGACGGGCTGATAGGAACGGGGAAGATGAAGCGCTGAGCGTGTGGAAGACCTGCAATGTAATTGAACGAGGCCTGCTGGCCATGTGCCAGATATACATGTTATAAGGCAGCTGCTGATGCTGCTCCGCGCAACAGACCTCCTGCCGTGACAATCAATGCTTCTGCAGCCCACCCACGTAACGACCAAGCATCCCGCCCAGATAAGCCCCGTGTTTTTCATTGCGATTGAAAATTTATCATCTCGCCCTGGCTAGCCGTTGCGTTTGCTATGGTGCGCGGCCGGATGTCGAGGGTGTTTGGCGTGTCACGAAGCTCCGGGCGAGGAGATCCACTTGCCTCCATGTCGTGGGCGTGTTTCGCGTGGTCAAAGCTATGAGAAAGCCCCATGTGCACGACAGCGAGGCTCGGCCATTTATATGGACCACGCACCTGAACACTTCGTTCCTACATGACCCGAGCTCTGCTCCGCATGGCCGTGCCTGACGCTGGTTCCCGAGGATGAAGGGTTCGGCTCGGAACCAGTCGATCTTATCGTCGAGCTGACCATCTGTATGAGTGTGGTGTTGGTACAGAACCGTAGACGAACCTTTGCAGCAACAAACTCTGAACAGTGGAAGCTGTTACACAGAGTCAGCCACATAGCCCATCGTAGCAGAGACAGACACCAGCCAGCTCTCGCCCAGATGTAAGCTTTCTAGCATGTGCCTTCGACGTTTCAAGCCTGACCCACTGACAACGCAGAGCCGCAACTTCACATGCTCCTCGCACCAGCCACACTCCGCTTGCCCTGCATCCGCCAACAGCACAGCTCTCCGCAACCACGCGTGAACACCCCAAACAACCCTTTCCGTCACCATAACCCATACAGATCTACCATCTTCCAACATGGTTGTACGTGCTCCCTCTGACCGCCGCGGCCCCTCGAGTCGCAAGCTAACCTCACACACGTCCAGCTCGGCAAGGTTGCGCACTACGCCTTCGACGCGGTACTAGGTTCGTCCAAACATTCAACACTTCAGCGCGCTCTTGGCTAACAGTGCGCAGTCTCCGCCTTTCTCGCGGGCGTGCGACGCTCCACCGGCCTGACGTGAGTGCCTCCAACCCACCTGCATCCCAAACCATCCCCCACGCGGTCAACACGCCGCCCGCCTCCGCGTACCTCCATGGACAGAGGGCGACCCACAAGCACCGAGCACACCTAGAGCCCTTTCGCGACCCCCGTCGAGCACACCGACAAGTACCCCATCGCACCGTCCCATGCATGCTCCACACTCCCCTTCTCCATCAAGCACCGCCCGACCCAGCGCCCGTACCTTGTCGTCGTCGAGCCGCAGAAAGCCAGCTAACAGGCTGACACTAGTCCTAGTGTAAAGCCGGAGCAGTTCAGCGACACGCCGAGCGTGCAGAAGTGGCTGGACAACTACCTGTGGGTGGGAGAGACGGTCATGGATTCGAGCGTTGCCCTGTTCGCGAGCAGCAGTTACTTCGAGCGGAAGCGGTAGACATGACGAGGTCACAGACGCGAGGTCGCAGACACGACTTTCGCAATAACGAAGACATCAGTCCACCACTCCGGGGAATGAGCAATGCGCGAAGATATGTTATACAAGCGGAGAGGTATCTGGAGGTTTGCTCCTGGGGACGGTTGTGAATAAGATAGGAAGGGCTACAGACTTGTGTGGGATTTACGCTCCGCTCGATCAGCAAGCAGAAGGCGTGACGGCGCTATGTGAATAATCGCGAATGATTGACTCTATGGATTCATCAAGTATGCTGCAGTATGCTCATGCTATATGTGACGGGTATCGCTCGCTATGCTAACAAGATGCCATGCTCCAGATCGAATCTACCTCCTCTTGAACCTGAATCCCGTTTCCTCTTCGTCACTATCGCTATCGTCATTCCTCCTCGAGCGGTCGATCCTACCTTTCTTCGCAGCCGGCTGCCCGCTGGCAGCACCACCAGGCCTCTTCCGCCCGTGCTCAGAAACCTGCGTCTCAACCACCCTCTGCGTCCTGACCGAGCTCTTCTGCGTCCTGGCCTCAACAACCTCCTCGTCATCCGGCCCGCTGTCCTCGACATTCACAACCTCAGGCTGCTGCGGCGGTGACTGTCGCTGCGAATGTGTCCTGCTCTTCCTCCCCCTGAAGCCCTGCTCCGGCTCGCTGTCGTCTTCTCTCTCACCATGTTTCTTCCTGCGCGGCGCCAGCCCGCTAGCTCGAGGCTCAATATCCGGGAGGAGCCAGGAGTCACTGAAGCTTTTCTGGTGCGGTGCTTCTTCGAGCGCGACCATAACGCGATGAGGCGTGGTGCCCAGCTCGGCGCCCCGTCGCCGGAACTTTTTAAAGTTCTTGCGCCCATTCCAGGCTGGGTCCCAGCGGTCGCTCTTGCTCTGAGCTTGAGCTTGCGCGCGGGCTTGCGCAGGCGTGCGCAAATTATCACCGTTACGTTGCCGTGGGAGAACCTCCATTTCCACGACGACAGCGAGGTTCTTCATCTGCTCGATGTCGATGCCTTCAAGCTGTTCGCGCAAACTCTCCTCATCAGCTTTCCGCCGGTCTTCTTCTTCTTTGATGCGGAGCCGAGTTTGCTCGCGCACGTTGATGTCCTTGTCGGCCTTTTGACGGGCACGCTGCAGACTCTCGAGGGCGTCGACACCGCGGCGCTTGGGCTGAGTGGCGGGCGTGTTGGTCTCGGGCTCGACGGATACTGATGGTGCGCGGGTTGCTGCTCGGCGGCGCTTGATCTCTGCTGCTGCGGGAAACTGAGCGTCTATCAACTCTTCCTTTTCAATGATCTCGTGGGCGGGTGATAGTGCTCTCTGCGTGCGAGCCTGGGTCTGTGTTGTGAGAGCAGTAGCATATTGGTTGCCTGGCGCCTGAGTCGCATCGCGAGCGGATTGTGGTATGGACTGCTGGACACCTTCCATCTGTGTATCTTCCATCTTCCGAATCTTTGCTAGTGGCTCATAGTCATCGAAGCCAGTGAAGCGACTTGTAGTCTTCGGCCGATGTATGCGCTTACGAGGGTTCGGCTTGACTGGTTCATCGGTAAGAGCAGATGACTCGGGTGCTTGAGAAGGTGCTCTCGATGCCGGTGTGCTGTCCCGCATGGACCGCCGAGTCGCTGAATCTGGTGCGCTTGACGTGGCTCCCGGTATGCCTTCCGGTGGCTTCTGCAGTCCAGTTCTGTCTTTAGCGAGGATGATATCAAGAAACTCGTTCTGGAGCATCGACCTTTGGCCGAGTGCGTGGTCTACGCCATTCATGAAGTTGGCAGCCCACTCGTCCGAGCCGTCCGCAGGAATTGCGAGGCGAACCGTGATCACAGGAAGCTTGTCATTGTTCGCACGACTACCCTTTTTCTTGCCAGCTACACTGCGAACATAGTCAACGTACTCCTGTACAGTAGTCTCCCCATGCTTGAACTTCTCGTAGAGCAGCACCTTTCCACCACCTCCGGAAATAGGGTCCTGCAGGCTACTGTGCTGATTCGGATCCAAGAATATGAAAGTAAGATTGTGGAAAATCTCTGATCGTGTGCTGTCGGGCTTGAGCATCTCTTGCGGCCGAGGCACGGGTTCGGTAGCAGTCGGCGGTACGTATTCCTCCTCCTTGGGCCACTGAGCGACAAAGTCCTCTTCCAGCGGCGACGGCACATAGCCGTATTCGCTGTCCGTTGTGTGGGTAGCTCGCTCGATCACGGCGTCGAGGAAGTCCGACGTCACGATGTGCCTGCCAGCTACGAGGCCGGAGAGCACTCGGGGCAAGTTGCGCTTCTGGGTCACAACATGTGTTGTCTTGCCGAATATGAAGTCGACGGTGGTCTTAATGTCGAGCACGTGCAGCTTCGCGCTGCGAGCCTTTGATTCCTTGGTCTCCTTCGAAGCGTACGTAAAGACGAGCGGCTTCCAGTATATCTTGAACGGCTCATAGCTCTGCGCCAGCCGAATCGAATGTTCCGTGCCCTCGAGTATCGTCCTCGCGTACTCGATCGACCCATCTTCGTTCTTCGTGCTCTTGATCATATTGCCATCGACCGAAGTGCCCTGTCTGCAACTAAGATCCGTAATCTCAACCTGCGATCGAGTGTGCAGCTTCGAGCCAGCGTCTACAGAAACCTTGAGGACCTTGATTGTGCAATGCTGCCGCGAGACGGCCTTGTTGTCGATTCTCCATGTCTTGCCTTCTTCGCTGGACTTGGTGCGACCGAAGAGCTGCTGCGACTCGGGGCGCAGCCAGACGCGCTTTGCACCAAACAGCGACTCGTGTTCAAGAAACCACATGGTGAAGATGTGTGAAAGCGCCCGCTATCGCATTACGTCCGAGATGAGTCGTTCAGGGAGGGAGGGCGAGCATTCGGCGGGTGCGCGCATGCGCCGTGTGTTGTAGGCTGCGAGGTGCGCGTGTGGGGCGGGCTGCACGTCAGACCAGGCAGTCGCGCTGTTGGCGGCGCCCTCATCCACGCGCCATCACCTGAGCACCGACCTTACCTACTCCCGAGCTGCGAGCGCCGCAACCGCTTCACTTCACTCTGTCGGTTGCCTTAAACATCTGGAGGCTCGTCGAATGTGATGCTGGAGTTGAGAAAATGTAACGCCAGCGCAAAGCTTTTCCATTGTGATTTGTGTAACGGCGAGCAGTCACATCATGCAAGATGAGAAGGTATGAAGCCAAGAAGGCAATGCCAATCTTAAATACAATGCAACCGAGGAAGAGAAGGTGACGATGGTTGACCCGAAGGTCGAATGTTTTGATTCTTGTTTTAATGAAGTTCTCCAAGCCTTCCTGAGGTACCAGACCATAACGATGAAGATGTCCCACGATGAAGTACCAATCCAAGTTCAACCCAGTGCCCACTTTACTCCACCACAGAAGCCACATCTATGGAAACTTCCCACGCCTGGCTGGATACCACTGAAACTCCTCCCATCCCACCCGAACAAGTCTCTCCCACCCAGTGCTGCTACAGTCAAAGACTGCAGGCGATCTGATCAGAGTCGGCGCGAGGATCATATCCATCAGCAGCAACAGACACTCCGATCATCGTGTGGCAGGCCTGCCCGAAGAGCTTCACCTCCCGCACCGCACGACGATGTTTACCAGACCATAATGCCAAGCTCTGTTGGGCGAACCCTCAAGCCCCCAAGCGTTCCTCGTCTTTCTGAACCATGGGACACCCAGCCAGGGTACCGTGTACGTGTAATCGTATGCGAAAGCGAGTGTGAGAGATTTTCGTTGTCATCATTGACGGTGTGCTCTGCTGTGGCATTTGAAGTGATGGCCTGAAGAGGCATCGGTGGGAGACTCGAGGGAGACGGAAGTTGATACCGAAGGACGGATTGGCCTGAGAAGGTATCGCGATGATGTTGTGTTCGATTTAGGTGACTTGTGCTTTGAGATATGGGAACAGATGCGAGCAGAGCTGACAGTGTTAGCGGAAGAGGTGAAGATGTAAGAGATGCTTACCAGCTTAGTGACAGTAGTGAGTGGATGTATGATCAGAGTGGTCAGTCATGTTGGACGTCGAAGGTGTTGAGCAGCCATGGAAAAGGAGTGTTGGTGATGGAAGGCGATGCTCATGTTGAGGAAGGATTTTATGGAGACTTGAATTGATGAAGAGTAATGACGGGGGCTACCCATGAGTGGATAAAGGGATGTCCATGGTCAGGTGATCAAGGTAGGGTGTTGGAGGAAAAGTAACTTAGGGGAGGCGGCGACGGGTTTATTTATCCACAGGGCTGGTGGTCCATGCGGTTTGGCGGTCCGGAGTTCAAGCGACGTTCTGCAGGCGACAGGAAGGTGAGATGAGGGTCGCTGGGCAAGGTGAAGGCAGCTTTGCGGTGGCGGGTAGTGGGCGTGGGCGATGTCGAGGTGAATGCGAATGCAACACCACGAACATGAACTCGAATCAGAGAGGCCCGAGCGGCCTCACCAAAGTTTAGGGTGACTGTTTGGGATTTCGTGGCGAGCGATTGTAAGCCTGCTGAGCTAGGCTGGTTCAAAAGCTGTCAGTGATGTCGCGGATGTATCGTGTCATCGGCCTCGCACAACTTGAATGGATGCTAGCGAAGTCTCAACAGAGCTGGAGGTATAGCAGCGCAGCAGAACGCTGCAATCACCGAACGTCACTGTGAGTCACTCAGAGGGCATCATTTCAGCGAAATTGTGGCTCGATCAAGCATATGTTATTAAGCTAGCTCATTTGCGAAATGGAATATCGGTATCGACCAATGCTAGCTGGCGATTGTAGATGCACACATCTGTGTTGAGCTCCAAGAGCAATCTACGATCGTAGCTTGATGGGCAAAAACTTTATGCGCTTCACTGCAGTTACTGCGCTGAGCGTCAATCAATCGCCTTCTTGTACGAATGATGACCGTCGCCCGTAGGCAAGCCTCAGCTGATGGTCGTACGCCCGTGAGCTTGTCTGATGGCAGCCCGTTCGGCCTGTCGCGGCGCAGTCGTAAGCTGGGCAGCTTCTGCACCTGCGGGGGACTCCGCATGTGCTAGCAATAGGCCTTGACGTGAAAAGGTGAAGCAATAGAGCTTTGCTAAAGCTTGTTGCGAGTTTTGCGAGGTGTCCAAAATGTACGGCTGTACACTTGCGCTGCGGACCGTCTTATCCAGTGTGAGTGTGGATCCAGAAATCCTTCTCCTCCATTCTTCCCTCTTCAATGCCATCAAGCACATCTCTTACCCATCTCGGTGGTGGCGGTCCTCCACCGTTGGTGTCAGCGCCCGTCATTGGGCGCGTTATGAAACCTTGCCTAGCAGCCAGTTTGCTCGCCTCATGAACAATTTCGAGGCGTCTGTCTTCCGAGTTGGCCTGTCGATAGCGACGTTCCTGCATCTTGCGTTCGAGCCAGGATGAGCATTGGTCCATGCCCTTGGCGGCGAGGCGCTGGAAAGTGGCCATGAATCGCTGAACGATGTCGAAAAGGATGCGGTAGAGCAACTCAGTGGCGATCGCTGTACCAGTCTGTCGAGTAAAGAAGCCCGCAGGAATAAGTGAGGATGCGCTGGGTCTGCTTGAAAGCATGATGGATGTGGGCGCGCTGTATGGGACTAGTGACTGTGAGGCTGTCATGTTGGTGACTCGGTGTGTTCCTGCTTCTATTGATTTGGTGATTTGCGAAAGCTCTCGTGTTTAATCCCTTCCGAGAGTGCGAGCCTGCATTTATGTCTTCAGCCTGAAACATATGATGTAGCTTCCCAGATCTGCTCGGACTGTAAAAGAGTGCGACCGACCCTCCGGCGGGCATACTTCGGCCGAGTGGATCGATCGGTGGCCCTGAGCGCCGGCCGCCAGATCTTCGGCAACCAGCAACTTCACCGACCTCCGACAACTTACAACTTTTCACTGGTTCAAAGACTGCAGTGTGTTCCTGTCCCAGCCGCCCAATTCCTCTGAGGGAGTTGTTGTACTTTGTCTTTCTTCGACAGGCATGTGATATCGGTTCAGAAACTGTGCTGTCCAGTCGTCCATATCGTAGGATTCTCCAGGCTCTGCGTTCAGCAGGCACGTCTTGTGAAAGGCTCTGAGCCTCATCATCGAGTTCTCTAAGCTGGGCCAGTACTGTTGCAGCTGCAGAAGCATAGTGAAGTTCTGCTCGAGCAGCTTCTTGATCGTGGCCGTACGCTCTTCGTCGGTGTCGAAGAGTAAGGTGTGGAGGTGGATCGACGAAGCCACAACAAGTAAGTGGCCATTTACCGGCGACCAGAAGCACTCTGTGCCTTTCTGACTGTTTGCTGCCCAAAATATCTCGGACATCGCGATAGCGTGCGCTTTGCACCGAGCCGCGTAGGTCTCACGCTCTCTTGCTGTTGCCGAATCCGGGTCGATGTTGATGTCTCTTTGCAGGTACTGGTAGTACAGAAGCTGGAACTGGAAGTGATACAGAATGTGCATAACATTGAACTCACGGAGAAGACCATCTGCCTTGACGCGAGCGATGCTTGCGGGAAGATAACGCATTTCTTGCGGCAGTGCACGGTGCCAGTTGAGCAACTCTTCTGCTATCTCTTCCACTCGACCAGGATGATCATAGGGGTCTTCATTCTGGTCGCATACAATGTAGTTGAGATGCATGACTCGGCTGTGGATCTCTGAGAGAGGCAGCATGGTGCTCCAAAGACCTTTACGGTTCGCCTCGAGAACGGGAGCTGGCCCAGTGTTACTACCATCGAAGGATGCATGTCTCCGCAGCTGATAAAATGCTTTCTCCTCCAATATCTTCGGTATCCTTTCGTCAAATCGAAGTTGACGCGGGAACTGTGATCGTGAGGCGTGCCACATATCCATCATCCAGACTTGCCAGTACACTGCTCAAGGTCAGTCGACGAGCGTGTACGCTGCATCTAGAATTTACACTTACAACGGACCTCAATCTCGAACGAGATGGCGTCTGGACATGTCACATTCGGCAACCGCATAGTCTGAACCATACGAATAGCCTGGGCAGATAGCAAATTATCCTTTGCAGTTTCGCCCTCAGAAAAGCATGCCATTCCAAGTACGATGGTGCCTTGTAGAGCAGAGATGCAGATGTCCTTAGATCGGTTGTTGAAAGAATCCAGAGCCTTGTCTAGCCAACGCCGGCCTCGTTCACCACGCGGTATAGATGCGAATGCAGGATGGTTGGAGAAGCTAATTGCATCAACAAGTTGTCGTATAAGACCGAAAAGTGAAGATTTATAACCCACCGAGAGGCCAGAGCGGCCATTGCCCAGATCAGAAATGGAGGTGCTTGTCCGGCATGATACTGGGCTTTGAATGTTGGAGGATGGAAAAGAATGTGCTGCTTGTCATGTATGAGGTCGAAGTAAATGTCCACCAACTCAGTGACAAGGCCGGGATCTGGAGCATCATACAACGATACCAGTGAGCTCATCGACCCCCTGTGCAGACCTGGAGATATGGACGTGTGTTGCAGAGGCAACAAGGTTCGACGGACACCGCGCTGCTGATCTGCAGCATTGCTGCCATGGTCGCTCAGGCTACACTTGGCATTTTTGCCAATGCACTCTTTACAGGAGTTGGAAGAGGGAATGAATGTGCATCGCCGCTTGCGAGAGCTAACACGACTCAGTAAGCACGAGAATTGAGAGAGCGAAGGATCGTTATGTACCGGCAAAACGTACACGAAGTGACGATCCGCATCCTGATGACTGACGTGTTTTAACTAGCAGCGGAGTGCCCAGTGGGCCCGTCTTCTAGGTACGCGCCGTTATCCGCGCGCTAGACCCAGTAACAGGAGCAGGTGTCGGTAGAAACAAAATGGAGGTTCAAGATGACCTTGCGGGTCGCTCCAGTTCGTGGCGGGTTCGTACCAGCCCCCTTACGTTACCCGTGCGGGGTCTTACTCCCATCGCCGTAGCGTCCTTTTGCACCAAATTCCGACTGGATCTAACCACGAAGCAATCGAGGACACGATAGGAGATCTAGCGGAATGACATGGCAATGCATAAGCACAAAGGAGTAAAGTCAGGTTGGATTGGCGCTTCACAGTCCTACACTACTCTGCAGCATCAGATACCGCCGATCATCCATCACGCCACTCTCGCAGGGGCCATCGAACAAGAGTCTCTACTGCCCAGCTGTATGTCTCGCATCAACCCGCATCTGCATTCCCGGGCCGATTCAGACGTCACACAAACCACCAATGCGGGCTCGGTCAACGAACTAGGTTCTCAGCCACAGCTGCGACATGTGCGGGGGCGTCCGCGAACTGTCTGGTCGGAATCTTGCGTTGGAAAAGATCATCCTTTGCGCATCTGTGAGCGGACGACATTATGGTGGGTCTATCGACTTACTAGCTCGCCATAGGTGCGCCCTTTCATCTCGGGCAGCCTGTAAAAGGTCCAAACAAGGGTCGCGAACGCGACCCCGAACCATATGTAGCCACCTTTGCCGCCAAGGCCCCAGGCGGTAGGGTTGATGATTGCGGGGTTCAGCCAGGAGCCACCAAAGTTGAAAAGGTTTAGAAAAATCCGAGCAATGGCGACTGTCTTGTTGCGATGTCTCGAAGACGGTGTCTCACCAACGACAGCGTACGCGACCGGACCCAGACACGCATTGTACACGAACGTGTAAGTCATCAACAGAGCGCCTGTCGCCCATGTGGGACCCTTGTTGTCACCGCTTGGAACGCTGCCGAGAACGCCGACCAGGAGCAGGATAATGCAGGTGGTCGATAGGCCCCAGAGATAGAGCGTACGACGTCCAAAGCGACTCATCAGCGCCCAAGAAGTGAGGACACCAATGAAACCAAGTGCGTTCTGACCTAGTCCGAGATTGTAAGCCGCATCAGAGCTCAAGCCTGCTACGGATAAAAAGTAGATCGCCTGACCTGCGAAACCAGTTCCTGCAAGGAAGGGAACGGCTCCGGCGACACAAGTTATCTCCGTTCGGCGCAGGCCAATACCGCGGAGACAGTCGCGGTATCGAGCACCCCGATCGACCTGTTCTTCTTGGCTAATGGTGTGCCGGATCATGGCAAGAACAGCATCAACGTCGTAGCCTATGTTCTTGGATGAAGTCAGACTCAAGAGAGCCCTGCGCGCATCTTCGACTCTGTTCCGGCGAACAAGCCACCAAGGACTGCCGCATTTCATCAGTATATTGTGCTACACAAGGCAATTTCATAGCGAGTGCGTACCTTTCAGGGGCGAAGCTGACGCCAATGATGATGGGAATAGGCCATATCCATTGCAGCGCAAATGGAATGCGGTACGCCCACTGATCAGCTCTGCTGACAGTTCCGCGCAAGACGCCTGTTGAGATGAATCCACCGATTACCCAACACAAATTGACGTAAGAAGTGACATATGCTCTCAGGGCCACTGGGCTGACTTCTGCTGCGTAGGTGGTTGTCAACGTCTGTATGATGCCCCAAGGAATTCCAAGCAGACCCTCGCCAACAACAAGGATGATAATGGAGGGTGCGAAAAAGATGATGAAGATAAAGGACGTAATCGACAGGAGTGAGCCCTGCATCGTCCTCTTATAGCCAATCCTTTCGATGAGGATACCGCTGAGCCAATAGCCAAAGATTGAACCCACTTGCACAGCAGCGGTCAGAGCTGACTGATACCTATTGTCGAGCTGGTGGGAACCGTCTGGACGAGCGCGGCCGTATTTCCGTTGGAAAGCTAGCTGGGCGAAGAGGGATGGTACGAGTCCGACCTGGTACCCTTCCATGATGATGGCCATGCTAAGAACCACACAATAGAGAACTGACTTTGGATACAACCTGATAGCGTCTCGGAGGCTCATTGCATGTTCTGCGTTGGTATTCGCCTGAGCCTGCGCTTTAAGCGCCGCGGTATCTTTGTTGGTCTCCATGGCTAGGTGATCGCTGTCAACGATTTCGAGTTGCGTTTCGCCGTCCGATGCTTTGTCCACCATGGCGAACACCGCTCAAGTAAGGATCAAGGTGATTTGAGGAGGCGAACTTGGATACAAGATTCGATCGAGACAACGATGAGAGGATAACGTGTCCACACCAAAGGCCAAAAACCAGATACTTCAGTGTTGCAGTCTTCGAACTCCCTCACGGGTAGTCGCCAAGCCTCGCTTCCCTAAACGGTTTGTAAGATGTGCAGAGAAGCACGCTTCATAGCACCACCGAGGATATAAGGGCGCTGTTTCCCCAGAGAACGATGTGTCGTAAAGTCGCCCGGTTCATCCTAAGACAGCTTTGGGTCGCTCGGCTGTGTGTAAAGAAAGAAAGCTCGAGGTGAAAATGAAAGGTTCGGGATTTTGCTCGCACAGGCGTGACAAATTGGGGCCACTAGGCATGGTCGACCAATGAACAAAAGCGACACCTACCTTCATTCCTTCAGCTCAAACATCACCTTTCCGCATCGCCGCAATGTCGAGTCCGTACGCTTTAAGATGCAGTTGTAGTGTTTGTCGAACAATACCACGTCTGCGGTCGATGTTCGACTTTCGTTGGCGTGTCGCGGACTCGCGGGGAGCGGGGGCACCAAGAGTGACAAGAGCGGTCGCCGCTGCGGCGACTACAGTGTGTCATTGGCTGAGTCTCCGCCTTTGTGAACAGTCCACCTGGTTCTGTACCTCGGATTCACACGCTGGCTCGACGTGGGGCGTAATAGTACAGGCGTGTGGAGATACCAGTACGCCGCGAAAGTCGATGGATGTCGCCAAATAGTCACGTTTATCACTGTACCCTCCGCACGGAGTCCTCCATAACCGTCGCTCTGTCGAACTTGGTAGATACTCTCATTATCGTTACCCCAGGTCAGCTTTTCCCTCAACATGGCATATCCTCAGGAAACCTTCAGGTTCGCCCACGTCGATGCAACCTCGCTGCTTGGCCAGCGTCGTGCTGCAGCATCCGCAAGCATGATCACATACCAACTACAGATTCTGAAAGACACCGGCCGTTATGACGCTTTCAGTTTGAAATGGCAGCCAATCTACGACAAGGTCCCGGAGTATTGGCCCATTGCAGATCATCTGTTCTGGGACTCAGACATTGGCAAATGGATTGAGGGCGCGTGCTACTTCCTTCAAGGAGAGTCGAACCCCAATCCGGTCGTCGATGGTGCTATCAAGGAGCTTGTCGAGATGATCAGAAGGGCGCAGCAACCGGATGGCTATCTCAACATACACTACCAAGTTGTGGAACCGGGGAAGCGTTTTACAAACTTGCGAGACATGCATGAACTCTACAACTTGGGCCATCTCATCGAAGGCGCACTAGCGCACAACCAGTACTACGGCAACGATCTTTTTCTTGAGCCTATGTTGAAATATGTTTCTTTAATTCACCGCGTGATTGGACCGCGCGACGGGCAGTTACACGGCTACCCTGGCCATCCCGAGCTCGAAATAGCACTCATGCGTCTGCATCACCGCACCGGAGACGAAAAGAGCTTCGAGCTTGCCCGGTACTTCATCAACGAACGCGGCAACCCAACTGGTGTAGACGGAAGAGAATTCTATACGGTGGAGGCCGAGAAACGCAACGAAGCCTTAGACTGGCAACCAGTGTGGTATCCCGCCCCAAGGTCACATTGGTATCAGCAAGCACACGCTCCCATCGCCAAACAGGATACAATTGAGGGTCACAGTGTGCGAGCAATGTACCTTCTGACAGCAGTGGCCGATCTGGTTCGGGTCAACCCAGATTCCACTGACTTGAAAGAAGCTGTTTACAAATTATGGAATAACATGGTGGAAAAGAGGATGTACATGACCGGGGGTATTGGCTCCATGAAGCAATGGGAAGGGTTTGGTCCAGATTATTTTCTCCCCCAAGGCACAGACGAAGGTGGATGCTACGCAGAAACATGTGCAGCCATCGGCGTGATGATGCTCGCGCAGCGCATGCTCCAGGTGAGGATACCCACTCTTCTTATTCGAATGATCACATACTGACCGTTCCAGTACGACTTAAGCAACGAGTACGGAGACGTTATGGAGCTCTGCTTGTATAACGCCGTCTTTACCGCTATGTCCGTTGACTGCATGAAATTTACCTACGTAAATCAACTAGCATCAAGCGAGAAGAACCCATCTGAGAGATTCGGATGGTTCCAGTGCGCTTGCTGTCCGCCCAATGTCCTGAGACTCCTGGGAATGATTGGCGGCTACGTTTGGAACGTCTCGGAGAGCAAGAAGAGCGATCCTACTCAGATCGATGTTCATCTCTATGCGCCTGCTACCTTGAACTTCGAAACATCTGCTGGTCAAGCAAGTCTAAAGCAGGAGTGTGATTGGCCGCGGGATGGCAGCATCAAGTTCTCGTTGATCGGCGAGAAGAGATATGTTCAGCTCAAGCTTCGCATTCCTGGCTGGGCAACAGCGTGGGAGGTAGGTTCAACTCTTTGTAATTTCTTCAATTACTTGCTGACAAGCACACCAGATTTCCCCCGCCTTGTCCCATCTCGATATCACCGATGGGTACCTCACCATACCAGCCGAGTACTTGGCTTTGCATCCGGATTTTAACCTCACGTTCGACCTCAAGCCTCGCTTGATTGCTCCTCATCCTCTCACAAATCAGCAAATTCTCACGGTTGCCAGGGGTCCTATCGTATACTGCGTCGAAGACGTCGACAATACCTGGGTCACAGATCACTTCCGATCAACACATCTTGATCCTGAATGCCTAACGAAAAATGCCGTCACCGAGATCAAGACTGCTGACCCCAGTCTACCTGATGAGATATACGTGAGTATCACTGTCCACAAAGCGGCTTATACTGTAGACTTCGACCGGCTAAAGATTAAACCTTCGGTCGATAAGGAAGATTTGCATAAGACAATTGGGGCTGCTAAAGTGATTGACGAACTAAAGTTTGTACCATACTATTATAGGGCCAATCGAGGTGGCCATGGTATGGCACGCGTCGGACTGAAGCAATGGACGTGGTGATGTAGATACGTATTTGACGACAGAGCAACGTATCTCTATGCATGGTGTGAGACACGGGATTTGCCTATGTATGAGACACGGGACTTGCCTATTGATGTACAATCACGATACCTCATCGTTTCCTTCCAGCATCTGAAGTATAGCCAACTTAATATCGCCTTCCACGCTGACAGCAAGGCTCTTCTCTTCCAAGTCGTCAGGTACCATGACTGGCAGACCCATTCCAATTCTCACCAACTTGACCTTGCCACAGCCCCTCCTCACAAGATCTTCATTTGGCCACCGAAGTACGCCTGGTGTGTTCATTCCCGCACCAAGCTCAAGCACAACAGTCTCCTTCCCATCCGCCAACAATTCATGTCTAAACTTCCGCCACCTTTTCTCGCCCTCTTGGAACGGCCTGTCGTTGAACCAGTCACCACCCCTGACGCACAGCATCATCTCGCCTCCGCAATTTCTACACCTCGGCACCCTCAAAGGATCAGTAAGCCGTTGCGTCTTTGGGCCCAAGAATGGTAGCGCGGCTTCATAGTACTCTTCTGTATTGCATGTTGAGTCCGGGCGACACTTAGCTAAACACTGTAGTACTGAGTACCGGCCCTGGGGCGTCGACAGTCTCTCTTCGTCCCATCCGTTCGCGAGAAACAAGCCGTCGGCGTTACTTGTTCGAATGTGGACGTCTTTACCCGACGCCTTCAGCCAGGGAATAAGGCACTCATACAGTTCCCAGCTTGGCCAAGAGCGCACCATTTGTATATTGGTGAAGTAGTATGACCATTTGTCTTCTTCGGAGGAGAATTCGAATCCGATAGCACTGTATAGTGTCTCCAAGCCCATATCGATGAATGAGGGGAAGTGCCTCTTGAAGAGGGCTTTCGACGTGTAGTCGAGCCCGTCAGCGGCTGAGAAACCAGCGCCTGCGGAGATAACTATTGTTGAAGCCGATGAGAGCCATTGCTTGGCGATCGTTAGTGTGGCACCCTCGACCTGTACAGTGCTTGCGGAGAGGTTTTGCTGGTCTTGTAACCGCCAAGGTTCTCCTATATATGCAAAGAGGTTGTTGTAAATATCGTAGTCGCCCTCAGCAAAAGTCACGAAAATAACATCCGTAATCGACGTAGCTTCGTTGTGTGCAATCCAAGCGGCCACAGTAGCCACGGCGATCCTCGCTGCAAGGTGGGTAGGGAATGCGAACAGACCAGTACTTATCCCGCACAGAGCAACTTGTTTTGAGCCATCTGTGTTCGATGGAAGGCCTTCTGCCTGCTCAAGCACTGATACATAGCATTGTCGCAACTGTTGTATTTCCTCGTTCGTTGGCTGCGTACTTCGCTCAAGCTGGGGTCCAACGGTATGTATGATGTGCGTAGAAGGAAGGCAGTAGCCTTTAGTGACAACCGCCTCGCCCACAGGCAGATCGCTGCCCCTGCAATTCATTATTTCGAAGCATTCCTGTCGTAACCTGGGGCCAGCGGCTGAATGTATCACATTGTCTATGCACTTGTGCGGCGGTTGGAAGCAGCCTAGCATTCGAGAATTGGCCGCGTTGGTGATTGCTGTAACATCACTCGCTAAGGCTGTGATGTCTCCTTGCCAGAGTTTCAGATGTACGACGGGTCCTCCATCACGATCCAAGGTTGCTCGGGGTTGTATTGAGGACCCTCTAGTCAGTATACGTTGGCTACGGGAATGTATCAAGACGCTGTCGATGCCGTTGAGCAGGCTTTCCGGAATCGGCGGGAGTGGCGAGCGAATGCAGAGTAATTGTTTCAAGAGATGGAGCTGTTCCGAGGACTCGTAATGAGAAAGGTGCTGCTCAATGTGGCGGGCCTCCTTAATATTGGACTCGCGGATGAGGCTGAGAACTGTTCCTTGAAGTAGAGACATAGCGTGAGTTGTGACTGTTTTGAGTGATATGTGGCAGCGATTTCATCGTGAGATACATCAGAAGCTGATATACCATGTTTGTCGGACTTGTAGAAGACGTGCTTGCAAAGCGTATCTGACTAAGAAGCGATTCTGCAAGCGGAATTGCGCCGCACCACAGTCTAGGATTACTAACTCCGGCGAGGACACATATCGGAGCTACGAGGTAGTGAGTGTAACACGATGCAAAGTGCTACGATAGGTCGCCGCCAGCAGTCCTAGCTGCCTGAGAGATGTCGTGGAAGTGTGTCGTAAGCGGGAGTGGGTCGGCCAAAATGAGGACAGCGCAAGTCACAATCACTTTGAAGCACAGCCCCTGACCACCTCAAAGATTGCAACCGCGATGCGTCGCAGCACTACTGCAGTTTGAATAAGAAGTTGCGTCCACGCGGAGCCGCATCACGTGTTGCCCCACCCAAGAACCTCCCCACCAGGACCATCGAGCCATAATACGACTGCGACGACCTTTGCGATGGCAAAAACAAATGCTTCCGTCACGGGGAATCGAACCCCGGCCACATCGGCGCTTGCAAATGAGAGCGATGTATCCTAGCCACTAGACCATAACGGATTAATTTGATGAATGTAAAGATGTCTTTTACAAACATATCTCAAGCAAAACTGTGCCTACGCGACAGGCGACGAGAATCAGGACTGAGGCTTGAATTTCTTCGTGGGCGCTAGTCGGGCATCCGACATTGCGAAGTGGAACCCAACCAAGATGTGTATGATGAGTCACAATAAACTGCAATTTTTTCAAGGCTCGAGAAGCAGATCTCCAACAACGAAAACACTCAACGATGTGGATCGAAGAAACATAGCCTTCCGGTTCCAGGAATCGTTCGTCCTGCGCTTGCATCCGCTGTGCTTAAACTGCGAGCCATATCAAGTCAGAAATCTACAAGCACACCAGGTCTGTCTATTTTCACAACATGTTGTCCACCACATGGTCTTGTCTGCAGCGCGAAATCTAAGTCAAGCAAGCCGTTAAATATCTGATTTAGGATGGTGACGGTCCCTACTCGATCACTACAGTGCAGCAAATGTATGAGAGACCATGTCGCCGTCAAAGCTTGCGTAGTCGGACAATACGGTCGTCGATGTTGCTGATCAGTCAAAGCTAGTCGCTTCATTAAACCCCATCTCGATCTTTCTTGCAATTCGATGGTAGTCGCTGTGCAAAAGCACCCCCATGTAGTGAGCGAGGCTGAACATCGACATGTAGGTAGAGTTCTTCATTACCGACTACTGCATCGTAAGATCATGCGAGCATCAGCATCTTTCACAACTACACCTTACCAACCTCACTGACGCCCCCAACCCCAACCCCAACCCCAGCGTCCAGCTAAGCCCGAACTTCTCTGTACAACCTTCACTCCGATCTTTGCCGATTGATATTGTCCCTTTGGATGCTCTTCCTCAGCTACTACTGAACTCTGATCCATTGACAAGCGTCCTGCTCCAGCGCCTGCTGACTAGGCTGGCGGTCGCCGATCCTGACCCTTTCCTTTGCCTCTGAACCAGCCTCTCGTTGGGTAGTGCGAGCCATATAATGAGTACTTTCGGCCTAGCTCTGGCTTTGGCTTCGCGGGCGCTGTACGTTGAGGTAGTGCATAAAGATCTGAAGAGCTTACATCAGATAGAAGGACTGAGGAGCGGCGTCGCGGTAGTTCAACTGCCTCTTCCTTTGGTTTCGGTCTGACACTTGCAGTCTGTAGATCTTGAAGTGATCCTCTATCACTGAGCTCTGCTGCTGACGGTGACGCGATTTCTGTTGGTGGAGCAGCCTCTCCTATTCCAATGGCTCCTGTGGCTACCGCTCTCGAAACTGGCGCACCTGTCGGCACTCTCTTGATAGCCGTTGCCACTCCTGGGCCTGGTGCTGACGCGCATCTTCCAATGGAGTTCTGGACTGAAGATCGTCGACCATTCAGACCTTGGCTTGACGGCTGTTCGGGTCCTCCACTCTGGTCTTGAACTGACACCCCCCAGCTGAGATAGGAGGGGTTTGGTGAATCCATGCGCGAAACACTGCGTCTAGCATTGGGGGAGCTAATACCATCAACACCGGCGCGGCCGGGACTGTCTCTCTGGCCTTGCGAAGAAATCTCGCAACCGATATCCCCATCATCTTTCTGTTGGCTCGATTCTTGTTCTATTTCTGCAGTGCCTTGTTCGCAATACCGCCCTGATGACTGATCCCTTAGTTCTGGCGCTTGTCCTTGCGGCCGCTGAGTAACAGTCGAGAAAGCTTTCGATGGTCTACGATTGCCATCTTGCATTGCGGTTGCTGAACAGTCCAGCTCACCTCTTGATGCTCCATGCGGCTGATTCGCTTCCTGCGCAGGCCCAGAGACATCGGGCCTCGTTTCTTGCGCTCGCATGTCTCTTGCCCGATCAGTCGACTCTCGTGAATGCGAAACGCCTGATCTTTGGAAACTACTGCGAACGTCACTGCGTACAGACCTTGGGACAACATCCTGTTGCGGTACTGGGCGCCCGCGAGCAAATGCTTCATGCGCCTGCGGCCAAAGCCGGGGTGAAGGCGCTTGAGACCGAAGAGCGGCCTTCCCTTGGTCCCAAACATCTTGGTTCGCTGGAGATTGATGGCTAGCGGCTTTCGGCGCTTGGCTACGAAAAGATTGCTGACGAGTTTTGTTGCGATAGGGGATGTCTGCCCGGGTTCTGGGTCGCTCCTGGTAGTTCGGTTGAAAGTCTCTACGGGCTGAGGCTTCAGGATAGGAGGAATACGGACAAGCTTCTGTTTTGACTGGCGCAACTCGCGGCAGCGGCTGGATGCCTCGCCAGATGGGTGCAGGTTGGGCTTGTGAATAGTCGTTCCGGCGCTCTTGTACGATTGGTGCGAGTCTGGGGTAGTAGTCTTCCTTGCGAGCATAGGCTGGGGTCGCTCGGGTAAGACGATCATCCCTTCTAACAAGGGTCGGAGTTGGAGCTTGACGGACAGATTCATGTCCAGGCTTCTCCCTTCTTTTTGTACCTAGCGCAAGGAATTTTCGCTTCTTTGGAGCAGGCTCAGCCTCTGGCTTTAAGGGCGGAGCCCAAGTATCTGGCTTAGTCCAAGCTGGAGTATCACGTACCGGATATGCAGGAGCTGGAGGGTACTGCCGCTCGGGAGAGTAATTGGGCGTCTTCTTGTGAGGCTTTGTCCTGACTTTTGTACGTTTGCGATCCCGTTGGACCGATTGCGAAGGAACCACGACGATTCCAGGAGCCGCGGTACTGGCTTTCCTCTCAAGCTCGACAGGGCTCGGGGACGAGATCAACACCTGCGAAGGGCGTCCATTGGACTCAGGGGACCATCGAATCGTCTGGCGCTCAATCTTTGCTGACTTCGGAGAGTGAGTACTAGCGTCTCGACGCACTATAATAGGAACTAGTTTTTGGGATGGATCTACTGTTGAAGCTCTGTCGATCTGATCTCGTCCGGGTGCACACTTTGCGGTCCTTGAGCGGACGTCAACTGCTCGAGATATCGGAAGAACCACATCTTTCACGTAAGAAGGAGGCACTCTCGCCGACAAAGAGTGCTCTTCAGCTTGCTTGGAAGGTGATGGAGGCGCTGGTAGCACTTCCACGGGCTCCGTGCGCTTGCGAGTAGTCATTCTCCGGATGATCTCTTCTGGTGAAGGCGAAGGCCCTGTACCCTGGCGGTTTAGTGCGCGCTCAATTACTGGTTCAGGGGAAAGAGTCATTTCAGTAGGATGGCGAGTTGTCATCTTACTTATGGAGGTCTGTTGTGCATTGATCTTCTCGGTGCGCCTGCGTATAGTTGCATTCATAGTCACTTTTTCAGGATATGGCGGACGTTCTAGTAGCCGCCGCTTAAGATCTCCCTCTGCTGCTACGGGCTTCGGTGGGGGCACTCGCTCTGTAGAGAGACGAGTAGGCACCTTGCGCACAACGTATGTAGGAGGCGTACACTCTTTGATTGGCTTGCAAGTCATGGCAAGGCAAACCAGGGGCTCAGGTGAGGAGGTTTGCTCCGTTGGACGTCGAGTGGCAGGCTTGCGGACAGGTGACACGGAGCTAGGGATAAACTGAGTTGGTCGCTGGGTTGTCGTCTTCCGTATGATCAGTTCCGGAGAAGGACCACAAGGCGATCTGGCAGTGCGCTCTTGAGTCTGTATTCCCATGGCCACAGGCTCAGGTGTTGGCGGAGGAGGAACTATTGAAGCTCTCCTCATGCGAAGCACAGGCGCGTCAGATTCTACTCCATTGACGTGTCGTTGTAAAACCTCTGTGGATTTGCGAGTCAGCCGTCGTTTTGGGAAGCGAGTAACGATGCGGCTCTTAAGTTCTTCTTGCAGTTCTCCGCTAGATGCTGAGAACAGACTCGATGACTCTTCCGGGAAATCTGCTTCTTCTTCAGCTTCTCCCAAAATTGGGTGGCGGGATGACATGATTGTTGGCTTCATAGTCGACATACGCCGTGCCCTATAGGGTCCAGGCGAGGATGATGCGATCTGTTCAGCAGCCAGCGCCGGAGGCGAAATCAGGGAAGTTGAGCGTTTCGTCGGCACGCGGCATAGGATGCCCTGGGGAACCTCGGCGAGCTTCTGCCGTAGCTCAACGGCTGGTGAAACCTCATTGTCGTGAGCATTGCCCACAGGGGGAATGAAGGCGAGAGTTCTCCCAGGTCGCAGAGTATGCTGACGAGTTGCAGGGTCGAACACAATACGCTTGACCATGAGAGACGCCTCAGTCTCTTCCTCTCCTTCCTAGAGCTCGGAAGAGGAGGGGAGGAGGGGACTCTGGTCTGCGAAGGTCTGCGATATAACGTTGGGCTTGTGGGAGGGCGAGATTTCAGATCCTCGAGTGGTCGCTCGCTCGGATATCTCAGGCGCGGCCGCTATCTCATGCACAGGTTCCTGTTCTGCCATCCTCTGCACTGGGGAATCGGTTTCCACTTTTATTGATGTGGTCACTCGCTCTACCGTTGCAGGAGAGTGGTATTTTTCGTAGTTAGAAGAAGCAAGTTGCACTATTTGTTGCCGGAGAAGACTGAGCCGCTCAATATCTGCAAGACGGTGTTGCAGCTCAACGAGTGGTTCCGTGTGCGAAGGCTGAGACGGGACATAATCCCCGCATACTACTTTGGGCTCCTGAACATATTCTAGCTCCGGCTCGTATTGTCTTCGCTCTTCAATCTCCTCGAAATCGGGCTTCATTTCGAGAGCAGAAAGTAATTCTGAAATGGTGGTCACTGAATCGGATGCCGCAGGAAGCTCGGATTGCGCAGGCTTTAAACATCTTTGTATCTCCTTTGGTGGAATGTCACTGTCGTCTGAGAGACCTTGCATGGTGGCAGACATGCGCCGAAACCGAGTGGGAATTCGCGTGAGGGCGTGACTGGTGTGCTTTTCGTTAATCTGCTGATCGGTCATGCGCGGTATCTGTTCCGCTACAGAGTCAGCCGACTTGTTTCTGAGCCATGTGCTGTTCCTCAATAGGCTGGTCGACACTTTGCTGAGGACTTGCTGGACTGGATCGGAGCTTGGCTCGGGGTCACGAAGTTCCTGCGCTGGAGCACCTAGATCTTTGGCGATCTCGTCAAGCTCATCCATAAGCTGGGACCGAGCTTCAGACAACTTGGCCAAATGTCTGCGAGTCTGCTCGAGCCAAGAATCCTCAGTAGACGCAGCCGCCTCAGAAATGGCCTCTTCAATAGTCTCGGAAAGACTGTGTTGAGAAACAGCGGGTGTCGTGGACGAGCCCTGCACACGTGCATTGCGGAATGCTTCGTCGTCCTTCGCTGTGGGACGTCTGTCCAAATCGACACCAAGATCATCTGCGGCAGAATTGACCAAGTGTATAAGATCTGGGATTGTCTTGATGCTCTCGCGCAGGGTAGATTTGCAATCATTTAGGTTTGAAGCAAGCTGCCCAGGCGCTCCAACGTTCAATTTTTCAGCTGCTTTGGGGGGAGCGCATGGACATGGCGATTGCTAGTCGCACGCTTGATGCATGGGCGTACAGACCGATTGGAAAACTGGTCGATAAGGCTGACAGGCCATCCGGTGCGTACAGGAAGGCCGACACAGTGTGGGGCGAAAATTGGTGCAGACGCCACCACGCTGACATCGTTGGACAGGGTCTCCAGACTCCATCGGAAGCTGTGCACGTCCGGACTGGCTATGTCTGATGTTGTGGATTACGCCTTGCAGCGTGTTTGTATGCTCTTCGAGGATGGCGTCGATGATGCTCCCCAAGTCCTTTGCAAAGACGTCGCCACACTTGTCTGCGAAAGAGTATTCCAAATGGTGTTGACGACGCCTTGAACTACAGGAAAACTTATCCTCGACCTTTTCCGATGAGCGCGAGTCCGTCGTTGGTCGTCCCTGAGTCCGCTGCTGCTTCGCTGGCTGCGATTCTGGTTGCGAAGACGCGGTTGCACATTGACGACAGAGCTTCTTGGATGCGGCTTCCTGAGACTCTGTATTGACCATGTATGAAAAGTGACCGCAAGCTCGCTTAGTCCAATGATAAGGATCTTGGAGGGGCCTGCATGTTCGATACGGGCCGCATGTTTTGATGCGTGCTCCGGGATAGCCAAAGTCCTTGGTATTGCGCCTTCCGTATGCGCTACGCCAGTCGACATGATCTGGCACCTCAATGTTATGGTCCTCCGCGCGGATGCGAGTCTTGGCTTGTACGACAGACCTAGGAGCCGTGCTGCAACGTGACATGGACGGCGTGGAGCTGGAACCATCGTGACTAAAGCGGTTCGGAGCAAAATCCGCAATCCTTTTTGGGGATTGGCCAACATCGGTCGCTGAGGACTTGCGAGAGTTTGACTCAGTCCCTCTGCCGATTGAAAATGTCTCGTCTATCAGAGGGGCAGTGCGAGATTTGCGTCTCCGTACTCGCTTCGCTTGGAGTCTGGTGTCGCTCTCGAAAGTCCTTCGAACATGGCGACCAGAGTTCGTACGCCGAGCTTGCGCGCGGGATAGTGGTGCTTCTTCAGTCGCGCCTTCATTACTCTCAGCTGCTGACACGAACATATGAGTAAATCGAGGTCTCACTGTTTCGTCGCAGGTGTGGCGATCGTCTATTCTGTTCACATGCTCAATCGCAATGAGCGGCGCATTTGAGGCTGCATCCAGCGCTGAGCTATCTTCAACAGCTCGTCGCTCATAGCCCAAAGGCTTCGCATCTTGAGGGGCGATCTCGAAGATGTTCGTAGACTTTCTTCTTCCATGTCTTGACTCGGATGAATCCGACGCTGAGGGGTCGTCATACACAGGAGCTTCTCGATGTATCGTAGCCTTGCAGGGGACCATCTTGGGTGCCAGAGGATCGCTTTTCGGGCGAATGAAGGGATTTGTTCGCTGGCATGGATCAGTTTGAGAGGACAGACCTGTAGGTGGAGGTGGCATGGAAGGCTCCAGATCAAAACCTGATCGTATGGCAATGCATGATGCTTGACTGGGGATGCGTGGTCGGCTGGCTTCATCCTTCAAACAGCGGCGAGAGAGCGAGGGTCCTTGCTTCTCGCTCACAGCGCTCCTAGGGACCGCGCCCTTGGCTGTAGCGGAAACTCGTGGAGGCGGGAAAGGAAGAGCTGATCCGCTCTGTGATGCTTTACTCTCAAAGAAATCCTTGGTGGCCCGTACCGAGATCGCTTTCGCGGGCGTCTTTGGAGGTGGTGGTGGTGATGAAGGATCCTGCGCATTGACCTCTCGCTCAGGCTCAGCTTTTGATTCAGGGCGCGTCCTGAACTGGAAGGAACCTGCGGTTCGTGGCCGATCCTCAGAGGTGGCACCGATCTGGGAGGGCGCGCCTCCCGTTGTCTTCGGCCTTCTGTAAGGGTGTTCGACATTGTCCAGGATCTGGCCATAGGGATTCTTGCCTTCAAGATATGCTGGCGACTTGCGTCCGGATGAAGCAAGTTGGAAGTCGCTTGGCTGCTGCGGCAGAACTAATCTCGGCTGGTTCGACGACTTGCATCGAGCTGAGATGGAATCTGCTTGCACAGGGGCGTCGTTGCGGCCCTGTCTCGTGCGCTGCGTGTGCTCGCGGGAAGCCGTGCCGCTGGAGCGGGATGCAGAGCTTGATGTGGGCTGGTCAAAGCCTCGGCGCATATGGGATGCTGGCAAGAAAGTGCTGATTCAGAACGCAGGAGTGGCGCTGTCAGATGTAATGTGAACCGCTGGCGATTAGCTCGTTGTAGAGAGCGACAAGTAGGAGATGCAGAGATGGCAAGAAGACGAAAAGGGTAGAAATAGGGTGGGGATTGAAGGCCTTCAAATCCGGGTTGTGTGAGAGCAAAAGTTGCAAGGAGAGCGCGCGGTAGACAAGAGCTTGGGCTGGCCCAAGATGCACCTCCTATGTATTCTTGAGGAAAGCACGCCTCAGGCTCCAAGCCTGGGGTGAATTTGGAACACACTGGAGGTCCTCACTGCCATGAAAACACTTCCCAGCTGGCTTGATATTATACATACCACATCGTCATGCTCTTAATCGCTTATTTACACATTTACTTGAGGGCGGCCTGCAGGCTCTCGAGAACCTCCAGCTCAATCTTGGCCTCAGCAATATCCTGCTCGCTGCCGCTGCCGCTGGCAATCTTCTGGGCCTCAGCGATCTGGTTCCTGACGGCCTGTTCTCTGTCAGCTGGTGCGCTCTCGCAATATGTCTGAGCACTCGTACATCGGCGCTGAAGTCCTCGAGCGGATAACCCTCGACGGCGTTGATGCTGAGCTTGGAGTCGGGCTGGACAACGGCGAATCCACCAGACAGGAAGAACTGCTTGTTGCCGCCAGACTCCTCGATAATCTCGACCAGACCAGGCTTCAGCTGCTCGATAGAGGGAACATGGTTGGCGAGGACACCCATATCACCGGTCTCGGCGGCAAGGTTGACCTGGACGCTGCAGAATCCGTCATGTCAGTAATCGCTCGTTCGCATTGCGGGTTCGGTCGGGCTGGCGGTGGACGTACACATCCTGGGACTTGAAGACGGTCTGCGCATCAATTGGTCAGCATTCGCTTCTGGAGGCAAGAACATCCCAACGTCATCTTCGAGATGCGGCAGGCGCGGGCGGTGCGTACCTGGTGAGGCAGAGCTAGGGAGAGCTTGATCTTGTCCGAGGCGACCTCAGCGTATCCACGGCGCTGCATGGGGCGGGCGATGGCGGCAGGGCGCGCGCGGAGGGCGGAACGGGCAATTCGGAGGGCGTTCATGATGGATGGAGGGGTGTGAGGATGGCAATTGCTGGTGGGCCGGAAGCTTGAGTTCGTTGAAGATTGCGATGCAGCCCGGGTGCTGCTTGGCTAGCCGAAGTTTAGGCGCTAGCGTGGCGCTGATATGTCCAGCGATGAAGTACGCTGTTGTCTTGACCTCACAATAGATGAAATTCCAGGAAATGATATTTGATCAGCTCTGAAGAAGCTCGCGCATTGCTATCTAGCCTGGTAAATCCTTTACACAGTGCTGCGTTGGTCACTGCTCTGGTCTCGCTCGTATGGACTAATACAAAAAATACTCAAACTCCAAAGCAGTAACACAGCTGGAAGGACCAACAATTGATTACAGGGGTATCTCAAATGCAAAACGCCTGTCATATACGCAACCTCCGGAACATCATCACCCCGTCTTCCCTGACACACTTTGTCTAGTAGTCGTCGAACTGCTGAGGTGCAGCCATGCTCATCCTCAACTGTCTCTCCCTCTGCTTTGCCTGCAGCTCCAGCGTCTCCACAGCGTAGCTCAGCCTGTCTTTCCTCGCTTTCAGCTGCTTGAATCTCAACTCCTGCTGTGCGTTCACCGCCCTTGCATTGCGTCGACCTGCCGCTGCTCGACTCGCTGGTCTTGAGCCTGAGCCGCCTGTGCTGTCGCGTCCTAGTCGGCCATCATTCAAGTCGCATTTCGCAACGAGTGACCGTTCGCGTCGCTCAAGCTTGTCCAGATAGTTTTCGACGCGCTTCAGTAGGTTGTCGACTTCTGGGCGGATCTCTGAGAGTAATGCGCCCTGCGCTGTTTGGAGGTCGGTTTCAGAGATGAGCTCGAAATGCTTGCGGCGGTCAGTATCTCATGTCACAACACCACTTTAACCATGGAGCCGTCCGTACCCGTGTTGTCTGTAGCACTTTGGCCAGTCGTGGCATGTCGCTCACACCGTCGTCGAGGATGTTGATAGTCGAATCGAGATTCTGCATGCTGGCGCGCAGCGAGGCGACGCAGCCTTCCAATGCGAACGCCATATTGTCGCGAACTGTCTGCTCTTCTTGCACTGTGTCCAGAAATCGCCCGTTATCACCGTGTTGTACCTGTGGGGTATACGGAGGGGCGATCTTGGCTGTCTTGTAAACAATGTCGGCCATACCTTCCGCCGACCTCGTTCGCCAAGCATCGAGAACTTCCGCTAGGAGCTCGACCGACCCATCGACTCCCATCTCCCACGGCACCCGCATATCCACCCATTGCCTCTCTATCATACGTCAACATGTCTCTCCTCGGTCGCAAGTTCCCCGCGCAAATTGGTACGTCAGATCGCGCAGCTCGCCAGAGCGCAATAGTAGTCGCGAACCGTAGCTAACGAACGTTCGATTGCAGCTAAGCCCATGTGGCCCTTTTACGTCTCCGGTACGTTGGGAACGCCGAATAATCATTGCGGAAGGAGAGGTGTCTGGAACGGCGGATGATATGGAGCAATTGGGCAACATGGAGAGATCAGGACATTTATCGGACAATGTTAACGAACTTCCACAGGCCTTGTCATCCTCTATGGTGTCAACGCTGCCGCCAACGCCATGGGCCAGGGTCGGTCTTCCCAGATCTGAGGTCGCAGACTTAACAGGATGGAGCTGAGCTGACACCTTCCAGCTGATGAGTACAAGAACGACCCCCGCAACCCGGCCGTCAAGAACGCATCGCCCAACCACTAGATTCGATAACGCACGATGACGGAGGGCCATGATACCACAAGAGGCACTGTACCATACCCGTGTACGCGGAGGCTGCCGGAAACGCTCCACTTCAGAGTGGCTGTATAGACTTTGGCAATGCAAGCTTGAACGAACATCATACTCCCGCTCTCCTCTACGTCCTTCTTATGCGATCCATTTGAGACAAACCATCTAGGCCGTCATGCGAGCTGCGCATGACAACCGCCTACAGATAGACACCGAGGAATTGGTCACAGTGTTTTCTTAGGACAGACAGCGCTCTACAGCCACAACTGTTGCTCGTAGATTACTTACCAATCGATGCGCTCACCTTCACATGCTCCCTGTCTGTCTTGGTAAAATTTGAGGGCAGCCCCGGAACCAGTTTCTTCATGGCGCCGACTTGAAGGCAGCTATCTTAGCTTGCATTCGAAGAACCTGACATGTACGAATTAAAGAACAGTACTACAGACACATGAGTGCAAGTAGACGGTATCAACGTGCATCGAACGGCTCCGGGACCATCAATCAAGAGGCCAATGTCAAACGAATTGAACGGGTGTGGTACCTTGAAACAGCGCTCCACAAGGCACCGAGACTGAGATTCAAGGACAAATGTAACATGAATAATGTGCATGTCTGCACACATTCGCTCGTGACCTGGCACCAACCAAGATATGTATAGATTGTCGCCTGCGTTGTGCATTCGAGACAATGTGCCGTTCCAGTGATAAGCGTGACAGCTGTCAAGCATGTATGCAGTGCGAGCCACCGACATCAGCTCTGAAACCCTGACTGGTGCTGACTTCTGCTGGAATGACAGGGCAAACATGACACAGCACTGGTCGTCGAAAAGGCCAGCTGCAAACCTTTGCAAAAGTGACTCGGTGGCTGGGCATCGTCGACACATCCGCCGATGTCACCTTGAGACGCTCCAGGGCTCAAGCTCTGAGGCCAAACGTGCTGCAGCAGGCCGATATTAGCCTGTGAGATCGATCTGGCCGGAGCATTATTGCCAGATCGTTCCAAATTCTCATCTTCCATACAACAGACCAGCACACAGAACGATGCAACTACATTGGGCAGCCATGTGCGCGGTATGAGATACCTAGTGGAGAATGCATAAAGGGGCGGTGTTTCGTGGAACGCAGGGCCTCGGCATAGAGCGGACAGCAGTTTGCGGCACTTGAAACGCTTGAAGCAGTCCGGCAGCGCAGACCTGGCCGCGGATGGCGTGAAGGTGTGAGCGCAGGTCGTAACTGGGTCGTGATTCTCCCGAGGCGAACGCAGGGCGCAGTGCTCGCCGTGCGGAAAGTGGCAGCGCCGTCCGTCCTTGGCATGCGCGTGAAGGTGTGGCTACGCCTTCCAGAACGGCCGTCTCCTCACCTCTACCTGCTCTCCCGCACAACCTCTGCTGTGCTTTCTCACTGGGGCTCTTCGCTGTTCTCTGCAGCAGCCTCTCGCACCGTGTCTAGCAGCAAACTATTTCCTGTCCGCAGCCTACCCCCAGCAACTCAGGTGCCGTAATCCGTTGGTGCCCATTCACGCCCTGTAAGTCCAGTCCAGCCCAGCGAGCAAGGTCCCGCCCTACTCTACTACCTGCCTCCACGCTCGTGCCTATTTATCCCCCACAACAGCAAGTTTGCACCTTCACCCTACTGTGTTTCTTTCTGCCTTTCACTGCTGCTCGCGCTACCTCCCTGGTCGGCGGACTCGCTTGCCCGCACCGCTTACTCACCGCCTTCTTTGGCAAAAGCCTCCCACTGACCGGTCCGCCCGCAGCAGGCTGAACCTCACCTCCACCACCACAAACCACCATCTACCCCCGTGTCTCGCCCGACGCTCCCACTATAACCACCACAGTACCTGCAGGCCAGCCTCCTCAAGGTTGACCCTCTAGCAGCCATGACGACAATGGTACGCAGGACCCCGCAGCTCTGCATCGACGTGCAGAGTCCGCACAGCCTATTGCAAGGTCAGCAGCTGACCACTATAGGATCTCCGCGTCGGCAATAAGTACAGAATCGGCCGCAAGATTGGTAGCGGTTCCTTCGGTGACATCTACCTCGGTGAGTTGCAAAGCTGGTCCTGCAATTCACCTGAGCTAACCTTTAACAGGCACTAACATCATCTCGGGCGAGGAGATTGCTATCAAGCTCGAGAGTGTCAAGGCTAAGCACCCTCAGCTTGAGTATGAGGCTCGTGTCTACAAGTCCCTCGCCGGCGGTGTCGGTATCCCATTCGTGCGCTGGTTCGGCACCGAGTGCGACTACAACGCCATGGTCCTCGATCTGCTGGGTCCTTCACTCGAAGATCTCTTCAACTTCTGCAACCGCAAGTTCTCGCTGAAGACCGTCCTTTTGCTCGCCGATCAGCTCATCTCCCGCATCGAGTACATCCACGCAAAGTCCTTCATCCACCGTGATATCAAGCCTGACAACTTCCTCATGGGCATTGGCAAGCGTGGCAACCAGGTCAACGTTATCGATTTCGGTCTGGCCAAGAAGTACCGCGATCCCAAGACCCACTTCCACATCCCGTACAGAGAGAACAAGAACCTGACTGGTACCGCTCGTTACGCTTCCATCAACACCCACTTGGGTGTCGGTACGTCTGTCCTGTTCCCTCATTTTTCTAGACACTAACTTCGGGCAGAGCAGTCCCGCCGTGACGACATGGAGTCTCTTGGATACGTCATGCTCTACTTCTGCCGCGGCTCTCTACCCTGGCAAGGTCTTAAGGCGGCTACTAAGAAGCAGAAGTACGACCGCATTATGGAGAAGAAGATGACTACCCCTACCGAGGTCCTCTGCCGTGGCTTCCCCAACGAGTTTGCCATCTACCTGAACTACACCCGGTCTCTCCGCTTCGACGACAAGCCCGACTACTCCTACCTCCGCAAGATCTTCCGCGACCTCTTCGTCCGTGAGGGCTTCCAGTACGACTATGTCTTTGACTGGACTGTCTACAAGTACCAGAAAAACGCCCAGGCCATCGCTCAGGCTGCTGGTCAGGGTCAGGGCGAGGAGGATGACAAGGGCCGCGGACGCCTAGTCACCACCACTGCCGCTGCCAACGCTGGCACTGCGGCCGGAGCCAAGCGCGGACCGGTCAATGCACGCCAGGAGGGCACCGGAATGTGAGTTCGATATATCTGATCCTTGTAAGGACCCCTTCCTCTGCGTTTGGTGTTCGATAACGCTTTTGCGCGGAGGACGCCACAGTCAGAATTTACTAACCTCTGATTCTCCGTTCAGGCAGCTTCGTTCAGCAAATAAGCGTGGCGGGGACCAGTATGCATCTGGTGGCTACTGATTCTTGATGCGGCTTTCGATTCGTCATCTCAACTCTCTTGTGTAAACCGGCTCATTCGAATCGGCTCACACCAATGAATGGGAAATGCGGCAGTGCTGTCCTGGCAACATATTGGACGGCATGCGCACCTATTCGATCATTAAACGGGATCTATTCGTCGGAGACCTATTCAGGACCTGGCAGGACTTCTCGGTGTCTTGCAAGTACTACGGCCTTGGGTTTCTGGCGTCTGTCTCGGTATCTGGAAGCTTATCCCATGCGGTATCTCAACTCTCATGGCGTTACGGCGGGCGATCATCATTACTCAGCACATGGTTTTCGTCAGCACGACGCCTAATACTTGGACGCTGAGCACAGCTCTACTGGACATTTCCCGGATGATCACTGGTTCTTCGGCACTACTCTACATTAATTCTGCCCTTTCCTTGTCTTTACTGCGTGGTTTCCTACAGCATTTCCTTCGTGCGTTCTCCCCTTCGGACATGGTCTGCCAGCTTGTGGGGAGGTCAAGATTACAAGGGGATGAACACATCTAAATTGCAAACATAGCTGGAGCGATGGGCCAGCAGGTGGATGAGTGGTAGACCAGAGGATGTTTTGGTGGCGGCTAGACAGATGGAAGGACTTCTTGAGGGGCCGCTTCCGGGGGTGTGTAGAGAGGTCTAGCTTGCTACCTGCGTCTGTGTCTGGAGTTGGGTGGTTTACGAAGTGCTTCACAATACAGTCTCCTTTGTTTCACGTACTCTTCCTTGATCCTATGTGATTGTTTGCGCTGCAGTGATGCTGTCCATAAGGTTGAATTTGGAACTTTGATGCGAGCCAGTGCATTTGGCAGCTCGTGAGTTTGAATCTAACGGTACTTTCGACTGACGCTTCCTACCTCATCAGTCGGGCGTTCGAGCTGGTGAACTTGAGCTCCTGCCCCACCATCGGACCCCCGAGCCTGACTTCCCCGCACGTCATCTACGCTTTTCCTACAGCAACCCAAACAACCACAATGTCTGACGCCGACCTCGAGCAAATCAGACAAGCACGCCTGCAGCAACTGCAGCAGCAGGGCGGAGGGCGTGGCAGTCCTGGTGGCGGCGAGGGCTCAGAGCAAGACCAGCGAAGGTAAACACGTTACACCACGCCTTCACACGCGCAGAGCACTCCGCTGACAATCCACAGACAGCAAGAAAGTGCGTTCCCGCCTCCCCCTCGCAGCTTTGGAAAGCCCTGGCGCGCATGCCTGACCCCAACCCTTGCACCCACGCCCACACACAGCAGCTAACGCATAACAGGTGACCAGCGCGCACATATCCTCTCGCAGATCCTAACCCCCGACGCTGCGGACCGGCTCGGCCGTATCCGGCTCGTCAAAGAATCCCGTGCGACGGACATCGAGAACCGGCTCATCATGCTGGCGCGCACGGGGCAGATCAGGCAGAAGGTGTCGGAGGACCAGTTGAAGGATATCCTCGGCGCGGTCGCGGAGCAGAACGAGAAGGAGGAGCAGCGGATTGTTGTTAATAGACGGGGTGGCGGGGGGTGGGATAGCGACGAGGAGCTGGAGCAGCTTATGAAGGATGTTTGAGAGTTTCGGGGGATGGTGGAGGCGGATGCAAGGGGCATGCTGATGCGCCTGGGGGTGGACGATGTGTATGTCAGTGGGCGGATATCGAGGCTTGGTATAGGCGTGAAAGGCGGTTTGGCACGAGGGCGTGTCGAAATTGGGTTACAAGGCGCTCGAACCAATGTCCGGTCTGTAAGAGAAGCAATACGATTCGGCGTCAGGGACTATGTTCATGGACGCTCGCTCATTTGATCATTGTTCGTTACGGTTCCTACACAACATGCCAACAGCTCTAGTTGACCACAACCAACGGCCGCGGCGTAAGCTTTGTGCCATGGTTGAAAAGGTTGTCCGGGTCGTATTTCTGCTTCAAGTCTTCCAGACGCCTTACATTATCGCCGAAGATCTCATTCGCAGCCACGTCTTCGCTGGCGTAGTTACCGTACTGACCCACGCCTCCGTCCTTGGATCGGTCTGCCGCTGTCTCAGAAGCCTTCTTCAGCAGCGAGCGCGAGAAAGTGCGCATCTCTGTGTCGAGCGTGGTATCGAACCTAGGTCATGTCAATCAGTGGATAATAATCGTCAGGCAGGGTACAGACCATTTGAACATGGTGGCTACGTTGTAGTAGTCCCCTCTGTTCGCGAAACTCGTCTCCTCGTTCCGCACCTCCATGACCTTCTTGTACGGCACAACCTCCCACAGCATCATACTCTGCGCGATTGCAGAGTCCGCCTTGCTCTCCACAAAGGCCTGGAACTCGCTGTACACGTTCTGCACAAACGCGGGGTCGAGAGGCAGTTTGAACGCGCCCCCGCCAAACAGCTTGCGCCCATCAAATCCCGCGCTGATGTTGAGGAGGCTGTTCAGCACCTGGTAGGGCACCATGCCAGACCTGTTGGCAAGCGGGCCAAGCGTGAAGAGATCAGCGAATATGGCTTTTCCTTCTTCTTCGGTGCCGTTGTGGAAGAGCTGTGTCAGTACTACCGGGGCATTTGCTGGTGGCGGAGAGCTAAAGGCGACGAGGAGAGCTTGGTTCCCGTCATTAGTTTCGTGGAATCTGTTCATGAACTCGACGATCTTGGGCAGTGCTGTGGGTGGGAAGACGAGCGGACCTGCAAACACGGGGTTTTCTTGGGGATAGCCCTGGAAGGTGAACTTTGTGACGACGCCAAAGTTCTGGCCGGCGCCACGGATGGCCCAGAAGAGGTCTGCTTTCTCTGATTTGGATGCTGTGACGACTTTGCCTGAAGCGAGGACAATTTCGACGGAGAGGAGGTTGTCGATTGTCAGTCCGTATTTGCCAGTCAGGTAGCCGTAGCCGCCGCCTAGAGTGAGGCCACCAACGCCAGTATGGTTTACAGTGCCGCCGACGGTCGCGAGACCGTGTTTCGCAGCTGCGTTGTCGACGTCTTCCCAGATTGTGCCGCCTTCTGCGGAGATGGTGCTGGCTGACGCGTCCACGGTGACGCCACGCATCTTGGACAGGTCAATTACGAGACCATTCTCGATAGATGCGGCCCCTGAGGTTGAGTGTCCGCCTCCTCGGATGGTAAAGGGGAGCTTGTTTTTTCGGATCTGCTCGAGTGCTGCTGAGATGTCTGCTGTTGATCGGACGACTACTACTGCTGACTTGGTGGATGTCAGTGGGTGCAACTAAATCGGTAATAATTGATGTCCAACCCAGACATATTTCGAGTTCTTCTACCGATTGGAAGAAATAAAGGCGTTACCTACGGCTCTTTTCACGCAGCTCTCGCTCCATCTCTGGATGATGTTTTCGTACTTGTGTCCATCATCAGGGACCAAGACATCGGCTTTTGTGTCTTTCAATATCTCTTTCAGCGATGTGTAGTCGAAGCTCTCGCTAATCGAACCCATTTTGACTTTCGGAAGATGAAAATCTGAGGGACAAAGGTTTGAGGAATCAACAACTGTCGAGCCGAGTGCGATGGGGAAATAAGGTCCACTTCCAATCTAGATGTCGATGCTCTGCGGCGCCCAATAATGGTCTACGTGTGTAACAAAGGACAAGACGTGCAGGTAGACTCCAGGCAGTACAGCTGGACCCTGTGTCTCGGAGCGTGTTGTGTCTGAGAATGGCGAGGCTGAAGTCGAGGCCAATGGTGACATGGCGGGGTGGAGCTCTGCATATCTCCGGAAGATGGCCACCGATACCGATGATGGCAGTCAGCAATGATCAGCAGTCATTCTGGTGAGGCAATCGCGATTGGACAATTAAACGGAGAGTCAGCACCTCAAGGTAGCCACTGGTGTCGTGCTAATGCAGCGGCCCAGCTTCAAAGAGGTGCATTACCCAAGTCTCATGCGGGTAGTACATGAACCGCCAGAAGAGACGGAGATAATATCCTGGACCCATCGTCCCTGGCTCCTATGTTTGAAGTGCTCAATGGAGTCATAGCTGGAGCAACTTGAGATTGAAATGGCAGCTTGGAGGTGGTTGCGAGAATGTCGAGCTTTCTCCAACGCGTCCGTCGTGATTGGCTGGCAGCGCGGTTCAACTAGCGCGGACCCTGGCAGTGAATGCGGCGAACTTTCTCTCCTCCGTGAGGCAGGAGTCGTTCGACATCAAACCTCAGAAAGCAAGATGCTGAAAGCCAGGGGTCTGCAGTCCGCGTGCGCGTCATGTCGCCTCAATCTTGCCATCACGAAGGCACGTAATGCACGATTACCGCAGTCGATTCTTGCATTGCGACCGGCGCAGACGAACACCTTCACACAGCGACGAACGCTAATCACGACGCCCCTACGCCGACAACAGCAAGCCCAAGATCAAGCGAAAAGCTCAGAAGAACCTTCGCTGGACCCGACAGTGCACAAGTTGAATATTGAAGTCAACGTACGGAAGGCAAGACAACAGTTCCGCGACTTTTTGCCACGAGACCACCTGAGCGCGGAGGAGTTTGCACTATACGAGAGATTATACGGGCCGCCTATATTCGTAGACACAGCGGAAGAGCTGCTGGCTACCGGGAAGCAGCCGGAGGAGATCATATCGGAGGAACAGCCAGATGGCTCGACGGTACTCCTGCGACGAGGTGAAGATGGGCAGCTAGAGGAGATTGATGTGTACGAAGAGGAGGAGGTTGATCTGGCAGAAGAGGACGAAGATTCAATGACACCCGAAGAATGGGAGGAGTACAGGGAGCAGAAGGCGGCAACGTTCCATGACAGCGTCTACGAGCAGAGTCGCACACAGCACGAAGAAGCAGAGGAGTGGGAGGATGAGGACGTCGAAGAGGACGAATCGTTCATGCGCGCCCATCCCATGACAATCGCCGGTCGCTTCAAGCCATCGCCGTCCACCGTCTTCCTGCCGAAGGAAACCCTCGTCGATCCCACCGCACAACTCCTCACGCGCGCAAACCACAAGCACCTTGTCGAGTCAGCGAACCGCATCTTCGGCGGGCAAGGGCTGCCCTACTCCGCGAGTACATCACCGGCAAGATTGGGAAAGGAACAGAAGCCCATCGCACTCGACCCCTCGCAGGGCGAGATGGGCAACATCGAGGCGGACGCGTATATGGCTGCTGTACAGCCTGGAACATACGCAAGCGTCATGAGCGCGCTAGTCGAGGTTCGTCGTCGTCTGGGCACACCTTGGATAGAACATATGCTGGCCAAGAAGGGCGGAACAATCCTCGATGCCGGTTCTGGTGGTGTCGGTGTGCTTGCATGGCAGGAGATCCTCAAGGCCGAATGGGAGAGCAGGCAGGAGATGTCTGAAGAGGACGCAGCCGAACAGCCCACATCAGAGGAAGCAGAAGATAAAGAGAGTACCCTGGAGACTGTTCCCACAGGCAAAGCGACAGTCCTCGTCAGCTCTACTACCCTCCGCCACCGCGCAAGTCGTCTCCTTGAAAACACGACCTTCATTCCTCGTCTCCCAGAACACGTCACTCTCGAAGACGATGCCAACACAGCGCAACCACGCAAGGTCTACGACGTGATTATCGCCCCGCACACGCTCTGGCCGCTGAAGCAGGAATATCTGCGTAAAGACCAAGTCTCCAAATACTGGTCTCTCCTTAACCCCAAAGGCGGCGTCCTAATCCTAATCGAAAAAGGCCTACCACGCGGTTTCGAAGTAGTCGCCGCCGCGCGCGCCCAGCTCCTCAAGCGGCACATATCCTCACCAGACAGCACCGAGATCGAGACACCACTAGAAAACCAAGTCTCTCGCCCCGAGGAAGAGACCAGATTCACAAACAAGGAGACCGGCATGATCATCGCGCCCTGCACAAACCACTCGGCATGCCCCATGTACCAAACCCCCGGCAAATCCCCAGGACGCAAGGACTTCTGCTTCTTCACCCAACGCTACATTCGTCCGCCCTACCTGCAACGCATCCTAAACGCCAAAGACAGGAACCACGAGGACGTGCAATTCAGCTACCTCGCCGTGCAGCGTGGCCGGGACCAGCGCTTGCCAACCCACGACCTCGTCGGCCGGGGCGTGCAGCAAAGCAAGGAGAGCACCGACGCAGCCTTCACGGGCCACGAATTCTTCGCCAACCCAGAGGATCCCGCGGCCCCGGAGCTCGTCACCCCGAGCGACGTGAACCCCCTCGCACTGCCGCGCATGATCCTCCCCGCGCTCAAGAGAAGGGGTCATATCATCATCGACGTGTGCACACCCGCGGGCACGCTTGAGCGCTGGACCGTCCCGCGCTCGTTCAGCAAGCAGGCGTTCCGCGACGCGAAGAAGAGCCGCTGGGGCGACCTGTGGGCGCTGGGCGCCAAGACGCGTATCCCGCGCTCTGTCCGCCTGGGCCGTCCGAACGAGGACTTTGACCGCAAGGGCCGTAAGATCAGACAGCCTAAGAAGGTGGTCATTGAGGTTGGGGTTGCTGAGCAGGACGGTCAGGTTGTGGATGCGGGTCAGGATCGGGTTACAACCAGCGGCAAGCGGTATGGCGATAAGGATGGAAGGTATAATAAGGATAGGAAGATTAGGGGCAGTGGGGGCCGCAAGGGTAGGAAGAAGAACACTGATCTTATTAATCAGTAGGTGTGTTGACATTGTATTGTATCTTGTAGCAGAGGACATGCTGGGTGGCGTTGGACTCCCATGGGGAGCATGTATAGCACTGTAAGATAGAGAATGCATGGACGTCCAAGCATGTGACAGGCTTGAGTTTTGAAGATGATAGCACTGAACGCCGATGCACGTTACAACGATCCTTTGACACGGATTTGATGGCTGATCGTACGACAAAACGTGCTGACAACCTCACCTCCCGGACTGCCACAGCACTCGGATATAGAAAGCATCGTTCCTCTTGCAAAATGAATCCGTTGTTACTTGTACGCTCATACATGTGGTATTGCAGCCGTCGCATCCAACCCAAACGCCGGAAACGCACCACCGCCAAACACAGTGCCACAATGCCCTAAACTCTCAGAGAGTCATTCGTCCGGAAACCCCGCGCGCAGATTATCATACTTGCTCGCCGGGTAGTGCAGCACATTGTGACTCTGATCCAGCGCCGCAACCCCCCCAACGCCTTGCACAAACTATACAACGTCAGCCAGATTCACCTCAAGACCCCTATGGACTTACCGTGCTGATCAAACTCCCCTCGCCTTTGCGGTCCCCGCTGCTCTCCCAGTACATCGCGCCACCCAACCCCTTCTCCCTTATATGATTGGCTTTGACCCGCACCATCGCCGGCGTATCATAGCTGACCATCAATCTCCTCTCCTCGTCATAGCTCCAGCTCGCGCCGACCGTTTGATCATGAAACACGCCCCCGCCGTCCGCAGGAAGTGCCTTGTAATCATACACGCCCTGTTCCCAGCTGCCCTCGCCCAGCCCCGAGTACGGCGTACCCGGGCCAGCGGTGTTGGCGAAACTGCGGCCGTACAGCGGCACGCCGACGACGATCTTGTGCGCCGCGACGCCCGCGGATGTGTAGTCGTGCAGTGCGAGCGCGGTGCTGAACGGTGTGCAGGAGCGGTTCGTCGCGTCGGGGGACCAGTTTGCTTGGTGTCCCGCAGTCGCGTCCCAGGAGCCGGCGTAGTCGTACGCCATCAGATTCCAGAAGTCGAGGTATGCGTCCATTTCGGCGAGATGTAATTTATTGTAGTTCTGCGGCCCGGCGGGGGAGGCGACGGTTAGCAGGTAGTGGACCCCGGGAGTGTGCTCGGTTGCGTAGGCGTCGAGGGCTTTGCGGATTTCTGCTAGCAGAAGGACTAGGTCGTTGGCTTGGGCGTCGTTTTGCGGATATTCCCAGTCGACTGTTGCGGTTAGATGGCTATTGTGAGTGCGAGATGCGGTGAGAATGGAGCTTACTGTCAAGGCCTGGGTTGTGTCAATTCGAGTACATATGTGTTCGTGCGATGTAGCTTACCATCAAAGCCAAGGTTCATCATGATATCCACTGCGCTGTTTGCGAACCTTGCCCGACCCTGAGGTGTGGATGCTGGCTGGGCGAAGTTGGAGGAATATGTCCAGCCTCCAATTGAGAGCAGCACTTTCATCTGGCGGTGCTTCTTTTTCTGCAGGAACAGCTGTTTAACACAGCCGTAGACGTTGGTTCCTACGTCGTTCCATGAGTCGTGCTCATAGTGCTTGTCTGTGTCTGACCAGGTATCTGTCAAGTAGACCTCGCCAGAATCTGCTCGGACATTTGCGAAAGCGTAGAGGACATGGGTCAGCTCATCGGCTGGGAGATCTTGCGGATGGTAATTGCGTCCATAGATTCCCTGATCAGGTTAGTCCAGTATGACGTTGAGCGGTGAATCAACATACCCAGTTCACGAAATAAGCGACGTTCCTGAGTCCAGAGGGCGTGGACATTGTGTTTGCCTGAAACTGCTGGATTGCAATAGCTTGGGATAAGGTAAAGTAGAAACACAACGCTACTGAGAGCTCACTGATGATGTACATCTTTAAACAGGTTGCAGCGGTGGCTGTGCACCTGGACCGTGCCACGTGGCGCCGCTGGAGGCGCAGGAACGCAAGTGCTTGGTGAAGTAGCAGTGCTGTCAATGGAGGTGGCAATCCAGACTGTACTTCCAACAAGAGTATAGGAAATGTCTCTTGGTTGGCTCCCAAATGCTGATCAGCAAAAAACTGTAAGACAGCAGAACCAGAAAATGACTTGAGGAAGAAAGTAGAAGAGGAGCGAACGTTTGAAAGTAGCTCTGAAAAAGTATCAGGCGCGAATATAAAGTCGTCGTTCAAGAATTGACGGTTGCCGCGAGAAGCAGTGGTCTCGATGCAAGTGGTATTGACAAGACCCTGATCCAAAGAATTTCAGTGCACAGCGTTGCTCTTACATATAACGATCCATGTTTTGAAGCATGGTGGGTTGGAAAGACTCCCAGCTTTCCTCAAAGCTGATCACCAACGGTATGCGGTGTAGACGGGTGTACTCCGAGCGGAAGGCAGATGCAGCTTGCCTGGGAAGGACGTTGTCGGACGCAGGTGAAGCGCAACCGATTTTGTCGTGTCCAATCGAGCTAATCCAGCCCAATCCCTCTTCTCCATTCACTCTTGGAGCTTGGTGTCTGAAAAGCAGCTAGTTGCATCTGCTTGCACAGTGTCTTTGAGTACTTGTTTCAGTGTGATGCAGTTCGTTTTTGGTGCAGAGAATGATTTACTCCAGCCCTTTCGAGTTGACGAATCCAGTGTATGGAGCACCGCTACCTTGCTAGTCCTGGGTATTACCACGCGATAGCGTTTTTAGTTGGAGAGCAGCACCATCTGAGTGCCACGCTAGACATAGTAAGTGTAACTTCAAGCCGGGAAGAGTTTTCATATCATTGCTGCAAGTACAAAGCTTGCGCGAGGTTTCGTCGGACAAAAAAGGTGCTGGTGGACAGTCGTGGGTGGAGGATCAGTCCCAGCGAGCAAGTACTATCAAAGGATCTTGAATCTTTAAGCGGTGCGTGGATGTAGAATGCACAGCTTGGCTGAAGGCGCATCGAGAGCTGTACGTCAGCCATACCATCAGATGTCTTACACTCGGACTTTCCGTCGTGGATCGTGAAACATGCCTGTGCTTTCGAGAACGGCTTGATGCCACCGTAGCAAAGCCCTACCTGGATGAACTTGGACGCGACGTCGACTCGATCTGGAAGCTTGAGTGGCAGGGATTGGTCATGGAAGGGTAAGTCTGCCAGTCGAGAGATGTGACAGAGTACCACAGCGGCATGGAAATCCTCCGATCAGGACACGATAGAGAAGGAGTGTGCAAATAGCCGTGAAGATCGAGATGGGCGTTTTCCAGACTCGGTTGAGGTTGCTAGAGGTAAATGAGCTGTACTTCCTTGTGGTACGCTTGAGTTGCGGACCGAGTCCTGTAGGGGATGTAGACCGGAACGAGTGCGCACAAAGTGTGGGGCATTTGGCCACCATCATGAGTAATGCATTACTCGAATGAGTGACTCGATTGAGTATAGGGTCTGGACCGGATTGTGAGTGAGTGCGTAAGTGCCGATGTTGCATTGCCTAGCTCTGGTCCTCTCTAAGGGGTGCATCGCCCTAGAGGGCTCGAGAAGACGAGGCCGTTCCTGAATGAGGGAGAGAGCAGCCCAGACAGGATCCAAAAGCATATCCAGGGGCTCAGTCGGTGCATCGGCAACGCCTTCCTCCGTCGTGGACGTTCGCTTTCCCTGAGATATTGCTCCTATCAGCAGCAACACCTTCTCATGTTTCACATCCACAGAACAGACACCGTGTGGGTTTGACTTGGACATTCGTCCAGTTCCATTACGCACACGTTGAAGTGCACGGAGCTATAGCTCGTTGAATGCGCTCAAGCTCGCAAAATATGATACAGATGCTCTCACTCCCTTCTTCACAATGTCTGGCTCTCGGTCGCCTGAGTTGCAGGAGCCTCGCCGTTGCCTGTACCTCCTAGCCTCCTCTTCTTCAGCACGTTCTCGATGAAAGCCTCTCCTGCCTTGTAGCTAGATCGTACGAGCGGGCCGGATGCGCAGTACAGGAAGCCCAGGTCAAGAGCTCGCTGCCGCCACAGCTCGAACTTGTCGGGTGTAACGTATTCGTGAACGGCCATGTGGCGCTTCGTTGGTCGCATGTACTGGCCGAAGGTGACGACGTCGACGTTGTTCTTGCGAAGTTCTGGGATTGATTAGCAGAGTCCAAACGAATGCCAAGTATAACCGTACCTCTCAGAGTCGCCCAGAGTTGCTCTTCGGTCTCGCCTAGACCCAGCATGATACTTGTCTTGGTGATGAGCGCCGGCTGTGCCTCCTTCGCAGTGCGCAACACGTCGAGCGACTGCCTGAACTTGGCCCTCCTGTCGCGAACAAAAGGTGTGAGGGCCTCTGTGGTTTCGACATTGTGGGCGTAGACGTCGAGCCCGCTCAGAGCCACCTTCTTGACCATGTCCAAGTCTCCGGCATAGTCACCCGTCAATGCCTCGACAAGCATTGCAGGCGCCTTTTGCTTGATCTTCATGATTGTCTCAGCGAAATGTCGCGCTCCGCCATCGGCAAGATCGTCACGATCTACAGATGTCAGGACCACATAGCCCAGGCCCCATCGTTTCAGCGCCTCAGCGGTGTTCTCCGGCTCGTGAGGGTCCAGCGGCGGAGGAGCTTTCGACGTCTTGACAGAGCAGAAACGGCATCCACGTGTGCAGGTGTCACCCATCAACATGATGGTTGCTGTCGCCGCGCTCTTGTCGCTACCTCCCCAGCAGTCGGAAATGTTGGGGCATTTCGCTTCCTCGCAGACGGTGTGGAGATTCAGGCCACGGAGATCCTTCTTGATCTTCTTGTAGTTCTGGTTCACGGGGATCGGCGTCTTGAGCCATTCGGGCAAGCGGGTGATGGTCTTCTTGCGGCCCTCAGGGCCAACCGTTGCAGTCTTGATCTCATATGCCTCGGCGGATGATAATGGCGCGTTGGGATTGACGAAGTCGTTGAAAGAGGGACCCGAATTGAGAGTGTCGCTGAACGATGTCGGCGCCCTCTGCGACTTCGACGACGTCGGCGCTGCTGGGGGGTTGTCTGAGGTCGTGGCAAAAGTTCGGGCGCATCGTGATGCTGCGCGTAGAGTAGGACCCTGGCGTGCAGGTGCAGCGAAGAGACAGCGTGAGCGGGGTATCGAGGCAGCCATTATTGTGTACGTGCGATTTAGACGGAGAGGAGAGAGAAGCGAGGGGTGAGCCGTTGGGACTGAGTCTTAGCAATGCATGCCCAAGATTGCGCCTTCTTTTCCCGTTGCTGGCCGCACTGTCCGCCGCAGAACGACAGCGCGCTAGGGGCCCGTCAGACAGGCCAAACAGGCCAAACAAGCCAAACACGCAGCACGCAACAGCCCACCGCACCCCTGCACACGGGCGCCGGACAGGGTGCAACTTCAACGTACACCAATTCCACAACACCACGCAATCCCGCCCGAGTCCTCGCCGGCGCATCCCTCTCCGACCCTCCAATCGTTCGTGACCAATTGCAGCGCCCGGTCTGGACACCTCCGCCTCCTGCGTCGACAGGCAAAGGCCACGTTTGGCGAGCAAGAGCGGGACACTTTATTCGACTAAGGGAGCGCTCGCAGTGAGAGCTGCACCACGACCACCACCATGGACAAGAAGCAGGAGGATGTTGGCGGCGTCGCCCAGATCGACAAGACCACCGTCTTCCAGGATGCCCGCGCCTTCAACCAGAGCCCCATTTCCCCACGGAAGTGCAGAGTGATCCTCACCAAGCTCGCGCTGCTGCTGTTCACGGGCGAGAGCTGGGGACGCCAGGAAGCCACGACGCTGTTCTTTGGCATCTCGAAGCTGTTCCAGAACAAGGACGCGTCGCTGCGCCAGATGGTCTACCTGGTCATCAAGGAGCTCGCCGGCTCTGCTGACGATGTTATCATGGTCACCTCGTCCATCATGAAGGACGTCTCCGTCGGCAGCGACGTCGTATACCGCGCAAACGCTATCCGTGCCCTGTGCCGCGTCATCGATGCCTCCACCGTACAAGCCATCGAGCGTCTCGTTAAGACGTGCATTGTCGACAAGAACCCCTCGGTAGCCTCGGCCGCTCTCGTCTCGTCGTACCACCTCCTCCCAGTCGCCAAGGATGTCGTTCGTAGGTGGCAGTCGGAGGCAGCGGAGGCAGCGTCTGGATCCAAGTCAGGCGGCTTCTTCGGTGGTTTCGGCGGCAGCTCCCAGACTGCTCTACAGGCCAGCACAAACTACATGACGCAGTACCACGCCATTGGTCTGTTGTACCAGATGCGCTCTGGCGACCGAATGAGCTTGGTCAAGATGGTGCAGCAGTACTCGGCTGCCGGTGTCGTCAAGAGCCCAGCTGCCACAGTTCTGCTCGTCAGGCTGGCTGCCAAGTTGGCTGAGGAGGACCCCAACCTCCGCAAGGTATGCCAGAGCATTGCGCCGCCGTACAGTATACTGACTCTTGTCACAGCCCATGATGCAACTCCTCGACGGCTGGCTGCGCCACAAATCCGAGATGGTCAACTTCGAGGCTGCAAAGGCCATCGCCGACATGCGCGACGTTACCGATGCCGAGCTCGTCCAAGCCGTTCACGTCCTCCAGCTGTTCCTCACATCGCCCCGCGCCGTCACAAAATTCGCTGCGCTCAGGATACTGTCGCAGATGGCTTCGTTCAAGCCTGACGCTGTTCGCACCTGCAACCAGGACATCGAGTCGCTCATCACCAACTCCAACCGCAGCATCGCTACCTTTGCCATCACCACACTGCTCAAGACGGGCAACGAGTCGTCGGTCGACAGGCTGATGAAGCAGATTACCGGCTTCATGGCCGAGATCACAGACGAGTTCAAGGTCACTATCGTGGAGGCCGTCCGCACACTGGCCCTGAAGTTCAAGGCCAAGCAGTCCGGCTTCCTGGCTTTCCTCAGCGGTATTCTGCGCGACGAGGGAGGCTATGACTTCAAGCGATCTGTTGTCGAGGCTATCATGGATCTGATCCGTTTTGTCCCCGAGGCCAAGGAAGACGCCCTCGCAACTCTATGTGAGTTCATCGAGGACTGCGAGTTCACTAAGCTTGCTGTCCGTATTCTCTTTGTGCTCGGTCGCGAAGGTCCCTCGACACCTCACCCCACCAAGTACATTCGATACATCTACAACCGTGTGGTTCTTGAGAACGCCATTGTTCGTGCTGCTGCCACCTCCGCGCTGTCCAAGTTCGGTGTGGGCCAGAAGGATCCTGAGATCAAGAAGTCGGTGCACGTTCTCCTCACCCGCTGTCTCGACGATGTCGACGACGAAGTCCGTGATCGTGCCGCCCTGAGTCTCCGTTTGATGGACCAGGATGACGACATGGCAGTCAGCTTCATCCGCAACGACTCGATGTTCTCTCTGCCCGTTCTCGAGCACCAGCTGGCGATGTACGTCAGCTCCGACTCCCGCGACACCTTTGAGACTGCCTTCGACATCTCCAAGATCCCCACCGTTTCACGCGAACAGGCAGATGCCGCCGATCTCTCCAAGAAGACACAAGACGCCACACCGACCATCAAGGCTCCCAGCGCCGCGAAGGCTCCCGCGAAGGGTGGTGCCGAGGCAGCTGCGGCGATTGCGAACAATGCTCAGAAGTACCAGGAAGAACTGCAGAAGATCCCAGAGCTTGCAGCACACGGTGGCGTCCTCAAGTCAAGCGACGTTATCGAGCTCACCGAGACCGAGACCGAGTACGTTGTCACGGCCGTCAAGCACATCTTCAAGGACCACATTGTCCTTCAGTACGACATCAAGAACACGCTTCCCGACACGGTCCTCCTCGATGTCGAGATGGTTGTCACGCCAGAGGACGATGGCGACGTGCAGCTAGAGGAAGAGTTCCTCATCCCAGCACCGAAGCTTGCCACAAACGAGCCTGGCACAGTCTACGTCTCGTTCAAGCGTCTTGAGACAGAATCGCAGTTTATCGCCACCACCTTCACCAACGTGCTCAAGTTCACAAGCAAGGAGATTGACCCGAGCACAAACGAGCCCGAGGAGGGTGACGGGTATCCTGACGAGTACCAGGTTGAGGATCTGGACCTCAACGGTGCTGACTACGTTGTCCCCGCGTACGCTGGCAGCTTCGACAACGTGTGGGAGCAGGCGAATGGCGACTCTGCAACGGAGACGCTACAACTGAGTGAGATCAAGAGCTTATCAGGTAGGTCAATTTCGGTAGTCGCGTTCCAGAATGTGCATGTACTAACGGCTCTACAGACGCAACAGAACAGCTCACCAAGACTCTGAGCCTGCAGCCACTCGAGGGCACAGACGTCGCACTCTCGACGACGACACATACGCTCAAGCTTTACGGAAAGACAATAAGTGGCGGCAAGGTTGCGGCGATGATCAGGATGGCGTTCAGCGCACGGACAGGTGTTACGATGAAGATCGATGTCAGGAGTGAGGAGGAGGGTGTTGCGGCGCTGGTAGTCGGCAGCGTAGCATGAGCGTATTAGACATGAGTTCTGGAAAAGATGACATGACCGGTAGCATGAAAGAAGCACTCTTGACCGTGACTGTCCGCTTTCTTGGAACTAAAGGCAACCACAGGCTCGTGAAATGCGGGCGTTCAACATTTGCGAGTGTCAAACCTGTCGAGTGCAGGGGGATTGTCACATGTCGCTAGAACCTCCGCGGGACGCGTCGAGTGGACGCTTGCGGACCCAGACTCCGGACCGCCCCGCAACGTATGTGACGACACTCTCGATAACCATGGCGGCCATGTTCTACGAAGGCACCTTACAGAGTGGCATTGGACAGGCTATCCAGCAGCAGAAGCTCGTGGCATGCTTCGTCCGAGGTAAGCACGCGCCTACGTCATTGCAGTGCACGACTGACATGTTGCCCAGACGACGGCGCAACGAGCAAGCAGTGGGAAGATGAGTGGCTGAGGAGCGGCTGGGTAAGCCTTCGACTGCACATGCCAGCGCACACGGTATTGCGACCAAACATCTCTGACTGCCGCAGCTAGCAGGCCTCCTCGAGCAGAAAGCCATCCTCCTGCGCCTCGAGAGCGGATCGGCCGAGGCCGGATTCCTCGCTGCGTTCTGCAAGATCGGGAGCGCGCCTACGCTCGTCGTCATCCACAACGGGACGCTGCAGCTCCAGCTTGGGAGCGAGGTCGGGCAGGAAGAGTTCGTGAACAGCGTGCGCCGGGTCTTGGGCGCAGCGCCCATCCCCGGCGCGGCGGCTGCGCAGGCAAGCACTGCGCAGGCAGAGGATGACTTGTATGGGGAGGACGGACCTGCAGTGGCTGCAGCGCAAGCGAACAGCCCCGTGCCAGCGCCGCCACCAGCACGAGCGCCGCCAGCACGAGTGCACACCCCAGCGACGACTGCCCCGACACCAAACGCCAGAGGCAAGCAACGAGCCGAGACGGCTCCCCAAGCCGGCCTTGCCGCCTCACCCGCGACCACGACCTCTGCCCAGCAAGCAGCGCGCGCTGCCCTACAGAAGAAGAAGCGGGAAGATGCGGAAGAGCTCGCGCGCGTCAAAGCACGCATAGAGCAAGACAAAGCCGAGCGCAAAGCGCAGGCCGAGGCACGGAAAGCCGAGCGAAGCGCAGAGAGCCAGACGTCCCCCCCGTCCCGGACGACACCCTCGATCTCGACCTCAATCTCAACCTCGACCCGCGGCGCGCAGTCGCAGACGGTCAGCCTCAACGTCCGTCTCTTCGACGGCCGCACAATCCGCGCCACCTTCCCGCGCACCGCAACGCTGGAGACCCAAGTCCGCACGTGGGTCGACGCCGAGTGCGCAAGGCTGTCCCAAGACGACCCTAACACGGCCCACGCCGCCCTCCCGCCCTATTTCTTCCGTCACATCCTCGCGCCGCAGCCGGCGCGCGAGCTCTCTGCCGGCGACGAGACCCAGGCCCTCGGCGCCATCGACCTCGCCCCGACCGCAACCCTGGTCCTCGTCCCCGTCAAGGGCTACAGTGACGCCTACGCTGCTCCCAGCACGAACCTGCTCGCGGGCACCACGACGGGGCTCGTCAGCGGCGCCTTCGGGCTGCTGAGCACTACGGTGGGATATGCGGGGAGCGTGCTGGGCGCGCTGCTCGGCGGCGCGGGGTCGCCGCAGACAAACACCGGGCACACCCTTGACGCGCGCAGTGCGAGTAGTGCGAGTAGTGCGAGTAGTGCTCCGCAGCCCCCAGAGAGAGACGACGGCAGCATCAGGGTGCGGACGCTCGCCGACCAGCGCGCGCGCGAGCCGCGCAGCCAGCAGTTTTACAACGGGAACCAGGTGCGTCGCCCGTCTTGCTCGAGGAATACGTCGTGCTAACCTGTCGCTAGTCGAATATCGAGCCCCGGCCGGACGACCGGGGGTGATGAGTGGTGCAAGGGGAGCAGGATGCGTACCTTGCTGGAGCCTGAAACGCAGAAACATCAAGCAATCGAGACGAAGGCTGCGTTGGCCGGTACTCAGACTCCACCCATCTTTTTTTTCGTGTAATCCAGCGTCTGCATCGTCTGAGCGCGTCTTGATTCCTTCGTGCGTTGTGCGTGTAAACATGTGTTCCGCCTGTCATCGCACATATCAATGCCTCTTTTCCCTCCTTGCCAATGATTGCTTGACAACTCCCACACTCTTCTTCGACAGCGCATCACAAGCCCAGCGCTCCACTGCACTGCCACGATGCTCACGTGTGCAACGTCTCCGGTCCAAGGCTTCAATCCCGCGCTCTACACAAGGGGCTGAGTCAGATGGACCATGGAGTCTTCTGAGGCTTGCTTTGACGACGACTCGGCGAGCAGCGACTAGGCTAAGCATGAGTGTGATGGATTTACTTGGCAACAGGGCATCGCTATACGGATACTATTCGCAATCAAGTCCTCGTATAGTCGACCTGTTGGTACACGAATTCCTTTCCGTAGACACGCCACGCCTTCCCAACATACACTAGCTCTTTCCGTAGACACGCCACGCCGCCCACCATACACTCACCCCTTCCGTAGACACACCACGCCGCCCACCATACACTCGTTCTTTCCGTAGACACACCACGCCGCCCACCACACACTCACCCCTTCCATAGACACACCACACCGTCCCACCACATGGCACACACTCACCCCTACCTTGCGTATGCAGATGTGCTGCGTCATATTCCTGATGGAATATCGGCCGGTGCTGCCAGCCGTATTGGGCAGTGTGGAAAGCGTCCATGGCGTAGCAGTCGGCCGGTTGAAGTTGCACCTGATACAAAACAGATCAATAGCCGGGAGAGAGGAAGAGAAATTGGTCGAGACTGAGTTAGTTAGTATGCCTTGCGGGTGTTCTCGCAATTGGAGAAGGGCTCGTGTGACGTACTGAGGGAGGCTGCCCACGCACGATCGCACACTTAACCGAGTACAATACGCGGCCTTGTAAGACCGCACGCTTTCAGCGAAGATGCAGAGCTGCTCGCGATGTCGGAGAGGGTATCGGAAACGCTTGACCAGAGGATATTGAGGTTTTCATCTAGTCGCGTTACACAACCGGTGGGGTGCGCAGCTTGGTTGCACGAATAGTTCTTTGCGTAGCTCAGGTGAGGTGAGCCATGTGCATATTCCACCATGTCGCAACTCCAGCCAATACCTACATGCAGGAGGTAAGCATCATCAGACCCTCGCTTTGCCCAACGCTGATGCGGCGGCGGGGACAGTGATGTGTGTACGAGATTCAAGGAAACGAGACCAATTGTGGTCGGCCGACAAAGTCGTCAGAAAACATGGACTGCCAAGATTGCGCGGTTGGAGGAAGAAAGGCAGGAGGTGATGCCGAGATAAAGAGACGACGGGAGGAGACGGCGCGACCTAGAACGGGGAAGCAGCACGCGCGATGTGAGGTAACAACAACAGCAGCAATGAAGATGACGAAGTCACATACATGAGCAGAGCAATTCTCTCACAATTCGAGCCATTGCGCTCTATTCTACTGACCATGCTTCTCCTTGATCTCATTCTGCCCCTTCATTACCCATCCCTTGAACGGGTCCTCCACATTCGGATCCTTTCTGAGCCTCACAATCTGATCATCACCATTCGGCACCAACAGTCCCTTCTTAACCGCTTCGCGCTCCTCGATCTTCTCTGCCCACTTCTCGAGGTTCGGGAAATCGTCCAAATTGATGCCAGCCCATGGTCCCCAGCGCACCCACGCGAACGTGCTGATATCAGCAACACTGTACTTCCCCTTCCCCTTACCGACCAAGTAATGCTTGTTCTCGAGCCTCTCTTCTAGTACAGAGTACAGTCTTTTGGTCTCATTCTGGTATCTATCGATGCCGTACTGGATCTTCTCGGGCGCATAACGGAAAAAGTGGTTCGCTTGGCCTTGGATCGGGCCCACACCAGCGTTCTGGAAGAAGAGCCATTGCAGCATCTCGCTCTTCTCATCCGTGTCCTGGAAAGAGAACTTGAAGTCCTTGTCGTAATGCTCCGCCAGGTACAGAAAGATTGCACCTGACTCAAAGACAGGGAAAGAGTTGCGGCTGTGGTCAACAATGGCTGGTATGCGTCCGTTAGGGTTGATCTTGAGAAAATCGGGCCTCTTTTGGTCTTCGGCGCCGAGGTCGATCGATGTGGTCTTGTAGGGTATACCGAGCTCCTCCAGGAAGACTGAAATCTTCTGCCCATTGGGCGTGGCGGAGGTGAGTAGTTCGATGTTTGGCGTCATAGTTTACTTGTATATAAGCTCAAGGGATTTTTTTTGGAAGAAGAGGCGTGCGTTTAAATTGACTGATGTGTACACTCGAGTTATTTCAATCATTGTTGGCTGCATATGGATGTGACGGTTCCTCGATTCATGATGACGTAGCGCGACGGAGCCGTGTACCGAATGGGTGTGATTTGCTAAGATCAAACGACGCCGCAACTGATACTTCTTACTGAACAACAGCACGGCATATACACGGGTATATGCGAGGAAAAATCATTTTGAACATCCGACTGAGCGGACTTGCTTTAGTTGACTAACTAACACTCTACTCAAGTATAAAGCGCTTCATCATGCGTGCAAGAAAAAGAAAACCTCATCCAGCTCATCAAGTCAACATTGCATTTACGAGACGTTGACGAATTGACCCATAGCAGGGATACCGTCAACAAGAACGTAGATGACGTAAGGACCGGCAGGCGCAATGGCCCTGTTCGGAGGCATGGTGACGGTGACGGTCTGAGCGGTAGCACCGGCCTGGAAGCCAGTGTTGTCAAGGAACAAGGAGCGGTGACCCATGTGGAGGGAATGGGTGACGAAGCCACCGTAGTAGAGGTGGACCTTGACAGCCTTGCCGTTGGCAGGGGCGTTGAACTTGATGGTGAACGTAGATCCATCAGCCTTAAGAGCCTTGGTGGAGATCTGTACAGCAGAAGGACGGGTAGGGTTGCCGACGAGGTAGGGGGGAGTGTAGATCTCGTTGCGGAACTCAGTGACGTAGGGATCCTTAGCAGTAGGCTGGAGGATGGGCTGCTCGACGGGGTTGGATCCAGAGATGAGGAGAGTACCGTCGAGAAGGAGAAGGGCAACACTGTGGTATAGGCGGGCAATGGTCGACTTAGGACCAGTGGTGAAGCGCTTACCCTTGGCCTGGTTGGGGTCGTACAGGAGCACCTCGAGAGCAGGGTCCTGGGCAACACCGAAACCTTGAGCACCCTCCTGAGCACCGTTGACCCAGGCGATGGTACCATCAGCAAGGATAGTTCCCTCAACCATGCCGCGGCCTTCGGGCATGGAGTCCATCTCCCAGGTAGGGTTGGCATCGAGAGGCTTCATGCGACCGCACGATGGGTCACCAGGGGCAGTGATGTCCTGGTAAGGTCCACCACCGCAGATGATGATATCAGGGTTCCACTGATTGGCGCTGGTAAGGGGCATCATGACGGATCCACCGGTGTTTGGGTAGGAACGGTAGGTACCGGGGAGGTCAGGAAGAGTACGGACAACGTTGCCGGTAGCTACGTTGAAGATCTCAGCGGACTTGGCGACCTGGACGAACAGGTTGCCATCCTTCATCAAGTGGAGGAAAGGGTACATGTAGTAAGGCTGGTTCTTGTTGAGAATCTCCATGTTGGTGGATTTGCCCTGAGCAGTACCGTCGGCGTTGAGGATCTCGTAGGTAGGGTTGTTGTTCTCGGGCTTGGTGGGGTCAAGACCGTTCAAGGAGCCGGAAGCCACGAAGATCTCGTTGTTGGGCATGATCTGAACAGAGGCGTACCAACGGGCAGTGCTAAGCTGTGTGCCTGGCTCGCTCCAAGCCTGACCGTCAAGGGAAGCATCATCAGCAGAGCGCTGGAGGAAGCGGATACTCTTGAAACCATCACCAACAGTGGGGTCTATGAATTCAAGAGGAGCGTTACCACCAACGGAGATAAAGCGTCCGTCAGCAAGGAAGATACCACCAGAGCAGAAGGCATTGGTCTTGTAAGCCAGAGGAGTGAGCTTCTGAGTGTTGGGGTCATACTCCGAGGAGTAAGCGTACTGGCCGTTGGCAAGCTTGAGCTCAGTGTAGTTCTCGACCTTGTCGAGGAAAACGACCTTACCGTTAGGCATGAGACCAGCGTGCATGGCAGGTACACCGGAACGACCCGTGATCTGAATGGTACCAGGAACAGCGGCGGCGGGAGCAGGGCTAGCCTTGGGCGCAGCAACAGCAGGCGTGTTGACACAAGGACCAGACTGGCAACCCTCACCGCAGTGAGCAGTGGTGTTACCACAGTATCCGTACATAGAGCAGCAAGATCCCTGAGCCCAGGTTCCGCAGATGGTATCACTGAAAGTGGCACCGCAGCTTCCATCGGTGGTCTGGATGCCAGTGGGTGTGGCAGGAGCAACGTCTACGCTCGATGGCTTGCCCAAGACGGGCTCGCCGGAGCTAGTAGTGGAAGGAGGACGAGAGACAGCAGGGGTGACAACAGCGGTAGTGGTGGCGGTAGCATCCTTGCAGCCGCTCTGACAACCATCAGCGACGAGGCAGTGACCGTCCTATAAAGATGTTAGTAAGCGCAATTGAACAGATGGAGCTAGACACACGTACAGTGGAACCACAGTATCCGTAAGAGCTGCAGCAGCCGCCATAAGCGCCGTTGGCATCGCAAGTGGCGCCGCCGAAGTCCTTTCCGCAGCGACCGTCGTCCCTAGCAGGGACAGCAGCAGCCTTGGTGGCAACCGGCGTAGCGGGAGTGTTGTCACAGCCAGACAAGCAGCCAGTTCCGCAATGAGCGGGGGTGTTACCACACCATCCGTACTGCGAGCAGCATGAACCGCTGTAGACTGTGCTGTTGGGGTCGCAAAGCAGGTTTCCGTGGGCAGGACCGCACTGGCCGTCCTGAGAGTACTTGGCCTGCCTCTTCTCGGGGACAGTACGGCGGTGAGAAGAAGAGATCTTGGAGTGATCGCTCTTGATGTCGGCAACGCAATTGTTCCCGTCGCCACAGTGCTGTCCAGTCAAGCAGCGGTTGGGAGTGTTGACATCGCAGACAGGGTTGACCCAGTTGAAGGTGATGTTGGCTGAGGCTAGCCCGGCGAGAGCGCCAAAGGCAATAATTGAGGTCCTCATTGTTGATAGAGATCTGTAGTACTAGAGGTAAGCCAATGCTCAGTGTAAGAATCGAGGTGTTCGTTCAAAGACAAACAATCGTAGGAGCCGTTCGTGAAGAGGAAAAACTGCAACTGAGTGTGGTCGCAGCTGTTGAGCCCAGCCTCCACGGTCGAATAGCTCTAGAGAATGTTCCAAGTCGATGATGTTGATGTTCGGCGCCCACGTGGTGGTGTTTCCAGCAAACACGTGCGAAGGTATGGACTCGGTGCCATTATTCGTGAAGGAAGGAACCTACCAAAGTATATGATCCCTGAGGTAGTGACGACTCGAATGTCGGAGACTCGAGGTCAAATATCTATTAATTCGAATGTAGACGAGATGTAAGGATGGGTACGAGCACCGTGGGGTCGATGCAAGGAGGGTTTCGGTATTAGGTGCGCAAGGCGAGCGAGTGACGATTAGGTATATCAAAGGTTAACGAATGTCTGAGTACTACTGAAAGTACTCGGGTTGCTGAAGGCAAGGGACTTGACAGTCTGCCTACAACGAGCGCGGTGAGGAGAAATCGTGGGAGGACTGCGGTCTTGTAGTTATATCCAGCGTCTCTAGCACCGTTCAGGCCTCCTGCTAGTCATGTCTCTGACTATCGCTTCCGAAGGGGAAAGCTGGACGCCGTTTCACGCACTGGTCCAATCAGAACTCCGGAATAAAGCCGAATGTGGAAGCAGCGGCAATTTCCCTGGTGAAGGTCGGCCAATGCTAGGCCTGCCAGGGTGTGATCATCGTCAAGGTTACCATCTATTTCTAGGCCTAAGGATTGGATGACAACGCCCGACGAACACGAAGCGTCACACAAACTGCATGATTCGCATGAAAAGGACCGACGGGCGGCTGCTCGAGCAAACCTGTGATTCCTGTTGGCGCGGTTCGTTGTGGCTGCTCAGCCGTTCCGTGTTGCCAGCCCGCAGGCCGATATGTGGTCACGATGGCTGGGCGATGGCCGCTGCCGTCGATGGTCAGTCGCCGTGAAAAGCTTGCCGCAAGTCAGGCGATGAGTGTAGCGAAAAGCTTAGGTTGTCAAGCATTATTGGGGTAGTGTCAGCAGAGAATGCCGTCGCAGCCACGCTCTAGCCATGATAAGGTAGAGTCAGGGGAAGCGTGTTGCTATCTCCACAACTTCCAGCAGGAACGGGCAAGCGCGCCGAGTGAATTAGGAAGCCGCAACCGCAGGCTGGGACGCTGGGCAAAAACCCCAAGATTCTCCAAGACAGCACCCTCCTCGCTTTTACGTCAGATATATCAGTGCCTAGCCACCATTACTGATGTTGTGTTCAATAGACAGAGATTCGCTGTCTGCCAAACGTAGGACACGAGGCGAGCGGGGCGCACGCAGGCAAGACCCTTTCCGCCAGCTCGTATCTTCACACGCGCCCAGTCCACTTTGGGTCACGGCGCACTACCACGCAAGCCGGGCATGACAAGCTTCGCGACAACCGTCGGTCGAGGATAAGCACTGGTGACAGCAACGACCGTTTAGACTTACGAGGATGAATAGGTACCTAACAAATCATGCAGCCTGCAGCCTTACGTGTCCTCGCACGCTGATCGCTGAACTATCGATGTGTCGTTGCATGTCCGCCTCGCATTTTCTGGCAAACATCGTGTTTCCGAGATTGCGCTCATGCGACGCAGGAAGACGTCCGACAGCCCGACAAGACCGAAGAGAAGTCCTGCTAATCTCAACAAACACGATGAATGACGTCGGTGTGTCCCACGTTCAAATGCCGCACTGCCACCGAGGTCCTTGCCCATTTCTGCACCGGTCCATTCTCCGCCAAATCTACCCAGCTCCACCGTCGCAGCGTGCTGGTCAGCTTAGGCCGAAGCATCTGCTAGCATGTGCGGGTAAGGCAGCACGTCGAGGACTTCGTGCACATGATGGGCAGATGGTGGTCTCTTGTTGTAGCACGACCTCGAAGACCTGACACGTTCTGCTCACTGCAAGGACCTGGGAGCCGCATCGAGCTCGAGATGCTTGGCCAAATTCAGGTAGCGGCATTATCACGATCGTTTCTCCCGTTCTTCCATCTTTAGGACACGCCGCGCGTGCATGCTGTTTGTTTGTCCCCGGGGTACGACAATTGGTACGGCGATTGTCTTTAGGCGTGCCGTTATCAATGGTAGCGAGTGCGGACCGGGTGGACTTTGGTTCACGGCCTCGCGACTGCGTTCTGGGCGGGTTGCTGCGTATGTTCTTCGTCGAGTCTGGTACATCTCCTTTCGTACACGGAAACCCTATCGTAGGTGCAGCCGTATTATTGGGTTTGGAACGAGCTGTTTGTTCAGCCTGGATTGACGGCGTGATAGACGGGTGCAAGGGGTTCAGGGGATTGTTTGGATGTGCCGCGCGATCAAAGCTGCATGAGGACTTCGTAAAAAAGTTATCGCCACACTTCCACTAATTCGCGTCAGTAATTTCAAGTCTTGATGAGCTTATCAAGGCTTGCCACTCATATGATCAGATGACAAATCTTGTCCACTTGCTCCCGTAGCACCCTGTTCAGGTCCCCGAGTAATGTCAACACGACTTGATCAATACTGAAGTTAGTTCTGCATAGCTCTGCGATCGACACCGTTCCAGTCGTTCTATCTCATCTTCACCATGAGTGTCGGCCTCACCGCCCCTTTCTTCGAAGTCGAAGTTGCATGTGCCCATGTCGCTGTCGCTGGCCGTTCAGCATGAGCTTGCAAAGCACTGTTCCTCGTCTTTGACCGACATTCTGCAGGTATTTTCGCGATTTGGCGGGGATCAATAGTGGCTCAGGGTGTGCTGGCGGGAACAGATCTGGTCTAGAGGTAAGGCGCGAGGCCAGTGTCAAGCGATATCTTGCTGCTCTGAGATCAACGGTGCATGTAGGTATCCGTCGGGCATGGGCTTGGCAGATCGCAGCGTGGCCATCTTGACCGACAATCTAGGAGCCTGTCCGAGTTGTGACGAGCTGAAGGTGCGGGTAGAACATTCTGTGAGAAACTTCTGGCCCCGTCACAGTGCCAGTAGCCCTGTGCTCTCCTGCCACTCACGTACCCGTAAGTACATGAGAGAGCACCGTACCGCCAGACCAGAGTGCGATACTACCGGGAGATTGTCTCGCCACAAGCCCAAAATGACAGTTGCATGACTGATGTTGCGGTGTCCAAAAACATCTCGAGGCACATATGTATTCCGCTTGACAAGTGACATCTTGACAGAAAGCCCTGTTTCGACGAGGCTTGCATGACAAGCCTCCGCTAGGCGTCTGCGAATAAGGACGGCAAATATTGCATACCTGACAGCCACTTCTCACTCATCGCCAGCCATCTCTGTACCACAATCCGCGCCCAGATGACGGTCGGAAGCACCACAAACAAGCCGTCGATCAAACCGCCGTGGATCTAAGGATGGCAAGGACTTGTAAGCGCAGCAACACAACACACGCATTTGCACCATGGTCGGGATAGTATTGAGGTTTCACAGCGACACCTGCCGAGGCTCGTGTAACAGCTGCCCACAACGCCCGCGTCGCGATCACAGCCTCCACAGCACCACAACCGAGATTGACGTTCTGCAGAGCCATCCACACACATCTCGCCTGATCACCTGCGCTACCAGCCCGCCCCCAATGCGACGTCGTCGCCAGGCCAGACGACCGCAAGACGGGTACACGGAATCTGCAGCGCTGCACGCTTGTTGCGCCGTCTGCAGGTTTGGCCCCAAAGTAGGTGTTGGTGGATGCGTAAGCCGTCCGATTTGACTGTGAAGACTGTTTGTTCGAAAGGCTGATGCAAGTGCCATGTCATTTTGCGCATAGATGGATGGAAATGGTGTTTCAAGTAGGCGATCACACCACTAATTCCTCTTGTTCCCAACTGGTGTTGCTTTTTCGTGAGATGGTAGGCCGTGCACCGTTCGAGAGATGACCGCCGAAGGGACTTACATCACATCGACTCGGCATACTCGAAGTCATATGCTGTTGACTGCTCTGTGCTATGGACCAGCCCCAAGAAGTGAAGATGTGATTTGTGTGCACGTGATTTATGGTCAATGTCGCACAACTCACCGCCTCACATCCCTGCTTGTAATCGTGCCCTACGAACGAAAATAGGACTGATCAGTAGCCGCCAGAATCTAGTTTCTCGCCTCGACAAGTGGTTTGCATGAATGCAAGCATACTGTTGCAAGCATACCGTTGCAAGCGGTAGCATGGATGAGGGGTCGAACCTTCTTTGTTTGAAGGGCTGCGGGCAGCGCTGCCCCTCCACGTTCGGCTAGAATTGGTTCCTGGATCGGGGACAGATATGGAAGACTTGTGGTGATTAGCGCCGACAAGAAGTTGAACGGAAGACTGCTGTTGGGCGTTGGGCGCTGGGCGCTGGGCGCTGGATGTTGAATTGGAGCCAGGAAGGTGGCGCGCGTGTGGGGTGCGAATGATCAGTTGCGGTACCGGAATGTTTGTTTTGTTGTGGACAGCAAAGTTTGTGGACATAGAGAATGAACAATAATGGCTTGGCGAGCGAAGAAGTCGCGGTCGTAGAGACGAAAGTGACTCTCCAAATCTTGAGACGCAGTTATCAGGTTGATGCAGAAATTGGCCATTGTCAAATGCTACCGTTCATTCCTAGATACTACCAAAAGTAAACACAGCGCTGCGTTAGGCCGTAGCCAATGCCAAAAAGTCGTGAAAATAACATCGTGAAGTCGTAAAGATGCCCATGCAATCAACCTAAAGACGGAAACGTACTATGCCATCATCATCTATACACACTTTCCGCTGCAGTACAGGAGAACACAATCATGAGACCAAGGTCCAAAGCAACTAACACCATCGTAACGTCATGAAGCCGAATCAACATCCGCAGCTCAGGAAGCGAGTCAACCCGCTCGGCCTCTTCTTGTGCTTTTGGTAGCTCTCTCGCTCGGTTGAAGTTGCTTTTGATTTGACATCCTCGTGCCTACTCATCCTGCTTTGAGTACGCGAGCTCTCTTTGCTTTGTTTTTTCTCGGGTTTGCGGTCCATACTGCTTTTGCTCCTCTTATCATGCTTTTCATGGCTGTGTCGCCCTTCACTGCTAGAGTAGGAGATCCTGCTATCTGCGCGCTCTCGCTCCTTTTCTTTGTTCCTCACATTGGCATTGACCGTGTTAGCGTGAGTAGTGGCCTTGTCTTTCCCATTGCGCTTCCATTTGCCGACAAGGCGGACTTTCTCCTCACCATCGGAGTCCCAGTCATCCCATGCTGATGTGGTATTTTGTAGCCCGTGGTTGACCTGGTGAAGCGAAGGAGGTGATGAGGCGGCCAAAGGGGCGTAGTGGTGTACTTGACTGTACTCGGAGGGGGTGGCGCTAGTTTGGCGCGTGTAGGATGGCAAGATAGCATTTTGCGTGAGTGGAGATGTCATCTGCGCAAAGCTCGAGGGCCGAGTGGAGACGCGTGAAGGGATGGTAGACGGCGGGCTCGTTGGTGGGTAGGTCGGTGTTGATGGAATTGAGTATGTGTAAGGCGCGATTTGTTGAGCGTATTGAAGTCGAAGGAAAGGCTCGTTGGGGTCCGTCAAGGATGCTTTCCGGCTGCGATTTGCTTCCATAAGGTCATGAGTGCTGGGTGGTGGCCGCAACGAATCTAGTCGAATAGGCGGGTTGGTAAATTGTAGTGCAGGTGGGCAGTCTTTGCGCTTCGATAGACTTGGCGGCCGCAAAGTTGGGTCCTCCTGTGATGTGGCCTTCTCAAGCAAGTGCAGGTCCGTGGAGGCAAAGTTCCGAGCCGCTGGGGTAAGGGGTGGAGTAGATTCACCCGTGGGAGACGGCAGGATGATGGTCTTTGTGCAACGCCCGCAAACACCTGAGGAGTATGTGATAGGTCGTTTGCAGCTTTTGCAGGTAGCGACTGCTTTCGATGTAACGATGGGAGCATTACGAAACTTGAAGTCATAGCTTGACCTTGCAGTAGAGCTCGACGAACGAGACCCCTTGCCGACATCTGAGGATGCTGAGTTGCGCTGCGGTTGGGATGACTGTGAGGCTCGATCTCTTCGCCTTGCGTTCTGCCTCGCTTGCTTCTCGTATTCGTCCCAGGCTTTTGCTGTCTTCGCTGGTGTGCAAGGTGCCGGACGTGGGTCCTTGAAGGGTGAGAGCTTTCTTGACAAAGGCGACGGACGCGCTGAGTTCTGGGACACAACTGAAGTAGCCATATTGTAGTCAAAGGCCAAAGGTCAAAACAGTGGATGAGCAGTGCCGGCGGGAAAGGGATGAGGGGTGAACCTTGACTATCTAAGGCACGACTGCTTGTCAGCAAGTCTCGGTAGTTCACACGCTATATAGGAGGTACAAGGCCGGGCTCCTGGTCCAAGGGGTGCGACAGATCGTTTACAGAGAGCTCCAGACCAGGTTTAGTTGCTACCATCAGGCGGTGGCTGGGGCAGGAAGGATCTCTCAAGTCCAGGGATAAGGGAGAGTTACGTTGGACCGCCTCCCCGGATTATACAGATCACCGCTGTATTGATCTTCCGATGGGCTGCAGCGGCAGAGAGATCTCGGTCTGACGGTGGCTGCGTTGATTTGCGGTGCAGGAGGATTTTGTACCAATCGTGGTCACATAGCCAATTAAAAGAGCGTCATTTGTGGTCCGCTAGAACAGGGGAGTGTCGTCGAGAAGAAAGCAAGCAAGGGAGAGCTGACAATGTTAACATGCCTTGTTGACGACGACGCACTGTCGGCAAGGCTCTAAAACACTGAGAAAGCGCCTAATGATGCATGCTTTGCCTGCGTGAAAAAAATTTAGACCCATGCTGATCGAAGCTGCCGAACGCCTCTAATATCGGAACAGAAGCAGTGCATCCGCCGTGCAGCTAGCGGAAAGCCGTTGTTGCGCAAGCTAATTTGTGCGGCGTGGAGACAGACGACGTTAGGCTTGTTGGCCGCTGATGGTAGCCGTAGTACAACATGGTTGGAATGTAACTTGCCCGTGACCCAAGAACAACTGACTTGGTCGAGGAGACAAACAACAGCAGACAGCAGCGGAGGCCGAACACGTCGCCAAGAGATGAGACTGAGCTGAGTCGGCGAGAATGACGTAGGAGAAGTCGAGATGTCCTCGCGGAATACAAAAGCAAGCAAACCTCTCAGAAATGAGATTAGCAAAATAATGCGAATAAACCCCTGCAAAAGACCCTCGCAACCGCTGCAAGCTGAAATCGCGGGACAACTGCTCAGCGCTGCCCGACACAATTCTACAGGTATCGGGCGCAGGACCTAACGTTGCATATTTTCAAGCTATGATCATCAGCAGTCGTCTCAGCCACCGATCACGGCAGCGGTGCTAACGCCATCGTGAACATAGGTACTTCCGTTAGGGACCGGAGGTACAAAACCTGTCGAGCCGCTGAAGTTTGTCGCCAGAGCGCTTGCCAAAAGTGACGAGGACTCGGCCGCGAAGAGGAAGCAGTCCTGGTCGCCGTTGTTGATCCGCAACGTCCCGCCTTGGCGGCTTTAGACGCTCAGCCCCATAGTTCTCCGCTCCCTGGCTTTTTGACGGGCTGTTGTCTACTAATACTCCAAGCTTGCCACTCGATGGCCCAATCGCGAACGTCGCTGAGGGCGTAATGTGTTCTGCAGCCAAATGTTCATGCAAAATTGCGTTAAATTGTATGGCATCAGTCAGTAACGTAGTTGGGCACCAAGCATCAGGTCCAGCCAGCTCTGTGTCGAACCTTGTACCAAATGGGGTTGACATTGCGAAAAGGGAGGCAGGCGCGACTTTGGTCGACGATCGCAAGTTTGCAAGCTATCTCGAGCGCGGGACAAGATCCCCCGTTTCAGTGAACCAAGCTCAATGGCGGAAGATTGATTCGCTGCGTGCTCGCGAGGAGAATTTCAACAAGGTTTCGTTCATGCGCCTTGGCAAAGTTACCTTGAGGTCATCAAATTGAACGCCGAGATCATTTGCAGAATACCAGACCTGAGCAACGGTCAAGCTAGTGAAGTATATGTAGTAACGTTCGCTCCTGATTTTGACCCTCGTAAGCACTGAGAGAAATCAGTCTTGATGTGATTTCACATTTTACAGAGGCTAAGGATCCATCAGCCTGTGGCAATCACAAGCAATCACGTCCTTGCAGAGTCAGAATGGATAAGCATAAGATGGCCTCGTGTATAATGATCTGCAGAATCGTCAGTATATACGTACATTTGTGAGGTCGTGCATGCGGGACGCGCAATTCTATTATCATCCGGCCCCTCACCCCGATTTTTTGTACTCACCTCACACAATCAAGACAGACACAAAAGCATCTGAACTCCGTCTGATTCGGTTCTAAAACCAAGCATCCAAGCTGTACTGCAATCCAATGCATTCTTCGCCAATCGCTATGTTGATAGACGCTATCCTCCATTGCCTCGTCCGCGCTTGGCAACTGATGTTCACGTGTCTTTGCGAATTTGCTCTCGGCTTGATACTTAAAGCCACACAGAAGAACCCTGTTGCAGCTCCAGAGAAGGCCATAGCGTATGGCTGGTGAAAATTGAGCGCGTGGAGAGCCGACAAGCATACCAATTCGTGGTCGTCTGCTGGTACATGTAAGTGCGTCTGACAACATCGCACATCAGTGCGCAACGCTGATAGTATATATTAGTCTCTTATCAGGACATCTTTGCAGTGGAGACGCTCGTTCAGGCAATGAACCGTCATCGACAACGCCTCGATGCCAGTCCTGGATCACAGACATACACATGAAAGCGGGAATCTTGCTGGACTCACTGGAACACTGGGAAGGGTCTGAGACTTACCAACGACTTGGGTCTGCTGAGCCCTTTTCAAGGAAACGGTGTCTCACTAGAGTTTTGGACGACCTGGTATTGGGAATTACGAGAAGCGTCGAAGCGTCGGTCTGTACTGCCACTGCGGGCAACTGAGACACTGTCCTGGCCTTGCATGACGGTGTGGATCGTGTCGAAGAATGGTTGGAGCACACTGGGCCCGAATTACTGGAGTCTGGTTCCATCTTCATCGCTGGAAGTGTGCGATTTGATCGATGGCCATGTCTGGCGATGGATTGGAAAAAGACAGCTGCTCAAGCAAGCCGTAAGTGTATGACTCCATGTAGGCACATCTTGACATGTATTCATCAATTGGCAAATCTCATTCTAAGCCTACAACATAAGTGTAGATGCTATGAAGCCTCAGCTCTTGTTTGAGCTTGTTCTATAAGTCTTGTGTGCATGGTCTCGATTTCTGGAATGATCAAGGACTCGATTTCCACAGCTGGTTCGCCTTGTGGAACGCCGCCCTGGTCACTAACCGACCTATCAGTCTCTACCGCGTCAGACACTGTCAAAGGGTCTGCGGAGCCGACGAGTGACTGTATACCAGAGAAGCTCTTCGTCCTGCGGCTGGACGGCACTCGGATCCATTTTTCGCCATCTAGGACGGAGACAAAGACGACCTCCCATTTTCGAGTAAGGAGGAGATTACCGATGACAAGGTGGTGAGAGTACTTGTTCAGAGCATATTGCGCCTTCTTGACAAGTATAGAAGGATCCGTCTCAAGCTTGAAGCTCACGATCATGGCCTCCGGAGCCCAGCCGTCAACAAGCTGTTTCAGGAACTTAGGCACAGGCTCCAAGTCGATGACAAGACTACGGCCCTCGGTGCGGGCGGCCGGAGGTTTGCCGTGGCCGCTGGACTCAGCGTTTTGCAGGAACTCTTCGTTGGACTGAATTTTGTGCTCAACCATACGGTCTCGGGGAACGAAGAAGTCGGATACAGCAGCAGCCAAGTAGAACATGGCCTTCGGCCCAAGCGGTTGCATCAGTTGGGCGACTTCGCGCAAGTTCCACAGATACTCGGTAATGGTAACGTACGACAGAATGAGCAGCTTGTTGTCGCGCTTGACCTCGTTGTATTGACGCAACACGCGCAGCATCTGCTCCTGGTGTTGCTCATCAACAGTGACACGTCCATCTTCTTCCTTCATGTAGTCAAGGAAAGACCGTGTGTTGTGTGAGTAGTGCCGTGAGTATGGAAGTAGTGAAAATTGGCGGTGCAGGAATATGACAGCGTAGCCATTTTGCAGGAAGTACTCGGCACTGGTAGCACCGCGTGTCCCGGCAGAGAAATTGTCGATGAAGCGCACCGTTTGCTGTTCTAGGGGCACGGTAGTACCGCCTGATGTGACGAGCACGACACGATGTAGTTCGTTGGCATGGCGATTGATGAACTCGCGTGCGAGCGTCGTATTCGTCTTCAGATCTTTTGGCGGTGGCTCATGGGTAAAGTAAGAACTTCCCGCCTGTTGGGCGCTGCTATCTTCCGCCATCCTGCTGCACGTGTCAAAGGATGGGTTGATGCTGGCTCGTCTGGCGGGGTAGCTTCGAGGCTCTTTGCCAAGAGATGAGCTAGGGCTCGATTGGTAATAATCTGATTGGTACGGCCGACTTCACCGCAACCTTCACCCTTCTCATCCTGGGCGATACAATTCCAGATGCTCCGCGGAACTCACCTCTTTCATATATAAACATCATGGCCCTTCTGTCCCAAGACCGCTGCAACACTATTTTGCATCGCGACAGTTGGCTCACGCGCCACATCACAATTGAGATGTGCCTAATTGTCTTATCCTGTTCAATCCGCAATTTACTAGCTGTCGGACAGTCAGATGCTCTAGACTACACACGCAGTCCACACTCGTCTTCACTGTTGAAAGAGGCTGTCACGGGCTGCATCGCCCATCACGATCGCTCATCGCCGCTAGAGTCTAGATCATGAATACGTAGCCGGTCGGCGTACGAAACCGAACCTATCCAGATCGGCTATGCGAGAGACTGCAGAAAAGCGACCAGCTGTGCTGTCGTCCTAACGCTCCTCGCAATCTTATAGGTCGATCTTAGTCCGGCATGGACCCCACCAATCACCGCCTCCAGACCCTTCAGCGATCAGATTTTGCTGTTCTGCCATGCTTTGATTTCGATCCCCACGGCTTTCTTGCAGACTGCCCACAATCGCGTCCCGGTCGGTCGGTGTATGCGTTGTTTCTCGCCCAGCGACACTTGGTCGTAGCATGTCTCATCCGACCTTACCCGCCTCGGGCTCAGGATCTTCGAAATTGCCAATTCCGAGGCTGCACAAACAACGCAGCGAGCCTCCTCGCAAACCTCCAGTAATCCGACAGAACCGTGTCAGTCGAGCGTGTTTGAGCTGTAGGTCACGAAAGATCAAGTGCAATGGTCAGCAACCACGTTGCTTAAATTGTAGCGAGAATGCCACATCGTGTGTGTATGCATCAAGTCGCAAGGACCGACTCAAGACGTGTGTGACAGCATTTTCGATTTACACTTGGTCACTGAACGCGACAGGGCTACTACACAGAACCAGGATATGATTACAATGTTACGCGATCTACGACAGCACACATCTACTGAACGAGCAGCTCGCATTGACGATCTCTTAGCAAGCGTTAGTCGTACCCACAATAGCACCGAACTGCTGACTGATTGACACAGGTCATTGAAGATGTTGCTGATGCCGCTGCCACAGTCTCAGACCCAACAGACAAATATCGTGGACCGATTTTTGGCCGCGAGCGAGGTGAAGCCGATGTGAGCGTAGAAGTCGGGAGCTCTGGTGAGCCTGATCTGCTCGATGAAGATGCCATGCAAGATGAGGAAATAAGAGCCACGGACTTTGTAGGCGAGACATCTGAGGTCCAAAGGCTGCGTAAGTTGCACAGGACAAGTACCTCCAATTCGTCGGAGCGAGGTCCTCGGGGCCCTCCTGATGATGACGATGTCGCGATCAACGACCGCTTGACAGCCATTCGTGAGCGACGAAACAGCCATCCTTCACCACCATTGATGCCGGCGAGCAAGGCAAGCTTCTACCTGGACGACGAAGTGTTCGAGACGGACATAATGGTCGATCCCTTTGAGATGCCACCGTTCGAGACTGCGGAGAGACTACTGCAAGCATACTTGGATAGCGCACACAACTCCTTTCCAATACTGGCAAAGAAGACCTTTCTCAACCGTTTCTACCACTGTACGTCAAACCTACCAGCTTCAGGACTGATGATGTAGGCTGAGTTTATGCCGTCATGTTAATTGTCAGCCTGGTATTGATAATACAAGCAGTTCCTAACATCCCACAGATTATGCTGCTCGGCAACAGGGTAGCCCATACAATGTCCCTCGGAAATGGCAAGCCACTTTAAATCTAGTGTTCGCTATTGGCGCAGTGTACATCCATATGAACTCGGCGGACTGGCAAGCTGACGATCGCGATCATTTGCTGTACCACTCTAGAGCATGGGCTCTAAGCCTGAGAGATCCTTGGTGGTTCTCCCATCCAGATCTCGCACACATGCAGATTACAGGTAGGTTTACGTTTGGCATTGTTTGACTGACGTGACTGAGTAAGACAGGGCTTCTATCCTTCTACTACCTCAGCATAGGACACATAAATCGGTCAGTCCTAAATTATCTTTGCGGCTACAATCTGACTAAGAGATACCAGTTCATGGGTCCTCATTGGCAGCGCGATGCGTTCTGGATTTACCTTAGGCATGCATCTACGTAGCGAGGATAGCCAGACAGGAGCTGTCAGAAAAGAAGTCAACTCCAGGATCTGGTGGGCACATTACGCTCTAGAACGACTCGTATCATCATTGACTGGACGGCCCAGTCTGGGTGTGGGTTACCTGTGCTCAGTCCCCTTGCCACTCCCTCTCTCGTCTGATGATATCGAGGAACCGACAATCCAGTCGAGGTGTGGTGACAAAGATAACCGACCTCAAAGACCTCAAAGACCTCCCGGAAGCCCTCAGGCCATGGATATCTCGGCCCAGCACAATTTCAACTACGAAACCACTAGCTCTGGACCGGCGAATTCTGGCTCTTATCTCAAGAGCATAGTGAATCTCGGCGAGATCACACAAGCTGCTCTTGAATTGTACGCCACCGATACCGCGAAGAAGTCATGGGAGTCCGTACAAAGATCTATTGCCCACGAAAATGATGCCCTTGACGCCTGGGCGACCGATCTACCTGAAGGACTCAACTTCTTTCATAAATCGCACGTCGTTGGTCACAAGTATAGGCGTGAGCAAAACACTCTCGACATTTTGTATCACAGCACGAAGATCCTCATCATGCGGCCTTGCCTCTGCAGACTCGACCGCCGGATCTCCCACCAGACAGCTGATTCGAGTACCTTCAATCAACGGGCGGCACTCCTGTGCGTTGAGTCCGCCAAATCTATTGCAAATCTTCTACCTGATGCCGTGGCAAGCAATCTTGTTCTGTTGTATCAGGCTGGACCTTGGTGGCAAATGGTTCATGTCATCATGCAAGCTCTTGTGGTGTTACTTCTCGAGGTTGTGCTTGAGTCAAGGTACTCCCCTCATGATTGTCAAGATATCATCCCTTCGATGCAGAAGCTACTGTGTTGGTTACGAGTAATGCGGGTGAACAACGGAATGGCTGTTCGAGCATATTCGTTATCATTGGGCCTCATGAAGGAGCTCGCTTCTATCATCAAATTCGTAAGTCTATGATTCTCCCGTGCTCCGAATTAGTTGTAAGATCGTCTCTCGACTAACTGTCTTACAGGATATCAGAGATCTCGTCAAAGAAGATGACGCGAGAACATCGCCCGCCAAGCCGAGTCTGGCGCCATCTGTCCCGGCTTCAACTTACACTCCCTATCCAGACGTCCTCAATCCGATCGAGGAGCCACAAACTGTGATTGTGCCACTAGCAGCTCCCGTCACAACGCAAAATCTTAAACAACAAGAGAAACAGCAGCATGCGCATGAGGCACTGTCCCATTCGCAATTCCGATCGGCTCCGTCGCAAGGCCTGAGTCATCAGATAAGTCAAAATACAGAGCCAATTCGCCTTCCACCTCGCTTTGCCGAACATGATCTAGATTCGGAGTTCAGCGCATACGACAATCTCTTCAAGGTGTCTTCTGGATACGAACAGGTCACCTTTCCAGGATGTGTTGTCACAAGTTTCGATGAGCATGACCTGTTCTCGGGGACTGGATTTCGAAATGTGAAGTCTTGGGCTCAAGAGAATAGTCTCGGACAAGGAGACAAGAAGGTATGTTGAGCAGAAGAGCAAACGGAAATGCGCTCAGCAGTGGCAGACTTTGAGGGCGAGGCAAGCGCACATTCCACCAAGGCCGATACACATGTTCTCACGCCTTCGCGTGGCGTGTCGTCATTGTGGTCAGGCTATCCACCACGACAAGGCCAGGACTCTGCAACGATATCGGTTACATCGTCAAGACTGCCGAATATATTCACTACAGAATTGCGCCCCCTGTGTAGTTGTTGAAGCTGAGCTTTTCTTCGCTTCTGCTTGTGTTCCTGATTTGGCTACACTGATGCAGCTTCTATCTGCTTTCTTCTCCACCACAAAGAAAAAACAATTGCTAGTAATTGCATCAAATTTCATAATATCCAGCCTGCCCTTGAGTAGCGACCAGACTGTTGACGATCCTGCACTATGTCCCTGGTCAACCTTCGACAAGCCTATACTCTGAAAAAGCGCTTCCTGGTAAAGAACAACCTTCCATGTCAAGTATCATATGTGGAGAAGCTCACTGCTAAATCAGGCCTTCAATCGTGTCCGTTTGCTACGCCGCGTCTATCAAGCACTTACTGAACGCTAGTCGGCTCACCGTCGCCTGTCGACTATTGAACGTCTAGGTCACTGGAATAGGGTCTCACGAAGGATTTGAGGGCTTGTTTGCTGTGGCTAATCAGCGGCAATGCGAGCACAATGCCCTGTTTCGCGCCAAATGCCGCGAAATCCTGCTCGCAGGATGCGGACGCATTCGGGTATTGAAGGCAGATCTGACATAAATAAGCTCTAGTATCGCCACGAATTCAATTTGCTGTCAAGTACGCGCCCCACGTCAGAGAGGCAAGCTACGCAATGCCAACAGTTGAACAACTCGCCGCCTTCAGTGACACTGTCATGATATGGCGGTCTTTTACTGGCGGCATTCTTTTCGTGAGTAACAAATCAAACCTGGAAAGGCGCTGGCTTACTTAGGAAGTTGCTTGTAGCCTGGGTCGCACGAGGACTGCATCAACTGTATCTCCATCCTCTTCGCAACGTACCAGGTCCAGCGTTGTCAGCGTTTACGATCCTCCCGCACTTTATCGCTGTCAGTCGGGGATATCTCAATCGATACCTACGTCACCTTCATGGGCGCTACGGCCAAGTTGTTCGCATAGCCCCAGACGAGCTTAGCTTCGTCGACCCAGACGCATTGTGCGACATCTACGGTTATGGTATCAAAGGCAACCAAGGGCGCGTACCCCCACAGGCGTTCTCACGTTATCCCGAAAACGTTTATACATCCATGTGAATGAGCCGAGCGACGCTGAATATGCGAGGGTTCGACGGATCTCCAGCCCTGCTTTCTCGGAAAGAGCGCTTACTGAGCAAGAGCCGGTCTTTGTCAAGTACGCAGACCAACTTGTGCGTGTTCTGCAAAAGATCAGCTACGATGAGCCCAAGAGCGCCATCGACGTGGTCAAGATGTGCAGGTGCTAGACGAGCAGCACTTTTCGGCTTGTACTGATGAGTGCGTTTCTTTTAGTCAACTTTACGACATTTGATGTCATGGCTGACATGACTTTTGGCGAACCTCTCCACATGCTCGATAACACCGAATATATGCCATGGGTCAGCATGATCTTCGGCTACATTAAAGTTGCTACATGCGTGGGTATTCTCAGGGCATACTGCCCGCACATCTTCGGCCTCATTCAACTCGTGTTCAGCGGGACGATACACAAGGCGCGAACGGCCCACATGCAGCATACAGTCACCAGGGTCACCAAGCGCCTCGAGCAAGGTAGAAAGACGGAAGGGATCGACCTCTCGACATACGTGCTCGATCAGCAAGGGAAGGGCAAGGAAGGCTTATCGCGAGGCTCGATGGACGCCAATGCTTCCTTGTTCATGGTTGCTGGGACGGAGACTACGGCAACAACGCTCTCGGGTCTGACCTATATGCTGATAAGAAACCCATCGACAATGCGCAAGCTGACTGCCGAGATCCGTGAGTCTTTCGCATCATCACCTGATATATCCATGGAAAGTCTCACTCAGTTGCCGTACCTCAATGCGTGCATTAAGGAGGCCATGCGTATCTACCCTTCGGTCCCCGTGGGATTCCCGCATCTCACCCCCACGGAAGGCTCGACAGTATGCGGATAATTCGTCCCGCTCGGCGTCATTGTCTCTACGTCCCATCTCTATATGTACACCTCACCCGACAACTTCAAAGACACACTGCACTTCATCCCCGAGCGTTGGACTGGCGACCAGGAGTTTGCAGACAAGAGAGCTGCTGTGCAGCCGTTTTCCGTGGGCTCGCGAGACTGCCTGGGCAAAAAGTAGGCTGGTCTGGGTGTGGCGTCGACGATAGTGGCTGACGAACTACAGTATGGCGACTCACGAAATGCGACTGATCCTCACGAAGGTCGTGTGGTCGTTCGATCTCCAATTATGCGAGCAACAGAGCGATTGGCTTGAACAGAAACTGTACTCAACGTGGGAGAAGATGCCTCTCATGGTCAAGCTGAAAATGGCCCAGCGTTGATAGAGTCTCTGAGAAAAGAACAACTCGGTTGTGCAGTAGTGTACAAGGGCAGGACTGGAAAATATCGAGGCTGAAGTTACCTGCAGTAAAGTTCCAAGAGGCACGAACTCCATACCTTTCGGTTTCCAATACGTAAGACGATAGCGAGGCTGGAAGGGGCAGGGTGGAGTGTAGTGGAGCGAAGTCGAACACAGTACGCTACTTTTGGCAGTCGGCAAAGAGTACGCCTCACCAGTACGACTATCAAATTTCACCTCGTTACTCGCGCAAGCTTGGCAGTGTGCTCGTCTGCGAGATTCCTTGCCATGTCTGTCACTACCCGTTGACATGTCACACCTGCCCTGATCGTCGTCCCAGATAGGCGATATCGGAGGGGCACAGTCTTGTGCCATCTCCCACGACACTTGTTGTCGTAGACTGCCATCCAGTGCCTTGACCGGCTCCATGTCGACGTTGATCTAGATCTGCAGGCGCAGCGTGATAGGAGGATCACGAAGTGGCTGGATCAGGTACAGGATATCTCGAACCACTCTAGGCGCCTCAATTAGGAGTGACAGTGTGCTTACTGCCCAGCATATAAGTATGGGGGTTACTCCAAAGTCCCTCTCCATCTCATCGACCATAACCAAAATCACGTAACAGCAAATCGATATTCTAGTTTCCCACAGAGCTACACCGCTACAGTCTCTCTCCAGCACTCGCACATCCCCGCATTGCCATCCACCCTCACAATCCCACAGCACTGACACACTGCTCATCTCACGCCATCCCTTCTCCATCGCTCACACTCGTTCCAGCATCCCCTCATCCCCCATCCCCCATCCCCCATGTCTTCGTCCAGCAGCCCGGTTCTCACCTTCGCCATCCGCAGCATTCAAGCCCTCTTCGCCATCGTAGTCTTCGGGCTATCCTGCTCTCTAATCAAAGGCCACAAGCTCGGCGATCTGCCCTCGACGCTGGGCTTCGTAGCCTTCATCGGCGGCGTGTCGTTCGTAGGCGCCCTGCTGGGCGTCGCAGCGCACTGGCTGCAGATGCTGCAGGGCAAGGTCGGACTACTCATCGACACGGGCATGTGCGGACTGAACATCGCCGGTGGAATCGTACGTTGCCGTCTCCTCTTCTTATGAGCCTCAGCGTAGTCTTTCGGTCTTGGTGCGGTGTGACTGACGGTGGCAGCTTATGGCAATCAAAATGCGCGGCGTGCGGTGCAACGACGATTACGACAGTGGGATGGATGAAAGTGATATCGTATGTGGAGGTATCCTGAAGCAAGACGGCGTAACAAATTGTGCCTTGCAAAGCGAGACGAGCCAACTGATAACACGTTGCAAGATGAGCCAGGCGGATACAGTGTTTATGTTCCTGATTGCGATTGTGGCGGCGGGTGCAGCTGTGCTGGCGTACTTGAGGCACAAGAGGGGATATTAACACCGAGGCCGGTTATCTGGAAACCAGAGTCGCAAGACGAGTGGGCGTTTGTGTCTGTCTCGACCATTGTGGTTCGTTTGGCTAAATCAAGGAGGCGCGACTGGGGCGTTGTCAGGAAGGAGCGGACAGAGAAGAGACATGTGCTGGTTGTCAAATAGGATCGGGAGTGGTAATGCGTAATACCTACACGATGTTCGGACGCGCCATTTGTTAGGCATCTCACTTTGCTCATAATCCAGAAGCATACAACCGCGCACCCACGAGCAAAAAATACGTGACACTAACGGGCAGCATCCATGTTCAAATTCCGAGCGCAATTGGACGAATAGTTCTTGAATTACAACCAACAACCTACGATACGCTCTATCTAAATAACATTCTTCAACTCCTGCCCCGCCAAAAACTTCCTCAGGTTCCACGCAATCAAATCCTCCGGGTTCTGCGGCCTGCCACCAGCAGCATGTGGGCTGACGATAGTGTTCGGCGTCTTGTACAGCCTGCCACCCTCGGGGTAGGGTTCCGTCTCGAAGACGTCCAGCGCCGCACCGCCGATAGTGCCCTGCTCCAAAGCATCAGCCAGCGCGTCCTCGTCCACACTCGTGCCGCGCCCGACGTTGACAATCCACGCGTGGTTGGGCAGCAGCTTCAGCCTCTCAGCGTTGAGCGCGTGTTTTGTCGCATCCGAGCCCGGCAGAATCATGACGAGCGCGTCCGTCGTGGGCAGGATGTCCTTCAGATCGTCCTCAGCGTAGATCTCGATACCGTTGCGCACGCCCTTTGACCTCGCGACGCCCTTGACGTTGGCGCCCAACGCTGTCAGCCACGGCGTGAGGCACTTGGCGATGTTGCCGAAGCCCCAGACGACGACGTTGGCGTCCTGCAGCGTTGTGAACTTGCCCGCCGGGCGGTCGGGCTGTGGCCCGCCCAGGTGGCCGGGCCACTTGCCCTGCAGCTGGCTGTCGCGCATTTCGTAGAAGCGGCGCGCGGCGTTGAGCAGCAGCCCCAGCGTATGCTCGGCAACGGTGTGGTCGTGCAGGCCCGAGCCGGTTGTGATGGTGATCTTGGACGGGTCGAAGCCTGCGCCTAGCACGTCGTTAGGGCCCGCGGCCAGCGACTGGATCCAGCGCAGCTTTGTCAGGCGCGATGCGGCGTCCTTGAGGTTTGCGGCCGAATTTGTCCACGCGACCAGGATCTCGGCGTCGGTGTGCTCTTCGGGAATTGTCTCTTTCACATTGTAGGGGACGAGATCTACGCTGTAGCCCTCGAGCAGCTTGGGGTCGAGAGTGAGGGACGTGGGGTACAGCAACTTAGGCATGATGGGCTTCTGGGGTGGTGGTGGTGGTGAGGTTGTGTAAAACACTTTGCGAGGAATATGGCCAGAAATTTGCCGGAGTCGTTGCATTGGGAGGAATTGGGGGAGGGGGGGGGAGAATGTTTATGGGCGAGCCGCGGGGAGGAGCTCAGAGGGCGTCAGTTGCCGACGCATTGTCGGCGTTTGAACGTGGGGCTCGGGGTAGGACCGAGGTGCATTCATCCGGACGCAGTGTCTTTCCACGAGTACGCGCCACGGAGATGCATTTGCCGACAGTTGACTCAACACTCTCGAAACAATACTAGTAGCGATTTGGCTATAGCGGTGTCTCTTGCTCTAGAAGCAGAACCACGTGCCGATGCGCTTCCCCGTGCCCTTCCACCCGCTCTGTACTGGCTCCATATCGTCCTTGGTATACACATCCGTCTCGAGATCCATCTCAGCCGCCTTCCTGAACTTGGTCTTCTTGAGCAACTTCCACAGCACAATCATCGCAACGAAAACCGGCAGCTCGAGATAAAAGCTCACAAAATCCACCGCCCCGAAACTCGGGCTGAATGCCGTCCACCCTTGCACCAAGATGATGAAGCTATTCAGGACAATGCAAATCCACGGTCCAACTGGATACGTCCAGTTCTTGAACGGCAGCAGATGCTCTTTGCCCTGCGCTTTCAAGCCGGCGCGGAAACGTAACGAGGCAATCCCAATGCACACCCAGCTCAGCTGATTTGACACGCCGACGATGTTCTGCAGCCAGGTCCACACTTGTCCAGATCCTGCGAAGGAGAGGCTGAACAGCACGATGGAGACGAGCGAGGTGGTTAGAACAGCTACCCACGGAATCTGGTACCGCGTCAGACGTGTGAAGACTTTCGGTGCGTGGCCGTTCGCGCCGAGGGTGAAGAGAAGTCGCGAGCCGGCGTAGAGGGCGTGGTTTCCGGCGGAGATCACACTGGTGAGAATGACTGCGTTGACGAAGGAGCCAGCTGCTTTTGAGCCAGCCATCTGGAAGGCAATAGTAAACGGCGATGTGCGACTCGACTTTGTGCTTAGACCGGGGTAGTTGTAGGGAATGTTCAGACCGATCATGAGCGCTGACAGGATGTAGAACAGGAGGATCCGCCAGAAGACGTTCCTGACTACTTTCGGGAGTGTCCTTGCTGGGTCCCTCGTTTCGCCGGCTGTGATGGCGATGGATTCTGTGCCTCCGTATGCGAACGAAGCTGTCACGAAGACAGATGCGAAGCCCCCAATGCCTCCTACGAATGGAGCATCACCCTGCAGCCAGTATTTCCCTCCTATGTAACCGTACCCTTGGTTTCCACCAGCATTGACGGCGATACTGAGGATGATGAAGATGATGATGGTAACCACCTTCAGCAGACTAAGCCAATACTCCAGCTCACCGTATGCTCGTACATTGATCACATTCGCCAGAACAATGAGCACCCAAACAATGATCCCCAGCGCATACCACGGAAAAACGTCCGTCCAGTACTGCATCAGCAATTGTAGCGCGACCAGATCCGCCGCCGTGCTCACCGCATCATTAAACCAGTAATTCCACGTCAGCGCAAAGCCAAATGCATCGTCCACGTAGCGTCCCGCAAACGTGCAAAAGCTTCCTGCAACGGGAACAAAGGCCGCCATCTCGCCGAGCGCGAGCATCGTGCTGTACACAATCGCCCCGACGATGCTGTAGCAGATGAGTAACGAGGCTGGGCCGCCGGTTGCCAGCGCTTTCCCTGTGCCGAGGAAGAGACCCGTGCCGATTGTGCCGCCGATGGCGATCATTTGGACTTGTCGCGCTGAGAGCGAGCGAGCCAGGCGGTCTTCGTTGACATGGACATCGTGGGAATGCGTGCGGTCTTGGGATGACGGAGAGTGATCGTGGTTGTAGGGCCCTTTTTGGGCGTCGGCCGCCAATTTGTCGTGTGGCAGCTCTGGAAGACTCATGTTGGCGGGTTCGATTGTGTCCTAGAGCGCGAAGGCGCGTCCTGCTCTCTCATATATTCTTGCCTAGTGGTGTGCTGGGCGCATCTGTCAGCACAAGGTCCAAGCAACGTGAAGACCGCATGGCGAAGCTTGTCAGTTGGAGCCAAATGGACGATTACGATCAGCGTGCAACCTAGCACGCAATATCCTTGTGAGTAGATTGGTTGCTTTGCGGACAGTTCTTCACAAGGTCGTCTCCACTGGTAAGGGTCTAGCCACAGAAGGTTAAAGGAAGATGAGAATCCCCACCTTCTTCATCGGCCCGAATGGCGTCACGCATTTTGCTAGCAGTCTTACGCAAACATACTTTCGGCCATCGCGAGCAGATGCAAGTGAGAGGAGCGGAAAGACTGGACTTCATGTAACTATGCCCTAGCATATCACGATTATTCCTTAGCGATATGTACACATGCCTCAGGAAATCGTCGGCCATCTCCCATCATTGGCTCCCGGAACCAAATTCAACGCAATGCGGCGGCAATGGGGTCATTTCGACTGGACGCCGTTCCGAATACTTTGGTGCTCATATCTTGAAGATCAGGATGCCGCTCTCGTATAGGCCGCTGATGATTCCTACGCCTCTGTTGTTGTCGCGTACAGCTGTGCTGCTGCTGGAGAATCCTTGCCCATTGTTTTTGTACAGGTCCGTAAGGCCATCCTGCGCGCTCCACTCAGCGACCCAGCTCGGCGCCGTGTACTTACAGCTTTCCCTCTCTCCCGCGCTGCCATGCGGGTTGCATGTCGCCCTGCTCTCCGAGACCTTTATTAGTGCAGGCGCGAATGGATGGCCTGCCATCAACACTTTGCTTTCGTCGTCGACAGAGAGATTGTCGACGGCAGCGGGCGTTCTGACGACCTCTTTTAAGCTCAGGCTATGGTCCTCTTTGACATTGTACAGGTAGAGTCCAGACTTTGAACTCGATGCCACCGCCAAAGTGGTTGAATTTACAAAAGCGACGCCATTGGCGAACGGGACTCTTGCAACCACTTTCGCGTTTTCTGGGAAGCGCGTGTCAATGTATACGACTGTGCCACCAGGAGCTCCAGAGAAGGTTTCGATCTTACTGAGTAGAGGCGATATTGCGGCGCGAATGTAGTGGTCGTTGGTCACGTATAATTCATACTTGCCGATGACTTCAACGGAGTTTGGTGTGTGCAAGAGTGGGTGTTTGAGCCTGGCTACCAGTGTTGATGTGAAGGCGGAGGTGTCAACATGCAGGATTAGGATATGTGAACCTCGTTGTCGTGCGTGGTTGACAACATATAGGGTGGATGTTGAGGCGTCGAAAGCCAGCCCGAGAGGATGCAGATCTGGTTCGTCGATCGTGAGCTGTTTGAGGCGGGCCGTATCGTCCAATCCTGAGGTTGCATAGTCATAAATATAGATACCGGCGTTATCAATGGAAGGATCCTCCGGTCTGAAGGTTCCCTGTAATTATCAATGCATGCTTAGCGTTCATCTTGGTACATGTAGCTCACCATCACAGTGTTCCATCGATCACGTCCGGGATCGCAGCTTAGGAAAGCGACGCTTAGGCTTTCTACCATGATGACATCCTCACAGTTCCTTAGACGATCCCGGTACTTCACCTCATGGCTGATGAAAGTTTGCATATTTTGGAAGCTCCCTGGACGGCTGACCACCATGGGGGAGAAAGCGGTATATCGGTCGTATAGCCATGGTGCAACTGCAGCGAAGATGAGTGCTTGGACCTGTATTGAGGTCAGCACGACTGTTATATTGTATTCGTAACACGCACCATTGGCTTCAAAGTAGGCATTTGAAAGATGAGCCATGGATCACCCATTTGAGTGTTGTTGGTGAAGGGAGAAGGAACTCGATGCGTGTTGTAAGCCGACGCGGGTCGTGACGGAGATCGTCACCACCCTTTCTGATTGGAGAAGGCCCCACTCATATGGGTGCCACAACATACGTTGACTAAGACCGACGTGCAGCCGCATAGCATGCATCAAGCTGGAGGCTTTGGTCCACTTGCAGTGAGGAAATCAAAGTCTGCACCCTCATGTGCCTGATTGACCGTTCGCTCATACAATCCACGATAGCCCCTCTTAGTGGCACGCTCAGACAACACGGAAGGCTGTGGAGGCGTATCATTGCTTCCGAGCAGAACTTCCCTCCTTCTTCGCAGCCTTCTCTCGATCTCAGCGGCTTCAACGCTGAGTTCTAGAATCCTCTTATCTACATCGCATGTGATCCGATCCCCGTCCTGGACGATTCCAAGCACACTCTCCGGCAAAGCAGACTCGGGTGAGACATGCAATACTATTGTCCCGCCTGCTGTACCGCTCATTCTCCCATCACTGACGCGCAGCATATCAACTACACCTTTGCGACTCAGTTTCCGCGGGATTGGGATGAGGCCTGCCTCAGGCATGCCTGGGTATCCGAGGGGACCAATGTTCTGCAGTACTAGGACCGAGGAGGGCGTAACGTCAAGGACTGGCGAGTCGATGCGTTGCGCAAGATCTGCGGCATTGCGGAAGACTACCGCGGGCCCAGAGTGTGAAAGTAGCGAGCGATCTTTAGAAGCTGAAGCCTTCATGACACTGCCCTGCGGTGCTAAGTTGCCGTAAAGAACAACAAGACTCGATGATGTTGACAGTGGATTAGAGAGGGGCCGAATGATCGAAGTCGAATAGTCGAAAGGCTTGAATGGTGTTGCATCCAGTACTTCACCAAGAGTCTGGCCGCTGATCGTTAAGGCCGAAAGATGGAGAAGCGGGCGTAGAGTGTGAAGCAAAGCGAGCATGCCACCCGCGTTGTGGAAGTCGGTCATATAGTTGTCTCCGCTAGGCTTAAGATCTATAAGAAGTGGTGTAGTTCGGCCTACTTCATCGATGTCTTTGAGGGTTACTGCTCCTTCTAGTTTGGGGTGTCTGTTGACGATGGCGAGTAGGTGCACGATGCCGTTCGTGCTGCCACCGATCGCTTGGAGTACAATCAGTGCGTTTAGGAACGACTCGCGGGACAGGATGACCTGAGGTGTCCTTTTGGCTGCTGCCATAGCGACCGCGTTGCGGCCCGTCTCCTCTGCTATGCGAAGGCGGGCAGCTGATACGGCCGGTGCACTTGCGCCTTTGAGAGGCATCAGACCAAGTGCTGCAGCAAGACATGCCATGGTACTAGCAGTCCCCATAACACCACAAGTACCGACCTGTTGTACATCAATTGCTGTCGGAAATGGCAAATGAGCAAATTAACGTACTGTCGGCGCCAACTCTTCGTTGATGTCAGCAATCTCTTCGATCTCAATATTACCTGCTCGGAAGGATGCCCAATTATTGCGACAGTCTGTGCAAGCACCTATACGTTTACCCTGGTAGCTACCAGTTGACATGGGACCTGTGATCAGGGGCAAGACTGGCTTGTTGGCGGAAATGCCACCCATGATCTGCGCAGGAACAGTCTTGTCACATCCTGTGAGATTCGTCAGCATCACGATCATCTCTTAACAGATACCAGAGTCCCACCTCCTATCATGATACAAGCATCCACAGGTTGTGCTCGAATCATCTCCTCGGTGTCCATGCTCATCAGGTTACGCAGAAACATGCTGGTAGGTGCCGAGAAGCTTTCAGCAACACTGATGGTTGGGAAGTCAATCGCCAATCCTCCTGCCAACTGAACGCCTCTTTTGGCAGCCTCGATGAGTTGGGGAGTATTGCCATGGCCTATGCTGAGATTCAACATGTGCTCGCTCCTCGATCGGGGTGGGAGTCGACGCACAAGGGTTGAAACCACTATAGGTATTGATGATGCCTATGATTGGCCTCGAAAGTGCATCTTCGCCATATCCTAGAGCTTTGATGAAGACCTTGCGCAGAAAGAGAGAGAAGTGAGGATCGCCATATCCTGCGAGACCCTGTCTCAGGCCTGAGGTCGATGTGATTGGCTGTGACAGATCGTAGTCGGTGTTGTTTTCTGCCATTGTGCAAGACTGGCAGCAATCATGGGGGAGAGGCGTCCTCGATCACTAACATGCGCGTCGTGAACGGACAGCATAACCACTTGCCGGATCGCGTGCTGAGATGTGGGGTAGTGACGCAGATGGGGCGGCGACCTCGGACAAGAGCACGCCGTGGACCCTGCCGCTCGGAAAACCAACTTGGCAAGTGCTAGGCTCAATACAGTACTGTGTGTGCGCGCTGTTATCGATTTGTTCGGCGCGCTGTGCAGGCCCGCGTCCCATGTCAGTTGGGCCTGTGCGACTTTACACCTTCTTGGTCTATATATTTTTGTCCTTTTGTGTAAACTTCCAAGCGCGCAGGCAGCGCTGCTTACCCTAATAGAGCCTCCCCCCCTGAGCTCGACGACTAATGGCCGCCCAGACAGAGTCGACGCGCTCTCGCATCGAAAACATCAAGACCGACCTTCGAGCAACGACGTCATGCACAGACACGACCGTAACAACTCTACAAGATCTACTGTGCCGCAGAAATGAGGAGCCCGCGCAGAAGGAGAATATGGGGGTGAAAGTCCCTGGAGCATTGAGGAGGAAGGCGAATGCAGCGAAGTCTGCCACAAGCAAAGAGGCGCCCAAGGCAGAGCTCACGGTACTTGCACCGAGAGAGAAGTACATCCTGGCCACCGAGATCGCAAATTTGTCTCTGAAGACGCTCGCCGACGCGCTGAAGAATCGGCCGTCCACCCCGCCCTCGCGAACCTCGTCCAGACCCGCACCCGCCGACAGCTCAACGCGCAAAGCTGCACAACCGCCCACTGCCACCCAGAAGGCTCTGAAGGAACGATCCGTATCGCAGACAACGAACACAGCCAAACGCACTCCGGCGTCAACACGACCTTCATCTGCCGCCTCGTCCGCGCCAGGACAAGATGTGGGCTTGGTAGCGACCGCAGAGTGTGCCAGAACGGCATTTGCATACTTGGGTACAGCAGAAGCCAAGAAGGTCCTGGGTAAAGATGGAGCAGAGCTGCAGGTGGAGAGCGGAGTAGTGGCTCTTGTCGGAAAGCTCGTAGCGCTTGGATTGGACAATCTAGCGGTCAAGGAGATCAGGCTTCTGAAGAGGAGGTTGGAAGTCTTCCTAGGTCATGCAGAAGTCAAGAATCCCAGTGTAGCTGTCAAGAAGAGTGGAGTGCAGCACGATGCTGCAGTGGAGAAGGAGAGCCTTGCGGCGCTTTTGCGCTTTGGACACATCGAACCGACGAATCCTGCCCTTCCAATCGTTGCCAACCTTCAGACCTATACACTGCGCGTTATGGCGAGACTGAAGAAGGCTTCCACCATCGAATCTTCTTGGGATTATCTGCAACTATCCAACGACTCATCCCCTGCGAACCTCCTTCAGCAGCTGGCGACCACATCGACCGGCGCAGCGAAAGCAGCACGACAACTCGAGTCTCTTGCCCAGACTGTCCTTGCACTGTGTCCGAGCATCTCGGCCCTAGAAGATGGGGCTCCCTTCCAGCCTTCGCCCGAGACCGTCCTTCGACTGCAGCACCTCGCCTTCACAGTACGGAAGAGGTGGTGGGCGTTGGCTAAGCACAAAACCAATGAGGAACGTGAGCTTGTTGAGCCCTTCACAAAGTGCTTGGTCGCTTACGCTCGGCGGTCAAAGCAATCACCCGCGGACAAGTACAGTTTGTCAAAGTCGTTGAGCACAGAGCTTCTGGGCCAGCATAATCTGACATCTGGCGCCGCTAGCTCTTTCGCGCTGATCACCAAAACACTCTGCACTCTTGCACAGGCTGCGGGCCTATCTGATGAGGCCTTACGATGGCTTGATACTCCCGAAGCCAGTGCATCGATCACGAGCTCTGCAGCGAAACAAGCATGTCGATTACTTCGCATTGCAACTGTCTCGTTGGAAGCTGCGAATAAAGGTGCAGACAAGCCCGGGCTCGAGGAAGCTATCAGTATGGCTCTGAAGGCATTGCAGGGCAGTCTGGGTGGATCCTCCACAGACCTCGATTCGCTATTCATGGAGGCTAACGCACTGAGGCGAGCCGCAACACGCTCGCTAGCAGCAGGCTTGTCTACCAGATCTCTCAGCTCGGAAGATTTGGCAACACAGGCTCGTGCTATCTCGATGATTGCCGCAAGCGTACACTTCTCCGCGAGATTCATAGGACGAAGGAGCGTGACAGAGTCAGATTCAGATCCACAACGTCGGCATGAAGATCGTATCAATATGGCTTGGAAGTGCACGAAGAGCATTGTCGAATCAGTCCTCACATGTTGTAAGCGGTCAACGAGCAGTCCAGAGCTCTGGTCGGAACTGGACATCATTCTTCAAGACTGTTGTTACATACTTCGGAGGCTCGGCGAGGAGTCCGAAGGTGGAGTGGTGACTGATCTGCAAGCTGGAGATGTGGTCTCGTCGTGCCTTGTCAAACTGTCCAACTCATACTGGAACACATATCTGCAACTACGGAATGCTGCGGCCATCGATCCAGGTCTCCTTTTGGTGGCTATGCGGCGTTCAATTGACCTTGTATCAGAGGGCTCAGAGGCCCAGCAGGAGGCGGGTCATCTAGCCATGAAGCTTGAGCGTCTTGGTGAAACTTTGGATAATCTCCAGAAACCCGAGGAGTCACGCAAGGCTTTTGGACAGTGCATCGGATACCACATCTACCTTAACGACCAAGCGCTCACAAAGTACTTCGCACAGTACTCGCTTCAGACACTGTTTGAAGGAGACGGTAAGTTCAGTACTATCGGCAGGCTGTTGAAAGCTCTCCATCGTTCGTACCTTCTTCACGGCGTTAAGCGCGCCAGCGATCTCGCATACCACGATGACGCATATTTACAGCCTGATGTCCGGGGCGCAATCTTGGAATGGCAACTGATACTGTATTCCAAGACCCTCTCCAGAAATAGGCAATGGGATATGAACCTCAATCACTCCATCAAGACACTCACTGATCACCTTCTCGACATATACACCCTCGAGAGATACCCTATACGGCGTCTAAGATGCATCAACCTGTTTCTTCAGCTTTCGCAAGATCACCCACATACTGTGTCGCACAGCCTACTACCATCAGAAACCTCGCCAGACAATCTTGCCACAGTGGACTTCTCCGAGGATAGAGGCTTATCTAAGCTCAAGGAGCATTTGAGCGCTCTCTGTAGCTTCAAGCTGGCGATGCAACAGACTTCTCCACCAACCGAGGCACTGCGACAATGCTTTGCGACCTGGGAGTTCCTCGCGAAATCTGCTCCATGTTGGAGTGCTTTGGTCGAACGCATTGGCGATACCGACAGCTGGATCCACGACATTCGAGCGTGTGTTGATTATCTCAACGCCAAAGGCGAGGAGTATCTCGCGTTGCCTGTTTTGCACCTCTTGGTGACGATCTTCGAGCTACAGAACGACACAGATGCTTCGGAACTTGTCTGCAGTCTTTCGGCACTCTCTTTGCAATTCCTACGACTCGGCTATACTGGTCAGGCTGGTCTGTCACTGGCGAAAGCAGAGCTCCTTGTTGTTCGCCAGACAGCATTAACGGAAGCCAAGCTAAAGTGGTACACGGCCTACGCGGAGTACCTCTTCCGCATCGGCAACACTGAAAAATGGTACGATATTGTGCTCACTACAAGAAGAGAACCGATAACCTGACTCTGATAGTGCTACCACTCTGGCTACGGCCGAGTCTATCGCACGCAATGATGCTGCTTTCATGGACTTGTCGACATCCTCTGCCACTATATCACAACGTTTACGCTACAACAGCGTTCTGGCAAATGCCTGTTATGTATATTCCCTACTCGCTGCTTCCAAAGGAGCCCACAAGGAAGCTGCAAGATACGCAAAGCAGAGTGTCACGCTCAACCGCCGTATGTGGGCTGCACTCGAGTCCAAAATTAATGCACAGAAGACACTTGCTGAGAGCGACACATCGATCCTAGATGGCCCAAGTAGAGCAGCTACTGATCTGCTGGCATCCATGCGTGACGACAAGGGCACACCTATAGTATCTTCGAACACTCACGAAGTCCTCGGGGGCGCAGACTTCTGGTTCATGGTTCCTTCGCTATACCGCGGACTTATGCAACACTCACAGGTCTTCGCAAACCAGGGACTATTGCAAGAGGCAATATACGTGGCAGAGCAGGCAGAGAAGGTCGCATTGGCGACACGCTCGCCAACTCTCATGACCGATAACGCAAGCTGGCAGGCGGCATGCTGGGCACAAAGCGGCAGACCCGACAAAGCTGGACCACTGCTCAAAGCTCTTGAGCATCCTTCCGACCGCAAGACTCTCTCCGTTGCAGCGTATCACTCAGCCATTGCGAGAGTACATCATGGCACAGGAGATTTCGACGAAGAGATTGCATCCTATGGTGTACTAGAACAGCTTCTGGACGATCTTACTAGTCCACCCTACATCAGATCCCTCGGTGCTATACATCCAGATCTCGATTCTCTTGCTTCGCAGATAGCTGGAATGAGCCTCGATTCCACCAAAGCTAAGCCCACTAAAGCACCATCACTCACCAAAGTACAAAAGCCCGCAGCAAAGCCGCCCTCCAGATCAACATCACGTTCAGGTGCTCGATCTGCTACCGGTGTCCGTTCGCGAGCTGGCGCAGCAAGTGCTGTGAGTGCGGCAAGCACATCAAAGGTTACTCCGAAAAGCCGACACAAGAGCATGATCGCCGCTCTGAGCACGGAGACAGTGAGCACTTCAGATCAATGCACGACACTGCGCGCTCTCCAGGCAGAGACGTTCCATCGAGGCGCTCTTGCGAACTTATCACAAGAGAACTTGGTAGCAGCAACGGCTTTGATCGAACGAGTGCAAGAGCTCCAAGTTGGCGCCGATCGTGACGTCCAGCACACCTGGGCGAAGTTCAAGCTCATGCTTGCAGAGAGTGCCCAGCAAATCGCTGCGGACTTTGCTTTCAACACACTGCCCGAATCTACGATTGCCTTTCCTGCTATTGGCACGAAAGACAGAAGGATGTCCGAAGGCGTGCTTGTGAAGAGAGGTGCGCCTACAGCTCCCACAAAAGCTAAGGGTAGCCGTACCAAGAAAGCAGAAGCGGTTGCAAGGATCGACTTCACTGATACACTGCGTCAGGCTCGTGAACACCTGCTCCAGGTTCACGCTTTGACCGCTACGCACGGCTCAAACCACTTGTTCCGGCAGGTCTCAAGCGCACTTGGCCATATTACAGTTCTGCTATCAGCTGTTTCTGAAGCACGTGGCTCTGTGCATCCGCTGTACGCTGCGTACACCAGTGGTAAGTGCCGCAACAGCAGAATGCTACGAGAAATCTTCTAATAGAATGTAGAGATTCCGAAAATCAACGCCATGCGACTCGCACAAGAATTTGTAGAGTCTGAGAAAGAGCAGTTATCGCGCGAAGAATGCTTGAGCTGGCCGCTGCTCGAAGCGTCCGACTTCAGTCTCACGTCTGCGTCTGATTTCCAGCAGGAGTACATCGATAGTATTCCAGAGTCTTGGAGCGCCATATCGCTTGGTCTGAACGAAGCTCGTGACGAGCTCTACGTCACACGTTTTGAAGCTGGCGTTGCTCCTTTCGTCCTTCGCTTGCCACTCGCCCGTCATGTCTCGCGCGATCTCGATGAAGACGAATTCACGTTCGAGGATGGCAAGCGAGACTTCGAGGAGATTATCGAGCTTAGCGATTTTAGTACTCGCGGGACGAAGAATTTGACTTCAAGAGAAGCTCGTCAGCAATGGTGGGACGAACGTGAGGCTCTTGACACACGCCTCCACGAGCTGCTTGTGAACATGGAGAACATCTGGCTTGGTGGCTTCAAAGGCATTTTTTCTCAGCATGTGCGACAGCCCGCACTCCTTGCTAAGTTTCGGAAGGCATTCGAAGATGTGCTGAACCGGCACCTGCCCTCACGCAGCATGAAGACGCAACCCAAACGGCCTGTCCTGGATGCCAGAGTTCTGGAACTCTTCATTGGGCTTGGAGACCTCACAAGCGAAGAACTTGACCTCGACGAGGCCTTGACAGACCTCATCTACTTCATTGTCGACATATTGCAGTTCAACGGAGAAGCGAACGCATACGATGAGATCGACTTCGACGCCATGGTGATCGAAACGCAGGATGCTCTGAAAGCATACCACAGCGCCGCCCGCATACCATCGCCATTCACGCCGCACACTATCCTGATTCTGGACAATAATCTCCATGGCTTCCCGTGGGAGTCTCTACCTTGCCTCTCAAAGCTCTCGATCTCGCGCCTCCCCTCACTCGCCGCGCTCCGTGAGCGCCTCCTCACACTCCGCCCCTCAAGCGCAGACGGCGCCGCACCAGGCCACTACATTGCCGCAGCCAACGGCGGCACCACCATCCTCAATCCCGGCGGCGATCTGGAAAACACCTCCAAAACCCTGCAACCTGTCATCGCCTCCCTGCGCGGAGAGTGGACACACATCTCCTCGCGCGCCCCTAGCGAAGCTGAGTTCTCCACTGCCCTCGGCACCCGCGACTTACTGCTATACTTAGGCCACGGCAGCGGCGCGCAATTCGTGCGTCAGAAAAGCGTGCGCAAATTGTATCCCGGTAAGCAAGATGCCGGGTCTGCGAAGCCGGGGTGTGCGACCAGTTTCCTCTTCGGTTGCTCCTCTGTGCACCTCACAGAGAACGGCATCTATGAACCAAGTGGTATGCTGCAATCCTACCTCACGGCCGGCGCGCCCGCGGTCGTGGGAATGCTGTGGGATGTCACGGACAAAGATTGTGATCGGTTTGCTGTACGGTGTGGTGAGCTGTGGGGGCTGTGGCCTGAGGACGAGCATCCCGAGACTAAGCCGGGTAAGACGCCGAGGAAGGGGAAGGCGAAGGCGAAGAAGCAGGATATTGCCGCCGAGGGCGTGAGGAAGGGCGAGTATATACGTGGTGTGGGGCTGGACGAGGCGGTCAGGGATGCGCGACAAGCTTGTTATCTCAAGTATCTGAACGGGGCGGCGGCGGTGGTTTATGGGATTCCTTGTTATCTGGAGTAGAAGGGGGGTGTGGGTAGAGTGAGGATCTGAATACAGAGACAGCTCAGAAGGAGGAGCGCATATGCATCGATTCGCCTGACGAGACCGCTGTCCCTGACGTTTGGCTTTGTTCCTTCTTTCCGTGTGCCATCTTGTGAGTGCTTCCTTGCGTGACTGTCGCTTCATCTGCCGGTCTTCACCAAGAACGTTTTATTTCCCTCACAGTTATGCAGCTTCGTCAGATAGCTCCTTGACTAAGTCAGCCAAAGAATTGATTCGATCTGAATCGAATTGATTCTTCTCGCACGCAAGGTGGCATAGCAAATCAAGAGCTGGCACATGGTCTGAGTATCTCCCGGCCCGAAGGTAGGTTATTCCCATCAGGCGATTGTGGGTGACCTACGACTAGACGACGAGTCCTAAGACACTTCGATGAGCCGGGCTCCATTTAAAGCTATATCTGGGCTAGCAGTGATGCTCGCGATGTACAAAATAAAAGAGCCGAGAAGGAGGAAACGGAAGCCGTTGCTCCAATCGACATTTATCACAAAGTAGGGTTCCTAAGCACAAAAACACGAGCAGTGAAGTTGAGCTGTGTGCTTGAGCAGTATGTCGGTGTGCCTTGTTTGCAAGTCTTCTTCTATATATCCATTCACAGTCCAGCCGGAAACGTCTCGGTCTAGCGACCAACATAGACCGACAGTGCCTGTGACTTCATCTAAACAAGTGGTATCATGCGCGTTCCTGGGCGGCAGAAGCGCACCGTCCAGACAGATAGTCTGACCCAACGCCAAAAATGCAAATCATGAATCGTGCCCGCTTGCACGCTATACGAGAAAAAGGATATTACGGTCGCGGATCAGGAGAAGCTTATTTCGTTCTCGTGGGCCTGTGGCAGAGAGGGCAATTTGTGCTCCTTCACCGCGCGGTGTGACCTGGAGGCATCTTTATGCCAACTACTGCGCTTCGTCCCGTAGACACTAGCAGGCTCGTTTGAGAGCTCGACTTCGCTCGTCCTTGTGATGGTCATGTCCTCGTTGGAGCCTTCCTCCGAGTCTGGCCATCGCGACTTCATCTTCTGCCACATTTTTGTGAGACCGCCGCCTTTGGAGCTCTCCTCGTTGCTCTCGGTCCGTAGCATGGCATCTCGACTCGCACTCCTGTGTGTCTGATCTTGAGGCTCGGGGCTGGATATCGTGCGCTCTTCATCCCAATTTTTCAGCTCGTAGCTGCGGCCCTGATCGGCATCGAGGTCGGGGACGGCACAGATTGCTTCCGAGCGGCGTTTTGAGGAGAGGTTTGTTGTACTTGGGTTGATTGGGGGGGTTTCCGCGGCCGTAGTTGACAGCTTGGATCTCTTCGAGCCAGACCCGGCCCCAACAGACTTCTTCTTCAATGATATACCACCTGAGAAGGTGCCAGAGAGACTGAAGGGGATTTTCGAGAGGAGGGGCCTGAGAACAGGGGCTGAGGCGCAGATCACGCCGAGGTCGATTTCTACTGCTGCGGCGATCCAGAGAGGGTACGCGTACCTGCTCCGTCGTCAATCTTTGTTACCCTAACCCCCTATTGGCAACCAAACTTACCATGTATTGTCATAAGTCGTGAAGAGTGACTTGTAGATGTACCATGTACGGACGATACCGGCAATGGTGACGATGATACCCATAGCGAAGAGACCTGCTACAGCGAGACGTTGACGATGTGGCATATGGAGCTGTTGTAGGTGAGCAATGTGCACGATGATTCACAGAATTGCTTACACCTAATATAAGTGGAATCGGGGTCACTGTGGTTGCGAAGTCGGCGACACAATTGATGATACCGCAGATGAGTGTCGCAGTGCCCTCATTCAAACAACTACTGGGCGGTGAGCCAATTAACCAGTAATCTGAGACCGGAGTACATAGGAAGATTGCAATGAACCTATCAATTGTAAGTCAATGTCTCAGGTAGCCAACAAGGTGTAGCCTTACGGAAACGATAGAAATATCCCCATAGTGTAGGCAACGTTGAGATGAACACACCATCTGAACCATGATCTTCCTGTGTCGGCGACCAATCGGTAATAGAAGCAATGAAGAGACAACCTTGTGAATGTTGCTGCTCCAGTGAACACTACTTTGGCAGCCATTGCGACCTTCAACGTCGGTTCTAGTTTGTTGAGTGGTATGTCGTAGACATGCCTGTCCCAGCCGTATCGCTGGTTTGCCAAAAGGACGACAGTGGTCAAGCCAACGGCAAACATCTGTATATGGTTAGAGGTGTAGGTAACATAGCTAACAAGGATTTTCTACCAGAGCAAGTAGAGTGAAGACGTCATCGAGACCAAACCACCTCTTGATAATCAAGCGCGTATACATGCGCAACCCTACCACTATCACTGCCAGCGCGATGAGTATGGAGTTGATGATGAGTAGCGCATCGCCTCGTGTGTGTGGGTTGGCATAGTTAGGCTTGGGCCAGGAGAGGATCACCTAGCTGATGGTGAGCTTACTTCGTGATCCGACAACGACTACTTACGTCGATGGGAGGCAATTGCATCCTGCCGTTGAGAATGAATACCCTGCCCCAAATCGAAGCAACTACATGCAAAAGCAAAGGAGTCGGCGGCTGCAGGATCGGAGGATTTCCACGAGATGAGGAAGGATATGGAAGTGATAAATTTCCGGCGCTAGATCGCAAGCCTCCACGACATGTTTGGTATTTGCGGGGCTTCCTGAGAAGTGCTCATCCTCAGTCCTGCCCAATAAAGTTTCTGGCATGCGTTACGAGTTGGTGCCACATTGGCTGGCATGCTGGTAGCACATCACCGGGTCCGATGGCAGTACTAACCAAACAGGCCACTCGTAAAGACGAGAATCCTGACAGTTCTTGCATCTAGCGGGGAATGCTGCAGCATGACCGACAGACCCGTGTGATGCCACGTGCGGTGACGCTGCAGAAGTGAAATTTAATAGCTGCATGTACTCAACCACAAGGAGTTGCTGGACGGCCAGGGTCGGATCCCGACACAACTCAGCGTAGCGATTCGCAGCTGACAAACCTGCCAGCCTCAGGGCGGGAGAAACGATCCAATCTCTAGTGGACGGAAGTCACCCTTCCGCTGTTAGCTTGCATCTGGGCCGGTCAACCAAGGGTGAGTACCGGCGGTCCCTTGCTGAGCACTACCTTCTACCAAGTACCGATGTTCCCGCGCTAGTCGTACAAGTATGCCGAGAGACGGGTCGTTACAAGCACACCTTCGTCCAGTTGGCTATCCCAAAGGCATTTCGAACAGGTATGCGTGTGGCTGGGTTCTACGACAGCTGCATCGTCGGACACAACATGCTGCGAGACCCATCACAGCCCTCAAGGCGCATAGTGACGGAGGCACTCAAGCCATTGTCGAGCTCCGAGATCCGATGTAATGGCGTTGCATCGAATTTGCCTAGCGCAGAAAGCTCGCCGATCGAGTCACTGGGTAATGAGCACCAATGCTTCATCGAACCACAAATCGGCAGACCAGTCGGCTATGCTGCATCTTGCGGCAAACGCTGATTTATAATTGGACGTCGTCGCGGCTCTGCCTCCGGCGTGCAAAAGGGCTTTCTTCACAATCTACCATCAGGAACAGCGATGATCTCAATACAAATCCAGGCAATCTCGACAAGGCCTCGACAGCCTCAAAGATATGCAACGATGTGTTTCCTTACGAAAGTGCTTCTCAATTACGCTCTTCAGGAGCAGTCCTCCGTGTTCCTCCGGCGAGGCTTCATTTGCGCCTGCCAGCGGTTCCCGGTCTAAGTTAGGTATGGGACGGGTACCTGAAACACCCGCAGCCAGCCAGCTCACCGCAAGAGCAACCGAGCGCATCATCTGCCGCGTATCGATCAAGTACCTAGTGAACGCCTCACCAGTGCCAACTGCCGTACTGCGGCACGCTTTAAACTATCCAGATCAGTTCTACGAAGGGGCCCATCTTGATCTTGTGCTCAATCGCATCATGGTTAAGTTGGTACCGCTACTGCATGCAATCCATGCTGCATGAATCGTCATCCCCGCGGATGTCCGGATCTAGGTATCCGGAAGTCGAGAGCTTGATGACGACTCCACTCATCACTTGAGGGGAGATATTCGTCTATCTGCAGGGTTTGTACTGAACCGTAAGAGCCCGTTGCAAGCGCAACATAGACGACCGACCAGAGTCTTGTCTCGGCATCGACTCCAACACCGATCTTTAAGGGTGACCCTCGCTTACAGTTGCTCCTTGGGGTAACGTGTTCTATCAGTAAGCTGCGCATATCAGTATCCTGCGCACCCCACCAAAACGCGCTCAACGCGTCTTATCTCATCAACTATGACACCACATCAACTACCCGTACAAAGTTCAAAAGAAGGCAGGTTAAGCCTTGCTATTGCTTCTTTTCAAAATAATCCTTATCAATCTAAACGTTGCCTTGCTGCAGCCTACGATGTTCCAGAATCAACACTGCGGACGCGTCTTAAGGGTATCTGTCCTAAACACGAGACAACATCA